CCTCGGCGTCGCCGTCGTCGTCCTCGCGCGCCGTGCGCGTGGTCACGCGATCGAAGCAATTCGCTTTCCTGAGCCCGCGCGTGGGCAGGTCTTCGTCCATCCGCGCGCGCGATGTCATCACCAAGGACAACAAGAAGGAGGACAACACCACGGTAGAGATCGAGAGCTGCCTCGCGGACGAGGAGTGCAAGACCGAGGTCATCTCCGCGCTCGAGGGAGCGCTTCTGGACGACGCAGGAGCCGACGCGCCGTCGTCTTCAGCTTCCGCGTCCGTCGCCGTCGCCGAGCAGGCGTCCTCCTCCGCGGAGGCGTCGACTCCCCCGTCCGCGGTCGCAGGCTCCGTCGTCAAGACGGTGGAGAAAACCCCCGCCGCGAAAGCGGAGGAGAAGAAAGCGGATACCGCGGAGAAGGTCGCCGTCTCCGAGCCGCCCTTGAACTTCGACCGGCTGAAGTCCGTCGGGACGTTCGTGCGAACGCTCGAGATCTGGTCCTTCGTCTTCGCGTTCGTGTTCCGTCGCGTCGCGTTGAACCTGAAATTCACCTACAAAGGCGGGTTCTCCGAGGAGAAGAAGCTCAAGCGCACGGAGGAGCTCGCGAAGTGGCTTCGACTCGGCCTCCTCCGACTCGGCCCGACGTTCATCAAGATCGGACAGCAGTTCTCCACGCGCGTGGACGTGCTGAGCAAGCCGTTCATCAAAGAGCTCGAGAAGCTCCAAGATCGCGTCCCGCCGTTCTCCACGGAGATGGCGAAGCAAATTCTTCAAGAAGAGCTCGGCAAGCCGGTCGAGGAAGTGTACGACGACTTCCAAGACGAAGCCCTCGCCGCGGCGTCGCTCGGGCAGGTGCACCTCGCGAAGCTCAAGAAGACAGGTGAGCAAGTCATCGTGAAGATTCAACGCCCTGGGCTGAAGGAGATTTTCGACATCGATCTCAAGAACCTTCGCGTGATCGCGCAGTGGCTGCAGAAGGTCGACCCGAAGACGGACGGAGCTGCGCGTGACTGGGTCGCGATCTTCGACGAAACCGCGCGCGTGTTGTACGACGAGGTCGACTACAAAAACGAGGCGAAAAACGCGACCGAGTTCGCCGCGCAATTCGCGGGCACGGACTGGATCAAGATCCCGAAGATTTACTGGGACTACACCGCGCAGAGGACGTTGTGCATGGAGTACTCTCCCGCGGTGAAGATCAACGACCTGGAGGGGATTAAAAAGATGGGCGTCGACCCCGATCGCATGGCGCGTTTGGCCGTCGAGGCCTACCTGCAGCAGGTATTGCGCTTTGGCTTCTTCCACGCGGATCCTCACCCGGGGAACGTCGCCGTGGACCGTGGTGACCCGGAGGGCCTCGGACGACTCGTGGTGTACGACTACGGCATGATGGGCCGCATCCCCCCCGAGGTCAAAGGCGGGTTCCTCGACTTGTTCTACGCCGTGTTCGAGAAGAACTCGGACAACGCGGTGAAGGCGCTCTCCAAGATGGGGGTTTTAGTAGAGACTGGGGGTGATCTCACCGCGGTCAAGCGCACCGCGGACTTCTTCCTCGGGAGCTTCGACAACCGCGTGGAAACGCAGGAGACACAGAGGTCGCAGAACAAGGAGGAGTACGAGGCTGAGTTTAAGCCGCAGCGCACGAAGGAGGAGAAAAAGGCGAGGCGCAAGCAAATCTTGAGCAACATCGGCGAGGACCTCCTCGTCGTTTCGAAGGACCAGCCGTTTCGGTTCCCCGCGGAGCTCACGTTCGTCGTCCGCGCCTTCTCCGTCCTCGACGGCATCGGCAAGGGCTTGAACAAGAAGTTCGACATCGGCGAAATCTCCGCGCCGTACGCGCGGAACCTGCTCATCGAAGAGAACCCGTCGTCCCTGCCGCCGCAAGTCGTCGCGAGGCAGCGCGACTTCCAGCGCCGCTTCGATAAGAACAACAAGGCGATCATCAACCTCTTCAAGGGGCCGGACGCGATCGAGGAGATCGCGGAAATCGTTCGCGACATCGAGCGCGGTAAGCTCAAGATTCGCGTGCGCGCGCTCGAGGCTGAACGCGCGTTGGAGCGCGTCGCGGTGATGCAGGACCTCATGCTCAAGGCGATGGTCGCGTGCTGCGCGGTGAACATCGGCGTCGTGCTCTACGTCAGCGGGCTTTTGGTTCAGGCGAAGGGAGCGTTTGGTGTCAGCGGCGTCGCGATGCTTCAGGCTGCGGCGGCGTCGATGAAGCTTTCGAAGCTCACGAAGAAGGAGGCGGCGTTTTCGGGGGCGGCGTGAGTGAACCAAAAGGGGTGGTGTGACTGGGGGGGTGAAACAAAAAGAGCGCGCGCGTGCTCTGTGCTGCTTACTAGTTTCGTTTCGTAAACAAACGATATTCTTCCGAAACGTCGCTATTCGTTGGTTCGTTTTACAGTAGTGTTCACTGAATGTCCGTCGCCGTCAGCTCCGAGGCCTTCACGAACTGTCTCACCGTCAGAAATCAGTCAGAAATCGACCTCTGTGGTGAAATGGAAGTTCTGGAAGCTTGCGTCCTCTTGTTTAGCCATCACTCCATTCCGCTGGTACTCCCCGACGCGCCTCTCGAAGAAGTTCGTCTTTCCTTGTAAAGAGATGCTTTCCATCCAGTCGAACGGATTTGGGGTGTTCCACACCTTGTCCACCCCGAGCTGCACCAATAGGCGATCCGCGACGAACTGAGCCATTACATACAAAAACAGTTCACCGGTCAGTTGAAAGGGGGAGCGATCAAATGTTAAAACCGAGCGGTGGGTGCAGGAAAAACGTCCGGAACGCACCTCAATGTACTCTGACATCAAGTCCGCGTTCATTCCGACGAGCGCACAGGACAGCGCATCGCACACGAACTCCTTCTCGATCTCGACCGCGTCCTTGACGATCTCCTGCAGGCGCTCCGGTTCGAGCGGGTGCTTCAGCATGCTGTACAGCAAGCACGCGAAGTCGCAGTGTAATCCCTCGTCCCGGGAGATGAGCTCGTTGCTAAACGTGAGCCCGCGCATCAACCCTCGCTTCTTCAGCCAGAAGATCGCGCAGAAGGACCCGCTGAAGAAGATGCCTTCGACGCACGCGAACGCGATCAGACGCTCGGCGAAGCACTCGGAGCTCTGAATCCATCGCAGCGCCCACTGCGCTTTCCTCCCGACCGTCGGCACGGTATGAATCGCGCGCATCAAATGCTTTCGCTGCACGGAGTCCTTGATGTACGTCTCCAGGAGCAACCCGTACGTCTCGGAGTGAATGTTCTCCATCGCGAGCTGGAAGCCGTAAAAGGCTCTCGCCTCCGGCATCTGCACGTCCTTCAGGAATCGCAGCCCGAGGTTCTCGAGGACGATCCCGTCGGACGCGGCGAAAAACGCGAGCACGTGAGAGATGAAGTGCTGCTCGCTTTCCGTCAAATTGCCCCAGTCGCGGAGATCCGTGGAGAGATCGATCTCCTCCGCGTTCCAGAAGCTCGCCACCGCTTGCTTGTACATCTTCCACACCTCGACGTGTTTGACCGGGAATAAGCTAAAGCGATCTTCGTTGTCCTGGAGCATCGGCTCGTCGTCGTCGCGGTTCCACGCGCGGCGGCGCCCCGGGGAAGAGCGCTGCGAGGAACTCGATCCGTTCGACTCGAGATCGTTGTTGTCTAGGGGGGATCGGACGTCGTCATCGAGGGTGTCCGCGAGCACCTTGAGCTCCTCGGACACGTCGCCGTTCGCGCGCAACGTGTGCGGCAACGCGCCGACGACGTCGATCTCGCCCCCGTCACGCGTGGGCGACGACGTCATTTTCTCGATTCGACGAGAGACCTGCTCGCTCGCTCGGGTTTCCACGCGCGGGTGGTCTCGGTTCGGCGCTGTGTGCGAGTTTGGATCGCGCGGAGGTGGGTGTTTTTTACGTGGGGGGCAGATCTCACGAGGTTTCCGTGCGCGCCGCGGGCACTGCGTTCGCGTCCTCCGCGTGACGGAAAGGTGACGTGATCAATTACGGAGTAGTCTCGGCGGGAATTCCTGTCGACCGGCGCCGGCGCCACTTTTAACTCAAGAAGTGAGGGTCTGAGCTTTCAAGTTCGGTCCACCCAGTCTACCAGTGATTGGCGGTGATCGGCGGATTTTTATCAGACAAGCAGGAGCTTGAAATGAAACCCTGAAGTGGAACCCCCCCCCTAGATCACTTCCACCTCGCGCCGCGTGTCGCGTGTAGAAGACGAACGCGTCGTGAAAGATGGGCAAGGCTGCGGTCAAGCTCTCGGAGGTGGTGTACACGGTCTCGCCGATGAGAACGGTGCGCGCGCGTCGCCGAATTTCCACTCATCCCCGCCGCTTTCTTCGAACGGCCAAATCCACGGGCGTCGGGGGAAGCGACCGCCGATCAGGCGTTCGCGCGCTCCCGCGCGCGCGCGATCAAGCCTTTTCGGCGTTCTTGACGTTCGGATGCAACCGTCGAACGAACTCCCGCGCGAGGTGTCGCGTTTTCCCGCCCCCGATCGCGTCGCGACCTTTCGATCGCGTGTGTGTGGAGACCACAAAAATAGGGCTCGCGCGGCGGACTCTGATCCACGAAACGTGCTCTAGTACTACCATCAATCATCAACGCGAAGAAGTCGCTGACGCCGTTTTCATTTCGCTCTTCTTGAAACCGTAGGGTGTGCTCGGCGGCTTGTTCAATGACTTCGGAAGCATGATAACGAAGAAGGCGAAAGACGCGGTGGACGCCGCGGTGTGGTTCGTCGTTCCCACTGTCGCAGTATACAGTTACGCGGAGGACTTTAACGAGAAACTGAAGCAGAAGCATCGGTACTAAGGGTGGTGCGATATCTCTTAGCGGTGTAACTCTACGTCATCAATTCGTCATCCCTTCTTCGGTCTGCGCCTCGGATCTAAAGGTCCTACTCCACTCTCGACCGCCGCCTTTGGCTCGAACCCCGGAGGAAACTCCGGGTCGTCGCTGTCGCTGTCGACGTCACCGGGCTCGGGAGGCGCCTCTACTACGGGCGGCGGGCCCTCGTCGACGACGACGTCCTTCGTCGTCTCGTTCTGATTATCCTTCGGCAACGGACTCAGACTCTTCGTCCGCTCGCGAAGGATCGCACGGGACGACCGATCCTGCGGACTCCTAAACTCGGGCAGGTCGCCGCCGCGCCGACGCGGCGGCGGCGGGCTCTCTTCCCGCGCTCTCCTGTTGTACTCCGACTCCTTTCGCGCGGCCCGATCCCGCTTCTCTTCCTGCGCTCTCCTGAATTCCGCATCCTTCCGCGCGGCCCGCTCTTGCATCCGCTGAAGCGCCGCCTGCTTCTCCCTCTCTTCCTCCTCCGCGCTCTTCTCCTCGTGGCGCCGCCGCGAACGCTTCTGCGCCGCCGCCGCGCCCGCGCCCGCGCCCGCGCCCGCGCCCACGCGCGCGGCTGTTCCGAACGAAATCCCCTCCGCGGCCGCGGCCGCTTTCTGCGCGACCGACCCGGACGCCCCCGCGGTCTCGATGACGCCCCTCGGCTTGTTCATGAACGCGAACCGTAACTCCTCGATTCCCTTCTTCGTCACCGGCCACCGCTGCCGTCCCGCCTCGTTCTGCCACCACAGAACGAAAGTATCTATCGTGCTGTCCCAACAAGCGCGCTCGTCGTTCAGACGCATCGTGTGGTTGTCCCCGCTGATGTACCAGTGCGACTTCACGTCCAGTTGCATCGTGTGCGTGTGCCAGCGTGACATGTCCACTGCCTCAGCGCCCGGCCCTTTGCCTCTCGCGTTCATCACGTAATAAACCTCTTACGTCTGCTTCGGGACGAAAACGGTGAACGACAGCGGGCGATCCGTCGATCGAAGGAGGCGGTCGATGTGGTTCCCGATCTGCTGCGCGGTCAAACCCGCGAAAGGCGGGTTGCACTCGAACGACCCCTCTTTCGGGTACGACTCGAAGAAGCTGCCGTGCGAGCCGAACCAGCGATCGGTGTCTGGAAACGCGCTGAAGTAGTCCTGATAGTGGTGATTCAACGGGCTCGCGAAGCACTCGTGCGAGGCCCCGAAGTTGTCGCTGAGAGCCTCCGCGACCGCGGGAGGGATCGCGCCTTGCATCCCGCAGCAGATTTTCGCCTGAACGAGCGCTTCGTATCGTAACAGCATGACGGCGACGCGAGTGAGCACGCGAGCGCGGTGCAGCGCGACGCCTTCCTCCTCGCGCGCGTGCCCGACGCGCTCGTACGATCTCTTCAGGTTCGCGAGCTTCGTTCCCCGCACGGACGCGATCGTTCGGTGCCGATCCCCCGCCCCCCCGCCGCCGCCGCCGCGGGACCAGTCGCGCAGCTTCAAGTGCACGATCCCGTGCGCGTCCTCGGGCGTCTCGAAGACGCCGAGGGCGTCGTCAGTCCACCCGGCGGGGAGCGAACACTCCGGCCGCGCGGCCTCGCTGGCGACTTGCGTCGCGACTTTCTTGCACTCCGCGACCCAGAGGTCGAACATGTCCTTCACGTGGAGGTTTTCCGAGCTCGCGAGCCGCTCGAGGACTTCTTTGTTCACCCCCGGGTGGTTCAGAACCTGTCGCGACATGAACTCGGACATCGACTGAAGCGAGCACGGGATGAGTGGGTCCACGTCTTGCGCGAACAACGCGCTGCGCTCGGTCCACTTCGCCATGCGCGTGACCGCGTCCGCTCCGTCCGTCGTGGTGGGCCCGGCCCCGCGCGCGGCGTCCGCGTTCGCCCGCCCTCGGTCGCCGACCGTGATCGTCAACGTCGGCTCGGCTTCGTCCTCCACCGCGGCGCACTGCTTCGCGCTCAGCGTGAAGACCCACCGGTTGAAGATCTCCGCCGCGGTGTTGAAGTCGACCGCCCCCTTGCCTAGGCGCACGAACGCGGGGATGACCTCGTACGTGACGACGCGCTTGCGGAACTCCGCGACGACGATGCTGTCCTCCTCGCGTACCGACGCCATCTCCGCGGCGGAGGACGGGACGGCCGGGCGATGCGAGATCTCGCCTCGTTTTTTCCTCGTTTTTGCTTCCGCTGCGTGTACCGCGCGCGCCTCTCCCGCGTCGTCTCACGTGAACACGACATCAGAAAACTCGCCGAGGTAGAACTCAAGACCGCATGACATCCTCGACGGCCGCATGAACTCCTCTATCAGAGCAAGGTACTCCTTTCGGTTTGGGCCGTACAGATGAGCAACGTGCCGCCCCTTTTCCCAACGTTTTGTGTACGTTTGACGTGTACAGTACGTGTGTACGTGTACTCTGACCACATTGCACTGTGCGCCCGCGAAGATCTGCGAAGAAATGCGGTGCATGTTCAACAGCCAATCAGATGACCGGGAGAAGATGAATCCTGCCCGTGCAAAAAAAAAAAAGAGGGTTCGGGGTATTTTATCTACTCAGCCTCGAAACCCATCCTTGGCATTTGCGCCTCTCGCCTTAAAGGCGCGGGTCCTCGCAGTTCTTCGCCCTCTTCGTTCTTTCGGCTTGAGTATCCCTCCAGCTCGAGACCGAAGATGCAGGCGATCTTATGCGCCCCCGGGGCCATCATCGCGCGTCTAAACCCCAGACAAAAAAAGGTGAACAACTTGAGGCAAAAGACGCAGCATCTTCGAGCGGCGGCCGCGCCAGCGGCTGCGGTTGAGGCGAGCGAGTTGGATTTCGGAAACTACATCGCGGACAAGAACAAGGCGATCGAGCAGGCGCTGTCCGACTCCGTTCCGGAGATGTACCCCGAGCGCCTTCACGAGTCCATGCGATACAGCCTCCTCGCGGGAGGGAAGCGCATCCGACCCTGCCTGTGCATCGCCGCGTGCGAGCTCATGGGAGGCACGATGGAGGTCGCGATGCCGACCGCGTGCGCGCTCGAAATGATACACACGATGTCTCTTATCCACGACGACCTCCCGTCGATGGACAACGACGACTTCAGAAGAGGGAAACCTACGAACCACAAGGTGTACGGCGAAGAGATGGCCATCTTGGCCGGGGACGCGTTGCTGTCCCACGCGTTCGAGTACATCGGTCGGGAGACCCCGAAGAGCGTTCCCGCGGAACGAACCCTTCGCGTTCTCGTCGACGTCGGGAAGTGCGTCGGCAGCGAAGGCTTAGTGGGCGGCCAGGTGGTGGATATCATGTCCGAAGGCGCGGACGCGGACGAGGTGACGTTGGAGACGCTGAAGTACATTCACGCGCACAAAACCGGCGCGCTCCTCGAGGTGTCCGTCACCTCGGGCGCGATCTTGGCTGGGGCGAAGGAGGAGGATGTCGAGCGTTTGGGGAAGTACGCACAGCTCATCGGGCTCGCGTTCCAGGTTGTGGACGACATTTTGGATTGCACGCAGACGTCCGAGCAGCTCGGAAAGACGGCGGGCAAAGACGAGGCGGTTGGCAAGGCGACGTACCCGTCTCTCGTCGGCTTGGAGGAGTCGAAAAAGATCGCGGACGATCTCATCACCGAGGCGAAGGAGCTTCTCCGTGACTACGATCCGAAGCTCGCGGCACCGTTGCTAGGCTTGGCGGATTTCATTAAGAATCGCCAAAACTAAAAAATCTTTTGGTGGTGGGGGTAACGCTCGGGCGGAGCGACGACGGGGAGGGTCGAACGAATCAGTGGACGCGACGGTTCATCGGAGGTCATTAGCGATAGACTCGAGGGGATGGACGCGCCGCTTCGGTGTTTTGATTTGAAATAATTGGTCGTTTCGTTCGTGTCGTTTCACGTTGTCGTGGTTTTGCTTTGTGCTCGTTCTCTCGTCTTCAAACTCGCGTCAGTCATCAATCCGTGCTCGACCTACGAACCGCCTCGGCCTGGATCCGACTCATGCGCGCCTTGATATCATTTTCGAACTGCGCGTTCGCGGTCGACCCTCCGCTCCTCGGGGACGAGACATCCCCCGCGGCTTTCGCGGCGATCCTGTTCATTCTCTCCCTGAGTGTGCTCAACCCGGCGCCGCTCGTCCCAGTCGCGCCGGCGCTCGTCGCCGCCGCCGTCGACGACTTCGCCGCCGACTGCATCCTCGCGAGTCGCTCGCGGTACACCTCCGTCGCGCTCTTCTCCATCGTCGGCATCGGCGACGGCTCGATCGTGCTCGCCCCGGGGGTCGTCGCGGACGCCGCCCGAGCGCGGGCGGCTTCAACCTTCGCCAAGCCGCGCTTGATGTATGTCTGGAACGCGGCAGACGTCCGCGCGAGGTGCGGCGAGATGTCCACTTCCGCGTGCGCGTTGCAAAAGTCGAACAGCTCCTCTAACCCTTTCGCCGTGCTCTCCTTCTCGCCAATCTTTTTGAAGATGCCCGCGAGCGTCGTCTTCAAATCCGCGGAGACGGGCGTCGCCGGGCGGATGTCCACGTCCATCATCTCGACGTCGCCGTCGCCGACGGGCGTGCGCGCGCCGGTGCCCGGGGTGGAAGGACGCGTCGTCGTTCGCTTTACCGCGGATCCACCGGGCGTGGTCGGCTGCGCCGTCGTCGCCTCGGGAGGGGACGTCTTCGCGGGCGCCGGGGACTCTTTCGGAGGCGTCGTGACGGTCGCTTCGTCCGCTGCTGGCGTCGCGGGCTCCGTCGCGGGCTCGATCGTTCGCACCTTGGGGGTCGCGGACTTCGCGGGAGGAGGCGACGGCGGCGCCGGTGTCTCCGGGTGTTCCGCCTCGACGGCTTCAGGCTCGGGTTCGGGTTCCGCCTCGTCCTCAGCCTCGACGGCTTCAGGCTCGGGTTCGGGTTCCGCCTCGTCCTCGGCATCGACCGGCTTCGGCTCCGGTTCTGGCTCGCGCGGAATCCCCGGGGCGTTGGGCATAGACTGCAAGTTCAGGTCGATGTATGCGTAGATGATGGGCACAGGCTCCGTGGACCGCGGCGGGCACGAATCGAGGCAGTCGTGAACGTCGTGTCCGAGCAGCTTCGTGACCTCGTGAAGAATCGTCTTCACCATCCTGAGCGGCTTGTCGTCCGCCTGGCCTCGTCGCCGGATCTCGTCCACCCCGAGGGAGTCGAAAAAGTCGTGCACCTCGAGAAGAAGCGCGGACACGTCCACCGATCTCAGCGTCGCCGCGAGAGCCTTCGTGAGCTTAATGAGGCACTTCACGACGAGGTCGTTGAATTTCGTCAACGCGCTTTCGTCCTCCGCGACGGACTCAGGGGCGCGCGCTAAAAGCTGGATGAGCGCCCTGAACGACGACGTCCGCGGGCAGTGCTCGAGCACCTTGAGCATGAGGACGTTCAGCGCCTTCACGAGCTGCGGACCTTCGTCCATCTTCCCGACCGACTGGTCGAGCAGTCGCTCGAGAAGCGCGGCTATCGTAACTTTCTCGCTCGCCTCGCCGACCGCCCCCGCCAGAGCGGGTTCCTGATACACCTGCATGAGCGTGTTGAGCACGTACTTGCACGCGCGCGTCGTCGAAGGTCCCGGCGCAACAGCTGCGGACTCGAAAATGGTCGAGACCCTCTCCGCGACGACGCCGACGAGGCCGTCCACGTCCGGCGCCATCGCTTGTAACATCTCCTGATCCGAAACCGCGCCCATGATTTCGTGGCACAGAGATTTCATCCCCTCGACCGCGACCGCGTCGCTGACACTCGCGACGGAGTTGAGCGACCGCTTCCACCCCGCGAGTCTGACCTCCATCGGCAGCGTCTCGACGTCGTCCCGCGACGGCGAGGGAGGCGCTTCACGCTTCGGCGTCCGACGACCCGGGAGCACCGCGCTCACGACCCCGGCGGCGGCGTGCACGGGCCGCATCAACGTCGAAGCGATCGCCGCGATCGGCGAGCGCGGCGTGCTCGGCCGACCAGGGGTGCCGTTCGACCTCGACGCGGTCTTCTTGACTCCCGTGCCGGGCGTGGCCGCGGTCGAACCCCCGGCTAAGACGCCGTCCTTCATCCAAGCCCCGGGTTTTCCTTCGTTCTTCGCGGCCATCTCCTTCTCCGCGCGCGCGAATTTGTCCTCGAGCGACTGCTGCGCGAGATCGCCTAATCGTCCGACGTGCTTCCACACGACGGCCCCGCTCGTCTTGTACGCGGTAACGAGGCACTTCAACGCCGCGGTCCTCATGGACATGTCTCGCGCGTCCGCGAGCTTCGCGACCTCCGCGAGCGCCTTGTTTCCCCCTCTCTCCACGACGTCGGCGCCGTGACGCTCGAGAAGGGACTCGATGACGTCTAAAACCTCCAACCGCGTCTTCGTGTTCTTCGAGTCCAAGCCGCGGACGAGGTACCCGACCAAGCGCGACGCGGGGAACAACCCGGGTATGAGCCTGAGGATGATGCGGAACTTCCCGCGAACCGCGTCCATGGAGTGACCGCACTTGTCCACGAGCGCGGGCAGGAAAAGCGCGGCTTCTTGCTCGCTCAAGCGGCTACCCTGCGCCTTGACGACGCCCAGGACCGCGGCGGTGAAATCGAGGACGCGAAGCAACGACTGCGTGTTCGGCGCTTGCTCGGATACTCGGAGGACGATCCAGCGAAGTATCAGGTCGAGGTTCCCGAACACATTCTCGGGAGCCTCCGCGAGCGCGCCGTCGAGGTGCTCGAGCGCTTTGATGTGCGCTTTAAAGTCCGCTTTGAAGAGAAGCGCTCGGACGTCTTCGCGGACGTACGGCGCCATCGCCACCTTGAGCTCGCCCTCCGCGAACGCCAACTGCTCGTCCCGAAGAACTTCAAATTTGACCGGTTTCTTCGGCAGTTTCTTTATCCTGGACTCTTTCTCTTCGTTCGGCGCAAGCGCGGCACCCGACGCGGACGCGACAGCCGCCGGCGGGGCCGCGCCGGCGGCTCCCTTCGACGCGCGCACGGCGCCGCCTCGAGCCGTCGTCGGACGCGTCGGCGCCGATTTAATCGGGGACACCGACGGCGACGGGTTCAGCGACGGGTTCCGCGAGCTCGGAGCGGAAGAGCCTACGACGATGCCACCCTTTTCCACGTGCGCGACGACCGCTTTCTTCAACGCCCCGGGAGCGTCCGAGAGCTTGCAGAGCGCCGACGTTTCCTTCGACCCGACGCGCCTGATAACCTCGTCCAGAAGCTTCCCACCCGCCGTGCGCGCTGCCGTGGCTTTATCGCCGAGACCCACGGAAGCGAGCACGACGACGGAGCTAAGGTCGACGTCGTTCCCCGCGTCCGCGGCGAGGGCGTTCAACGACCAGACCAACGCGTCCGATTTACCGTCGCCGCTCATCTTCCCCGACGCGTCCAGCATCGTGGTGGCGACGTACGGCAAGGTCTTGTTCAAACCCGCGGCGGACGCCCATGAATCCAGCGCCCCGGCTGCCGCGGTTCGGACCGAGGATTTGCTATCTCCGAACTGTTTTGTGATGTCGTTGACGAGGCCGTGGCCGTATCGTCGCTCGCCTACAGACGGACCCATCGCTTCCGCGACGTCGCCGCACAGTTTCAGAGCGTTCGTCGCGATGTTTCGGTTGCTATCTCCGAAGCGTTTCGCGATCGCGGGCATGAGCTCGCCCGTGTTCGGTCCGATCCTTTTGTTCGCCTCCGTGAGTATCCCGCCGACCGCTTCCACCGCCGCGGCGCGAACTTTCCAGCTCGGGTCGGACATTTGCTTGACGAGCTTCTCCGTGATCTTACTCGAGATGTCCGTGCGAGGGAGCCCGCCGTCGGAAGTGAGATCGACGGCGTCGCCGCCACCCTCGGGTGCGCCTTTGACTTTGCGCGTCACCTTCACCGCGGGTACCTCGCCCGTGAACGGGTTCCTGGCAAACTCCGCTTCCAACGACTTCAACTGCGCGTCCTTGAGGTCGGCGAGGAAGTTCGTCAACCCCGGCCCTAAGAACCCGTGCAACGCGCCGAGTACCTTCCCCGCGCTTGACTTACACAACGGGTTTGGCATCCCGAGGCATTCCTTGCACCACTTGATCGTGAACGCGACGTCGACGACGGACGCGCTAAACTCATTTACGACGGCGACGCACCAGGAGAGCGCCTCCGCGGTGACCTTCGGGTTCTTGTGTCCCGCCGTCCTCTTGTGAAGCTGCGCCATCACGAATTTCGGGCCTAAAGCCTCCGCGAGCGCGGTCAGTGCGTCAGACGCGGGCTTGCGAAGCTTCACGTCCGCGATCTTCTCGGCCAGGCCCGCGATCGCTTGCGCGCCGTCGCGTTTCGTACACGTCTCGGAATTCGTCGCGAGCGCGTTGAAAACTTCAAACACCTTGGACAAGACCTGAAAGTTCTTGTCGTCGAACCCGGGGAACATCGCGACGCCTCGGACGGTCGTCTCCGAGGCGCTCGTCGCGTCCGAGGGAGACATCGCGTTCACGGCGTCCAGCACCGCGGTCATCCCGCTGAGGCGTTTCTTCCAGTCCCCAGACTGAAGCTCGTCCACGGTCCCGGCGCCGTAGAGCGTCGTCATCCTCTCCACGAGCTCCTCCTTCGACGCCGCGGGCCCTTCGGTGACTTCTGCGTCCGCCTCGGAGGAAAACCCGGCGGAGTTTGACGGCTTCGAAGAGCTCGGCTTCGAACTTACACCCGGCGCGGCCGTGGACGGCCGTTTTAACGCGGACTTCCCCGGCCTGAACGGACCCGCGGTTCCAGGGCGAATCAACGCGCCGGTGACGCTCGACCGCACCACGTTGGGCGGCTTCGACGCCGCGGCCACGGTCTTCGTGCTCCCGACGTTCGGGTCGCGACCGCGCAGGGTTCCCTCGCCGCACCCGCCGCCGCCGCCGGAGCACAGCTCCTCGACTTTCGTTTTCTTCGCGTCGTCCAAGGTGTCGACGTGCTTCGCGACTTGCCTGAATCCGCCGGACGCGACCGCGATCGCGGCGATCGCCTCCACCGCGGTCGTCCTCACGTCCACGTTCCCCGCGTCCGCGCAATTGACGATCGAGGGGAGCATCGCCTTGTGCAGCGGCGTTATCGCAGCCCTGCCTCCTTTGCATTCGCGAACCGCGGCGGCGACGAAACGCAGCGTCTGCTCCGCGACTTTCGGAACTTTGTGACCCAACGCGACGACGACGTCGTCCGCGACGTCCGCGAGCGAGACGCAGTGATTCGCAAACTCCATCAGCGCGTCCTGGATCTTCTGAATCACCGTCGTGTTCTTGTCTTTGAGCTTATCGAGCATCCCGGGCAGCAGCAGCTTCGCCTCGCTTCTAAACTCTCTCCTCGCGCCGCGCGCGATGACCCCCGCCGCCGCCGCGGCTTCGCCGACGCACGCGATGTTCGCATCCTTCGTGATGACCTTCTTCAGCGCCCTCGCGAGATTGCCGTAGTCCCCCGCGGCGATTCGCGGGACGTCTGAAACCTCTCTCAGCTGCGTCAACGCGCCCAGGCGTTCCTTCCACTTCGCGCTGACAATCGCTTCCCAGAACCTCGGCTGCTCCTTATTCTCGGGCGCCTTCTCGAGCTTGTCGAGAATCGTCTCCGGGTCCGAGTACTCGTACGAGTCCGGCACCACGGCCGCGTCCTCCTCGGCGCCGTCGCCGCCCGCGGTCGCGTCGTCGTCCACGTCCATCGGATCGCTCGACGCGCCGGAGGCTTGTTCTTTTCGCGTGAACCGCGTCGGTCGCGCGGCGCCGGTCGCGTCTTCGGACTGCTGTTCGATCATCGCGCTCACCTCCGCTTGCATCGTCCCGCGCATCTTGTCGATGAGATCCCTTCGCACCGCGCCTTGACCGAGATACCGCGTGAGCTCGACGGTGAGGTCTTTCGCCGCGCCTCGGATCTTCGCGTCTTTGGAGTCAAACAGCGGCGCGATGCCCTTCAGGATCGGCTTCGGGTTCACCACCTTAGGGGTGCCAAACTCGCACACGACGGCGCGAATCGCGTCCGTCGCCGCGAGCGCGAGCTTCGGGACCTTGTTCGTCGTGCCCTTCAATAGCGCGTCCACGACGACGTCGGAGGCTTCGAGCTCGCACAGCAGCAGCGCGGTATTCGTCGCGCGTTCGACAGTTTTCGGGCGCCCGTTCATTCCTTTCGCGACTACGTTCGCCATCAACCCGGCCGCGTGTTTACTCGCGTAGTCCTCGTCCGCGACTTCGAGGAACGCGTTGATGGCGTCCAGGCCATTGTCGAGCGCGTTCGCGTTCGTATCGCCCGCGGCGTTCTTCGCGCATTCGCCTGGTGGAGAGGAGGGAGCGACGGGGGTCGTTGTTGTCAGATTCCGCGAGATTTTGAGATTTCCCCATCGACAGACGGAGACTCGGCGACACGGAGACCTGACGCCGCGCCGGGCTAGACGACGTCGGGTCGTCGCCCGCTACGCCGCGTCGAGCCGCTCGGTTGAACCTCTTCGCGACGACCGCGAGACGCGGGGGGCGAGAAGCGAGCGAAGGACCAGTCACGAGGTCGCGAATCTCGCGTACCGAAAGCTTTCAGGCACGGGGACGCGGCCACGCTCGACGCCGTCCGCGCCTCCTTCACGACCTCGGAGTACGCGGCGACGCGAGCTTTCCAGAACGAATGCTTGAACCGTTCATCCCACGGCTGCTTCTCCGCGGCGGCCAGCTTCGAGGCCTCGTCGTCGCCCGCCATGGTGGAGTGGCGAGACGGGAAGCGTGGCCGAAGTTTTTAAACGGGTAAGTGCTGCGATTTGGGCGGCACGGCGCGCTACGTGTACACGTACCGTGTACAGTACGTGTATGTTGGCGCGGCGGACTTCGGGGTGCGGTCACGCGCGCGTCGAGTAAACAAGGGATCTTTTGGACATTCACACCCTCGACCTATGCGTTGATCTTCTTCCTCGCGAGCTCCGCGAGGTATTTCGTGGGAACCCCGGTCCTCGAGAGCTCGTCGAGTTTCCGCTGCTTGATCGACTCGAGCCTCGCCTGCTCGTCCATCATATTTTTCCGCAAGCTGTCTCCCTCCTCGAGGAACTCTCTTCGTTCGTGCAGCCGCCTCTCCTCGTTGAAGTTGATCTGCGCCTGCAGCTCCTCTTTGTGCTGCTTGCGAAGCGCCGCCAGTCGCGCGCTCTGCTGCGCCTCCTCCTCCTCCTTCGCCATCTGCACGTCGACGACGCGGAAAAACTCGCTCTGGTCTTGCCTCGCCTGGTCGCTGAGTTGCTTCATCTTGAGCATCTTCTGGTGCTCCCTCGCGCGCGCGAGGTCTTCGTTGATCGCGCGGTTCCTCGCGACCGCGGCTCGTTCCTTCTCGCGGTACGCCCTCTCGTGCGCCTCTTGCACGCGCATCGCTCGCAGCTCGTCCATCTCCGCCTGCGTGTCCGCCTGCTTCTCTTGCTGCGCGCGCATGCGAACCGTCTCCATCTCTTTTTCGTGCGCGACGCGGTCGCGTTCCATCTGCTCCGCGAGCTCTCTCGCGTCCCTGTCCGCGATGTACTGCGCGATGCGCTCCTCCTCGTCCCTCTCGGCCTGGATGATGAGTTTCTTCCGTTCGATCTGCGCGGCGTTCGCTTTCGAAACCTCCGCCAAGAGCTTCTTCCCCATGTCGCGTTTCCTCTGCGCCTCCGCCGCGGCTTCGTCCTTCACTCTTTGAATCTCCGAGAGCATCTGCTTGCGATCGAGGTCGAGGAGCTCCTCCTCCCTCGCGCGCTCTTTCGCCCTGTCCTCGATCTGCTTGCGAAGCACCGCGGCGCCTTTCATGCGATCCTCCGCGCGTTGCTTCTCGCGTTCTTCGTACACGTCGAGCGCCTTCATGCGTTCGATCTCCATCATGAGATCCATCCGTCGCTCCTCCTCTTGCGCCTCGGCTAAGATGTGTTTCTTCTCCTCGAGCTGCGCGTCTCGGATCGTGACGCACTTGGAGTACAGCATCATCTGGTTCATGTTCTTCACCTCGTCCAGGGCTTCTTCGCGTAACAACTCCGCTCGGTTCAGCGTCGACTGACTCTTCGCCGCCGCGATCACCTCCGTCTCGGAGGGTTCTTTCCCTTTCGACGCGCCGCCTCGCCTCGCCTCCATCGTGGACATCCGCTCGCGCATCTGCTTCGACTTCATGAGCTCCAGCTCCTTCTCCGCCTGCCGCTCCGCTTTGATCGCGCTCACCTCGTGCGGGGTCAACACGGACGCGGGTTTTCGCATTCGGTCGATGTCGTTCGAGGAGAGGACGAGGTAATCCGACCCCGCGGACGACTTCGTCGACTTCGCCGCGCTCGACGCGGTGGACGGCTTCGCGGTCTTGCGCTGGAACGAGTTCGTGGACGCCGAGGAGGACTTCTTCGTCCCGAAAAGGGACTCGTCCACGCTCGACGGCTTGCTCCTGTACGTGGAGCGCAGGTTCGGCTGCGACGAAATTGGATCGGGGGGGTTGCGCGTCAGTTCGTCCTTCTCGAGCGCGCGCGGGTCGACGCGCGGCGTGGCGGCGGCGGCACGAGCGGGCGCGGCATCGACGCGAGGCGCGCGTGCGTCGTTCTCGAGCGCTCGGACGGGACGGCGGTGGAGCGACGATCGTCTCTCGCGGGGGGGTAAAAAAAGCAAACGGGTCGCTGCTGAAATACTGTAATGCCGCATTTTCGCGGCGACCGAGCGGGAGAGGGCGCGCACCATGCTCACGCCGTCGAAGTTTCTACCCCTCGCGCGGCCGCCGAGTCAGCGGGTGTTCGGTCCGATGTACCGAGCGGTGACCTTTGAGACGCGCGGCGTGCTTCGACGACGCGTGGACCGCTGTGTCGCCGGTCGTGTGTGCGTCCGGGAGAGCCGCAGCGGACGGTTTTGGTCGCCGGCCTCGATCGATCGAGTCACGAGAGCGAGAGTCGCGCCCAGGCCTTGAACGAGAATGTCGTCGTTTCCGGCGAGTCCGGGCCGACGCGCACACGTCGTCGCGTCGCGCCCGTATCCGCGTTCGGGGATGCGACGCGGCGTGTCGAGCGTCTTCGCGACGCGATGGGAGAGCCTGAGGGATGACGAGCGCCGCGAGCTGGCGGAGATGAGGGTGCGGCACGCGGCCGGCGTCGAGAGGTTGTCTTCTCGTTGCATCACCGCCGCGCTGGGACTGCGAGCCGACCGAGAGCCGTCCGCGAAGATGCAAGCGCTCGGTCACCTCGTGAAGGCGAAGATGGCGTCCGGAGAATTCGCCGCGGCGTGGGAGGCGAGAAACGCGGCGAACAAAGTCGCGCTCGAAGAGAGACTGCGCGCGGAAGACGCGGTGTTGGAGTCGTCTGCCGCCGTCGAGAACGTGCAGCATTTGCTCGCGCAGCAGGAGGACGAGCTCGACGAGCTGAGGCGCCGCCAGCGCGCGCGACGGACGCGATTGGAACGCGAGGAAAAGAAAGCGACAGAGGACCAGAACCGCCGCTGGAGAGAGCGCGCGGGCGCGGGGGCGACCGTCGACCGCGCGTTCGCCGCGTCGGCGTCGACTCGTCATTGTCATTCCCCCCCGGAGACGGCGACGCCGAGGGACGAAGACCGCGGCGGCGCGCCCGCGTGGGCGGAGACCCCGGCGACGCCGCACTTCGCCACGCCGGGTGAAACGCGCGTGCCGACCAAGACGCGACTCCCGATGACGCCGCCGCCGCCGCCACCGCCGTCGCCGTCGCCGTCGAGATCGCGCGCGTTGGACGCGTTTCTTCGCGCGTCCGGTCGCGACGCGGCGGAGACGGCCGCCGCGCCCGCGTCGTCTCCGGGCGGCGCCGCGGGGGCGATGGCGGCCGGGTTGATCTCGCGCGTCGGCGACGCGCGCGCGGCGTCGAGTCGTCCTCCGTCGGAGAGGGCCGCCCTCGAGCGAGCGCCCGCGGCGGCGCCGGTCGTCGCGTCCGCGTCGCCGCCGCCGCCGACGACGACGACGCGGCCGAGTCCGTCGCCGTACGCGTTCGGGAGCCGTCCCTCGTGGACGCGCGCGCCTCGAGCGCCGGTGTACGAACCCCCCGAGGCGCGAGCGCGTCCGGTGCCCGTCGTGGAGCCGGACCGGAACCCCCGCCCGCTTCAAACGCGGCCGGAGAACGTGCCGCCGTTAAACTTGAGCCTCGCGCTGACGCGGGAAGAGACGCGCGCGAAGACGTTCGCGAGGGCGAAGACGCCCGAGACCAGGGCCGCGGCCGTTCACGCGTACGGCGACGGCGTCACGCGCGGGTTCTCCGCGTCGGACGGGCGCCAACGCGGCGCGGAGTTGACGTCGCCGTGGGGTTCGAAGACCGCGTGGACGAGCGGTCAAGTCTTCATTCGCGGCGACGCGAGCGAGAACCAAAAGTCGCGCGGCGGCGACGACGACGCGGGGTCGGGGTGGAGCGACGACGATAGCTCGACGACGACGGTCGACGAGGGCGACGACGCGGTGTGGGGTAAATCGAAAGGGGCGTTTAGAAGTAGAGTACTCGAGAAGGGCGGTCGCGTCGGCGGGGTTGACATGCGTCGCGTCGGGGCGGCGAGCGAAGACGGCGGCGACGGCGACGGCGGCGACGGCGGCGACGCGTCGGAGGATGCGGAGGAGGGCGGCGCGCGCGGTCGACGACCGACGGGCTCGTTCGCGGCGCAGAGAAGGGCGCCTCGCCACGGAGTGCACCTCCCGTCCGCGGTCGAACTGAACACGCCGTTGAAGGTGCAGACGTGATAGAGTAGCCGGACGTCCGTCGAAAGTAGACACGCGCGTCTGTCCAGTACAAGTACTGTAGCCCAAGAGATTTTGCTGTTTGGTCGCGTCTCGCGAGGCGCGCGTCGCGCTCGACGCGAATCCAAGTCCAGGTTCCTTTCCCTCGATATTAATGTGGACCGCAATTGGTCTCCGCCACACACAGCGTCCGCGCCAAATGACGCGCCGTTCGTCCGCCGCACCGGGGGCGGCGACGCCGCCGTCTCGCCAGCTGTCCGACCTCGTCTTAGATTCCATGATGTCCGGCGCGAACAAGTACTCCGCGGAAGAGTTCGCGAGCATGATGCAAGCGAAGCTCATTTCCGCAGTCGACGCGGGCCCCGCGGCTCATCAAACGGCGCCCCCCGCGGAGCGAGGCACGGGCTCCGCGGGCCGCTCTCGCCGCGGGAGCGCCGCCGCGCCCGCTGATCCCGCGCCGACGATGGACCAAGTCTGGTCGAACATCAGCGGAGGGAGCGGGCCTTCCTCGGGCGCGGCGGTGGAGGCGCCGATCGGGACCCTTCGATCCCGCTCGCTCGGAAGAGGGGTCAGCACGGGGCTGTCCCTCCCCCAAGTCTTTGGCAGCGGCGCGATGCCGTCGCTGCCCGGCTTGCTCACGCAGGGCTCGATCGAGCGCCTCGTCTCGCTGCACGGCGACGGTTCCAGGAAGAACGCGGGGGAATGGCTAGAGCTCTTGATGTCGAACCAAGGAAGCGGCGGCGGCGGCGGCGGCGGCGGCGACATCCAGCCGACGCTCTCGGCGACGATGGCGCTCGAGACGACCGCGCGCGCGATGTTCGGCAGCGGCAGGGTCGCGGCGACGAAGAAGACGACGGCGGCGCCAGCGGCGACGAAGACGACGGCGGCTGCGCTCGCCGCTGCGAAGAAGGCGGTCGCGGAGAAGCCGGCGGCGCGGGGGACGAAGCGCGGGCGCGGCGCCGCGGCGGAGCTTCCGGTCATCACGCTCCCGCCGAAGAAGAAGGGACGCAAGAAGAAAGGGGAGGTGGACATGGAGACGGAGGAGGAGAAGGAGCTGAGAGCGCTGGAGCGACAGCGTAAGAATCGCGAGTCCGCGGCGCGCTCGCACCAGAGGAAGGCGAAGCAGACCGAGGAGCTCACTCGCGAGCTGAGCGCGGCGAGGAAGAAAATCCTCGCGCTCGAGCGCACGGTCTCGACGCTGAGGAAGGAACTCGGGCGCGGGTCGGGGAGCGTCGGGAGCCCGCGCAGTCCGAAGAGCCCGAAAGGGGTGAGTCGCCAGGCGTCTGGGAGATCCGCGGGGGGGAAGTGACGAACGATAGCCATTTAATTCACGTATAACTCGTAAGGACCGCGAGCCACCGCCGCGGGCGACCGCTTCCACCGTTCACGCGAAGACGCACCCGGCCGATGAGCGCGCTTCCAAATCGGGGCACGAGTTCGGTAAGAACTTCGCTCTCGCCTCACACTCCGTGGGCGGCGCGACGAGGGAGGGTCGTCGCGGTCGATACGCGTCACCGCGGCGACAGAGCGACGTCAAGGGCGGTGGCGTCGGGCGGATACGCGCGGCTTCATGGTCGTCCGCGCTCCCGACCACCGACGCGCGAGCGACGGCGGGAGCGCGTCGACGCAATCTCGACTGGAAAGCGGTGCGTCGAAGCCACATGCGGCGCAGGCGCCGCTGACGGGATACGGCGGCGGGCAGTTTCGACTCGCGGAGGGCGCGATGCCGCGTCTCCGCGGAATCGACCTCCCCGAGCTCCTCAGCGTCCAAGGCAGCGGCATGCGAGGCGCGGGCCTGAAGCCGAGCGCGCGCGCGTCGAACGCGAAACCGCACGCGGACGCCGCGGTCCATCCCCGGATCAGAGCCCCCGCGGCGGCTCAACCAAAGGCGCCGCCGCGAGCGCACGCGGGTGAGCCCAGACGTCCACAGCAGCAGCACGTCTCGGAGCACGGCAGGCGCGTCGTCGCGCCGATCGTCGCGAGAGGGCAGGGCTTCGGCGGAGGCGTCAGCGTCATGAACGTGCAGTTTCCCGCGAACGCGAGTCGCGGCGGCGCGGACGAGCGCGAGTGGGATCGACGCGGTGGTCCAGGAGCCTGCCCTGGCGGTGGGGCGCTGACGAGAGGCGACGCGCGACGCGGTGCGGGGTATCCAAACGCCGCGAGAGGAGGAAGGCACGCCGCGCTGAGACGACCGGCGTCCGCGCGGCGACGGCGGCCCGACGCGACGGACCGCGCGAGAGAAGACGCGAGCCGCGGCGTCGGCGGCGACGACGCGCGACTGCGACAGCAGCGCGCCGCGGAGCTCGGTCGGATCATGCGCGCTCGGGACGAGGCGAGGAGACGAGAGAGAGAGACGCACGCGAGGGACGCGCTGCAGGTGGCGATCGCGAGCGTCGGCGTCGCGAGCGACGAGGACGCGTTAAGCGCGCTCGAGGACGCGACGAGGGGGGCGAAAGCGGCGGGGATATCCGGCGCGGGCGGCGCGGATTTGCTCTCGCAAGCCGTGGACGCGGCGCGGGGGATGAAGCGAAGGGAAGCATTCCGGGTCATCCTGCGCGCGGCCGTGGAGAGAGACGAGCGCGGCGACGGCGAGACGTCGCCGTCGTCGCTGTTGACGCGCGCGGAGGCTCTCGGGTTCCGGGCGGACGACCCCGAGGTTGTCGCTTTGGAGGATATCGTGCGCCGCCGTATGGCCGCCGCACGCGATAGTCGCGCGGAGCATCGCGATAGGGAGATGACGGACGATCGACTTGCTGCGCAGGAAACGACGTCGACGGCGTCCGAGGAGGACGAGCGTCGGGGCGTCGACGAGAAGAACGCCGCCGCCGCCGCAGCCGCCGCCGCCGCGCCGCAAGGCAAGAGGCGTGTCCTTCAAGGAAATCTAGAGGTTCAGGCGATAATAGGCGAGGGCGCGTACGGCGTCGTCCTCAAGTGTCACAACTTGCAGACGAACGAAACCGTCGCGGTGAAGGAGTTTAAAATCAACTCGGACGACCCGGACGTCGAGGAAGTGAAGCGGACGTCCACGCGCGAGGTTGAGATTTTGCGAAACTTGAAGCACGAGAACATCGTGAGCCACCTCGGGGACTTTTACGTCGGCGAACGGCTGTACGTCGTCATGGAGTACGTCCCCAAGACGCTGCTCGAGCTTCTCGACGAATGCGGTGGGCGCGGTCTCAGCAAGGAGTTCGTCAAGTCGTGCATGTTTCAGCTGTGCAAGGCGATCACGTTTATTCACGGCGGGAAATACGTGTACCGAGACGTGAAACCGGAGAACGTCTTAGTCGACCCCCACGGCGTCGTGAAGCTGTGCGACTTCGGGTTCGCGAGATCCGTGGAAGGGAACGGCGAGGACGGCGTGTTGACCGACTACGTCGCGACGCGGTGGTACCGCGCCCCCGAGCTGTTGTTGGGTCCTCCGTACGACAACTCCGGGGAGTCCGTGCGCACCAAGTACGGACCCGGGGTCGACATGTGGGCGATCGGGTGTCTCATGTGCGAGCTCACGGACGGCGAGCCGATATTCCCCGGGGACTCGGACATCGATCAGCTGATTCGCATACAGCGGTGTTTAGGCAAGCTCACCCCCGGGCAGATGATGGCGTTCAGCGTCAACCCGAACAACGCCGGGGTGAACTTCGACGAGCTCCCGCCGCACGACCCGGAGGACGGCTTGGTGGGGAGATACGCGGGGGTGATGGACGACGTCGAGCTCGAGTTCATCACCGGGTTGCTGTCCGTGAATCCTCGGGAGCGGTTCACGGGGGCGATGTGCTGTAGGCACGAGCTGTTCGCGGACATCGCGGAGGCGAGAGCGTACGTCAAGGTTCTCGACGAGGGAGGGTTTTGAAGGCGTTCGTTCAACGGAGGAAGAATACGTAGTTGATTCTTCACAACTTGTCACTCTGCCCGTCTACGCCGTATCGCTCCTGCAAATCTTTAATCTCCTGCTGCTTCTTCGCGAGGTCGTTCTGTTGCCTCTTGTTCATCCGCTGCGGGTTGTAGTACAGACAAATCAAATACCGGTTCGCGACGTTGAATCCGGAGAGATGGTCGACGGCGTTCTTGGCGTCGTAGATGTCCTCGTACACTACGTACGCGGTGCCTCGCGTCTCCTTCGTGTTCCCGATCCGCACCTGCCTCAGCGCGCCGTACTTCCCGAATATATCGAACTGTCGGGGAGAAGAGAGGAGCAAGGGAGGTAACGACGTGAGCGGTGGGTTCGAGGCGCGAAGGCAAACGAGACGAGCTGAGGGAAAAGATAAATCGGGAATCGCGCCGAACGTGGGCCGGGTCTGCGCGCGCACCATTTCCTCGCTGCTGATGTTGAAGGGCAAGTTCCTAACGTACACCGCACGGTTGACCTCTGGGGGCAGCCGCGCGTTTCGTCGATTGCTCCCAGCGGCTTCCATTGCGGCCGCCATCGTAGATCGCCTGCTCGCGCCCCTAAAATCCGTAATTTATCGGCCGCTGGAGATTACCAGATCACGAGCTCGAGTCCGCGCTCCGCTGATCCCGGGTCTGTCTAGACCACCTGCCGTGCTACGTCAGGCGATGAGCCTCTCGCGAGCGTCGGACGGAGACGAGGACGGCCGACGACTTCTGACCGTGCGGCGTCCTGTGATGGAAGTTTTACTATTCTGAGGTTTCCTGGTCCTGTCAGATCTTTCTTTCTTCCTGTCCTCTGACTCACCTTCGACCAGTGCGAAGAGCGAGGCGAGGGCGACGGGAGCCGTCATGGGGCGAGGTCGTTCGGCGTCATCGACGGCGTCGCGCTCGCGCTCGCGCTCCCAATCCCGGGAGAGGAAGGACAGGAAGCGTCACCGTCGGAAATCGTCCTCCAAGCATCACCGGAAGCATCGTCGGAAGCATAAGAAGAGTCGGCATCGATCGTACTCATCCTCGTCCTCGCGCAGCCGCAGCCGCAGCCGCAGCCGCGACCGCGAGGGTGGGCGCAAGGACCGTAAGCACGAGGACACGTCCAGATCGCGGTCGCGGAAGCGGCGTAAGACGCGATCGCCCGAGCGCGCTCGCTCACGAACGCGATCCCCCGAGACGAACAACGACGATCCGCGATCGAACGACCGCGCGCGCGGACGCTCGCGCAGCAGAGATCGCGGGGCTTCCGGGAACGCGCGCGCGTTCTCGCGGGATCGACGCGAGAGCGACGGGCGCGATCGACGCGGGGACCGAGGCGGAGGAGAACGAGGACGCGGACCAGGTCGCGGCCACGACGAGCGAAGACGAGACGATTCCCGCCAGCGCGGCGACCACCGAGGCGACCACCGAGGCGCCGCGCACGAGCAGCGGCGGGGCCCGAGCGATCACCACGACCGCGGCGGACACCGCGGCAGCACCGGGTTCGGGCGCGCGGCGGACATACCGCGTCGACCAGGGGAGCACTCGAGGAACCCGCCCGAGAGACTGGGACCGAACTCGGTCGGGTATCCGGGCGGCGGCGCGCGCGGGCGGTCGCCCCCTCGCGCGCCGCGAGAGCCTCCGCGCGCGCCCGGCGGCGGCGGCGGTGGCGGGAGCGGCGGCGGCGGCGGCGGCGCGGGATGGGACAAACCGACAGTAGGCACGAGCGGCGCCGCGTTCAAAGCGACGGGCGAGGAGGACGGCGCGAACCTCGTGTACTACAGCGCCGAGCTCGACGGCGCCGCCACGCCGTGCTGGGCAGCCGCGGCGGACCGCGACGCCGCGGGCGACGCCGCGGGCGACGCCGCGAGCGCGACGACGAACGCCGCGAGATGGGGCGCGTACCCGGCGTGCACGTCGGGATTAGGAACGGAGATCCTGGACTTCATCGCGTACTGCTCCCCGGACGCGGACGAATTGAAAGCGCGGTACGCCGCGGTGCTGCGGCTCGACCGGCTCGGAAAGAGGCTGTGGGGCGAAGGCGCGGAGGTGGAGTGCTTCGGCTCCACGAAACACAAGATGCCGTTGTACTACAGCGGGATAGACATGCGGATCAAGACCACTGGAAAGTACGAGCATCTCCCCGAGTGCCAGGGCATCACGCGGCTGGGCACGGAGATCATGGAGCAGGCGTGGGCGACGGACGTGGACCCGCGCGTGACCGGCCGCGTGCCGATGATTTCCTACGTCGACCGCGCGACGGGGCTGAAGTGCAAGGTGTGCGTCGGGAACCGGCAGACCGTCCGCGGGACGTCGTTCTTCAACACCCCGATGATCCCGCTGTCCGCGAGATTCCCGATGTTCAAGCTTCTCATGCTCCCGCTGAAGTGCGTGTTCACCCAACGCGGTCTCGAGAAGTCCTTCGGCGGCGGTTTAGGGACGTTTCGCGTCGGGATGTTGCTGTTGAACTACTTCGCGATGCACGTGCCGGTGAGCACACAGCCGCCGACGCCGGAGACCTTGGGCGCGGCGCTGATCGGATTTTTCAGGTACTACGCCGGAGAGTCCCCGGACGCGACGTGCGACGCGCACTGCGCGCCGTGGCAGCGATGGAGCGCAAACTACGAGGCCGCTTCAGAATTTTACGTCCTGGGCGTGCAGGTCGACTTCGGCGGGTGCGCCATGGGCGAGGTTCAGATGGTGTTGAAGGCGTGCGCGAACGCGCTGCAGGCGGCGCGACCGAACGCGAGCACTCGCACGACGATCCTCTCGCGGCTCATCGACGACACGATCATAGCGGACGCGCGCGAGGGCGCGCGGCGGCAGTCGCGCGCGAGAGAAAACGCGTTGTCGGCGGAGGCAGCGGCGGCGTTGCCGGCGTCGTTCGTCCCGGAGCGGCGGACGACGTTCGTGTCGGACGCGCCGCTGCCGACGCTGCCGGCCGGGGGCGACGCGACGGGGGGCGACGCCATCGGCGGACCGAAAGGCGGCGGACCGAGCGGCGCGGGCGCGGACGTGCCGTCCACGTGCGTCAACCTGAAGAACATGTTCGACCCGGCGCACGCCTCGCGGGACGCGTCCGTCGTCTCCGAGGTGCACGAGGACGTTCGCCTGGAGTGCGGGAATCACGGCGTGGTGACGCACTCCGCGGTGGATAAGAACAGTCAGGGGTTCGTGTACGTCAAGTTCGACACGGTTCAAGCCGCGACGGAGGCGCGGAGGACGCTCAACGCGCGCTGGTTCGCGGGGCGGCTCGTCACGTGCGACTTCATCGCGGAGGACGAGTACGACGCCGTCGTGAAGTCGTTGTCGTGAGCGCACGCGACCGAAGCGTTGTCTTTAGATCGTCGCGCGTTTACTACTACCATCACGTCTACTACGCTTCCACAGCCTTCTGCAACGGAACAAACTCCCCGCTCATCTCGGACGCCATGATGTCGAGCGCGACCTCGCACGACTCCGCGACGATGCGGTCGGCGTCGGCGCGGTACGTCGCGAGCAGGCTCTCCGTGTCCGCGGCGGCGATCGATCCGATCGCCTCCGCAGCCTCGTGCCGCACCATCGGGTGCTCGCTCGCGTCCATGAGCGTCTGCCTGAGCGCGTCCCTCGCCGCGGCGCCTTTCTCCTGGATCTGACCCAACACGTAGCACACCTCGTGCTTCAGGAGCGCGCTGCTCGATGACGCGAGGACGGCGCCGAGCGTGGCGGCGACGTCCGGCGCGGGGCCTCGGTTCCTCAGCGCGAACATCGCGCCGTAGCGATCCCACATGTCCGCGCTCTCGTCCAACAGCACGCGCGTCAGGGTCTCCATCGATATCGACAACGACGCCGCGGGGACGGGGTCCACAGACATGTACGGCGAGTCCCCGTTCGCCGCGTCGCCGCCCTCCGCGCCGGCGGCGCCGGCGGAGAGTTTTTCCTTCGCGGATCCCAACTTTTCCCCCGGCGGCGCGCGCGTCTCCGACTCCGCGGCGGCGATAGCGGCGGCGGCCGCCGCGTCTGCGCGCGCGGAGTGCGCGTGCTTAAGTCTCTGCAGCGCCAACACCGCGGTCTCGCGCACGACCTGGCACTCGTCCTCGCTCGCGGTCCTGAGCGCTTCCGCGCACTCGTCCGACGCGATCGCCCCGAGCGCCTCCGCGGCCTCGTGCCTCACCATGCTGTGGTCGCTCGCGTCCTCAAGAACCTCCTTCAGCTTCGGCACCGCGCGAGTGGCTTGCATCTGACCCAGCGCGAACGCGACCTCGTGCCGGAACAGCGCGCTCGGGTCCTTCAGGCCGTCCAGCAGCGCGTCCACGGACGCGTCGCCTCCGATGCTTCGCAGCGCGAAGAGCGCGCGGAACCGCCTCGGGATGGGCACGGACGCGTCAAGGAGCTCCGCGCGGAGGTCCGGGACGCTCATCTCCGACGCGATCGAGCGGCTACGCGCGCGGGGATCGCCGTGAGGAGTGCGCGCGCGCGCGCGAGGAGTGGCGGGAGGCGTGACGTGTCGCTCTGCCAGTCTAGTGGGAAAATTCTGGAAATCCTCCGTCAGTTCCGAGCGCGCGAAGCAGCTGACCCGAGGACGGCGGGATGAACTCCTCTCCTTTTCGTTGACGAGATGGACGGCCGCGCGAATCACGGGCTCGATCCTTGGGACTTTAAGCACAGCGGGAAGATCGCGACATTCGCCGAGGACGACCCGTTCGAATGCCACGCGATCTCCGTTTCCAACGACGGAACGAGGCTCGCCGCTGCTGGGGCCAGTCCACGGTCCCCCGCCGCCGCGGTGGCGAGGATTTTTAGCGTCCGTGCGAGGGAGAGCTCTCTCGAGGCGACCATCACAGCGGAGGGCGCCATAGGAGCAACCTCCGTTGCGCTGTCGCGCGATGCTGTCTTCCTCGGCTGCGCCGATGGCTCGCTCTGGAGTTTCGACTTCCCCACCGGCGTGCTCACCCGGCACGAGCCGCACCCCGCGTTGGCGGCGCTCCCGCGACGCCGACGCCCGATACGGAACCCGTTCGCATCCGGCGACCGAGAGCCGCGGTCGATCCGGCGCCTGATTTTCGTCGGCGACGGCCACCTCGTGGGGTCCGTGAGCAATCACGGCGTGCTTCCGGTGTGGGGGCGCGCGCGGGAGCGGGACGCGGCACCCGGGGAACTCCCCGACGCGTCGCCGTCCGCGTTTCACGACGACCCGTCGTTCTCGAAAGAAGACGGCGCGTTCATTCACCTCGCCTCGCACGGTGATTTCTTATACAGCACGTCGATCGACGCGAAAGGTTTGAGGGCGTGGAGTTGCGATTCCATCGGCGGCCGTCTGTGGGAGTCCGAACGCCTCGCCGCGGGGCGGGGCGTCCACCTCGCCGGAATCGCAGTCCTACCGCGCCGTGAGGTCCCGCCGTTGATCGCGACGTGTGTTTCGTCGTTAATACGCGGCACGTCGTATGCGGAACCGGACACGACGTTGAAGATCGCGCTGGTCGATGGTGATTCCGGCAGAGAGCTGCGGCGTTACGCGGTCGAAGGGGTCGGCGCGACGAACCGCTTCATAGACTGCTCCTCACTCACGGGCGGGGGAGGCGGCACGTTGCTCTTTCTCGCGCACAAGGACGGGTCGATATGGATTCACGCCGCGAGGAACGGCGCGCAGGTCGCCGCGCTGCACGGTCACGCGACGTGGTCAGGGACGTCCGGGCATCACCGCGTTCTTCCCACGTGCGTCGCGGCCGGAAGCGACGGCGAGTTTTTTTATTCCGCGACGACAGACGGAAAGGCGGTGCATCGGTGGACGGTCGGCCCGCCGCGGGTTTGGTCGCGAGACACGCACGCGCGGTTCCCCTCCGCGTTCAAGGCGACGGTGCGCGCGCTCGTGACGGCGGTGCACGCGCGGGAAGCGCGCGGCGGCGGCGGCGGTGGCGGCGGCGCGTCTGTTCTCGCCGCCGCGGCCGGCATCGACGGCGAAGTTTCCGAGGACGGGTCCGGCGCGCCCGCGCTGTGGGGGAAGGGCTTCGCGGAGCTTTGCGCCATCGAGTCCGGGATTTTAGATCTAGTGATCGGCGGAATAGCCGCACTCGCGTACGGATGCGAGCCTGGGATAGGAAAAGAATTATAGTCTAGCTAGTACGGACACGCTGTGTCTCTCGTTCAAATCTACGCCCTGCTGACAGAGCTACCGACGGTGGAATCCAGGTATTTCCGCAAGCGCGTCACGTTGTGCGCCTGCTTCGGCGCGACCAAGTTCACGACCCACGCGGGAAGGGAGCCTTTCGGGTCCGCCTGTAAAACGAACGCGATCTTCGACCCGCCTTGGCCGTCCTCGAAGACGTAATATCCAGACGTCAGCACAGCCCCGCGGACGTGGCCCTTCACGCACTCCGGCACGTCCTCGTCGCCGTCGTTCACGCTCTGTCCCATCACGAGCACGCTCCCGGTGGGCAAGCGCATCGCGACCTGGTCCCACACGAAGTCGCGGTCCGGGACGATCGAGGGCAGACGAAACGTCCCGTGAAGCAACGCGTGCCCGGGTAAGTCCTTGAACTGGCCATCTTTGAACTCCGCGCGTATCGACGTCTGCGCCAGCGCGCTCGTTTGCGACGACGGCAGCTCCCCGAGCGCGGCGACCGCGCCTTTATCCCCGGCGTGTTTCTTGATCAAACCTTCGATCTTCTGCCCCCCGGGCGAGCGTCGAATCTTGTTCAGAAGCGACACCGCGAACTCTTTCGGATCCGTCGGCCCCACCCTCTCTTTTCCGCCGATGGACAACGCGGCGAATTTACCGAGCTTGTGAAGCCGCTCCCCGGTCGCATCTAAGCCCAAGCCTTGCCCGCCAATCTTCACGACGGACCCTTCTTTGAACATGTCGTCCAAGATTGTGAAGTGTTTCTTGAAGTTTTGCGGGTCGCTGAAGAAACCGAGAACTTCCTCGGGGGACGCCTCCGTCCTCGTCACGCCCATTATTCTGTGTATGCGCTCCCCGGGGAGCTTGAAGATGTCCGTGCCGTTACTCGTCGTGGAGTGCTTCCATTCTTTGCTCGTGAGCATTCCGAAGAACTTCGTCACGATGTCGCGCTCGACCTCGTCTACGCGGGACACGTGAGCGAGCTCCGTCTCCACGGACGCGCAGATGTCCCCCTGAGAAGATTCAGCGTCAGCAACGGCACTTTCTAGTTCGCGCGCGGAGAGAAATCCTACGGGCGCGGAAGCGAGCGCGGGACGCGAGCGCGCGAGTGGTGACGAGGGGAGAGAAAAGAGGACGGAGAGAGAAAAACTCACGTGTTCGAACATCGCGCTGGAGTGCCGCTAGCGTGCCGCGGCGCGCGCCTTAAATGCTTTTTCGCACACGATATGAACGCGAGAAATCTTTTTCACGCGTTCTGACGAACTGAAAGAGATCCGCCACTTCTGAGATCGTTCACTCGAGACCGCACGTGTGACTCCGTCCGCTTCGCCTCCCACAGCGGCTTCTGCGTGTCCGAGGGTGACGACACGGGAACTCTGCAAAAATGGTACGTACGATCGCACGCTTTGCTCTGTCCCCCCATTCCCACGCGGATCTCGTCGCGCGGTGCCCATTTTTGACGTCCTCTCTGTTTTTTCGCCCCCGCACAGATGATCAAGGTGAAAACCCTGACGGGTAAGGAGATCGAGATCGACATCGAGCCCACGGACTCGATCGAGCGCATCAAGGAGCGCGTCGAGGAGAAGGAGGGGATTCCTCCAGTCCAGCAGCGGTGCGCGAGACGCCCGCGTCCAGTTTCTTTCGTTTGATTCCCGGACCGATCTCAAAGCTGACGAATCTCTCCCCCCAACATCTCCAACGCAGGCTGATCTTTGGAGGTAAGCAGATGAACGACGATAAGATCGCCAAGGATTTTAACATCGAAGGTGGGTCGGTGCTTCACTTGGTTCTCGCCCTTCGCGGAGGGCGGCTTTAGACTATCTAGAAAGGTGAACGCGACGAGGGCGCTGGCGCTGTAAAAACACGCGAAGACGAGCGGCGTGAAACGAACGAAACGAACGATCGAATTATGTAACGCCCCTTCTCGTATAAACAACATCGGACAAAAGCTAATAAGCTCGCGCGTCGCGTCGCGACTCGAACTCTGTCTGCGACATCACTCCTTGAAAAACATGTAACGAAGGATGATTTCTTCAGCGCCGATTAAAGGTTTCGCGAGCTCGTCCTGCACCTTCTTGACCGTCCCTCTCGGGCAGTTGACGTGGATCATGTACTGATGAGAGTCCGCGAACCCCTTGATCTCGTACGCGTTCGTGACCAGACCCCGATCCGTGACTTCAAACTCCGTGGAGCCGCCCTCCGCGAACATCGAGCGAAGCTTGTCGACCTCAGCGGCGCGCACGGAATCCTCGACGCCGGGTTTCATGAGGAAGAGCGCCTCGTACCTCGCGGGCGCGGCGGCGTCCTTCACCGCAGCCACCACCCGCATGCCCTTCCGGTTGCGTCCGAGGACCACCGGGGATCGCGCGGATACGCGCGCGCCTGTGAGGGAGAATTCATGGTGGATGGACGTGTGAGAAGAAAAGGACCTCGCGGGCTCGGGCGTGGTAGCGCGCGCGAGCGCGCGGACGACGACGCGAAAATTCGAGAGGCCGCGCGACCGCGAATCGCGCGCGCGATCGCGGGCGAACGCACGCGCGTTCGCGAGCGAACGCGGCCGCGGGGAAAGTCCCCAATCGAAGCTCGTCACTTCGACGACTTTGGGAGTGGATAAAGAAAGGGCTGCGATGACGTCGCGCGCGTCGAGCGCGGGACGCACCGCGGGTCGCCGCCCGGGAGGACACGGCCGGAGCCGTGGCCGTCAGACTCATCAAGGAGGTGGCCATTTTCGTTCTAGCGTGGAGTTCAGACCTCGCGTGCCGTGCGCGCGGTCAGGAGTGCGTCTGGAGCCGCGCGGTGCGTCGGCCAAGAACCTAAACCCTTAATTCCTCCGTGCGCGAGCCGCCCTCGCCGTACGTTTCTTTCATTCGTATGCGCGCTAGTCACGAAAAAACACGATTTTGTACACGTACGCGTGCACTTCGCCTCGGCGCGGCGCGGCGGCTTTTTCCTGCGCTTTTCACCTCGAGACCTAACCGCCGCGCGAGCACAACCACGGCGCAGCGGGGGCGTCGGACACGAAAGGACCGGCTCGCGTCGATTTCGTTCCGATCGTTCAGGTCGCGCTGATTCGGATCGGTGAGTATGGCGTCGTCGCTCGCGTCTGCGATCGGCGCGGCGCGCGCGGCGCCGTCGATCCGCGACAATCGAGGGATTGAATATGCGAAAAAACGAGCGTCGATATCCCGGCGGCGCGTTCTCAGCAGGGCGAAGAGGGACATCCCGGACGACGTCGGATTCAACTACGACGAGTTCGACGACTTCGGTAACACGGAATCGGGCGCGTCGACGCGATCGGGGGACGCGACGGACGCGAAGAAAGGCGGGAAGAAGGCTGGGAGTCAGGACGAGGACGGATCTGAATTCCGTTGGGCGGAAGTCGAGCCTCCCCCGGACCCTCCGCCCGGGAAAATACCGGGGATCGGCGTGGAACTGCCGGACGCGCTGTCGTACTTCTCTCCGCTCGCGAGGAACCGCATCCCGGAAGCGGAAGCGCTCGAGCTCCAGCGCGCGTGGGCGAGGGCAGTGTTCGAGGAGGAGGGAGAATTACCCTCCCGCCGGGGTAACTTAATCACGGACCCGGATACCGGGGAGGCACGGGAGATGACGAAGAAAGAACACGCGGCGCTGCTGGACGACTACTTCACCGAGCTCGCGCGGAGGGAGAAGACGTACCCGCAAGTTTTAGCGAGAGAGCCCGCGTATGATCCATATCGGCTTCTCGAGAAATTCGGCAGAAGGCCGCAGATCGAGAAGGGAAACACGATGACCTACCCCGTGCTCATGGAGAACTTGTTCAGCGGGAACGTCTCGCGGCTGCTGCAGTACGACGAAGGACGGACGATCATAGTCGAGCTCATCGGCGCGGGGAACGAACTCGCGGGCCCGAAGCGGGCGAAGCAATCCCGGTACGAGTGCAAAGTCCCTGGGGACGTGCACTGGGACATCACGAAGATGTGCTACATGAACCGCTACGGCGCGGTGAACAAGACCGTCCCGGAGAGGTCGCGCACGACGCTGTCGCAGTTCATGCACGTCGATCAACCGAACGAGGCGTTCAACAACATGACGCCGTACATTTATCCGTTCATGCTCATGTGGGTCGCGTGCGGGCTCCTTACCTCGGACGGCGCGCAAAACGTAAGGAGAGGACGAAAACAACGGTGGGAAGAAACCACCGTGTTTAAGATGATCAACAAGTACCTCTTCCGCGGACGTTTGAAGAAGAAAGCGGTTAAGAAAGACATGATGGAGGAGTTCGGAAAGTCCAAGGCGAAGATGATCGGACAGGACAAGGACAAGACGGGGTCGTTCCAAGGGTTGACTTTCGACGACGTCGCGGGGGTTGATCACATCGTCGACGAGTTCAAGTACTACATATCCGTCATGAAGGAATTCAAAGAGTGGCAACAGGAGGATATGGCCAAGAGGGGCGGCAGTGGCAAGTGGAGTGATCTCCCGAAGAAAGGACGGATGAAGTACATCATGTCCGAGTTTCAGAGGATACCCAAGCCGGGTGATCCGATTTTCATGGTGGACCCGGATTTCACGTACGAAGTCGAAGATGACAACTTGTCCGCCGAACGCGCGAAGCTGAGCATCCCCAAAGGCGTCCTATTCGAAGGTCCGCCGGGGACGGGGAAGACGCTGCTCGCGAAAGCCGTCGCCGGCGAAGCTGGAGTGCCATTTTTCTACGCGAACGGCTCGGAGTTTGTCGAGATGTTCGTCGGAGTCGCCGCGAAGCGCGTGCGGGATTTGTTCAGACGCGCGAGGGACGTGTCCCCGTCGATCATTTTCATCGATGAGCTCGACACGATCGGACGCAGCCGCTCGTTGTACAGCAACCGCGATTCCGCGACATTAGAGCGCGAGGCGGGTCTGCTTCAGCTCTTAGTTGAACTCGACGGGTTCGAAACGAAATCGTCCGCGGGCTCAAAGCAAGAGATGGTACTCGTGATGGGAGCCACGAACCTGAGCGCGCAGCTCGACCCCGCGTTATTACGAAGCGGTCGGTTCGAGCGATCGTTCAACATCAACGTCCCTTCGACGCACAAAGACCGACTCGCGATCCTAAAAGTGCACGCGCGGAAGCTGAACATCCCGCGCGGGGGCAACGAGAAGTGGGACGAGGACGCGCTCTTGAACCGCACGACAGAGCTGACGCACGGGTACAGCGGCGCCTCGCTCGCGGCGCTGTTAAACGAAGCCTCGATTTTGTCCGTTCGCGCGAACAGGGAATTCGTCAACATCGAGGACATCGAGCGCGTCCTGGAGAGGAACCTCGTAGGCGTCGCGTCCGCGCCCATGGAGGACGGGTGGGGCAAGGATCACCTCGCGATGGTCGAAGCCGGACGCGCGGTGCTGTGGTCGTCCAAGTCGTCGAAGCAGTACTGCCCGACGGTTTTGAGAGTCACGATCAAGCCGCACGGGACGAAGACGACCGGAGTGATGCTTCAGCAGGAGACGACGGAGCATCAGTGGACGGAGGACGACGCCCGGGCGACGTCGTTGGACGAGTACATCGACGGCCTCGCGATGTTGCTCGCGGGGCGGTGCGTGGAGACCGTGTTCTTCGGTCCGCAAGGTGTCAGCGTGCAGACGAAGGGCGATCTCGTCGCGGCGGTGGACATCGCGTACGACATCGCGACCTCCTCTGGCGTGTACCCGGACTCGAAGAAAGGGTTGAGACCGTACTGGCCGGAGGAGCTCATCGAGCACTTCCGCCTCCCCGCCGCGGAGATGGACGCGGGCGTGCACGATTTGATGATGCGAGCGCACATCAGGGCAGAGGAATACGTGCAGTATTACAAGCCCGTGATTCTTCAAGTCGCGTCCGAGCTCTTAGCGCACGAGTCTCTGTACGGGACGCACATCAAAGATCTCGTGAACGAGCACGAGGTAAAGATGGCGGTCGCGAAGGACGAGTCCCTCGCGAAGGCGCAGGCGAAGAAAGAAGACGCGGAGAACCGTAAGCGAAAGGACAAGGAGTTCGAGGACGAGACGAACGAGCGGCGACGAGCCGCGAGCGCGGAGAAGACGGAACAAGTCGAGTCGCGAGGCGTCGCCGGGGCGATCGACGTAGACTCGAGCGACGAGCCGCTCTCCTCGGATCCGTTCGGGACGAGCGAAACGGCTGGCGTCGTCGACGACAACTTCAAGGGCGTCCTCGGCCGCGCGATGCGGTCCGTCGGCAGACGCGGAGGCGCGTTCCCGGAGAGCGAGAGGAAACCCGAGGACGAGGACGAGGACGCGGACGCGAAGAAGTAGCTCTTTTAAGACGAGTGATACTCGAAACCCGGGTCATCGACGCGAGCACCCCCGACTTTTGGTTTCGCTTACAGATGAGCGACCACTTCGTGCCGTGCTTGTTCACCTCCGTCACGTGCGCGCTGCGCGAGAAAACTCTTTCATTTGTCCACACGTGGCGGATTTCCACGACGTGTGTTTCAGTCAGGTGGACCTTTCGCTTTTGATAGCAGTACTGTACGTTCGTAGTGCTTGTGTCTATAGACAGGAGCTTCGCTCCAGTCTGCTAGACACTCTTGGAAGCGCTCGGTCGCATCCTCGCCGCGCAGCTCGCCAGCCGCGCGTTAAACGTGTATTCAGACCAGTCTCGAGACGGTCCTCCAATCGACGTACCTCTGCGTCGTGACTAGCTGTCGATACAGCGCTGTCATACCTGCATCGCGCGACGCGGAATCTTTCCCCGCACAGTGCAGCTCCTCGTTCGGCCGAATCGTCGGTCGACCGCTCTCAGGCCGTCGCACGAGCGACGACCTCGTTCGCCCGCGTTCACCGGCTCCGTCGAGCCCGGTAACCGGCGGATACTCCGGCTCGGAGTCGCGCAAATCAGTCAATCAGTCAGACAGCGAAGCACGCGCGCTGCAACATGGACCAGGACGACGCCGTCGTTCTAGGCGTAGTTCTCGGCGTCGTGTTGGCGGCGGCGCTGTGCGGATGGTGGTACAGCAACTGCGCAGACCGTGACAACCGCAGAGAGCGAGAAGGGGAAGGTGGTCACTATCAAGGCTGGTTAACCGGGAGACCGGATGGGCCCCCGCGCCATGTCGTGTTCGAGTCATCGCCTCCCCCGCCGCCTCTCCCGCCTCAACCGTATGGCACGCCGCGGCAAGATCAGCCCGCGCCCGTCTTCCAAGCGACCGTGAGTCAGCCGAGCTACCCGAAAGTGTGAGCGGAAGAAGACCCGAAGAAGCCCCGCCTCGGGACGAGATGCGAGAACGCGCGCGAAAGCAGAGGCGCGAGCTCTTCCAAGCCCCATTAGCTAGCCAGCCGCGGAGCGAACGGATTTGTAAGGACATCAATGCATATTGATCACGCTACTCGTACATATCACTCCCTCCCCCTCCCTCAACTCAACGGATGCGCTTCGAGGTCGAACAAGGACGTCCCGTTCACCTTGCACCGACGCATCTGCCCCATCTCCAGCGCGGGCAACCCCGACCCGGGCTCGGGCTCGGACACGAACACGATCGGGTCGATGTCCGGCGCCTCCAACGAACTCCGTCCGACCCACGCGTCGAAGTCGGGGTTGAACCCGTCGATGATGACGTCCAGCTCCTGCCCCACGCGCGACAACGCGAAGTCCTCGGATATGTCCTGCTGCTGCGAGATCAACTGATCCCGGCGAAGCTCTCGAACCGCGAGCTCGACTTGGTCGGGGTATTCCGCCGCGGGGGTGCCGTCCTCTTCGCTGTAAGCGAACGCGCCGAGCCTCTGGAACTTGAACTCCTTGCAGAACTTCATGAGGTCGTCGTGCTCCTCCTGGGTTTCCCCGGGGAAGCCGGATATGAACGTCGTTCGCAACGCAAGCCCGGGGATTCGGTCGCGAAGTTTATGGAGCAGATCCTCCGTGTGCTGCCGCGGCGGCCGGTTCATTCGCAGCAAACTGAGGTTCGTGATGTGCTGCAGCGGGATGTCGATGTACTTGCACACCTGCGGAATGTCCGCGATCGCGTCGATGAGCTCCTCGCTGAAGTACGACGGGTACGCGTACAGAATGCGGATCCACTCGACGCCGTCGACGACGGCGAGGCGCTCCAACAACTCCGCGAGGCCTCTCCCGTCTGACGCTTTCATGTCCATCCCCCACTGGTTCGTGTCCTCCGCGATGAGGCACAGCTCTTTCGCGCCCGTGTCCGCGAGCGCTTTCGCCTCGTCCACGATCGAGTCCCACGGCTTCGAGCGAAACTTCCCTCGGAACCCCGGGATCGCGCAAAACGTGCACTTGTGGTCGCAGCCCTCCGCGACGCGCAGGTACGCGTAGTGGTTCGGCGTGAGCCTCTTCCTGAGCGCTTCCGGGCGGAACGGCGGGGACGCGGTTCCGACGCGCACCCTTCCTCGCTTGTTTCCGCCGTCGTCCTGTCGCAACACGTCCACGCCCAGGCTCTGTCCGATCTCCGCGGGGAGGTTCTTGTACTCCTCGAACCCCATCACGACGTCGATTTCGGACATCTCCTCGGCCAAGTCCTCCGCGTACCGCTGCGCTAAGCACCCGGTGACGATGATTTTCTGCTTCTTCCCGTTCTTCTCGCTATCCGCTTTCATCGCCGCCGCGGCCAAGATCGCGTCCACGCTCTCGTTCTTAGCGTCCTCCACAAACCCGCACGTGTTGATTATCACCGCGTCCGCGTCTTCGTGCTCGTCGATGACGTCGAAGCCGTTCGCGAAGAGGTCGCCGAGCATGACCTCGCCGTCAACCGTGTTCTTCGGGCACCCCAAAGAGACCATGGAAACCTTCGCGCGACGAGGTGCATCCTCCGCCGCGCTCGATTCTTTAGAGTCGCTCGTGTCCGCGCCTCCGCTCGGTGGAGGAGGGGCGATGCTCGCCTTGGCGGCGGCGAATTTCGTTTTCTTCGGCCTCGACGAGAGAGCGGCGCGTCCGAGGACGGCGCGGACGCCGAGGAACCCGGAGGCGGCGGACATCATGCCCTACCTGCTCGAAGTAGGCGAGAAACGCGCGCGCTGAACACGTGCACGACCCGCAGACAGACAGACGACAACGACAGAGTGACGCGCTTCGGAACCCCTTGCGCTTTAATAATAGAGGGCGCTTGCGCTTTATTTCGCGAATTTCCGCATTATTGCGCGAAGCCCGAGAACCGCGATCAGCCTCGGGTCAGGGCAGCGTACACGTGTACTGTAGTGTAGGGGTTTAGGGTAGTGTACTGCTAGGGTACACGCGAACGTGGACACCGGCACGGGCTCCCGAACCCAGTTCGAACCGCCCGTCTCGCACTCTGCGCCGCACACGGGCACGAGTTTCTTCCCCCCTCCCAACGCTCTTCAACATGGACGATGCCGCGAAGGCTGCGAAGAGGAAGGAAATCGAGGAGAAACTAGCGGAGGCGCGGAAGAAGGAGGTGCGTCTCGTTGGGAGAGACCCACCACTCCCGCTCGATCGGACGCGTTTTCTCGTTCCCACGCTCCCGACGTCGTATTCTATTCGTCCGCGTCCTCCTCCTTCGCGACGTCCCCCGCTCGCGTTTGTTTTCATCGTCCTCTCCGCGCGGGTTCCGCGTTTCCACGCTCCCGATATCCGATCGTCGCTCACGCGCCCGACCCTCCCTTCAGGAGCAAAAAGCGACGTTCTTTGGGGAACACAGGGGCATCACGTGTGATGGATGCGGCGTCGTGCCGATCGTCGGCTTTCGGTACCGCTGCCAGAAGTGCCCAAACCACGACACATGCGAGGTGTGCTACGAACGATGGGACGGCGGCAAGGGAAGCGTCGCGAACGGGCACGCGCAGCAGGAGCTATCGCTCGACCCGGCCGCGCACGATTTCGTGGTTCACAAAGCCGGCGGGTTTAAGCCCATGGTGAAGACGCAAGGAGCGACGCAAAAGTCCGAGAAGAAGCTGAAGCCGAACGATCCGTGTCACTGTGGCAGCGGGAAAAAACTGAAGAAGTGTTGCGGCGGAGCCGCGTGATAGCGTCTCGTGTCGTTGCAGAGCGCGTGTTCTATTCGTCCGCGTCGTCGTCGTCCGCCGCCTCCTCCTCCTCCTCCTCCTTCGCGTCCTCGCCGCGCAAGCGCCCGCGTCGTATCTCCCGGGCGCGCGCTCGGGCTTCGTCCCCGCGTCGCGCGCGCTCGTCCAGGCGAGCGAGCGTGTCGTCTGTGGACGTCCAGGGCGTCTCCTCGCGCGTCGCCCCCGTTTCCTCGTCCGTGTGGTCCACCAGGCCCTCGAAGCCCTCCATATCCATATACTCGCCCGTGCAACAGCACAGCAGAGCGCGCTTCAGCAAGTTGAGCGCTCCGCCGCACGCGCGGTGCTGCTGGGTCGCGGGAAGTCCCCGCGTCGGGGTACGTCGCCGCATGGCGCGCACGTGGGCGTAAGTTATGACGTCCAGCGTGCGGCGAGGTCGGGTCGCCCTCGTAGTCCGTCGTCGTTTCGCTTTCTCTTCGCAGCGCTTTCGTCCTTTCCGAGACTGCCACCTGTCCAGCGAGTTCGCCCCGCGCGCGGCATGACCGCGGGGGGCGCGAGGAGCGCGGAGAAAGTCGGCAGGAGAGTCTCCACGTGTGCGTTCGCGGACGCGATCGCGCGCGTCTCGATCGCCGCTCACGACGCCGCGGTGGCGTCGCTTCCCGATCCCGAGCGCGCGCGTTTGTCGAGCGGCCAGACCGTGCTCGCGTCGATCGTCGTTCGTGACGGCCGCGGCGGCGGCGGGGAGAACGATCGCGCGCGCGTCCGGGTCGTCGCCCTCGGCGCGGGGACGAAGTTCATGACCTCATCGAGCATCGACTCGGACGCGCGCGGCGTTCGCGTGCGCGACTGCCACGCGGAAGTCCTCGCCCGGCGCGCGCTGAAGCGATTTTTGTACGCTCAGATCGACATCGCGCGCGCGCGGCGGGGAACGGTCGCGGACGCGCGCTCGTGCGTTCTCGAACGCGACGCACGATCGAACAGATGGAGCATACGCCCGGACGTGACGTTCCACATGTACACGTCGTCGACGCCGTGCGGGAACGCGACGGTGAAGCGATGGGCGAGGGGCGCGAAAGAGGTTTTCGACGACGCGCTCGACGAGAGCACGCCGCCGCCGGACGCGAAGACGCACGAGAAACCGAGCTTCGGGAGCGTCCACGAAGGGCAGCTCGCGTTCACGTATAAACGCGACCCGACGGCGCTCGAGGACGACGGCGGAGAGATACGCGAACGAGGAGGTGGAGGAGGAGGAGACGCGGCGGCTGGGGCGGCGGTGCACATCACCGGCCGCCTCCTCTCGTGCAGCGACAAGCTCGCTGTGTGGAACTGCGTCGGCGTCCAAGGAGCGCTGCTGCTGTGCGAAAACGCGCTCTCGTCGCCGGTATACCTCGCGTCCGTGACGGTCGGAAGAAAATTCAACCGCGCGATCCTCCGGAGGGCGTTGTGCTGCAGGATGCACCGCTTCCGCGGCACCGACGCCATCTCCGCGGCGGAGGACGGGACGGCCGCGGAGCCGCGGAGTCGCGTCTTCGCGTTGAACCACCCGGGGACGATGTGCACCGCGGTACCGTTCGACGTCGGGACGTACGCCCCGGGAGAGGGCGCGAACTTCGACCGCGCGGACGCGCTCGTGTGGTGGGAAGGACGCGACGGCGGGGAAACGAGAGAGTTGATCGACGCGCGAACGGGATCGAGGTCGTTTCCGCGTGGCGACGACGATATCTCGGGCGTGAGCAGAGCCGCGCTGCTTCGCGAGCACGAGAGCGTGATAGGGCCTGTTCGCGAGGCGTCGTGTTACGAGGACATGAAACGACGCGCGGGGGACGCGAGCGGATACGCCGCCGCGAAGACGGCAGCGCTCTCTCAACCCGGGCTGTGGGTTTTGTCGACGCCTCACCACTGTGCCGAGGTGAGATAGTTAATAAAAGGTTAGGTAGCTACGATACGTCAGAACACGCACGCTAGTTTCACGATGGCCGCCGTTCGCGTCCGACGCGGGCGCTTCGCCGCGGGTTTCGCGGCGGCGGTCTTCGCCGCCGCCGCCGCCGCCGCCGGTCGCTTCGCCGTTTGTTTCATCTTTTTCTCTTTCGCGACCGGCGGCGCCTTGGCGTTCACGCTCGTCTTCTTCTGCACGGAGGGCACGAACGCGGTCGTGCGTCCGCCAACCTCGATGAACGATATCGCCTTTCCGCCCACCTTGTTCCCCGTCACTTTACCCCACCGGTGATGGAACAGCCAGTCCTCTGGAAATTTCTCAGATATAGCTCCGGCCTCGCACGCGACGGTCACGACCATCGACATCGCGTCGCGCACCATCGCCAGCTGGCCGTGCGTCAACGACTTCGCAGGCTGTTCAGGATGCACCCTGGCGTGGAAGAGCACCTCGTCCGCGACCCAGTTCCCGACGCCAGCGGCGACCTTTTGATCCAATAGCACCGCCTTGACCGGCGCCGCGCGTTTCGCGAAGAGCGACGCGAACGTCTTCTCGTCCGGCATCGCGAGCAACGGATCGAAGCCGAGGTCGGACAGCGGCGGGGACTCCGTGACGACGCCGTCCACGAGGCGCACGCGGCCGAATCGGCGCGGGTCGGTGTACGCGAGCGTCACGCCGTTACTGAACGTGACTACCAGCTTGGCGAACCGCGGTGGCCAGTTCACCGTGTCTACAGCGAACGCCTTGTACTTCACAATGCTTCCCCCGCCTTTGATCGTCATCGCGCCGGTCATCCCGAAATGAAATAAAGGCGTACTTCGCGTCCCGAGATCCCACCACAGATGCTTTCCCAATCGCCTTGCCGCTTTGACGGTTCTTCCTTTGAGCGCCGACGTGAACTGTGATTCGTCGATCTCTTTGAAGATCTTCTCGTCGTACGTGCCGTCTTCGTTAAACTCGACGCTTACGATCGTCGCGCCGACGATGTGCTTCTCGCATAGGACGCGTGCACTCTCCACTTCGGGAAGCTCCGGCATTTCAACCCGGCGGGCGCCGACTTAGTCTGACGGGTTCCACTTCCGTGGACGTTGACGTGTCTTCAGATGGATACGAGTATTGTAGTGACAGAAAGTTCCGACACCTGACTACTTTTTTTGCTACGTTGGTGACCAGCTGCCCTCCGAGCGACCAGACCGCCGCGCGCGTCGCGTGCGTTCGAATGCCCTGGGTCCCGCAGATGATCGGCATGGCGACCGTCCCCGTGCCGACCGCGTCGTTCGCGCGTCCTCGCCGCCGTTATCCCGACCTCGCCGGAGCGACCCTCGGGCCGTCCCGTAGTTGTAAATTTGGCAATGTCACGCGCGCCTCCGCTTCGTCCACCGCGTCCACCACCGTCGAGACCGGTGCCGGGTTGAAATTGGAGATCCTCTCGCAGAAGGCGGCGGGCGGCGCTACGAAGGCGCCGATGCTCTTCGTCCACGGCAGTTATCACGCCGCGTGGTGCTGGACCGTGCATTTCTTCGATTACTTCAGCGCCAGGGGACACGACTGTTACGCCGTCTCGCTGCGTGGGCAAGGCGGGAGCGACGTCCCGAGCGGCGTCGCCGTCGCGGGGACACTCGAGGAGCACGCCGCGGATGTTAAAGACGCGTGCGCGTTCGTGTCGAAGGCGTCCGGCGCACCTCCCATCCTCGTGGGGCACTCGTTTGGCGGGCTCGTGTGCCAACGCCTGTTCACGGGCGAGCCGCCGCCGTTGTCGGGGCTCGCGCTGCTCGCGTCTGTGCCGCCTTCGGGGAACGGTGAAATGGTGAAGCGGTTCCTGAAGCGATCGTTCATAGCCAGCATGAAAATCACGTACGCGTTCATCGCGGGCGCGTTCAAGACGAACGAGAAGTTATGCAGGGAGTGCTTCTTCAGCGACGATCTCCCGGACGCTGAGTTGAAGACACACATGGGCTCGATTGCGACGTCGTGTCGCGTGCGGCTACTAGACTTGAAAGCGTTAAATGATTCGCTACCGATTCCACGGCCGATTCCCGGGTCGCCGCCGGTGTGCGTGATAGGGGGCGAAAACGATTTCGTCGTGGATGTCGAGGGCGTCGCGGAGTGCGCGGAGTGGGGCGGCGTCGACCCCGTCGTCCTTCCGAGAGCCGCTCACGACCTCATGATCGATACTCGATGGGAGGCGTGCGCGCAGGCGCTTGCGAAGTTCGCCACGCGCGTCGGGAGGAAGGGGGAGTAGGCGTCTGGTTCGTAGCGATGTACTTACGTATGCGAGGTGCGGTCAATCACAGTGCGTGTCGTCGCGTCACTCAACTATCCTCACACGTCGTTGGGATCAAACTCGAACGCGTCCGGCGCGTCAGGTTCCTCCTCGACCGCGGCCGCGATCGCGCCGCCCGCGTCACCGGCGCCTCCCGCGGGTGCGGGGGTCTTCGTCGTCGTGACGTATTCCACCTCCTCGCCCGGGGTCGTGTCCTTCAAGACGACGAACCCGCGCGTCTGCGCGGCTTTCCCGCTCACGATCGGGACGAACCTGCTGTCGTCGTCGAACTTGACGTACCGCTCCTGGCCGGGGGTGACCCTCGCGGGGTTCGCGAGCTCCTCCTTGGTCGGCTCCGGCTCTTTTTTCGCGGCGTCCGTGTCTTTGTCGTCGCCGTCTTTCTTCTTCTCGTCGCCGCCGTCGACGTCCATCCCGTCCGTCGCGTCCTTCTCTTCGCCACCCTTCGCGGCGTCCGTCTCCATTTCGACGTCGCCGCCACCCTCCGCGGCGCTTTCCCGCGCCTTCTTCGCCGCCTTGGCCTTGGCCTTCGCAGTCGTGGACAACACCGCCTTAACGACCTTACCCTTGTCCTTCTTGTCGTCCGCGGTCACCGCCGGCGGGTACGCGAACAAAGACGGCTTGCAGTGGCTCGTGACCGAGCAGTGTGGCATTTTGAGTTTTGCGTCTAAACCGATGAACGCGGTCGGGACGAACGTCAGGGACACGAAATACGACAGCGGGGACCAGTACCAGTACTGCGTGAACACAATCATGGACACAACCGCGGTCATCCTAGGGAAACCGCTTCGCGCGCGTAACCCAATCGTGACGTTGCGTCCGCCCGCGTCGACGATGCCCTGCGCCATGATCGCGCCCATCTTCGTCATCGTGACTTCGCGGTTGTCCGTGATGTGGTTTGTGAGCCGCTTACGGAACGGCGCGACGTTCGCCTCGGTCTGTTCGACCATCACCATCGCCATCGCGATGAGCGCGCCTTGTTGAACGAAATCAACCGCGTCCGTGAGCATCGGCTCTAACAACTCGACGGCTTCTTTTAATCCGGTGCCGGAGCAGCAGATGCCGACGGCCATGGCCGCGCCGTACCGCACGTGCGGGTTGTACGACTCCGAGAGAAGCGCGACGACCCGGGGGCACTGCGACGGCGTCGAGCACAGGACAAACCCTAACGACATCACCGCCGCGCGCCGCACGTCGTCGCTCACGTCGGAGACCGCGACGTGAAGCAGACGCCGAACCGCGGCGTTGTTCCCAGTCGCGACGTATGCGGCCGCGACGGCGAGGCAGCCGCCGTAGCGGATGATCGGATCGGAATCCCGGACCATCTGCTCGATGAGCGGCTCCGCTTCCTCTTCGCGGCCGTACGCGGTGAGCGCGAGGCCGACGCCGCAGCCGCGGATGATCTTCTCGTGCTGCGTCTTGTGGCAGTAGTTCAAGATTTGTTGCTGCTTCGTCGCGATGCCGGTGCCGGCGAGTAAGAGCCCGACGCCAATGCCCGCGCCCTCGCCCGCGACTGCGCTGTCCGTGCGCATGATGCGGAACAGATCGGTGTACACCTCCTCGTTCCCCGTCCCGAGCGCGGCGAGGCCTAAGCCGAGGCACGCGCCGTGTTGGATGACCTCGTTGTTGCTCGATCGCGAGGACTCGAGGAGGAACGGGAGGATGTCGTCCCCATGGTTCGCGTGAATCAACCCCAAGGCGTAGAGCGCGCCGCCCTCGGTGTACGGGGACGGTCGTTGCCCCCCGCCCCCGCCCTCGCGCGGCAAGAACGGTCCCATGAGCTGCCTGCCCTCGTTCAGCTGCCCGCGGTGAATGACCCCCATCCCGGCGGTCGCGCTGAAACGCGCCCAGTTCGTCGCTCGAGATAACCAGTCCAGGTTCTCGCGTAAGAAGGTGTCCACCGTCGTTCCCGCGTGCATCAGCGCGTTGCACAGCACCGTCGCGGTGTGACACACGGAGTTCCTCGACTCCACCGCGGCTCGGATTTGCTTCAACAGAAGCAGATCCGACGCGTTGTGACTGAACAGAAACTCGAGGTGGAGGTTCACCGGGAGCGCGCCTGAGAGCACGGATCTCAACAGCTTGGACGGATTCGAGCTCGTCGTGTCTTCGAGCTTCACGTCCTCCGTCTTCGTATCATCGTCCATGCCGTCCTCGTTCGCGGGCGCGGGAGTTTCCGCCGCCGCAGGCGCGAGCTTCGCGATGACTTTGTTCAGAAACGGCTGAATCTCGTTCTCGCACAGGCTGAACGCGATCTGGAAGGAAAGCAGCTGCTCGTCGTCGCTCCCGTTCACGAGCTTCGTCAGCACGTTCGCGACGCCGTCCGCGTCGTCCAAGAACATCAGGCACTGACACATGTTAAGGTAGTTCGGTTCCACCCCCTCAGTGGTCTCGTACATTTTCACGAGCACGCGCAAGACGGACTGACGAAACTCCCTCGACGTCACGAGCGTCTGGCACACCTTCGTCGCGTAGTCGAGGCTCTCCACGACGTCCCCGCTCTTCAAGATGCTCTCCTGAAGCTTATCCAGTCTCCTCGTCTCGAGCGCGACGCCGATCGCTTGCGTGAACTGCCCATCGTCGTAGCACCTTTCGAACATACGCTCCACGATGGCGACCAGACGTTTGTCCGTCTCGTCGACGTCGTCCGTCTTGGCGTCCGATCTCTGTTCGATGTACGCGTCGATCGCTTTCGCGAGGAGGGTCTGCACGAAATCGGTCGTCTCCGTGACGTCGAACAGAGATCCCGCGCACAGGGCGTAGTTCAGCGCGTCGTTCATCTCCCCGAGGTGGTAGTAGACCTGCGCGGGGCGGAAAGGGAAGATCGAGGGTCGGGTGGGGTCAGTTGAGATCGTTTCGGATCTGAGGGTCGCGCGCCGTCGCGACGGGTTTACGACTCGCACGCCCTCGCGCGGACGCGAGAATTCTTTCGCTCGCGTGGATTGATCGAGCGCGCGCGCGGGGGGGAAGGAGATCGAGAGGCGGACGGACCTTAGACGCGAGCAACGCCGCGAGGTCTCGGGACGCGAAAAACTCGTCCTCGTACAGGGCTTCGATCACGGAGATGGAGCCCGCGACCTCGGCCCAGTGCGTGTCCACGACCGCGTTTAACGACCGGAGCGCGCTCGTTTGGAGCTGGACCTGCTCCTCCTCGAGCATGGAGATGAGCCCCGCGGCGCTTCCGAGCGTGGGGCCCATCGCGGGCATGACAGCGACCGCCATGCGGGTCTGTTTTCAAACCCCTGCGTCAAGCCCACACCGCGCCCGGAGCGACGTTGGATCGGGCGCGTCGTCCAGACGACTCCGATCCGGATCTAGATCTCCTTCGTATCGACGAAGAATATCACGGCGATGATCACGGAGATGTGATGTGTCGCGTGATGCGCGACGTGAGGTGTGGGGATCGCTTCAGATCCGGGTGATGGTGACGTTACCAGAACAGAACGCGAACGTTGGAACTGGACGTGGACTCTACGAAAGTTCATTCGCACAGCAACAGGGCGTGCGGTGGACCCTCCGAGGGCAGAAGGAGGACGATGCACCCCACTAAGATTCCGATACAGCCGCGCATGTATCACGGGTTGAATCTCCCCCCGTACCTGAGACGCGCGATGAAGGTGCGTCGCGTGCTTCGACCACACGCCGCGTTGTCAACCCCGCCTCGCGCCATCGTCCTCGCTGACGACCCCGTCCCGTCCCCTCCCTCGATCGCAGTGGAAGCAAATGGACCTCGAGTACGCGATGTGGCAGATGTGGCTCATGTGCACGAACCCGAAGGTCGTGTACCGGCACACGATGTACAGGAAGCAGACGAAGAACCAGTGGGCGAGGGACGACCCCGCGGTCGTCGTCCTGACGTCCATCCTCGTCTTCGCGACGTCTTCCCTGTATTGTTGCTTCTTCAGCAAGTCGTTCAAGCACTCCGTGTACGTCGTCGCGAGCGCGGGGTTGATCGATTACGTTGGTCTCGGGGCACTGATCGCGACCGGGTATTGGTTCGTGTCGAACCGGTTCTTACGAACCGGCGTCGGGCACTCGCACGCCATAGAGCAGCGCGTGGAGTGGTTGTACGCGTTCGACGTTCACTGCAACGCGTTCTTCCCGCTGTTCTTGCAGCTGTACGCCGCGCAGTTGGTGCTGTCGCCGGTTTTACTCGCGGGCGGATTTATCCCGAGGATGCTGTCGTGCGCACTCTACGCCGTCGCGCTGGGTTATTACCAGTATTGCACCTTCATCGGATTCAACGCGTTGCCGTTCCTCGAAGCGATGCTGTTCTTATATCCTATTGCTGGGGTCGCCTTTTTAGCGCCGATGATGTGCCTTTTCGGATTCAACCCGACTAAATTCGTGTTGGGGATATATTTCGGTTGAGTGTTGAGTGTTACTTACACATACAGTAGCGGATGATAGGGGGGAGGCGAATGCACTATAAGATAGTTCGAAGAAAGTAGTTCTATGGGGCTCGTAGTTTTAAATGTTTGCGTTCCGATTTTTTTCCTCCTCAACCCCCGTCAACGTGACATATCTCCGACGAATCTCCACGTATCTCCGTCGGCCGCACACCCTTGTACATGAAATGTCCTACGGATAATCCGGATATCACCGTCAAGAAAACCCAAGTGTTTAACGACATTACCGCCAACATTAAGAAATAAGAAGTAGCCAAGTTTCCCGCATACAAAATGACGTCTAAAATTCTTTTGGAGAAACGCGGCGTCCGATAGGAGGACGGGAGCATTGGGGTTAGTAACGATGCCCCTTCTTCCTTCCCTCCTGGAGACGTCCGGTAATAGTACAACCACTCTTGTCCGACGCACAAGGCAAAGAGAAATACAAGTTGGATGAAAAATGCAGCAGCCGACTCCGAATACCACCAATCGAAAAACAGCGTCATCCTAAATTCCGAGTTGAAAACCACGGGCATACCACCGGTCTGAGACATCCGCTCGCCCGCACCATGCGCATGGTGCGCATGCATGTGATCCATCGACCCTCCTCCGCGTGCCCTGGCCTGCTCGACTGACAGGTGAACCCGGGAGAACGACTTTATCGCGCGTGGCACTATCGGCCGGATTCGGGAGAGATGCTGGAGAAGGTTCCGCGTTAGATCGGAACAGCGAGTAGTATCTATAGTTGTCCGCAGCTGAGTGACGGTCTGGCGACGCAGCGCTCCCCGGAGACACGTGCGAGGGATTCCAGGCGGACTCCTTTTCTTCCCGGGCACCACGAGGTGGCGCGCGGAGCGGAGTGAGCTGAAAGAGAAATCGGGGACTACATGGAGCAGGAGTTAGAACTGTACGTGTACACTACCTGTAGTCGGGCGACGAAGACTGATGAGACTTGTAGTGATCTCTCGTAAACTTGACTCACGTTCGTCGTTGCTATACGTCATCATATACGTCGTCACGTGTTCGGATCATGCGCGCTATTCTCGTCACCTCGTCACTCGTCGAACTCCTCCTCCACCGGCTCCATCTCCTCGTCGACGTTCTGCGCCCCCGCAGTCAAGCGCTTGAGCCGGTCCTCGTCCTCCAACGCCGTCTTCAAGATCGTTTCGTACGCCCCCGCTTTCCTCGCGTGGTAACTCCGCAACGCGTCTTGCTCCTCCTTGTCGCTCCCCTTGAGCTTGTGCAGCTTCAGCAAGCTGACGAGGCACCCGATCTGCGCGGGCATGTCCTCCTGCGCCTTGCTCAGCGTGAACGAGCTCTGTAACATGTCCAGCGACTGCGAGAGATCGCCACCGCGCGCGTCCAACACGATGCCGCCGATGAGGCTCAACGACTGCGCCACGAGCTGGTGGTTGCAGCACTGCGAGTGCGCGAGCTTCAGCGCCTTCGAGAGCTTAGGCTTCGCTTCCTGAGACGCGTCGCCTTGTCTGAGCGTCGCGTACCCGGAGACGAACAGCGCCGCGGCCTGGTGCACGCAGTTCGGCGCCGCGCCGAGGTCCTTCTCGTTCTCGTTCGCGTTCACCGCCGCGATCATCTCCTCGTGCCGCGTCAGGACCGGCCGGACCAAGTCCAGCGCGCGGCTGATCGCTTCCGGGGAACCGTCCGCGAGCTCGGAGAGCGCGCCGCAGACGCTCGCGATGTCTTTCCCCGCGGGGGTTCCGAACGCTTCCGCGAGGTCGGCGGCGGCGGAGAATCGAACCGCCGCGTCGTGGAACTTTCCCAAGGAGTGCAGCACGTGCCCTTCCGCCATGTCCGCCTCGTGCGCGCAGCGTCGAAGCGTCCGAGGATACGCCTCGATCATCGCGCGCATGCGTTCCGCGCGCTGCGCCGCGGAGTTTAATTTCGTGCTCGTGAGCTCGATTGCGACGAGGCTCTGCAGCAAGTACATCCGAAGGAAAAGGTACGGTCCCGCGTCCGCGGCGGTTCGGTACGCGAGATCCGTCTCGGAACCGACCCACTGTCGTAGTTCGATCTCCTGATCCGCGGACGCCGCCGGCGACGCCGCCGGGGCTGGTTTCGACCTCGGGGATTTCCGCGGCGAAGCGCGCGTCTTTGCGCTCCCGCCCGCGGGGGACTTGGGTTCCGGGGACGCGACGACCGCCGGGGGCTTCTCCTTCGCCTCCTTCTCCAATTTAGCTCTCTCCTGCTCCGCCGCGGCGACGGCGTCGCCGCCCTCGGGTAAGACGCCGAGAACCATCAGAGCGCCGTCGCACGCTTTCATCGCCAACTCGATCTCCTTCCTCGCGTCGGAGAACTTCCCGAGCGGCCGCGCCGCCTCCGCGTTGAGCAACCTCGCTAAGGTGATCATCGCGGGGATCGGCAGCCAACCGTACTCGTTCTCGGTAGCGACGCCGTCCTCGACGAGCTTCAACACGTTTTGAATCTTCTGCGCCTCGCCTTGCGTCGACGCGACGTCCCCAGCCATGAGTTTACCGCACGTTTTTAGGATGTGATGGTGCAGGCGCACGTGCGCGACCGCAGCCTTGTCCTTCTCCTTCGCCATCAGCGCCGCAACCGCTTCATCCGCGGCTTTCGACGCGACCACTTCCCCCGACCCGGCGCCTCTCCCCCGCAAGCGCTGCCCGAGCGCGCGTTGAAACTCCGCGAGCGCGAAGACGCAGCGCATCCGCGCGTCGTCGTTTTTCGTCGCCAGCGCCGCGCCCTCGTCGAGCGTCGCGGTGACGTCCTTGAACCCACCTTGGCGCATGTGTATCCCCGCCCTCTCGAGTAAGAAGTGGTACTGGTACTTCACCCACGTGTCGTCCTTCGGTTTCTTCTTCGCGGTGACCCGCGCGAGGTCGAGGCCTCCGTTCACCGCGTCCATCTGCTGCTTCTTGAGGTCGTCGCCGTACAGCCTGTAGCACTTGCTGAGCCCGCTGAACGTCGCGCACTTGATCTCCTCGTACCCGTGCACCCCGCGCATGAGAAGCTGCGTCGTTTCCAAGTGCGTCTTCGCCCGGTGCACGTTGTCCGTGTACTTGAGAAGGAGGTTCGACAGCCGCACGCGCGCTTCAGCCTCGGGCAAGGGCAGGACGTTGAGCTTGTCTTTCGATTGCGCGATCGCCTCGTAACACTTGATCGCCTGGAGCGGGTGGTCGTCGTCCTCGAACCCGGCCGCTAAGTGCATGAGCATCGCGAGGGTCTCGTCCGCTTCCTCGCGAGAGAGCTCGGCGGCCATGGCGCCCGAGTTCCGTCGCCCCGCCGTCCGCGATCTGGCGCCCCTTAGCACATTTCGCGCGTAGATGAACGCGAGACGAACTCCTGTCCAGTTTGAAAGAAACGCCGTCAGCGCGTTTTCCGCGTGCTCTCGCGCAGTGTTGACCGCGCCACGGCACCGCGCTCGAGCTTCCTCACGAGACATCACGCGAACGGGACGCACATGGTCGTCCCCAGCTACGCCGCGGTGGGATGCCGCGTCGAGACGACGGACGGCGCGCGCGCGACGGTCCGGTACGTCGGCGAAGTCGAAGGCACGGACGGGATCTGGGTCGGCGTGGAGTACGACGATCGAACGCGAGGGAAGCACGACGGCTCGCACGATGGGAAGCGGTACTTCGACTGCATCGCGCGCGCAGGCGAGGACGACGCCACACCCGGGTCGTTCGTCCGAGCGCACAAGATCCGCCCGTCCGTGACGTTCGCGGAGGCGTTGAAGACGAAGTACTTGGACGGGAAGAACGTCCGCGGACGATGCGGCGGAGACGGCGACGACGCGAGCGGGGACGACTGCGCGAACGGAGAGAACGAGGACGGGCAGTTCGTGCGGTCCGCGAACGGACAAAAGATCGAGATCCAGCTGTGCCTGAAGAAAAACGACCCCGGAATCGTGCTCGACACGTTAGATCGCGTTTACCTCCCGGATGCGCGCGTCGTCTCCGCGGGCGAACCAGGGGACGCGTCCTCGTGCGGGTTGAATCCGGAACGACTGAAGATCCTCGACCTCGCGGGTAATCTTCTCCCGGACTGGGCGTCCATTTCTAGGTTCGGGATAGAGTTTCGCGAGTTGACGCGCCTGGACTTGACCGGCGTGAGAGCGACGTGGCCGAGCGCGCCGCCCGGGGGTCCGTCGTCGTTTCCGAACCTCTCGACGTTGCTCCTGAACCGCTCGGGGTGCGGTTGGGATAACGCCCAGGCGATCGCGTCTTCGCTCCCCGCTCTGCAGGAACTCTCTCTCGCGGGTTGCGGGATCGATCGACTGGGCGACGGCGACGCGCCTTTAGACGCGAGCGCGTTCGTCGGTCTGAAGGCGATAAACTTTGAAAACAACGCGTTGACAGACTGGAGCGAAATCGAGAAGCTCGCACTTCTTCCCGGCTTGGAGCGGCTTCACCTCGGCGGGAACGAGATAACGAGAATAGCGTACCCCGATCGCGACGCGACCGCAGGCGACGCGGTCCCGTTCGAGTCCCTGTTTGGCTTGTTCATCGCGGACAACAAGATAGGGGACTGGGATTCCGTGGACGCGTTGAACGACTTTCCGTCCTTGTCCGAGGTTCGCCTGAGCGGGAACCCGGTCACGAGTTCGGCGGCGACTCGGCACGAGATCGTCGCTCGCGTCGCGAAGCTGTCCCAGTTAAACGGAAGTCTCATCGCGGACCAGGAGAGGAAAGACGCGGAGATTCGGTATTTACGACGCGTCCTCGGGCTCGTGAAGACGGCGGCGGGTCCGACGGATGGCGGCGCGGCGGAGCCAGAGACGCGCGCGCCGCAGCGCGGGAGCGAAGCCGTCCGCGCGATCCATCCGCGTCTCGAAGCGCTGTTAGGCTCTTACGGCGAGCTCTCCACGCACGTCACGAAGACCGGTGGGACGGGGAAGATGGGCGAGGACATGCTCGAGCTGACGCTGACGTGTGTTGCCGCGTCCGCGGGCGAACGCGCGCCGTGCGTTAAGAAAGTGCCGAGCTCGATCACCGTCGGGAAGCTGAAGCTCCTGTGCGAGAAGCTCTTCAAGGTGAAAGCGGACGCGCAGCAGCTGTTCTACAAGGAGCCGTTCATGGGAATGCCGGAGCTCCTCTCGCCGGACGATTACGACATAACGTACCTAGGCGTGAAGGACGGGTCAAAAATTCTCATAGAGGAGGAAACTTGATCGCGTACGTGTACAGTCCACGTACACGTCCACCCTGACTGTCGTGGAGTACTCCGTACGCGCTGTACACGTACGCTGTGAAACGCTTAGACTGTTTAGTCATATCCCTGTAATTCTACTGTAGCCCCACACACACATTTTTTCCGCAGAGCGATTCATCATCAGCGAGACCGCGCGACGTCGGCAACCTTTGCCGGCCTTGGCGGGGAAAAAAAGATAAGCCCGGGGCGTTGACGCGTTCACTTCCAACGCGGATGGCGTCGCACGCCGTCGGCCGCGCGGTCGCCGCGCGCGCGTCGTTCCCTTCGCGGACGACGCGCGCGAGGGGATCGTCGCGCACGATGAATGCTGCGCCCGCGAAGCGCGCGGCGTTCAGCACCGGCGCAGGGATCGCGGGGCTGGCGGGGGCAACCCTCCCCGCACGAAACAAACGACGAACGGCGACGCCCGCGCCCCGGGCGGTCGTCACAGAGTTCTTGCAGGGCATCTTCGGCGCGCCTGCGCTCGACGGCTTCGGCGATCCCTGGGATTTCGTCTCCGCCGTGAAGGCGATACCGACGATCACGGAGGAGACGATAGCGGACGCGGCGCTCTCGGTCATCGCGATCTTCGGCGCGGGGGCGATCGTTTCCGATCCGGGGAACGCGAAGTCGGAGCTTTACTTCGATCAGGGCGGGGGTAACTTCGTGGGGAGAGGTGGTGGACGATTCGGCGGCGGCGGCGGCGGCGACGACGACGACACGCCGTGGTACTTTGAAGATCCGGACGGTGATTCGCACAACTTTTTCATCCGCGGCGGGCTCTCCGGGGTGTTCCCGCTGTTCGTGTTGACCGCGCTGTCGCTGTACTGCTTCTTGTTCGCGAAGAAGCCGCACTTGGGCATGTTGTTCGCGCTGATCGCGACGGGGATCGGATGGGGCCTTTTCATCGCGACGGTGGTCTGCGTGGCGGGCGCGCTCGTGATCTTCCTCGGTGTCGACTACGCGATGCAGTGGAAGAGCGGCGCGCTCGCAGAGAAGAAAGAGATCGGCGCCGCGACCGTCCTCGGAGGCGGGTTGCTGAACGTCACGCCGGACGATCAGCACGCTCAGCCCGCGGATCGCAAGATGGTGTCCGCGAACGCGAACGTGACGTTGCCCAAGGGCGTGCAGGTGATGGGCACGGATGCGCAGCTCGTGCAGGTGGAGTTGTCCCCCGGCGAATCTCTCAGCGCGGAGCCTGGTGCGATGTGTTACATGTCCGCGAACGTGCGATCGATCACGCGTCTGGAAGGCGGGTTCCTAGCCGGTTGCTCGCGTCTGCTCGCGGGCGAGCCCTTCTTCCTTAACAACTTTCAAAACGTCGGGAAGGACGGGAGCGACGGGTACATCGCGCTCGCGGGCAGACGCGAGGGTGATAAGATCATCGTGCTCGACATGGATCAGCTCGGGAACGAGTTCCTTTGCGCGCGCGATTCGTACCTGTGCTCGAAAGGAACCGTTGAGATCGGCGCGGCGTCGACGCTGATGCAAGGGCAAATGGGTCTGCGTCTTTTCCTTTCGAACCAAAACACGGTGTTCATGCAAAAGCTCTCCGGGAGCGGGGTAGCGTGCATCTCGGGCAACGGCACGGTCATCCGACAGGAGCTGAAACCAGGACAGGAGATGGTCGTCGACGCGAGGGCGGTGGTCGGTTTCCAGAACTCTATCGGGTATCAGCTCCGGATGATGAGCTCGCCACTCGCCGCGTTGTTCGGCGGTGAAGGTTTGTTCTTTGCGCGGCTTTCCGGGCCCGGGGTGTTTTACCTCCAGAGCTTACCCGCGGCTCGCCAGGACAGTGGCCTCAGCGAAGAGGGCGAAGTCGCGGTGTAGACGACGTCGTCGCACCGCGAGACGCCTACCACACGTTTTGCTGAGGATTCTTGCATTGTACATTGTTATTTCAATGAAAACAACTTACGAACGCACGTTCTTCATCTACGTCTCAAATACAAAAGCATGCGTGTGTGCTTGCCAGGTTCTAATGGCCTAATCCAAGGTGTATGGAGCTAACAATAGATTGCCTCTAGAAACGCCACGGATTTCAACGTTGGCCTGTTTGTACCGCCGCTCCTCCCCTTCGTTGACGTCCTTCCCATCGCCGTCTAATACCATGAAGTCGTTCGCGATGTCCCCGTCGTCGTCTATTTTTAACTCTTTGACGTACCACCACAGCCCCTGAACTCCGCCCATCGGCTCGCCGCCGTACCTCGACACCGCGTACTGAACCACGGGTATGCGCGGTCGCTCTACGACGACTTGCTTCTTGTGCGAGAACCCACCACCTTCGTTGCCGCTGTCGTCGCTTCCATCGTCGTCCTGCGCGTGAATGGGCGGTGGGGAAAGGACGCGGGTCAGGTTGCCCGCCTCGACGACGACGAGACGAGCGAAGGGAAGACGAGGACGCACCCCGACGATGAAGCTCTTCGCCGCCTTGAAGCCGCGCTTCAAGAAGTTCATCGCGCCGATCTTGCGCTTGAGCGTCAGCGTTCCCGTCCGAGATCAGCGCGTGGCGAGCGCGCGACGTGCGCGCGGCTCGGACTGACGCCCTGTGCTTGAGATCGAGGAGGTCGTCGGCCGTTCCCGCACCTGACACACACACGTCGACTAGCTAGGCTCCAAAAAATGTACTGTACTGTATGTGTTTCAGTATCGAGAAGTTGTAGATTTGTACTCGTACTTCCGACCCAAAAAAAATTTGCGGTCCCGCGGCCCGAGAAATCAGAAGTGACACCACACAGATCTGCGAGGGCGGCCCCGGGTGGGCGTCCTTCGGCGAAGATGGCGTATCAACAAGCGTACGTCAAGCAGGTGAACAGATGCGCGACGGTCGCGTTCTGTCCGACGTCGCCGTACATCGCCACCGGGACGATGGCGGGCGCGATCGACCTTTCGTTCTCCACGACCGCTTGTTTGGAGGTGTTTAAACTCGACTACGCGAACCCGTCCACGGACATGCCCCTTGCCGGCGGCGCGGTCGCCGCGAACGAACGCTTCCACAGACTCGTGTGGGGTCCCGCCGGGAGCGACACGAAGGAGACCCCGCACGGGATCATCGCGGGGGGGTTGGTTGACGGCAGCGTGAACTTGTATAATCCGGCGAAGATAATCGGCTCACCAATCGGCGCGGAACCCTCAGACGGAACCTCTGGCGCGCTGATCACGAAGATGCAGAAACACTCCGGTCCGGTCCGCGGGTTAGCGTTCAACTCGTTCAGCCCGAACCTGCTCGCGTCCGGGGCGGAGGACGGCGAGCTGTGCATATGGGATCTCGTGAAGCCGGCCACGCCGAGCCTGTACCCGGGGCTCAAAGGCGGCGCCGGCGGGCAGCCCGGCCCCGGGGAGGTTTCCTACCTCGCGTGGAATAACAAGGTGCAGCACATCTTAGCGTCGTCGTCCCTGAACGGCACGACCGTAGTTTGGGATCTGAAGCGCCAGCGGCCGGTGATATCGTTCACGGATCCGAACAGCAGACGGCGGTGCAGCGCGATGCAATGGAATCCTGAGGTCGCGACGCAGCTCATCGTCGCGTCCGACGACGATCGCTCCCCGAGCCTACAGATCTGGGATCTTAGGAACTCGATATCTCCCGCGCGGGAGTTCGTCGGGCACAGCAAAGGCGTCCTTGCGATGGCGTGGTCGCACGCGGACCCCGGGATGTTACTCACCTGCGGGAAAGATAACCGCACTTTATGTTGGGATACGAACGCGGGGGAGATTCTCGCGGAGCTCCCGGCGTCGTCGAACTGGAACTTCGACGTGCAGTGGTCGTGCACGACCCCGGGCGTTTTGTCCACGAGCTCGTTCGACGGCAGGGTCGGGCTGTACAACCTTCAACAAGCCGCAGCGCCAAACGCAGGAGGCGGCGCCGTCGATCAGTACGGCGTGCAACAGCCCGGTCCGAAGCAACCGATGAAGAAAGCGCCGGCGTGGATGCGACGACCTTGCGGCGCGACGTTCGGGTTCGGCGGGAACCTCGCCGGTTTTGGCGTCCGTTCCGCGGGCGCCGTGGAGGCTGGAGGCGCGGAGGCGGAAAAACCCTCGCCCACGGCGTTGTCGATCTTCCGTTTACACACCGCGGAGGAGGTCGCGGTGTCCCAGGAGTTCGAAGGCGCGGTCACCGCGGGCGGGAGCGACTCCTTGAAGGAGTTCTGCGAGACAAAGCGCAGCTGCGCGGCGAAAGAAGACGAAGAGACTTGGGGGTTCCTCGGGATTCTGTTCGAAGAGGACGCGCGACGTGAGCTTCTGAAGCACCTTGACTTTGGCGCCGCGCTCGACGCAAAAGAAATCGCGGCGACCAACGCAGCGGCGGCGGCGGCAGCCGCGGCTGCGGAATCTACCGCCGCGGCGACCGCGGCGGCGCCAGACTCCGCCGCGGCGACCGCGACCGCGGAGGCGACACCGCTTGTGGACGGGAACGCGTTTTTTAACAACTTCCCGGTGCAACCCCCGCCCGTGGCTGTGCACACCCCGCCCGCTCCCGTGGACGACGGCATGGGTTTCTTCTCCGAGATGGACGCGAACGACGGCATTCCTCCGGTTTCACCTCAAAAGGCGCCCCCGCCCGCGCCCGCGGAACCGATCCCAGAGGCACCCGAGCTCGTCGCCGCGCGGCGGAAAGCGGCGGCGAAGGCGGCGGCGAAGGCTGCGGCGGAGAACGAACCGACGGAGATCCTCGACGCGTCCGACGCGAAAGTGCAACGCGCACTCGTCGTGGGCGACTATCGCGCCGCAGTTGCCGCGTGTGTCGCCGCGGGTCGTCACGCGGATGCCCTCGTCCTCGCCTCCGTCGGTGGCGCAGAGCTCTGGGAAGAAACCAGGGCGGCGCACCTCGAGGCGAACATCAATCGGCCGTACTTGCGCGTCGCCTCCGCGGTCGTGTCCAACGACCTCGGGGAACTCGTGAAAACGCGCCCGCTCGCGAAGTGGCGCGAGACGCTCGCGATCCTGTGCACGTACGCCCCCGCGGAGGAGTGGGGCGCGCTCGCGGGCGTGCTCGCCGGTCGTCTCGAGTCCGCGGGGAACGGTCACGCGGCGAGCCTCTGCCACATATGCGCGGGCGACGTCGACGCCGCGGTGACGCACTGGATGGGGTCGTTGCCGGCGGGGAAAGTTGCCCCGAGCGCGATCCACGGCGTGCTCGAGAAGGCGGTCGTCCTGACGCGCGCGACCGGGCAGGCCAGCGGTACGGGGCTGTCCTCGCTCGCGGTGTCGTACGCGGAGATGTTAATCTCCGAAGGGCAGTTGAGCGCGGCGATTTCTTACCTCGATATGGTCCCGGATGGCGGCGACGCCGTGAAGGACCTGCGCGACAGGATCGTGCGCGGCGGCGGCGGGTCGTTGGCGACGACGAGCGCGCCGGTCGCGCCGGCAGCGGCTCCCGCGGCGGCTCCCGCGCAGCACAGCACATATGGAGGATACTCGCAGCAGCCGCAGGCGTCGCAGTACGGCGCGTACGCGCCGACGACCGCGGGCGGCGCGTACGGTCAGACGCAACAGAGCGCGTACGGCCAGACGCAACAGAGCGCGTACGGCCAGACGCAGCAGAGCGCGTACGGCCAGACGCAGCAGAGCGCGTACTCCGCGTACGACTCGACCGCGTCCGCGTATGGTGGCTCAGCTTCTATGGGAGGATACGGCGCGCCGGCGCCGGCGACGGGCGCGTACGCCGCCGCGCCGATGATGCCGGGTCAACCCGGGTCGGCGGTCTCCGCGCCGCAGACGACGTCGGTCGCGGCGGCGCCGTCCTTCGACCCTTCCGCGTCCGCTCCGCCCCCGCCGCCTCCTGCCGCGCCCGCCGCGGCGCCTGCGGTGCCGCCGTCGCAGCAAGCGTACGGCGCGCCGGCGCAGAGCGCGACGCCGCAGCACTACCAGACCGCGCCGGCGCAAGCGCCGCCGCAACAGGCACAGTACGCCGCCGCGCCGCCATCTGCGCACTCCGCGTATGGCGCGCAGCAGCCGCAGCAGCCGCAGCAGGCCGCGTACGGTCAGCCGCAACAGCCCGGGGCGTACCAAACGACGCCGCCGCCGGCGCACTTCCAGCCGTCGATGCACTCGCCGATGCAACCGATGCAGCCGGCGGTCGCGGCGGCGCCGGTGCAGGCGCCCGCGCCGCCGCCCGCGCCCGTGATGCCGAAACCGCCCGCGAACCTGAGCATGCACAACGTTGAGACGGATAAGGTCTCGCCGTCGCACGCGTCGATCGTCAAGTCGCTCACAACCCTGTTCAAGGTGTGCGAGGGCGCCGCGGGGGCGAACCCGGCGAGGAAGAAGGAAGTCGAGGACAGCAGCAAGCGCGTCGCCGGGTTGCTTTGGAAGTTGAATCGCGCGGACGTGTCGCCGAGCGTGTGCGAGAAGTTGACTCAGCTGTGCGCCGCGCTCGACGGGGGCGACGTGGCGACCGCGTCGCAAGTTCAGGTGGCGCTCACGACTCACGACTGGGACGAAGCGAGTTCGTGGTTGAGTGGATTGAAACGGTTGTTGAAGATGCGGTCGAGTATCCAATGAACTTTTTAAGGTTAGCACCTTTTGTGATTCCAACCTGACCTAATGCCGCGGTCTTTTACCACCTCCTCTTCCGCCTCTTCCCCCGGGCGGCGGTCCCCGCCCTCCCCGCCCGCCCATATGGCCTCCCATCCCGCCCATGTGTCCGCCCATTCCGCCCATCATGTTCATAGCAGCCCCCATCTGCATCTGCATCATCATTTGCTGGCGCATCGCCGGGTTCATGTTCATGAACCCGCCGCCGTACTGACCCGAGGCCTGACCTGGAACAGCTCCCCGCCACCGAGTGTCCGGGGGCTTCCCGGCGGGCAAGGGCGGCTGCGTCGCCGAGGACTCCGTCATCTTCGGCGCAAATTTCACGTTAATGTCTCTCCCGTTGATCCTCTTGTATGGCAACTTCTCGTAGCACATCGCCGCGGCGCGAGCGGCGTCTCCCGCGGCGGCGCCGTCGTCGAAATCGACGCGGACGATCCCTTTGGATTTACCATTCAGGACGTCCGTCGTGAACGTCAAGCTCTTCACCGCACCGTACTCTGAGCAGTACTCCTCGACCTCGACGTCCGTCGTCCACCATGAGAGTCCGCTGATGATGACACCCGTAGGCGCGTTTGGGTCCGCCGCCGCGGCGACCGCGAGCGATTCGCTAATCGCCGTGGCAGGGGCAGCAGAGGGAGGATCGCCGCCCGCGTCGGTCGGGGGGGTCGCCGTGGCGGTCGCCGCCGCGCCCGCCGGATCGTCCTCTCCTGCTTTTGCGCCCTCCTGCACGACAGGGACCTCCTCCTCGCCGAGATCGTCCTCGTTCAGGTCGTCGTAGAGGAGTTCGTCCTCGTCAGCGGCGTCTTCCGCCATCGGTCGTGGTGACGATCGATCCAGCGCGCAGCGAGAATGGCATCGCGGAGCATCAGCCAGGCTGCCCTGTAGCAGCCTCGGAGAACGAGCAACTGACCGATGAATCGCTCGCTATGAATGTTTTTTGCGCTTTCGAAATGCCCTTTTAAAGTTTCTCCTTGAAAGCGATTTGGGGGAAGTGCGAAGCACTTAGGTATCTGGGCTCGCTTCCGGCCTCCTGTGTCCGAATACCTCGCATTCTCACACGCCAAAGCGCCGTCGGCCAGCAGGCATCATGTCGTACGGTGAGCGCGCCGCACGGGTCTTCTCTCCCCCTCTCTCTCCCCTCCCCCCCGCGGTCCCCCCCGCGGTTCAAGCTCTCATCACGCCCTTCCTCCCACACGCGCGCTCGCAGGCGGAGGGTACGTCGGGAACGGCGCGGACGCGATGAAGATCCGGAAGTACGAAGAGCAAAGGAAGAAGGCGATGGAAGACGCGGAGAAGGAGAAGAGCGCGCTCGCGTCCGAGTCCGCGAAGAGCCGCATCGTTAACTTCAGCGCGGGAAAGTCCGAGGTGATCGAGAACGCGTTCAAGAACGAGTCCGTCGGGCTTCAAACGAAAGCGCAGTTCGCGGAGAAGCGAGCGAACATCGAGAGGGAGCTCGAGGAAGAGGCGGCGGCGCGCGCAAAGGCGACCGAGGCCGCGGAGTTGAAGAGCAAGGACCGGAAACGCAAGAAGGCGAAGAAAGAGATGACGGCGAAGCTTTCGTTCGCGGACGACGAGCTCGACGAAGAGAACGAGGACGAGTGCTTCCTCCCTGCGGCGAAGAAAGCCGGGAAGTTCGCCACCGTCGGCAAAGATCCGGGCGTGCAGACGCACTTCTTGCCGGATAAAGATAGAGAGATGTCGGAGCGGGACGTGAGAGAGAAACTCAAAGCAGAGTTTATCGCGCAGCAGGAGGAGATAAAGAAAGAGAAACTCGAGATCACGTTCTCGTACTGGGATGGGGGCGGGCATCGACGGAAGATCGAGGTTTTAAAGGGCGACACGATCGGGATCTTCTTAGGCAAGGCGCGGGAGCTGTTGAGCAAGGAGTTCCGCGAACTGAGACACGAGAGCACGGACGGGTTGATGTACATCAAAGAGGATCTGATTCTCCCGCACACCGCGACGTTTTACGACTTCATCGTGAACAAAGTTCGCGGCAAGTCAGGGCCGCTGTTTCACTTTGGCGTCCACGACGACGTCAGGCTGAAAGGCGGGGCGAACATCGAGAAAGAAGACTCGCACGCGGGGAAAATAATCCACCGCACGTGGTACGATAAGAACAAGCACATCTTCCCCGCGAGCAGATGGGAGCAGTACGATCCGCTGCGGCCGGTAGAGTCGTACACGATTTACGGCGGAGAGAAAGGACCTGACCGTAGGTAGTCAATAGTTTTAACGTGTGAAACAAAGTGCTGCACATCGGTCGCATCTACTATCTAGCTAGCTCTCGTCGTCGACTGCTTTATGCTTCGCGAGCTCGGTTTCCGCGGCCACAGCCCGCGCTTCCGTCTCCGCGAGCTTCTTCTGCAGCAGTTGCATCTGGTTCTTCATGACGTCAACCTCGTGCGACGCGGCGTCGCGCTCTCTTTCTCGCTCGGAGGCCTTCTCCCTCAGCTGCTCGCTCGCGTCTGTTTTTTCCTTCACCACGACGTATGCCTTTTCGAGTCTACAAAGCACCGCGCAAACCCTCCAGTGACCCAGCGCTTTGCGAGAGATCGTCCTCCTGGCCTTCGCCGTCATGTTGCGAAGAACCTCCTTCTTCGCGCTGATTTGCTGCACCTCCGTCCTCCACTTCCGAAACGCGGACACCATGGACTGATTAAACACGTTCGCGAGCGTGCGCTGAATGAACGCGAATCGTTTCGCGCTGTTCGCTTGCACCCCCGCGACTTCCTTGTCGAGCAGCGCGTTCTTGCAACGCTGTTCTCTCAGTTGATTCTGAACCCGGGAGTGTTTCAGGAAATACGGCTCCGCGTTTGGCGCGTTCGGATCCTCAAACACGGAGTGAAACACGTCGTCGAGGAGCTTTCTCGTGATTCCACGGAAACGTCCGAAACGCATCACGATCGCCTCTAGCAGCCGGCACACCTCTCTCGTTCGCACGAGGTTCGGCGTGCCCAACGACTCCGTCGACTTCACGACCTCGTTGTACCGCGTCTCTGCGAGAAGCGCGGAGGACGAAAACGCGTCCTCCTCGGATTTATACGACCGCATCCACGCCGATAAGTCTTCACTAGCGAGCTCTTGTCTCAACGAAGAGTGTACTCCTGCGACTGGGACGCGGACGGTTGTCGCCGGGGCGTCGCGACGGTCGAGGTTTCGTCTGCCGTTGCCCGACTTGCGCGTCGCCCCAAAGTCCGCTCCCTCTTTCGCCTTCGGCTTCCAGCCACCTTCCAACCTCCTCGCGCCGGTATCAGGGGTCACGCGTCTGGGCGTGCTGGACGTGATTGTAACAGGCGGCGCGGCACCGGCGCTGGTCACGCCGGGCGGTGGTGCATTCTTGTCGATGACCGTCACGCCTCTCTGCGCTTTCAAGTGCGCGGGCGCTTCCCCTGGCTGAATTTTCACCACCGAACCGGTCTTCACGAGCCAACACGCGTTCGCGTCCGTGAGGACCTGGCCGTCGCATGTTATGTGGAACACGGGCGAGGCACTCCTGAGGAGTTTGCGCAGCGCGTAGTACACCTGCGCGTGCGACAGCGTCGTGTCGAGGTCGGCCTGGAGGGTGTTGTCGCGCGAGAGGAGAATTATCGTCGTCAGCAAATCGGGAATGACACAGCAAGCAGTCGAACGACGAAAGGACGCGGGCGATTCCGACGCGGTGTCGTGGCGAGCGCGGTCGCGCACCTTCAGGATGTGCCAGTCATCCTCGAGGCTGACGTGAACCATCTTCCCGAGAAACGACGCGGCCTTTGCGCCCTCGTTCTGAGCCCGCGGCGCCCCTGTATGCGGATCAAGCCAAGTTCGCGTCGTTCGTCACAGGACTGCCCAGGCCGAGGACACGCACCTGACAGGACGCTGACACGCACTGCAGGTAGCTCTGCTCTCAGTCCACACTTTTTGTCACGTGCACTGTAGAAACCAGCCTCGTACAACGCGACCAACGGCTCGAGGACATACCGCCGGCGCGCAGAACGCAGACCGTCACAGGAAAAAAAGCCCACCTCCGCGCGATCCGAACTCGCGTACAGCGCCGAACCGAGACCACCGTCCAAAACCCGAGCGAGCGATGGAGATCTAGAAGCCATGCGCCAGGAAAGTGTGTATGAACAAGAAGATCTAGACGAGGACGACGAGGAGGAGGAGGAGGAGGATGAGGAAGACGAGGAAGAGGAGGAGGAGGAGGAGGACGACGAAGGCGGCGACGACGACCCCGGGGGCTTGCAGGCCCTCCTCAATCGCCTCGGCGGGGGTCTCGATGGTCTTCTCCCGAACACGAGCCGCACGCACGGCCGTCTGAAGCAGATCCTAGCGGGCCTTCGCGCAGAGGGCGACGAGACACGTCAGATGGGCGCCCTTCACTCGCTGTGCGAGGTGCTCGTCATCTCCTCGGAGGAGTCCCTCATCACGCTGTCGATCGACGCTTTCACTCCCGTGCTCGTTCAGCTCATGCAGTACGAGCACAATCCCGACTGCATGCTCCTAGCCGCGCGCGCGCTAACGTCAATGGCGGACATCCTGCCGAACTCCCGTGCCGCCATCGTGCACTACGGCGCCTTGCCCACGTTTTGCAGCCGGCTGCTCACCATCGAATACATCGACCTAGCTGAGCAGTCGCTGCAGGCGCTGGAGAAGTTGTCGCAAGACCAGGGCGCGAGCTGCCTGCGCGAGGGTGGGATGATGGCGTGTTTGAGCTACCTCGACTTTTTCGCACTCGGCATGCAACGCGTGTCGCTGCAGACAGTCGCGAACATGTGCCGCCAGCTCCCGGCGAGCGATTGCTGGGAGCTCGTATCCGACTCAGTCCCGGTGCTGACTAACTTGCTGTTGCACGACGACGGACGGTTGGTCGAGAGCGCGTGCACTTGCCTCACGCTCATCGCGGCTAATTTTAGCGCGCGGCCTGAGCGCTTGCAGGCAATGTGCACGCATGGACTGATTCCGAATGCGACGAGGCTGATTTCCCCCGTCTCATCCGGGGGCACCACCGTCGGGCCCTCGACCTATCGCAGTCTAATTCGTCTCATCGCGACATGCTGTAAGAGTTCCGCGGACGTAGCGGAACAGCTGCTGCGAAATGCTCTGCCGGTCACGCTCAAGTCCGTGCTCGCTGGATGCAACGTGCTCTCGACAACCGCGGCTTCCCCGGCCTCGCCGGTGGTTTCCACTGATCAGCTTTTGGAGGTGGTCACCCTGACGAACCAGCTTCTTCCTTCTATTCAGCCGGGAAGCGGCGCATCCGATTCGCCCCTCATCGCGTTGCGCGTAGACGCGGCCGCACCTACGTCGTCCACAACCGCAGTGGTTGAGAGTGGGGGCGGGAAGTCGACCGCGGAAACAGCGAATGCGGGTGGCATCACTCTCGAGCAAATCTTGCGAGCCGAGCCTGAGCTTCTTCGCGAGTACGGGTCGAATCTTACCGCAGCGCTGATGCAAGTGATCGTGGCGTCCGTGGGGAGCAACGTAAGGTTGCAGTGTCTGGCATCGCTCGCAAAGTTCCTCCATCATGCGCCGCCAGAGATGCTCTCCTCTGGTCCCGCTGCGCTTCAGCCGGGACAGATGGCGTCTTTCCTCGCCGGTCTCGTGTCTTCGCGCGACTCTGCTGTGGTACAGGTAGCTCTTTATCTTGTGGACCTTCTAATGGACAAGCTCCCGGACACGTTTAGTAGAGTGTTTAGGAAAGAGGGCACAGTGCACGCTATTGAGCAGCTCTGCGCGCAGAAATTCGAGGAGGCAACCGTGGATGACAACAACAGCCACTCAGGAGGAAATGTCACTCCGCGCGATAAAGTAGTTCCACCTGGTGTGGATAACGAAAGCGTCGACTTCGCAACACCGATTAGGACTGGTGGATCCTGTCGCACCGTAGTGGACACGCCGCAGCGTCGAGCTGCGGTGGAACGCGCTGTCTCTCTTCGCACTGCGCACTTCAATGCCGCCGCGACGGGTGGCGCGGTAGACCTACTCCAAAAAGCGTCCGCGCCGCTCCGCACCGCTGGTTCTGACCCTGAGACAGCCGCCGCGGTCGCGATACATTTCCTAACCGCGCTAGACGAAGGCGAGGGCGCGTCAACGTTTGAGTTCATCGAGTGCGGCGGCGTCAACGCGCTCGCTTCGTATTTCAGCGGCGGTGACCTTCCCGAGGAAGACAGTTGGGGCGAGTCAATCGCCGCGCGGCTCTCTGCGTTTGTTCGCGCGGCTTCCATTAATCTATCACAAAAAACGATGCGTGGAATAGTGGAGCGATTGCTAGACGCCTTGGCTGTGACGGAGGAGATGCCCGTGCGGCTCAGCGCGGGCTCGGAGGGCGGTAGCAGTGGAAGGGGAGCGAGCCGGAGCGCATCGCGCGGCAGCGCGGGTGAATCTGCCGCGAGCGATGGTCTGAGCGTCCTCGCACGGCCTTTCAAGCTTCGGTTATGCCGTGCTACTGGAGCGCGCGCGGGACTGAAGGAATACTCCTCGAATGTTATTCTCGTGGAGCCCCTCGCTACGCTAACGGCCATCGAGGACTTTCTGTATCCTCGCGTGCACAAACCAGAGAGCGCCGCGGCTACTTCTACGGCGTCCGCAGCATCTGGGGAAGCTGAGAACTCGCATGATGTTGCCCGACAGCCAAACGGACCATCTGAGAAGAAGGATGCGGATGCCAAGGCTGAGACTGCTCAGCAAGCGGATGAAGACGATGAAGAAGATGACAACGTCGAGGAGGAAGACGAGGAGGAAGTGATCGATGACGACGCAGAAGAAGAAGAGGAAGACATCCCGCGTGCTGAACAAGTGGAGGATGTGGATCCCGCTGAAAGATCAGCTTCTCCATCAACGCCATCTACGACTGCTGCCGCGGTGGCGGCAGCAGCCCCACCGCGACTGCTATTTCACGCGTCCGGGGTTGATCCTTTTCACCCCGCGACGAGTGTGCTGCAAGCTGTGCACGCGGCGGCGCTCGCGGCGGCGGCAACCGAGAATGGAACTCACGCGAGAGAAGCTGGCGACGATGCCGAGGGTGGCAGGCTGAGCACGGCGAGTTTATGGGAGAAAACCCACACGCTGTACTACGCGATTCCGGTTGACGGGCAAGCGCTTCCGCCGCCGCCGCCAAGCTCGGGCGCGGGCGCCGCTGCAGCTGTGATGGACTCGTCAGATGCGACCGAAGCTCTCGCAGCATTTGGTCCGCGCGACCGCCGCGCCGCTTTAGGGAGCGTTCTCCCGGCACTTCGCGGCAAGTTGTGTGGCGACGCCCCCCCGTCTGGGTTGACGGACACCGTAAAGTCTATCATATCCGTGCTATCCGTGTTTCACCGAATCATAACCTCCGCGCCACGTCTCTTCGCGCTAGGAGACGTCGAGGATGAGAACGTGACGGCGACGAATATCAATGCGGCGCTCGCGCTTCCAAGTGACGCCTTCTTAAGCTCCAAGTTGGCGGGCAAGATGGTAAGGCAACTGCAGGACACACTGGCGTTATGCACCGGGAGCTTACCTGCGTGGTGCACTGTTATCGCTCGTTCATGTCCATTCTTATTCCCATTCGAGGCGAGGCAGCAGCTGTTTTACTGCACCACGTTTGGATTGGCGCGTGCACTGCATCGTTTACACGGGCAGACACAAGAAAATGGAGGCGGCGGGGGCAACGGTGGGGCCGGTGGGCGGGAGTTGAGGGTAGGGCGACTGCAGCGGCAAAAGGTTCGAGTGTCGCGCGAGCGAATACTCGAATCAGCCGTTAAGGTTTTCGACATGACCGGCGCGCACAAGATGGTGCTCGAGGTTGAATTCTTAAACGAGGTGGGCACTGGCACGGGGCCGACGTTGGAGTTCTACACCTTACTCTCCAAGGAACTCACGCAGCGCGCACTGGGGGCATGGAGAGACGTTCCCAACGCAGACGGAACCGGGAGCGACATCAAATACGTAAACGCCCCGCACGGTTTATTCCCAGCGCCCGTGAGTTCTAGTGCATACGATGTTGCGCCCCCGGGCTCTCCGGGTAAGCTCACGCGCGGGGATCTATTCCGTCTTCTCGGGCGCGTGGTTGGCAAGGCGCTCCAGGACGGGCGGCTGCTCGACCTCGGTCTCAGCCCGGCGTTTTTTCGCGCCATCACTGGTCGCACACTCGCGTTGGCCGACCTCTCCGAGATCGATCCTGAACTCGGACGCACGCTCACGCAGCTTTCAACTGCGGCGCGTCGTATCGACGCGTTGAAAAAGGCCGGGGCGGACTTCCCCTCGGTAACAGTTGGAGGGGCCGCGATTGAGGACCTCTGTATGACGTTCACGCTGCCAGGAGACGACGCGTTTGAACTCAAACCCGGAGGAGCGGACGTTGCGATAACCGCGGAAAACATCGCAGAGTACGTCGACGCGGTCGTCGACGCGACTGTTGGCGGCGGCGTCGCTAGGCAGATCGACGCGTTTCGAAGCGGACTTTCGGACATATTACCACCGCAGGCCCTCGTCGTGTTCTCTGAGGCCGAGCTTGACTGCATGCTGTGCGGCCAAGGGCAGAAGTGGACGACTGAGCTTTTGAGTGAGTGCGTAACGTATGATCACGGGTACACCGCGCAGTCCCCACCGATCAGATCGCTGATGGAGACGATGTGTGGATTCGGGCCGGAAGAGCAACGATCTTTCTTGCGCTTTGTCACCGGGGCTCCGAGGATGCCGCCGGGGGGGCTCGCAGCGCTACAGCCACGACTCACGGTGGTGTGCAAGCAACCCTCGGGTGGCGGTGGGGGGGCGAGCACGCGTCAACTAGCGGAAGGCACCGTGTTGGCGGACAAAGATCTGCCCTCGGCGATGACGTGCGCGAGCTACCTCAAGCTCCCGCCGTACAGTCGCGTTGAGGTTCTCAAAGAACGACTCACGTACGCCATCACGGAAGGAGTGGCGAGTTTCGATCTGAGCTAGCTAGCGTGAAAATTGTCATGACGAACGAACGAACGATGCGAGCGAATACGTTCTCACTAGTCTATGTAATTGTAGACTACTGTGCTAGTTTCCAGCGAAGTCGAGGGAGCCAACGGTCTTCGCGCCTCTCGCAGTCCCCCACTTCGACGAGCTCGTTCGCTGCGGTGGCGTTTCGGGCTCCACCGCACTCGCCACCTCGTCGCCCACATTAACCGCCAGCCGCGTGAAAGGTGTACGTCCAAACTCGAGACACGCAAGCTCGTATTCGTCCGCCTCGTAAAAGCACCCGTTTTCGTCGACCGTGACCGGTGACTCCGTGTCCATCAGGCGGAAATACCGCGGCCGGATCAGCGCGCAGCCGGAAGGTTTCACGACGACCTCGTTTGGCGACAGGTTACGCAGCATGACCCGATCGCAAACTATAGGCACGTTTGGCATCGACATCACCTGCGCGAATGCGTCGTTACCTCCGAGGATGCCGCGCTCAGCTCCTGGACCATCTTCGAACGTGAACTGCTCATCCCCTCCAACGTTGTATGCACGACGCGCGGACGCGGCGCCGCCTCGTTCCGGCGGTTCCTCGCGTATCAACCTGCGCGCCTCTTTCGGGGTGATGTCGTCCGATATTTCAAACTCCACCATGGGCAAGTGCTCAAAAGTGACGAACGAACGAACGAAACAACCTCCGCAGCTGACGCACACGTCGCCTTTACCAGATACAAGCGGGTTTGTAGCGCTGCAACGATAGCACATCGGCAAAAGGTCATCCGCGTCTGTTAACGGCTTCGATCGCGATACGATGCACGCTAAATCGACCTGTGCCTGCCATGAGGCTGGTATCTTCAGTCCTTGAAGCTTGTTGTACGCGAACCTCGCGAGCTTGTATGCCCCGAGCGCGTCCCCGTGCTTCGCGAGGGTATTGAGGACGTAGGCGAGGCTGATCCCGAGCGGCATCTCGTCACGCGTTGCAAACTTTGAAAGGAGAAATTGCCCGATGTTCAGCAATGTGGACGGCAAAGACGAGCGGAAAGGTTCGTCCATAGCGCGGTATATGAAGTCGTACGCGTAGTACATCTCAGCACGGTCTTTGAATTCTTCGAAGCGATCCAATTTCGCCTCGTCCTCGTCTGAGAGGAGCGCCCTGGGGTCGTTCGGGAGCTCTGACACGATCTCCCGCGACATGAGCCAGTAGCAGTGCCCGGCGTCCTGAAATCGCCGCTCTAACACCGCGTTGTGTGTTAACTGTTCGAGCATCCGCGTCGCCGCATCAGATCGACCCGCCTTAGCGTACGCCAAACGGGCTTCGTCGAACCTGTCGTTCTCCGCGAGCCAACGCGCGTACGGCAGGTACACCTTCTCGACGTGCTGCGGGTGTTGCTGGAGCATAATGAACGCTTCTTCCCACTGCTCCGCATCCACGAGGAGCGACAGCAAGCCCTCGTCGTCACCTAACTTAGTGTACACGTCCCTAGCGTGGACATGATCCCCCCATTGCGCGAAGTGCATCGCGCACAACTTCAAGTGCTTGACATCCGACGCACCCAACGCTCTCGTCACCTCAACGAGTTTATCCTTCCAGCCGTTCTTCGCGATGAGGTCTATGGCTTTGTCAAATTTCTTGGCCTGAATGTACATCGTCGCCGCCGCGGCGTAGTCAGAAACCTCCTCCGCCCACTCCGCTTGCCTGTGAACAAACTCCTGGACGAGGGTGCTGTCCCCGCCCTTCGTGTGCGCGTACTCCTCAGCCCATTTTTTTGCCTCGTCAAATTGACGAAGGTCAGAGAACATCTCCATTGCTTTGTCCACGCGATTCGCCTTCGCGAACATCTTCGCAGCCTCGTGAAACTTACCTTGATACGCCAACGCCTCAGCGAGGTACATCTCGGATGGATCCCCATTCTTAACCCCTTCCTCACATTTATCAATGAGTTCCAGGTATTTCAAGTCTCGAACACGAATGAAGGCCTTTCGCGCGATGGCCAAGTTCATCCCAAACAATGCCGCGAAACCAAGATCGCTCCAGTCCTTCTCCGTCACGCCAAGACACGCCACCGAGTGTGCCATGTCAAAATTATTTACCTTCACGTAGTTCCACATGCTCATTGACTGCGGCACGTCTATAGTCTGCATGCTCACGTAATGCAGACAAAATATTTTCGACGCCTTGAACCCCACGACGAAGCCCTCGAGTTTCTGTCTGTGCACGGGAAAGTCGCCTGTTTTTATCGATAGCTGCCCGTTTCCGGAGTAACACAACATCTCCTCGAACTCGCTGTTGAACGAGACGCTGTTCGCGTCTGTATCCGTGAAAATAGACTTTTTTGTCTCGAGGTCGTACACTGTCACCTCGGAGTTGTCGTCTACGACGGCGAGCTTTTGTCGCATGAACGACTGGTCCAGGCACCGGATCGAGACGCCGTGCTCGATGAGCTGAACAGGGTGCGAGTTGTTGATGAATATTCGGAAGACGACGCCGCTCTTCAAGCCCACAAGGATGCCCTCCCCCTTGTCTGGTCCGCCTACGACTTTGATGTACCTGATCACCGATTCCATCGTCCACTCGCGCTCGAGCTTGCCTTCGAAATCATAGAGCTGTAGCTTCTTTTCGAGGCACAGGACGATGTGGTGGGACGTCACGACGAGCAAGTTGCACTCCAAGTTCCGCATGATTCTCGTCTTCTCGCGGTACTGCATCTCGTATGAGTCCGCTTCCAGAAGATCGTAAATAATAACCTCCTTGGGAAGCTGCACCGCGAGCGTTTCCTTGTACACGGATATTCTCTTGACGTAGTCTTTGCACTTAATTCGCAACTTTTGCTCCGTCACGAGATGTTGAATGATGACGTCCGTCATATAGTCCCTGTACGCGTATCGGTCCCTGTATAATCCGTGCACGGTGCTGAATATCAGCTGGTGCATCGTGATCGAGCCATCTTCGCACCCGACGGCGACGTAATTTTGTTTCGGCCGTGGCGCCGCGCACCACACCCACGACCCCGCCACGCACACGTCTTTCAGCGGCGTTCCCTCCTTCGTCGCGAGCGTCACCTTACGATTCGTCCCTCCCGTCACCATGTATTCGCCGTTGCTGAAGTATCTGACCGTGCACGGATCGTAATCAAGCGCGATGTCCTTTCCGACCTGGGTTCCGTTGAGTTGGTAAAACGAAAGCGACTCGTCCCAGCACCCGCACGCGAGAACGTCGTGGGGTTCGTCCCGGTTCGGGTTCCACGCCAGCGTCCACACCGGGGCACCGAGTTTGATCTTCATTTTCTCCCCACCAGATCGATCTCTGACGGACACGACGCCGTCGAACTGCCCGAGCGCGAGGTATTGCCCGTCATTCGTCCACGCTAAGCTCAGAATCTTCGCGGACACCTTGTGCTTCACGACGGCTTTCTGATCTGGGGCCCAGAGGCCGAAGTCGACCGCGGTCGCGGACGCGAGGTGCGCTGAAGTTGGATTGTACGCCAGCGCCTGGATGGATTCGTTGTGCGTGTACTTCAGGACGCCCTCGGCTTTGGACGACCAGATGATTATCGTCCTGTCCGCTCCCCCGGACGCGAACTTCTTCCCATCGCGGCTGTACGATACGCAGTAAACCGCGTCTTTGTGCGCCTTGAGCGAGTGCAAGAGGTTGCCGTCGGCAGCGTCGTACACGAGAACGCGGCTGCCTACACCGGTGACGAGCTTCGTCCCGTCGGGGCTAAACGCGATGTCGTAGCACACGCTTCTAACGCCATCGCGTTCGGGCTGAGGGACGAGGAGAGGGCATCAGTCGGACGCTCGATCGCGGGTGGTGTGATGTGAACGGGGAAACGCGCGCGACGGGATTTCGTTTGAGTTTCAAGGACGTACCGCAATGTCGCTCCATGTCACCACAGTGCGCATCTGTGCGCCTGTCCGCCTCTGGGGTGCGACGCAACTCGTGAAGTTGAAGTTTCAAAAAAAACTCGCGAACGTGAAGAGCAGAAGATGAACGAAACGACGGCGAGCACTGAGACCAAGACGAGACCAAGACGTCGCGAGCTGGCGTCCGCGTGACCGCCGTCGGCGCGGACGACGCGAAAACTACGAAACTCAGGAGCTCACCGGGTCGAGCCGACGTGCTCCCGGGGGGAGAGCGAGGAGAGAAGAGCATGTCCGCACGTGGTTTCAGCGGCGGTGGAAGAAGCTTGGAAGAAGCCCAGCAGCGCGCGGCAACCGCGTCGTCGCGCGTCAAACTGAAGAAGTTTCTCCTACGGTACTACCCGCCAGGAATCATTCTCGAGTACACACACAATGGCGAGCTCATGCAGCGGAGCGTGGACCTGCTCGACCTCACCGCAGAGACGGACACCGAGGCGGTGCTGAACCAAATCGTCGAGCGAGAGAAGATGATCAAAGAAGCCCATCGCGAGCCACTTCGTAAGCTCATCTTCAAACTCCAGGCCAAGCTCGGCGGGGGAGTGGTCAAGACAAACTTCGCCCTGTCCAAAGTCCTGCGCGCGCACATTCTGCCGCTGACGAACTGCGCGTTTAACAAGGGTGGGGACAAGTTCATCACGGGCAGTTACGATCGAACGTGCAAGGTTTGGTCCACGGACACGAGTGAGGAGCTGCAGACATTGGAGGGACACAAAAACGTCGTGTACGCGATCGCGTTTAATAATCCCTACGGGGATAGAGTGCTCACGGGTTCGTTCGATAAAACCGCGAAGCTGTGGGACGCGAGCACCGGTCAACTGTATCACACGATGAACTCGCACACCGCCGAAATCGTGTGCGTCGGATTTAACCAGCAGAGCACGACGTACGCGACGGGTTCGATGGATAACTCCGCAAAGCTGACGGATGTGGAAACGGGCGCGGAGATTTGCACGCTGTTGGGTCACTCAGCGGAGATCGTCGCTTTACACTGGTCGACCGCGGGAGACCAACTGTGCACGGCGTCGTTTGACCACGAATCCAGAGTATGGGACGCACGAACGGGACGATGCGTGCACGTCTTGTCTGGTCACACGAGCGAGGTGAGCTCCGCGCAGTGGAACTTCTCGAGCGATGCGATCGTTTCAGGTTCCATCGACGGAACGGCGAAGATTTTCGACGTCAGAGCTGGTGAGTGTCGAGCGACGTTGACCGGTCACGCGGACGAGGTGTTAGATGTGGTCTTCAACGCGACAGGGACGAAAGTCGCGACCGCGTCCGCGGATTGCACGGCTAAACTTTGGAACGTCAGCAGCGGTCGATGCGAGGCCACGCTCTCGGGTCATTCTCAAGAGGTTTCGAAGGTTTCATTCCGTCCTCAGGGTGACCGCGTGTTCACCGCGAGTGCGGATTCGACTGCGAAGGTATTCGACGTGAACGGTGGTAAGTGCCTCCAAACTTTAGAAGGGCACGGCGACGAGATCTTCAGTCTCGCTTCGAACTACCACGGAGACGTCTTGCTGACGGGCAGTAAGGACAATACGTGTAGAATTTGGAAGACGTGAGACGTGGCGTGTGTTAGCTCCTAGTTTTTTCGTTACGAAATCGTCGCGCGCTAATGTAGGTACTCGAGAGTGCAGCCGAACTAGTACTGCCGCGGCGGCGGCGGCGGAGGCGGCGGCCTGCCGCCTTGCTGGTTCGCGGGAAATCCATATTGCTGCTGATACTCTAGACCGCTGCTGTATTGGTGATGCTGCTGCTGAGGTGGCACTGGATGCTGCGACGGCGGAGGAGCGAACGGCGCCGACGGGGACGTCGTCTGGTACGTCAGATGCACCGCCGCCGCCTGAGGATACGGACCAACGCCAGCGGGATAGCCTTGACCGGTGGACCCGGGTCCCGGCGGCGGCGCTCCGGTGACGGACATGTTCTGCATCTGCGCCGCCGTCGCCGCCGCCGCGGACGCGTGCCACGCCGCGTGCTCGGAATAGTGGTGTCGCTGCATCTGCGCCGCAGATGCCCTCTGCGCGTCCACCATCGCCTGAGCCTCGGACATTGCTCTTTGAGCCGCGGCTTGATCCGCAGCTGCACGCGAAGCCGCCGCCGCGCTCGCAACTGCGTGCTCGGCGGCCATTGCCGCCTGTTGTGCGCGACGCGCCACTGCTTGTTCGAGTTCCCCTTTTTCCTTCCGTCTCCCCTCCACAAACGCCTCGCAGTCCGATCCCAGTTGCCTCACCGCCTCGGTGAAGCCAGAGTAAAACGTCAAACCTTGCTCCATACCCGAGGCTAACAGACGGTAGTGCGCCGCAGCTTCCCTGACTGCCTCCGCGTGCGATCGCGTCGCCGCGCGCCACTCCGTGACGTCGTACGTCTGCAGCAATTTTCCGTGAAGCGACCTCACACGTGATAAGATATCTGATTGGGATGAAACATTTGCCGCGACCGCAGACCGAGGCGCATCGTACTTCACGAGCTCACGTTCGAACAATTCGTCGTACGCGTCCGTCTGCGCCATCACCTTGCTCATGATGTTGTCGTTCTCCTTGAGCGCTTTCATCGTGTCCTCGATTTTAGCGCGTTCGGTTCCCAATGCCTCTAACTCCCCAAGAGCGCTTTGTAACTCTGGCACGATGCTGGAATCCTCCGCGGTAGACAACATCGGGGCGCGGAGCTTCGGGGTGTCGTTCACGAGGGCGGTTGGATCGAGCAACGCGAGAACGCCATCCATCGCGTCTTCGATTCGGCGCCTCATGGATTCGTCGCTTCTAGCCGCCTGCTCGAGGTTATCTGTGTACGTGCGAATCTTCTCGTACAAATTCGCGTTGAGATCTGCGCTGTTCGGTCGCGTCCAGGCTTGCGGGCCGTACATCATACGGCAGGATTCATCCTCCGTAGACTCCGCCTCGAGCATCCGCGTCGCCGCGGCGAGCTGCTGCGTGCACGCCTCGTTGATGTCGAGCAGCCGAGGCAGGCCGCCGATCAGTGCTGCTACGCCACCCCCGCGTTGAATAGACCCGACCTCCTCGTCAAGCGGCGGCGGCAACCCGGCGCCAGACGCGCCGGCCGGATCCCCTCCGGTATCGCTCGCCCCCGCGACCGCAGCGATGAGCAGATCAGGCATCTCCATTTCTTTCAGAGCCATCCTCGCCTCGTCGCTCGCGGCGACTAACACGTCGTTCTCCTCGCGAATGATCGAATCCACCATCTCCGTGTACTTACTAAGCGCCTTGAATCCGGACTCGGGGACAATGGTCGCAAACATCGTCTCGGACGATGCGCTCAGCGTCTCCGGCGCGGGCTTCACCGCCTTGACGACCGCGGCCGCACCGAGTGGTGGCAATGTATCCGGAGAGGGGACTTTCACCATGTATACGCACTCGTTATCTCGATTCGCCCGCCGCAAACTCTCGTCGACAGTCACTTGCAACTCGAAGAGCGCCTTCGACGACGGCCCGTCGCCGTTTACGCTCTTCACCACCTTGACGCCCTCGGCAGTTACCCGTGACGCGATCATGAGGCGCGCAATCGCGGTGCCGATGTCCTCGTCCTCCTCCTCGGCGATCTTCGACGCGCGAGTCAGCGCCTCGACGTGGAAAATAGCCGCCTTCGCCGCGGCGTGAGCGTGCCAAGTTTTATCAATGTGGCCCTTCAACGGCGCCGCGTCGAGGGCGTTCCTCGCGTCTTCGTAAAATAACCTCGTCTGATTCGCCAGCTTAACGCACACCGCGGAGCTCTTACCGTCTCCCGCGGCTTTATCGTAGAAGCACTCTTGTGCCTGCGCGAGGTGAAGCGACGTCAACATCCCGACGCACTCTTGCGTCAGATCAGGGGTGACGCTGTCTATCGCGCCGGACGCGAACGCGCCGAGTTTACCGAGGACGTCGTCCTTCAGCGTCGCGAACGCCCCCGCGGCGTGCTGAAATGCGTGGCACGCGACTTTGATCCCCTCGGACGTGGTCCTGTCCGCGGTGACCCCGGCTTGGCTCCACGACGCGCCGAGGTTGAAGAGCACCGCGGCTTTCTCGAAGTGCACGTTAGCGAGCGTCGCGGTCTTGTTCGGCTTAAACCCGTCGCACCACGAGAACGGGATGAACACGTGCCCGTCCTGACCGCTGATCGGGAACCTCGACTCGACGACGCTCAGGGCGCGGTAGTACGACAAAAGCGTTTCTCGTCTTCGCTCGTGGCTCGTTTCGTCGTTCGAGACGACGGATCGACGCAGGTCGGACAACGTGGTAAGATCCGCCTGAGCGTCTTCCGCTTCTTGCGGCGAGAACGTGCCGCTTATGTACGTCGTGATCGGCGAGACCAAATCCACGGGCTCGCCCTGCAGGTGGTGAGCGAGGGGCGATGAGGCTGGACGTGAGCGAGCGCGTGGGGGGAGCGGACAGGGCGCGGCGCTCGAGGAATTGTTGTTGACGTTGTTGACACGACCCGGCGACGTCACAACGAGCGCCGTCGCCGCGTCGCGCGCGCGCGGGGTGGGTGACGAACAACGGTGATTTCACGATGACGACGGCACGGACCTGTTTGGGGATGATCCCGCACATCATCCCGTTGCTCGCCATGACCAAGCGCTCGGCTGCGCGAATGTGCCAAGTGTGGAGAAAACTCTCGCCCTGGCCTCCTCGCATTTTCTCCCAGCATTTGTTCGCAGTTTGTACTTTTGAGGTCTTTTGTATGGGAACCAGTCACATTGTCGAACGCACGCGTATCGGCGATGCGCGTACTCCACGATATCTTCTTCGTCAGTTCGTGGCCAACGAGCTGGATAAGTTAACGCAGAGGACGCGACGCGACCGGAAACGCTCGCCCGATGTCGCGAGCGTCTTGTACCTCGCCGACCGCGGCGGCGACGCGGAGCTACGTGACGTCAGTTCAGTTTGCGAGAGGACAAGGCGCGGCGGGCGCGCTAAAGACGAAGATTGTCGGTGTCGCGTTTGTGACGAGATCGAGCTCGGGAAGATACTGTCGAGGACCGCTCATGAACGCGGTCCCGACCGGCATGGCGGCGGTGGACGTCTCCGAGACGTCGTACGCGGGCCGACGCGTCGTCCTCACGCGCGAGAGCGGGAAGAACGGGGACATGATGGAGCGCCTCACGAGACGAGGGATCGAGTGCGTCGAGATGCCTCTCATCGAGACCGCCGTGGGAGCGGATGCGCCGTCGCTGCCGTCCGCGCTGAACGATCCCGAGGGGTGGACGTGGGTGTGCATCACCTCCCCCGAAGCCGCGGCAGTGTTCCTAAGAGGATGGGAACAAGCGGGACAGCCTGACGTCGCGATCGCGACCGTCGGCAAAGGCACCGCGAAGGTTCTGAAGCCGGCGTACGACGCCGGGAAGCTCCGCGCGAGGACGTTCACGCCGTCGAAAGCGAACGCGGAGACGCTCGTCGCCGAGCTGCCGTTAGACGCGGACGACGCGAGCGCCCCCGCGGCGCCGAGGGTGCTGTACCCCGCGTCCGCGAAGGCCGCGAGCACGCTCCAGGACGGATTAGCGAAACGCGGCGCGATCGTCACGCGTCTGAACACGTACAGCACGGAGAAGGTGACCGCCGTGGACGAGGACGTCTTGACGAGAGCGAAGACCGCGGACGTCGTGACGTTCGGTTCGCCCTCCGCGGTGAAAGCGTGGGTCTCCCTGTCCGGGTTCGACTCGGACACGCCCGCGGAGACGCACCCGGCGTACGCGTGCATCGGCGGGACGTCCGCGAAGGCGTGCGACGCCGTCGGGATCCCGAACGTGATGTTCGCGGAGAACCCGGGTCTGGACGGGTGGGAGCTCGTCGTGTGCAAGGCCTTGGACGGGGCGAGGGAGAGATCGGGGGCGGGTGGCGGTGATAGAACACAGTCGATAGACTAGAAGTGGATTCTTAGTTTATCTACTTGAGCAATAAGACCCCAGGTTGGATACCTTCATACCTTTTATGCACTCAGACCTGTAACTTCACCTTAGTCTTCCTCTTGTACCGCATGAACTCTTGAACGCGTTTTCGCTCAGTCCTCTCACAGAGGTCCTCTCGCACGTCGATATGGCCCCGCGGCCGATGCTGGTCGTCACCTTGCTCCTCGCTTCGTTGGCATCCGCGCTCGGGGAGAGCATCTCTCCCTCGTGCGCCGCCGCCGCTCGTCCGATTGTCGTCATCGGAAGCGTGAACGTGGATCTCACGGTGCGAGTCGCTCGACCTCCGTCGGTAGATGAGACAGTTCTCGCAACCTCGCCGACGCTCACGACAGCAGTTGGAGGTAAGGGCGCGAATCAAGCAATCGCGGCCGCCCGACTATCCGCAGGGTCTCGTCCCGTGAGATTCGTCGGTCGATTTGGAAACGACGCGCATGCGAGCGTGCTCGAGACCGAGCTGCGCGAGAACGGCGTGGACGTTTCCTCGTGCGGTCACGTCGACGACCTTCCCTCGGGGCAAGGCTTCGTCATGCTCTCCCCAGACGGCGCCGCGTCCTCCGTCGTCATCGGCGGCGCGAACACCGCGTGGCCGAGCGACGAGCGAACGCTTCGTAAGCTCGTGACGGACGCCGTACACGGCGCCGCGGTCGTGTTGCTGCAACGAGAGGTCCCAGAGCGCGTCAACGTCGCAGCCGCGAAAGCTGCGAACGCGGCGAACGTCCCAGTCATCCTCGACGCCGGCGGCGCGAACACTGCGTTATCGAGAACGCTTCTTGAGTTGATAGATTACCTCTGCCCGAACGAGACTGAGCTCATGAGGTTGACCGGGATGCGCACGGAGACGGACGATGACGTAGTAACGGCGGCGAAGACGCTGCTCAAGAATGGTGCGAATCACATCCTGGTGACGTTAGGCGGGCGCGGGTCCGTGTCCGTGAGCGCCTCTGAAGTGAAGTGGCACGAGCCGATCGCGGTGCCGAAAAATGAGGTCCTCGACGCGACCGCGGCCGGCGACGCGTTTCGAGCCGCGATCGCGGTGTCCATCGCCGAAAGCGGCAGCGGTGAATTGACCGAACGCGGGGCGAAGCTCGCCGCCGCGGCGGGCGCGTGCGCAGTTCGCGTCGTGGGCGCGATGCCGTCGCTCCCGACGAGGGAAGCGGCGGATGCTCTTCTCTCGCCGGAAGACCGTTCGCTGAAGTTGAGTTCGTCGTGCCAAGCGACGTCGGATGCGCGGGAGATGACGGGAACGGTCGAAGAGTGCCCTTTACTTTTCGGTTCGCGCCTGAATTCGATGAGAGCGCGCCCTGACCTTTTTGCGAGGTCGGCTTCGGCGTCGTCGCTGTGGGGTCTGGGTAAATCCAGCGACGTAAAAAGGATAAGTACGCTCGATATGATTCAAAGGCTCGGGACTGCGTCGGGTATAACCTCTGTCGATATCAATTACCCGCAACACCTCGAAGGACTCAAGGCGAAGGCCGTGAGCACAGCGCTCGCCGCCGCCGGCATCACGCCTGGGTCGATCGCGGTGCGATTCCCGGCGACGATTTCATACCGTCGTGGCGGCGCATTCACAAACCCCGACCAGCGCATTCGCGCTGAGGCGGTGAAACTCATCGCGAACGCGTGCGAGTGGGCGAACGCAATCAACGCGTCTGGAGGCGTCGTAATTTGGCCGCAATTCGATGGGTACGACTATCATTTCCAAGTAAACTACACGGAGACGTGGGAACGCGGCGTCGACGCGCTCCGCGACGCTGTGGACCATCCTAGGTGTGAGGGCGTAAAGATTTCGTACGAATTCAAGCCAACGGACGAGTCGTCGCGATTCGCAATCGTACCAAGCACCGCGGCGGCGTTGGCGTTAGTTCGCGAGGTGAACCGTCCCGGCAGGTTCGGTTTGACCTTGGATGCGGGGCATTTGATCGCGGCGGGAGAGAACCCAGCGCAGAGCGCCGCTTCTGTCGCTCGCGCGAACGCGCTTTTCGGATTTCACATAGGCGATGTTCACTCAAAACTAGGAGCGGAGGATGGGTTAGCGTTCGGTTCAGTGCATGCTTCTTTGTCGTTGGAGCTCGTGTATTGGCTTCGGGCGGTTCGGTACGTTGGAGTCGTGTATTTCGACACGTTCCCCGAGGCGGAAGATCCCGTGAGAGAGGCAGAGTATAATGTACGAACGTTCAAACGGATGTGGAACATAGCGGGGAGGTTAGAGAGAGCGGGCATGGGGTCGAAGCTCGCTGAACACGACGCGATGGGATCCCTCGAGTTGATCGAAAAGGGTTTCTTCGCGCCATAAGAAACGTCCGGATTTGACGAGAGTGCATGTCTCCAGCCGTGTGACTTTACGTTCGTGTCATGTTCAGTTCTAGTTCTAGCTAGACTATCGTATCGACAACATCGCGTCGATTAACTACTCGCGGACTTGTACAACCTCCCCGACTTCAAAATATCCCCCGCCATGTTAAGACCTTCGATGAATCCGTCCACGTCTTGGATTTGAAGCTGCAAATCGTCCACGATTGCGTAGAGCTCGCCCATCGTGAAGTACGCGCTGTCCTTCTCTATCGCTCGCCGGTTCATAGCCTCGACGAACATCTTCGCTTTGACGTTCTTGTTCCCTTTCCCCGAGAACCCGCGTTTGCCTGCTAACCCACCACCCTCTAAGACGTCGCGCATCGTTTCCCTCATTATCTCCACCGCGTCGCGCGCGTCATCCTCAGTGACAGTCTCTCGAAGCTCCACCTTCGCGCGAGCCTCCGCGAGTCGGATGAGCGCCTCTAGCTGCCGAGGTGTTATCGGCGGGTAGTCCTCTCCGACCGTATCTGCCGCGCGCAGCTCGAGGTAGAACGCCTGGAGTATCGTCCCAGCCTCTGGGGTCAAACGCGGGAAGCAGTGCACGTTCGCGTACGTGATGTACTTGCGCATCAAGTTGTGCGGCAACGGCGCAAACTCCGCGTCCGCACCCGCGAGATCAAGCTGAAGTCGACGACGCAGTGACGACCGTTTCTCACCCATGAATTCTGCTCCATGGCGTCGTTCACCACCTTCATCTTCGTCGTCGATTTCGTCCACGTGCGCGTGGTGCGCGAGAAGCTTTTGCTGTGCGTGCTGCAGTCGCAAGGTCGCTTCTTCTCCTTCAGGATTGTGGGTTGCTAAGACGTGTCTCGTCCTGTACTCGTCAAGTTCTTCGTCCGGATCGTCGACGATGAGGAAGAGGAGATCGAATCGGGATAACAACGCCGGATTCATCTTCAAGTTGTTCATTATCGACTTTGATCGGTTGTACACGCCGCCGACGGGGTTTGCCGCGGCGACGACGCTCGTGCGCGCGGGTAAGTTTACGGTTATCCCCGCCTTCGCGAGCGATACCGTCTGTTGTTCGAGCACTTCGAGCAATGCTTGGTGCTCGTTCGGCATCTTGTCGAACTCGTCCACGCAGCACACGCCGCCGTCGCACATGATCAACGCGCCAGCCTCGTAGGTACTCCCGCCGTTTTCTGAATCCTTCACGACCGTTGCCGTCAACCCAGCGGCGGACGCGGAACGACCGCTCACGTACAGGCCGCGGTTCGCGACGTTGCTCACGGCTTTCAGCATTTGACTCTTCCCTAAACCTGGGTCACCGACGACGAGGCAGTGGATGCTGCCGCGCATGGGAAGCGTCCCTTCCTCGTCAAACGTCTTTCGAACGCCACCGAATAGGGCCAGGAGCAAGCCAGCTTTGACGACCTCGTGGCCGTATATCGTGGGACACAAGGAGTGAATCAGCTGCTTGAACTGCTCCCCCGCGCACTCCTCCGTAAATCGAACGATGAACTCCAAGTCCGCGGGGGAAAATGTCGTGTTGTCCACGACGTCTGGTCGGAACCCTTTCTGCCCGAGCCAACCTTCGTTTACGCGGCCGAAGTGCGCGTCCTCCGCGACGAGGTCGGGGAGACCGCGCGCGAACGCTTCCGCGGCGGCGGCAGATAACGGCGGCGCACCACCTGCATCGGAGTCTCGCTTTCGTATGGATATCCCTTTCACGTACACGTTGTACTGCTTCGCCGCTCGTTCCCTCTCCAACGCGCTCCCTTTCGCCTCGACGTTCAAGATATCCGCGATGCCTACGATCGTGACGATATCCCCGCCGCGGCAGGCATCGCACAGGGTCCCTTCGACCTCGACGTCCGCGAAGCGCGGAATACGCCCGATGTCCTCAGCGGGGACGTCACGGGAGAGCTCTTGGATTCTGATCTTCTGCCAGTCCACGAGCTTCACGCTCTCGCGGTTCGCGGTGAACTTCCTTCCCCTGCACCCCTGACCGACACAACTCTCCGGCTCCGCGTACTTACCGTCCACGAGATGCACAACCTGCGAGGCATCGCACTTGTCGCACGTAAACGTCAGCGACTTCGCGAAGGGCATGACTCTCGCCACTCTCGTGACCGTGCCTCTTATCGACACGAGCTTCCCGATTGTTTTAGACTTGAGCTCGGAGAACTTGATCTGCACCTCTGGGTGGTTGTACAGATGCACGTCCACCCTCGGCGGTCTCGTGATCACCTTCGCGGCCGCAGGGGATACCTGCAGATGCGGGAGCTCCTTACGCCCGATGGGGGAGTTGTGTATGACCTCGTGCACGGCCGCGCGCACGCACGGCATCGCCTCAGCGGGGGCCAGCTCCAACGCGGCGAACAGATCTGGGATGTCCGCCCTCGCTTTCAGGGCTTCGTAGTCCAGCTCCAAGAAGAGTTCGCGCTCGGCGTGTATCCGCACGGGCTTCACGAGCTCGAACCCGACGTCGGACGAAAAGAATCTAGCCAGAGTACCCACAAGCTCAGCCCTTCGGTCGTCCGGGGCGAAGCGGACCTCGGGAAAGTAATTGTTCCACGAGGGCGGGACGTTAGAGGGAGCCTCAGGAGGAGGCTCTTCCTGAGGCGCGCGAGAGGGCGCGCGCCCCCGCCCGCCGCCTCTGCCGAACCGGCCGCCGAACCGGCCGCCGCCGCCGCTGCGCCCCGGTGCCATCTGATGACCCTCAGGGCGCTCGCACCGGTGCGACGCGTTCTGAACGAAACTCGCTCGGCACCCGAAGTTTCATTTCAGTCAGACGATTCGCGCCGCGGCGGCGATCAGTGTCGGTAGCACCGGGGGTAGACGTGAGGACGTGGCATCATGACCGGCGCCAGGGATAGGTTCGCGATGGCGAAGGCTGGGATAGGCGGCGGTGCCAGGGGCGCGAGAGATGGGATCCGGAAGGTGCGCAGATCTACATCGACCAACGATCGAGACGAGACCCCGCGCCCGCACGAGCGAATTCAACTCAGCCATTGACTGTACCCTCCCTTCTTTCAGGACATGCAAGCGGAGAAGCTCGGTCTGAAGCCTCGAGGTGGCACTGCATGGAGCCACGGATTCCTGAACCAGAAGGACTGGCACCCACTGTCGTACCGTAACCAAGAGAAGCTCTTCAAAGCGGAGCAAGAAGCGGAGAACGCGAAGAAACGCAAAGAGGCAGCTGCGAAGGAGTTTGCCGTGGAGCAGGAGTTCTTCAAAAACACCGAGCTCCTGAGCGCGGAGGACAGGACGACCTTGCGAAATAAGCAGCAGCTCTCGTTCATGTACCAGAAACCGCCCGGATACGACGCGGCGATGGAACGCGAGAAAGCGGAGGCTGAGGAGGCGAGGGAAGCCGAGCGGAAAGAGTTGAAGCGAAAAGAAGACGCGGCCGCGAGAGAAGCCGCGGGTCTGCCGCCGTTGACCGAAGAGGAGATCAACGAACGCCGAGGACGACGGATGAAGAAAGATATGTACGGCAGGAACATCATATCCGAGGTGGAGATGCCCGAGTTGAAGGGAGCGCCGAAGGAAAAAGGCGTCGGCGTTGCGAACGTGAAGGTGTTTGGCAAGCACGTGCGAGCTGTGCAGTGCCTTAGATGCGGCGGGTTCGGGCACTCGAACGACGAGAAAACGTGTCCGATGTTCGGTCACAATCCGAACGACGAGTTCAGGGTGAAACTCGAGGACCCGCTGACGCTCATGAGAGCCAGGGAGGAGCTGACGAAGATGAAAAAGTTTGAGATGAAGACGCCGATGACGGGGCGGTCGCCGACACGGGGGGGTGGAGACCCGAACGCGGCGAACCAGCAACTGCTTCACGACGTCGACGTCCAGGACGCGCTCGAAGGCGGGACGGGGACGGAGACGGGCGAGGGCGGTATATTAGACTCCCTTCCGAAGGCGGAGCGGAAACGACTTATCCGAGAGTACAAGGCGAAAGAGAAGGAGGAGAAACGCGCGAGAGTGGTGGCCGCGGAGGAGTTCCTCAAGAACCACGCGAAAAGAGAGAGAAAGGAAAAGAAGCGGAAGAAGGACAGGAAGGAGAAACGATGAGACGCGTATCCTATAGATAGCTGGCGATAGACCGCCATTTAGACACAGGTGCAGACTCAAGCGAAAACGAGCGAACGAAAACTGCGCCCTCGAGTGTGTGTTATTCCGACCTACCCCACGCCGAACACCGTCGGCGGGTGCTAAAAATACGAATCATCAACGCTCGCGGTGACGCCATCGCAGCACGCGTCGAACGCGCCGCCACACCCCAACTCAAGCCGAGACTGAAATCGACGAGATTAGTCCACGTCCTGCATGGCCTTGACCTCGTCCGCGGTGTACTTGCCCTTTCCTTTCTCAGCACCCTTGCCCATCTTGCGCTCGAGGAGCGCCTTGCGGTCCTTGTCGAGCTTGAGCTTAGTGATGACAACCTTAGAGGGATCAACGCCGACGTTGACGGTGGCACCGTTCACCTTCTCGCGGGTGATGCGCTCGATGTGGATGACCCACTTCTTGCGGTACACCTGGACGACCTTGCCCTCGCGACCTCTGAAGTTACCCCGCACAACCTGAACCTCGTCATCCTTGCGGATGGGAACCGCGCGAACACCTGAGGACGTGGAGGGGGTGGATGACACGTCAGCTACCGTGGTGAACAGGGAAACGCGACGCATGAGACGCCCCCAGTGGGATCGCGAGAGGCGTAAAAATCACACGAGAGGGAAACCCTAATAAAAGTCTCATCGCCCGGCCCGGACATCGCGCGCGAGCGCGGCCTGCTCACGCGTTCGAGACGCCTCGAGCGCGCGCATGAGTCATGATATCGCGCTGAGATGCACAACCGCTGCCGCGTGCGAATCCACGGCCCGCGACCCATCTCACGAGTCGCGCGCGACGAAGCATTTCGCGGTGGAGGCGGAAACATCACGCACCGTGCTTGGACTTCAAGTCCGTGGACAGAGGCGAGCTCATGATCTTCCGGCGCTCCGAAGAGGGCGCGGTGAAATGCGCCTTGCGCGACTTGCGCCTGCTGCTGGACACAGAAGTGGAGTACTTCATCTTGCGAAGCCTCGTCACTGCGTCGTTCCGAAAGGCGGAGGCACGCGCGTTCCTTCGGCTTTTATTCAGTGCGGGGCCACGACGAGCAGTACAGTTTAGTTACGGGCCGCGGTATGCGTGTTCGGACTCGATCCGTATGCCTTCGCAGTCAGAACGACGTACAAAGTAGTGTACTGTACAGCACTTTTAGCAGTGGTGAACAGCGGACGACCTGTCGGTGAATGTTAACCGCGTGGAGCCTCGGGACGAAACCTCAGCGCCGGCTCCACACACACACCTCGCTCGCACGCGCGGAACGATGATCGCGAGCGATTCCGCGCGTAGGTTAGACGTCCTCCGTGGGCACGTCGTCAACACGGTGAGCCGCCTCCTCCACCCCTCTGCCATCGTCCCGAGAGATTCGTCGTTGATTTTCCCTGACGCGACAGATCTCCCACTCGCAGCAGCCCCCGACCTCCTCGGGGATGGATCGTAACCCCACCGCCGCGGTCGCGGTCCCACAATACGCGGTTCCACTACCGGAAAGGCTCGTCGACGGCGAATTCAACGTCTACAGGTGCGCGAGCGGCCTCTTTCGTTCGCTTCAATGCACGCGCGACGCTGACTCGACTCGACTCTTCGTTATCGACGACCAGGAACGTGAGCTCGCACACGAAGCTCATGACCGGATACGCTCCACCGTTCGACGCCGTGAAGACGCTTCACGACGTGTGGGAGAGCACGTGCAGCCGCCATAGCGACCTCCCGTGCTTCGGCACGCGGTCGATCGACGCGGACGGCGTCCCCGGGGCGTACACGTGGCAGACGTACGGCTCCGTGTACGAGCAACGCGCCGCGGCGTCGTCTGGATTCGTGCACCTCGGGGTACGACCAGAGCAGAACGTCGGTCTGTACAGCATAAACTGTGCGGAGTGGTGCGTCCTGGAGTCCGCCATGACCCGGGTCTCTTTAGTCTCCGTGCCGTTGTACGACACGTTGGGCCCGGACGCGGTTCGTTTCATCTGCAACCACGCCGAGCTCGCTGCAGTGTGCGTCTCAGCCGCGTGCTTGCCGACGATGTTAGGGTGCCTGAACGACTGCCCGAGCGTGAAACTTTTGGTCGTTTACGGTAAAGATCCCGGCGGCGGGGCGCCTGCGGCGCTCCCCAAAACCGCGGGAGGGTGTCGCATCGTGACGTTTGAGGAGTTGATTGCGCTCGGGAATCGAAACCCGACCGCACCGCGCCCACCTAAAAACACGGACCTCGCGACGATCTGCTACACGAGTGGGACGACAGGGGATCCGAAGGGGGTGATGCTAACACATCTTAACCTCGTATCGAACGCCGCGGCGTACGCGGACGATCTCGACCTGGGCGTGAACGACGTGCATGTCTCGTACCTGCCTCTCGCGCACATTTACGAACGCGTCACTATTTTAGTATGCCTCTTCGCCGGGAGCAAGGCTGGCTTCTTCCGCGGCGACGTCCTCGGGTTACTCGACGACATCGCGGAGCTCAAACCCACGGTGTTTTGCTCCGTCCCTCGGCTGTGGAACCGGATATACGACAAAGTGCACGCGGGAATCAGAGAGGGTGGGTTCGTGAAACAGAAGCTTTTCGCGATCGCGTATGCGTCGAAGAAAAAGTCGCTCGAGGAGGGCACACCCCCGTCGAAGTTGTGGGATAAGATCGTCTTCAGCAAGCTGCGGGATAAGCTCGGCGGGCGCGTCCGATACATGTCCACCGGGAGCGCCCCCATATCCGCGGAGGTGATGGAGTTTCTTCGCATATGCTTCGGCGGGGTCGTGTTTGAAGGGTACGGCATGACTGAGTCGGCGTGCGTGATAAGCAAGACGCACGAGTCGGACTTTTCGTGCGGGCACGTAGGGTCCCCGGTGCCTTGTTGCGAGATGAAACTTGAGAGCGTACCGGATATGAACTACACCACGAAAGATGCGCCGTATCCTCGAGGAGAGGTCTGTGTGCGAGGCCCGAGTGTGTTCGCCGGGTATTACAGAGCCAAGGACAAGACGGACGAAGTCGTGGACGCGGACGGGTGGTTGCACACCGGTGACATCGGCCTCTGGCTCCCGGGCGGACGTTTAAAGATCATCGACCGGAAGAAAAACATCTTCAAGCTTGCTCAAGGGGAGTACGTCGCTCCGGAGAAGATCGAGAACATCTATGCGCGATCGAAATTTGTCGCGCAGAGCTTCGTGCACGGGGACTCGCTTCAGCCGTACCTGGTCGCGGTCGTCGTCCCGGACGAGGAAGTTCTGATTCCGTGGGCGAAGAAGAACGCCCATCCGCACGCGGGGGATTTCAGACGATTGTGCAAAGACCCGGTCGTCCTCAAGACAATCTTCGGGAGCATGAAATCCGTCGGCGCTGACGCTGGGCTGAAGGGATTCGAGCAAGTGAGAGCGATTCATCTGCACGACGAACTCTTCAGCGTCGAGAACGGGCTGTTCACGCCGACGTTTAAGCTGAAACGGCCTCAGGCGAGAGACAAGTTCGGTAGGGAGATCGAGAGAATGTATCGCGAGTTGAACGCGGGGCGGTGATCGATCGGGGTGGATAGTTCACGAGTGCGCGTGTGTAGGTTGTAACAACGAGTTGCGAGGACAGCTGCGCTATTGTCGTTTGAAATACTCGTCGTCGCGTCCGACCGTCGCTCGAGTCTCGGTCTTTCGCGTGCTTCGATCGAAACATCGTGTTTAGGGTAAAGAGCACGAACACTCGCGTTCGATATCGAACGCTCGTGCGCGTGCGGGTCATGTGCGTGAGCTCGAGAGCGCGTCTCAGTGATCGAAGTTCGAACGCAGGGGGGAAGATTTACTTTTTTCTGTTCCGACTGCGACGCCTCCGAGCTCGGAGGCGTCCAGCGGCAGAGAGTTCTTTTGGAGTGGTGGTGATTATTTATCACCATTGAATTGCGTCGCGCTTCGAAGCGTTCGACGATGTTTTGATGTAGTTGTAGAAGCTCAAGGTTTATCAACCTCGTTCAACCTCGTATCGCTTACGCGGAGGTGAACTTGGTGACCGCCTTGGTGCCCTCGGAGACGGCGTGCTTGGCGAGCTCACCGGGGAGGATGAGGCGGACCGCGGTCTGGATCTCGCGGGACGTGACCGTCGGCTTCTTGTTGTAGCGGGCGAGCTTGGACGCCTCGGTGGCGATCTTCTCGAAGATGTCGTTGATGAAGGAGTTCATGATGGACATCGCCTTGGAGGAGATCCCGGTGTCGGGGTGCACCTGCTTGAGGACCTTGTAGATGTAGATCTTGTACGTCTCAGTCTTGGACTTCTTGCCGCCCTTCTTGCCGCCCTTGAGGGACTTCTTGGCGGGCTTCTTGGAGGTGGGCTTGGCCATTTTGATAGGGTGTGTTGTTGTGTTTGTGCGTGCACAAACTCACATCTTCAACCTCATACAACATGTCTGGACGTGGTAAGGGCAAGACCGGCAAGAAGGCTGTCAGCCGCTCCGCCAAGGCGGGACTTCAGTTCCCCGTCGGCCGTATCGCGCGCTACCTCAAGATCGGCAAGTACGCCACCCGCGTCGGTGCCGGTGCCCCGGTGTACCTCGCCGCGGTCCTCGAGTACCTCGCCGCCGAGGTCCTTGAGCTCGCCGGCAACGCGTCCCGCGACAACAAGAAGTCCCGCATCGTGCCCCGCCACATCCAGCTCGCGATCCGCAACGACGAGGAGCTCTCCAAGCTCCTCGGCACGGTCACGATCGCGTCCGGCGGTGTCCTGCCGAACATCCACTCCGTCCTTCTCCCGAAGAAGTCCAAGAAGGATTAAGCGACTCGCTTAAGAATCCTTTCTTGAATGGAGCTTTAAAAAGAAACAACGTGTCGCCAAGCGCGCGTACACACTCAATGGTGATAAATAATCACCACCACATCATCGAGAAACATCTGAACTCGCGACGACGGCGACTAGCCTCGCGTGGGGGAACAAAAACAAAAAATTCAAACTCGCGCCATCGCACGACGCGTGCGAAAGAGATGATTTGCCGTCATCGCGCCCTCGTTTGCATCGTTCGTTCGTTGCTCCATCGCATCGCATCGCATCGCATTCTTAAGCTCATCTACTCGTAAATTCATTCACACTTCGCTCTACTCGCACCCCGACATCGTCGTTCAAGCCTCCGCGACGGAGGCTGTCTCCTCAGCTGCGGGGGCGACGACGGCCGCGTCCTTCAGCTCACCGCTGGCGATGACGACGACATCGTCCACCGGACGGTCGCCTCGACCGGTCGGGGTCTTCTCGATCTTCCTTACGACGTCCATACCCTCCACCACGGCGCCGAAGACGACGTGCTTCCCGTTCAACCACGGCGTCGCCGTCGTCGTTATGAAGAACTGCGAACCGTTCGTATTCGGTCCCGCGTTCGCCATCGAGAGCACCCCGGGGCCGACGTGGTTTAACTTATCGAGCGGGAACGCTTCGTCCGGGAATTTTCTGCCGTAGATGCTGTAGCCGCCGGTGCCGTTCGCGCGTTCGAAGTCGCCCCCTTGAATCATAAAATTCGGGATCACCCTATGAAAGATGGAACCTTTGTACCCAAAGTCTCGCTCGCCGGTGGCGAGCTGTCGGAAGTTCTCGACAGTCTTCGGGACTTCCTTCCCGAAGAGGCCGATGACGACCCGTCCCGCGGGTTTCCCGCCGATCGCGACGTCGAAGTACACCTTGTTCGTGATTTCGTTGTTGCAGATTATCGGTGACGTGTCCGGGGCGGGGCAGTCGCCCGCCGCGAACGCCGGCGCGGCAGCCGCGGCCGCCGCCGCGGCGGCGGATCCAACGAGAGCGGCGCGACGGGATGTCATCGCGTCGGATGATGAGAAGGACGAGGACGTCGTCTTCTTCTCGAAGGAAATTGCGTCATCGGGATGTTTCGGATATGCTTCCGCGCGTATCGGCGCCGACGCGGGTTTCTTGTTGCATCTACTGCCACCCGGACGACGGCGACCGAGAGTGGCGTTTACGATGGAGGATGACGCGGTGGAGGCGACGACGAACGACGACATTTCGTGCTCGCGCGCGTGTGTGTATTGCGCGGAAGGGTTTCGGTGTCGTGTCGAGAGGGAAACTCAGAGAATATCAGATCAGCCCGAGCGAGGCGCGGGTTCTGGCAGAGCCGAGCAGACAGAGCAGAGGAAGTTGCGACTCGGTCCACAAGCGTCGACGCGCGCCCACGTGACCACCCACCGTGCGCGGCGGCCTTGCGCGATCGCAGCCCCCGCGTACCAGTCTCCGTGCGTCGAACGACCCCCCAGGGCGCGCGCTTTTGATAGGCCTGAAGTGCGGCGAGGGAACCGTTCGGCGAGAGCGACGTCACCAATTCTTCCGGATGACGGCCCTCGCCGCCGCGACGGCGATTGGGGTCACGAGCAAGCCGTCCTGCGGTCCAGGGAAGACAGAACGCGACGCGAGCCGTCATCGCGGATCTTTTAGAGCGTCCACGCGGCGAGGGAACGAAGCGCTCCATCACGCGCGCGGATGGCGTTCGTTCACGTCGCGCGCGATCGCGGACCGCATGGGGAAAGTTTCGCGGCAGGAAGAGGGGGAATTCGGTGAGGAGGAGGAGGAGACGACGTTTAAAGATGAAGTCAAACAGGCCGAGTTCGACGAAGGCGCGGCCTGCCCGTTGAATGCAGACATCGTCTGGCAGACGATGTGCAAGGAGGCGAGAGCGGACGCGGACAAGGAACCGGCGTTGGCGAGCTATCTGTTCAGCACCATCTTAGCGCACAAGTCCTTGGAAGACGCGTTGGCATTCGTACTCGCGAATAAGCTCAAGAGCACCGTGCTCCTGGACTCGCAGCTCCTCGAGTTGTTTTCCGCGACGTATCGACGTGACGGCCATCTGGTGAAGATGGCTCAGGCGGACATGCAGGCGTACATCGAGCGCGACCCCGCTTGCGAAAAATACATGCATATACTTCTCTTCTTTAAGGGGTTCCAAGCGATCCAGGCGCATCGCGTAGCTTCTGCGCTGTGGAAACAGGACAGGAAACCTCTCGCACTCTTACTTCAGAGCCGAATATCCGAAATATTTCACGTAGACATCCATCCCGGGGCGAACATCGGCGCGGGTATCATGTTAGACCACGCCACCGGCGTCGTGATTGGGGAAACCGCAGTTGTGGAGGATAACGTGTCGATCCTTCACGGAGTCACGTTGGGGGGAACGGGGACGAAGGATGGAGACAGACATCCTAAGATAGGAACCGGGGTTGTCATCGGTGCGGGAGTCACGATCCTCGGTAACCTCAAGGTTGGCGCGAACTCGAAGATCGGCGCCGGTTCTGTCGTGCTGAGGGACATACCCGAGAACTGCACCGCCGTTGGGATTCCCGCGAGGCTCGTGGGCGGACCCAAGCCGGAATCGCAGCCGAGCCTCAGCATGGATCAGGTATCCGGGTTATCCGATTACGCGTACGACATCTGAATTCGCGGCAAACTATGTGATCATAGCCACTCTCGGTCAGGGACGCGGGGAGCGCGTGGGATGTGACGTCGACCAATTGGACGCATTGTAATAAGACGCGACACACTGTACCAACATTTGCAAGGACGTCTGCGTCCTTTCTCTATACGCGCTCTCTGGACTGCTTTGCTCCTGGCATCGCGCGCGCACGGCGACCGATGAAGTCGAACCTTTCCGAGTTAGGGAAAAAAAGTCAGGGCAGGACAGAGACAGCAGTTTAAACGAAGTCGTGTTCTCCTCTCGCTCACACTGCCGGGCGCGTGCGCACGAGAACGAACGCACAGGGCAAACCCACCTCCCCAAATCACATCAGGTCTTCGTCGCCGCTGCCGAGAGAACGATTCGATGCGGCGCGTGAGACTCGGCGGACCCGGGACCTTCGCGGCCGCGGCCTCTTCGTTGTTTCACGTTCCGAAGCGCGACGCGGCGGAGAAAAAAGACGACGTCCTGAAAGGTCGAGGAAGAGCTCCCAGTCCTCCTTCCGAAGGAATCGAGTTCGAGGGAGACCCTGTGATTATGGCCGATACGACGCATGCACGAAGAAGTGAAGACTCGGCTCTGAAAGACGATCCCCTGGAAGGTCGCGGAGGTCCTATCGACGCGGCGGAGAAAAAAGACGACGTCCTGAGAGGTCGAGGAAGAGCTCCCAGCCCTCCTTCCGAAGGAATCGTGTTCGAAGAAGACCCCGTGATTATGCCAGCAATCGATACGACGCATGCACGAAGAAATGAAGGAAATGAAGACTCGGCTCTGAAAGACGATCCCCTGCAAGGACGCGGAGGTGCAGAAGGCGCTGTCATCGACGCGGTCGGAACCATCAAACGCGTGTGCGCCTCGCTTGATTCCGGACACCTCGCGTTAGCTGATGCCGATGCGCAACTAGCCGCCCCCGCGGCTCTGCTCGCCGCGGCAACGTTCCAGCACCAGCACGAGCTAGAAGCGGTCTACGACGTCGCGCGCGTACTCTGGAATATTTGTGTGTCGCGGACGAACGAGTTGTTAACTGACATCACATCTGAGCCTACATGCCGGCTCTCCGAAAAGAAGGCAGCGGCGTCACAACTCATGAACCTACGCGAGCACGCGTGCCAGCTTCTCGAGGCCAGCTTGCGCGGCGAACCGTTGATACAGCCTCGAGATGCGAACGTGGCGTTATCGTTCCTATCCAAGACCGCGATTCTGATCCACGAAGACGGAGACTTTGCGCGCGCCGAGACGGTCTTTGAGCGCGCCGTCTGTTACATGAACATCTTGCAGTCTGCGATCGCTAACGAAGCGTCGATGGATGATCTCGACGTGAACAAGACAATAGCTATGATGTTTGACACTCAGGTGTCGCGGGCGAGTAACGCCATTACCCTCGGGGAGATCGAAAAGGGACTTCTTATGCTCACCACTGCCGCTTCCCTTGCGGCGACCAATTCTGCTGACGACAAATTACGAACGGCACTTCTTTGCAAGCTCGTTCGTGTCCGTCTCCACATTGGGAAGTTACTCTTAAATCACGTGAATGCCAGCGGAGATCTCCTGGGCACCGCGAGGTCCGCTGCGGCAGTTTTGGAAGGTGCGTATGATATTCTTACGACTCACCCTCAACTTTTACCTTCTTGGATGTCCCACGATGAGGCAACTGGCGACCCTGACGGCATGGATCTCGACCACGAAGTGTCGGACGATTACGATTCGCTGCATGTAGACGTACTCCGCTTCGCTGCTTGCGCTAACGTGTATGCAGAAAATTACGCAGCCGGTATCAGAGGTGTTGAGCTGTTGCGGAAGGGTCTCGAAAAAAAAAAATCCCTCATGACGCCGCAATTGGATTTCACACTGTCGTATATAATGTACCTGGCAAAAGTCAGCACAGACGCGGTCACGGAGGCCTGTGATTGCCTTAAAATGATGATCGAAAACCCCGAAGCTAAGTTCGAGACTTGCCTCACTGCTATGAACTCGCTCGTTCGCCGAGCTCCGGACACTGTGTGTGTGGACGTCGCGCATCAGTTCCTTCGAATCGTCTCGGATTCCCATCCAGAGCGCACCATCGCTCGAGGCGGCTCAATTAAAATGCTAGAAACCTTTCTGGACGCGTCGAAAAACGCAGATACCGCTGTTGATACTGCGCTGATCCTCCTTTCGGACGGTGTCGTGGATAAGCTTTTAAGAGAGGACGCCGACAAGTCAAAACTACAGGTATACAACCTTTTGTTCACGCATGCAGCCGCGGCGTTTCAATGCGAACGTTGGATCGTGGCGGATAAATTGTTCCAATGCTCCCTCGACTTCCAGGCTAGGGCTAAGTCGAAATCGTCCCCGGACGAATCAGATCCAGGTCGGGCAAAACTGCTGCGTTGCCAAGCACGATGCAAAATAGAGTCTGGACTCGCGTTTGACGCTCTTGAGGTCATCGAAACCGTGGAAGCTTTGGAGGCCTCGTCCCCGTCTCCTAGCACACTCCTCGTGAAATTGAAAGCGCTCATGCATACAAATGGTCACGATTCTACACTCATTCACACGCTATTGAATCAGCTGGCATCGTTCCGAGACACGGACATCCTGATAATCGCAGCGCAAGAAGCCGAGGCAGTTTCGAACCACGACATCGCCGCGCGCGCGTTTTTCCAGCTGCTCGGCCACGTGACAGACCGCAAGGAAGACTCTCGCAAGTTGGAAAATTTCGAGATGCTCCTATTTCGACTAGGCCTGTTCCACACGATGGCGGCGAACGAAAGCACAAAGCACGATGGCGGCGAGGAAAGCCACGCAGTGACGGTTGGAAAAATCTTTCAGAAGCTTCTCGACTTTCTGAAAAGAAACAAATCTGTTCCAGTAACGAAGGAAGACGGGGAATATTTCTCCGGCGTGGCGTGGAACGTCGGCCTGCTCGCGGCGAAACAAAATGAATTCACTCCAGCTGCCGTTTGCTTCTCTGCTTGCGCCCGTTTGATCTCTTCATTTGAATGTCCTGACGACTTGAAGAAGGATGCGAATGACGCTTTTTCATATCAAGTTCGCAAGTGCATGGCGATGCTCTTGACCGGTGCTTCCCTCATAGAGATTTGCAAGACGCAAACGCGACCGGGAAATGCTACTGCTGATGCCACTGAGCTAAACACTCAAAATCTGCGAGTGCAGGCCGGTGGTGCTCTGGCGAAACACGCCCAGCTGGTTGACGCATTAGTCTCCGAGGCGAATTTGAACGAGGATGAGAAGGGCCTGTTGCTCGGTTTAGCATCTCGTGGCCTCGTACTTAAACATCTCTTGAGTGCGATTTCTGGTTCCGGAAGCGAGGAACAACTTAAGCTTATGCAGTCTGATGGCTTAACGCCGAGTAATATCATCACGATGTCCGATAATAGTGCGAAGTATGGGAACCCGGAAGCCGCCGCACGCGGGTATGACCACGGCCTCACCAAGATGCTCGCCGTTGGACAGAAGGCGGATGCAGGAGTGATCGCTAGCGTGATACGACATCGCATCGAGATTGAAGAAAAACGAACCGTTGTTACGACAGGAGCCGGTACTGGAGCCCATGAACGCATCCTCGAGCTGTTCGATAACGCTGCTACGCACGTCAGTCTCCTCGCGGGAGAGTATCCTGCTGACGAAGCAGCCTGGCTTGTATGCACTAGCTACAATCGTGGTGTCGCGCATCACCGCATGCGTCGATACCACGAGGCTATGTCGATGTTCCAGGCTTCCTCGCGCTTACTTCCTCAAGCTTGCAGAGCCGACCCCACGCTGTCTCGTATGAAAGGTCGCGTCGAGGAAGCTGTCAAGACATGTGCGAACACTGGTTACATCGCCGTCGCGTGAGCGTCATCCAGGGACGGATATGCGGATTGAAGTTGATACGAACACTTGTTACATCGCCGTCGCGTGAGCGTCATCCAGGGACGGATATGCGGATTTAAGTTGATATACAGTGTTAAGATGCTTATCTAGCAGAGCAGATATTAAAATAAATCATATAAGTACAGTACGTGTACACGTACGCGCTGCTCGCCCGCTTGTGCGCTCCGCCGTCATTCAGAATATTTGGAGTCATCAGTTTCGTTGGACGTTAACACTCCGCCAAGCGCGATGATTGCCGCAAGGCCTTCGCCGCTATGCCAGAGCCCTAAAAGGGTTTGGAATAAGCGGCGGTCGTGCCTCTCCAGAAAGGATTACTCCGTCCGGGGATGCCGGGATCGAAATCGCCTTGAGCTCGCGGCCGCGGCGAACGAGACGGACGGTGCTGTGCTCCTCATCGGCGGATGGGACGAGTCCGAGGTCGAACCGCTCACCGAGCTCGTCCGCGCTTTAGCGGAAGATTTAGAGGTGAGCGATGCCGTAGGTATGCTCATCACACGCGTCGTCGGTGACCGCCTCGCGGTATCCGCGGAGACCCTCCTGTCGAACCGCGTGGACGTCGGCAGTCAGACGTCGACGTCTTCGTCTGGAGCCACTCTCCCACCAGCGACGCGTTGCGTTCTACTCCGCGGCGAGGCGGCCAAGGCTCTGATGCCGTACCTACGCTCCGAGATGTATGAAGCTGGATTCTCTCCCGCAGTGTTTGGGGCGTTTACTCCAGCGCACGATGAGTTACCGCTTGTTGAAGTCGCGACGACCATCGTGCTCGCGCATGAAGCTTATTGGGATTTGCAGGCAGAACCGAAGGAGGATGACATCGTGCCTACGTCATGGCCTGGAGAGAAGGAATGGACGCCCAGTGATACGACCATTGCATTACGGGTGTCCACAGATAAAGCAGTGGTATTCGACCCTCCCGCGGGGGATGACGTGAGTGACGCTGTCACGTCACCGGAAGCGTCCCGAATGAGAGAAGACGTTTCAAACGTTTTGGCCCTTGACGGGGTGGTGGGAGGTGCGCTTCGCAAAGCGTTGCTGGACACGATAACCCAGCCGGACTGGCCGCACGAAACCGCGGATAGACCGCCTACACCTCGCTGGGAGCGTGATACCGACGATGGCATCGGCGTTGATTCTCGCGAACCGTCTAGTTCTGGAGCTCCGCAGCTTCGCGTACCGCCAAAGTCTTGGGGCCTGAGCGATGAGGCGCTCGAGGAGGTTAGACGGTCGACTCCACTGCGTACCTTTCTCGCTCGCATCAGTTCTCTTTACCCTGAATATCATGTCAGGATGATGCCTGCGGACGCGCTCGAACCAGATGGTGTGCCCGGTGCTATGTCATCAACTTTAGACGGCGATGGCTCTCAGTCTCGCGTGGGCACTGTGGTGGCGAACGCTGCCGTGTACGGAGACGAGTTCAAATGGCACTTGGACTGGGACCCGTCAGTGTCGGAGGCAACCTCCCCGTTTGCCGAGCGGTTCGGGAGATACGTCAACAGATCGAAAGGGCGGCCGCTTTTCGTTTCTGCTCTAGTATATCTCAACGGCCCCAATCCGTGGACGCCGGATATGGACGCGGAGACGATGTTCCTCGACCCGGACACGGGAACTGGTTTCTTTGTTCGGCCGGCACCAGGACGAGTGATTCTAATGGAACAGGATGTTCTGCACCGCGTCTCGCCACCCTCGAAATCCGCTGGAGTGCCCCGATATTCGCTGGTGCTTAAGTTATGTTTCTATCCGAAGACGGCAACGACAGCACCAACCGTGGCCAGAGATGGTTGGGGGGAACCCACACGTTTCGGTAGCGCGTCGGGGCTCTCGGCGCCACCACAGCTTCTACAGAACGATTCACAACGCCTCGAATACGACAAAACTGATGTGATTAAGAGAGTGACGTTGGTGAGACACGGTCAATCAACATGGAACGAGGAGGGGCGCCTCCAAGGGAGTTCAGACTTTTCAGTGTTGACTCCAAAAGGAGAAGCTCAAGCGGAGATCACTCGCGAAATGTTGCAGGTACGCGTTGCATTGACTGACGATGAACTCTTTCCATTTTTTTTTTTGCATCACGTTGACGATCTTCTTTCTACAGGATAAACGCTTCGATGTGTGTTTTCGCAGTCCCCTTGCCCGTGCTAGTCGAACAGCTGAAGTGATCTGGGGATCGCGAAGCGAAGAAATGGTCGACGTCTCGGATCTTCGCGAAATTGATTTGTACTCGTTTCAAGGCTTGCTTAAGGAGGTACGGACACGATTCATGATGTTTACGTTCCTCCGCCTCTTTGTTAAACTCTCGTCTTATCAGTCGCTGACACTACCGTATTTTGTCACGTTTTGCCGCAGGAGGGAAAGAAAAAACATGGGGAATCGTATGCGGCTTGGAAGACAGACCCTGTAAACTTCGAGATCGACGGCCATTTCCCTGTGCGTGAACTTTGGAAACGTGGTGCTGATTGCTGGGATACAATTCTCGAAGCTGACGGTTCTGATGTTCTCGTCGTGGCGCACAATGCAATCAACCAATCCATGGTTGCCAATGCGTTGGGACTAGGACCGGAATATTTTCGGCGCCTCGTTCAAAGCAATTGCGGACTGACCACCCTAGTATTTCGGCAGTCTAGTACAGATGAAAATGCCGCGTTCGTCGTCTTGGAGCAGCTTAATCAAACACGAGCAGCTCCTCTTGCAGGGAACGCAGACATGACAAAGAGTCGAGCTGTGTTGATTTGTTCTTCTGGTTCGCAAGGGGCTGAGCTTGACGACATCGCGGCAGGTGTGTCAAAAGCGCTCAAGGACGAACGCGTTGAATCCGTGAGGTTTGATGACTGCACGTCTTCGCGCGTATTAGCTCAAAACGTCGCGGATCGGTTGAACTTGAGCGAAGGGCCGCGCGCGTCGGTCGCTGTGATGGCTGAGTTGGCGACGCCAGGATCGACAGTCCTGTTTGCATCGGCGCAAACGATTGACGATGTTTTATCGCTTGCGTTGAACATCGACGAGGAATCAGGTTTGAATGTGAGCTTCTCTCTCGGCGGCGTGACCATTATTGATTTCGACGACTTAGGCGGCGGTGCGTGTGTAGCTTGTGTGAACGTCACGTCTCATCTAACTTCGTAGCTAACACTCTAGAGGATTTTATGAAGGTAGACTATCTCAGGAACAAGCGCGCGTTAAACCTGCCCTTCTTCGCTGCTGCTGCTTGCATCGTCTCTCACCCGCCGATCTTCCTTCTTCCTTTTCTTTTTCTCTTTTTTCATCTCCTTTCGCTCCCTCTTCGCTCTCTTGGCTTCTCGCTTCGCTTCCCTGAGAGGATCGTCGCCGGGAATAGGAAGCCCAGCAGCTGCGGCTCTAGCCCTCGCCATTGCCGCCTCTTTACGAGCCTTGAGCTCTCGGATCATCTCATCTTCTTCGTTTGTCTTCGAGATTGCGTTGAAAGCTGCACCCTCCCATGCCTCTGCCCTCCCGGCCGCGCCCTCTTCAACGATTGCCGGGCGCTCGTCGGCCTTGAACCCTTCGTGACCCCACCGGCCCGCCGCATCCACGCCCTTGACCTCGTCACCGCCATCACCGTCCGCACCTTCTGTCATCGGACGAGCCCCCCCGCATTTATGACAGTTGTCCCGAAACTTGAAGTTGTCGCACCCGCACCCACACTTCCAGTCTCTTCGTCTCGCCGCCTCTTCGTCTTTTAATTTATAGTCCTCAACGTGGTCCACCTTGATGATTCGCCCTAGAACCTTCGCGCCGTTCAGATTGTCCACCGCTAAAACTGTCGAACGCTGATCCTCGTAACATATGAACGCGAACCCTCGTGACTTCCCCGTGTCCTCGTGCCGAACGAGGTTGACGTCCACGATCTCTCCGTACTGCGAAAACACCGCGAGAACGTCGCCTTCGGTGAGATCGAACGAGAGCCCACCGGCGAACACGTACGCGGAATGCTTATACTTCGCGTGCCAAGACGCGCCTTCGCTCAAACCCAGACGGATCTGCGGGACAACGACGACGACGACGGATGGTGGAATGTCAGATGAAGGCCACGACGAGCGCGCGAGACAGATCGAGCAAGGGTGCCGAGAAAGGACTTCATTTCGCGTCGAGATCGTCGCGGAAGGGAAGGGCGCGGCGAGGGAACTCACCTCACTGAGCGTCGCCTTTTGAGTGTTCTTTATCTGTGTCAGAGGATTCATCGCGCTTTCGTCTCGGAAGAGCCGTGAGGTACCCACCTCAGGGCACTCCGCGCTCCTGCGTGTGTGGGAGAGACGATTTCTGCTCGAACGTCGCGCCGCGCCGCGCAGTGCGTGCAAAAAATCGAGCAAAACGGCGGCTGAATGAAAATGATTCGGCGGCGCTGATTGTCTCGTTCGTCCTGAGCGTTGCTGCTCATTATCGACCGCGCATCACAACAGAAATCAACGCGTGCAGAGATGCCGTCTTTCTTTTGAGGTGTGTTCACGGGACACAGGGTCTAGTTCGCCCGACTAACGGCGGCGAAAGCGCACCCGACGACAGGGTTTGTTTTCGGCAACCCTGGCGATGCCTTCCGATTTAGATGGCGAGCTTCTGAAGGCTATCTTGGAGGAGTCCACCCTGCCTAGGGCGGTGCGTGGTGTCGCGAGCAGATTGGTGGAAGAGTTGGAAGCGACCGTTTCAGGTGAAAACCTCGCGTTCCCGTCTTCTCGGAACTCGGGCGTCCGTCTCATGTCGAGATCGGGTCGCTGCGTTGCAAATTTCGTCGATCGTCTGTCAGTCAGTCAAGTCAAGTCAACCTCCAAAACGGGCTGGTCAGTGATGCAAACATAATTAATCTTTGAGAACAGATTATCCTCATGACGAATAAGAACATGACAAGCATATGACTGAGGCCAGCACGTCTTCGGAGAACCCGCGCTTTTCGGAGCTTTCTTTCGCCACTCTCGCGGAGTATCGCGTTCGTTCTCGTTCGCTGAAATTAAATTAACTCTCTCCTCCAGGTATCCCGGCGCAAGACCTGAAGTATTCACCCGCCGCGCACTTTCGCACCGCTCTCGGACATTCCTCTGAAGGGGCCACGAAAAAATTAAAGTTCACCGCGCCCGATCGCGTCGGTCTCGCGGGAAGTGTCGTCTACGGTGGTTGCCTGAGGACTTCCGGGTTCACAGTTGTGGATGTTAAGGTTGATGTTCCGAAAGCTTTTTTTCAAGAGAAAGACTATCTCGACCACAGGTATCATGCTAAAAGGCTGGCATACTTGCAGGTCTTGCATGAACACCTGTGCCGCGCGGAGTGGGTAGCTAGCTCGACGACATCGACGCATCACGCGGACGTTCGCAAACCGTGCCTTCTCGTCAGAGCCAAAAAGTCGAGTGACGTCTGCCTTAGAGTGCTTCTCACAGCCCCTGCGGATGCATTTCCTGTCGCGCGACTTCAGCCAGATAAAGCGAATCTCCGGAACTTAGATGACGAGGACGGAGACCGTTCACCGAGTCCGCACTACAATCAAACCATTCTAGAAGACATGTTCACAGAAGAGCATGCGAGGTACTTTCAAAAAGCTGCAAGCGTGGCGGAGCACTTGGAGGACGCGTGTGTGCTCATGAAAGTTTGGGCTGCGAGACGCGGAATGCTTGGGGCTCCAGATGGATTTACCGGATTTGTGCTGTCGATGTTACTAGCGCATCTGGTAAGTACGGGAGGAAAATTGAGCCCTCTTATGGACGCGCTGCAACTTGTCAAGGGCGCTCTGATACTCTTGTCTGATCCTGTCGTCGTCTCGCGGGGGTTCTGGGCTGATGATGCCGCGAGGAAAAATGTTGCCGCTTGGAGAAACTCATTTCCTCTCGTGTTCTTAGGGCCCTGCGGCTGCGTGAATATCGGATCTCGAATCTCGAAGAGTGCGCTCGCCGAGTTCATCCACGAGGCGGCGTTATCTTCAGCTGTACTTGAGCGAGGCGGTCGGATGGCATTTGAGCAGGTCTTCTTAGTGACCTTCAGCCCAGCCGCACGGTACGACATTCACATGCACGTGACTTTAGACCGAAATAAGCACATTTCTTCGGGCGGTTGCGATACCGACGTTGTCACTTGGCGCGATTACGAGGCTCGGATACATGACATAGTCGCGAGTGCGGTAGGTACACGAGCGAAATTGGTTCGCGCGCAGCATCAACCGTTGGTGGATTCATCCGATATTCATCTCTCGCAGAATGAAGCACGCGCGGCGACGAAGAAACGTAAGAACACCGAACCAAGTCATGCCGAAGTTTCGGACAAATCCAACATGTTAAACGTGTGGATTGGAATCATCCTTGATCCAGAGACTGCGTTCAGGCTGGTTGACATAGGACCGAGCTCAGACGATGATAAGCTCGCGAAAAAGTTTCGCACGTTTTGGGGGGATCGCGCAGAGCTTAGAAGATTCAAGGACGGACGCATATGCGAGTCCGTGGTATGGGATTCTACTCCGCACAGTCAACGTCATCACATACCGGCGCTCGCAAGCGAATACGCTCTGAAGCGAAATTTTGACGCGATAGAAAAAGTGGAATGGAGTTGCAGTCTTCTGGATCCCACGTTGAACTGCAAACAAAACATCAGCAGCGACAAATTGAAGGAGTCTTCACCGACTGCTCTTCTTCAGTGCTTGGACCGCTTAGCGAAGCGAATGAAAGATATGAAAGAGATGCCTCTGAAAGTTGTGAACATACAACCGCTGAGTGCGGCGTTTCGCGGAACAGATCCTTTCCCGCCTCAACAACATCAACTCGCTTTCGGCGCCGGTATCGGGTTGGGTCGCAGTGATGAACACATGCCAGTCTGCCCGAAGACGCTTGATGTCCTCGTGCAGCTCGAAGGAAGTGGACGTTGGCCAGAAAACAGCACCGCGATAAATAAGACAAAGGCTGCGATGGCTCTGAAGATTGCAGAGCAGCTCCGTTCGAGTTACGCGACTCCTACCGTCGTCGCTGAAGAAGCAATCGACATACTACACGAGGGATATGCGTTCCGTCTGAATATCAACTCGACCGCTGGAGGAGCGAATAACGAAGCCGCTGAGTTGCATCTCATAAAGGGTGCCGCGCACGCTGGGATGATTTCCACGATATATGCACGTTTTCCGGCGTATGGTCCAGCCACTCAGGTCGCAAAGCGTTGGATTTCCGCACACATGCTCTCGTCTCACATCGGCGGTGAAATAATCGAATTATTGGTCGGATATCTCTTCTTGCACCCTGGTGCGGTGGAGCCCCCGCACTCACGCGAGGTGGCATTTGTTCGCTTTTTGGATCTGATCGCGTCGCACCCCTGGAACGTGTTACCTTTATTTCTCGATCCGGACGACGAGGTTACGCTCGAAGCGATGCAAGGCCTCGAAAGGAAGATGGACAGTCCCGAGTCACCGACGATGTGCATTCCGACTCCATACGATTCCGATGGAGACATTTGGACGCGGCACGGACCAGCGGCAGTGGTGTTGAAGCGCGCCCAATTGCTAGCGTCGAGGGCTTCGATTCGTTTGAGGTCGCTTCTTCAAGGTCGTAATAGCACCATTTACAAGTCTCAGGATGAGGACATCACGGAGCTAGGGGATTCGTCCGCGTGGGAATCGATGTTCACTCCTGCGCTGACGCACTTCGACATCGTGCTCAAGCTACGTAGGGCGGCTCTTCCCTTTCCTGATCACGCGTTGTTCACGGCTAAACAAATAAAACGCCGAGTCATTAAGGAGTTGGGAGTCGATCCTGACACTTTTCAGATGGCAGAGCACGGTAGTAAAAGAGGTCTACAGCTCGCGAGTATGCCTGAGAAAGTAATCACTCGCGGGCCAGACAAGGCAAGAGCGGCGATGCTAATTGGCTTCGATCCACTGCAGTGCTATCTCAGGGAAGCGGAGCGTCGACTGGGTGGCACCGCCTTATTTTTCGCGGACAAGTACGGAGGAGATCTCATCGGTGTTGCACTCCGACCATCGCTCGCACACCACGAGGCGCAGCTTCCCGCTTCGCTCGGCGATTTTGATCCTCTCGGCGATTTTAGTTCTCCAGCACCTCCGAGCGTTGAAGAAATCATGGACGATTTACTGTTCATTGGTAATGGCTTCGTGCAAGATGGATACAAGACAAAGTGAGTTGTGATAATGTTTCCTTCAATATAGACTAGCCTAGAGACAAATGAACGGAAGCAAAAGATACTCGAAATAAAACGCTTTCCATGTCCTCATATAGAAGCTGTAGAGCGAGGCGCTGGACGAAGTATCGACGCGGCTCGCGGAGAATACGAGCACCGAAAGAACCGCACAGTGACATATTCCGACAATCTGTGAAATCAGCGTAGAATTATACACGAACGAGAGAACAGCAGCGCTGACGTAGCCGATCGACAAAAGTGCTACACAGACGTTGAACATGGTGTTAGCACCCCATCGCACGCTTAACGTGCGAATGTCGTGCTGTTTATCGCCCGCGATGTCGGGCAAATCCTTCATGAGCGCGATGACGATCGCGTAGACGGTGATGAAAGACATCGCGAACATGAGCGTAAACGGGGCTTGAAAGCCGAGTAGACCTGTCCCGAGGGCATGAGCGAAGAACCCCAGCTGAACGATGAACGCGCGCACTATCAAAATGCACCCTGCGGCAAGTAAAGGCGAGCGCTTCCATCGAAGACCGGGGTAGTCCACTGAGTACACGATGCCGAGTATTAGACTGAGTACGAGCGCCCACAATAGCGCGGACGATCCGCTCATCATCCCGAGCACGAGGCTCGAGGTCGTGCATAGTGCGACGACCGTGAGCGCGGTGTCTGATGTGAACGCTCCGCTCGCCAACGGAAGGTACGGTTTGTTCACCCTGTCCAACTTTTTGTCGTACAGCTGATTGATACCTACGATGGCGACGTTCATCAGCACCGACGCTAGCACCGTCTGCACGGTCTGTGCGGACACCACGGCAACAGAACACAAATCCAAGACGCCTCCAAAGTGCCAGGCCATCGTGGTAACCGAGCAGACGCTGACGATCGTTCCGATGATGGTATGCGGCCTCGCGAAACTGGCGAGTGCTGAGTGTGGGATCTCATCATGATTCCTCAGCATCGCGCGAACAACGCCACTCCTGTGCTGCTTGCGCTTCCTCGTCCATGCTGACGGTGAGTCCGTGCTGGTCGCGCTCGCGGTGTATATTTTCTCGCGCTTTTTTCTCGCGTGTCCGGTCGAGCAAGCCCTGCGAGGTTTACGGTTGGGTGAAGATGGCGGGGCGCGTCAGAGACTGGGATATTTTGAAGAAAAACAACGTCGCGCGAACCGACGTCGTCTCGAAACGCGATGGCCGGACCTCGCGACTCGTCCATGTGCTCGTATAGGTGATATCGCATGCGGAGCACACGCGGCCATCATCGCGCGCGCGTGCTTCTGCGCTGCGGGTTCGCGGGGACGGCCCTTCTCTCTTTTCTCGGGAAGTGCACTTTTTCTGATATCTGTCAACTTTTGACTTGACAGCTTTCCCTGCCATTAACAACTTACCTCTCGACACTTCGCTTGACGTGCAAGCGTGGAACACTACTCGTAGTCTACCCATGGCCTGTAGCGCACTAATAACCGCCGCGGACTGGCATGCCCATCATGCTCGCTCGCGCCACCGCGAATCACGTGCACGGCGTTCGCGCGCAGCGTCCGGGACGGGACGATATGAAGAAAGCATCCGCCGAGTGGTAAATGCCGATAACACCGCTCGGCTTCGCTCGGAGGAACTGTCAAAGGGTTTCTGCAACAGCGTACATCTCGTGAGAGGTGTGAACGGCGATGACGAGGCGCTCGTCGTCAAGCTGTACAGCGACCTGTCCTTGCTTCGCACGGAGTCGGACCAGAGAGGGGCGGTTGACAAGATTGCGAGTGTCTTTGGTCTCGGGCCTACCGTGTGGTCGAGCACGCACGAGGGTATCGCTCACTCGTTCGTTCCCGGACGCGTCTTAGAAGAGGTCGACATGCACACGCGATCGGACGTCGGAGTAGCCGCCGCGCGACTCGTCGCTCGTTTCCATTCACTACAAGTTCCGCGCGAGTTTGACGCGGAACGTCAACCGTTGCTGTGGAAGTGGTTCGATCGAATGCTCGACGAGATAGGTGAGTCTGATGACGTCGGCGTCCTCCCCGATTCTGTCAACTTGGACGTTCTACGCGCCGAGGTCAAGGAGATGCGCGAATCGATCACGAGCGCCGGGGAGATGTTCACGGTCGTGCTCGCACACGGGGACTTGAAACCGGCGAACGTCATGCTGCAAAATGATGCCCCGGTGGAGTTGAAACTCATCGACCTCGAGCTCTCAGGGCCGAATTATCGTGGCTTTGACCTGATGAAGCTGTTTCGAACGAATTCGGAGACGTTCTCGGAGGAGAAATTCGCCGCCTTTTTGTCAGAGTACTGCCGTGCCGCACGTTTAGATGAGAACGCGGTACGCAACATCGAAGCTGAGACAAAACTCTTCGAGCCCCTCACGTGGCTCGAGGCGGCTGTGTTCTTCGCCTTGGTCGTCGTGCTAGGGACGGACGCGGGTGGACCGAGCGGTGATTCCGCGCGTTGGCTCGATTTGTTGCACTCGCGATACGACAGCTATTTAGAAACGAGACAGCTGTTCGCTCATCACATGTCGCAACTGACTAGGGCGGAATAGTTCTTTTCAGTCGTAGACACTACGCGTACATCACCTGCTCTTGTCGTTCTTTGCTCTTACCAGCGGGATCCCCCACCCCTGCTGCCTCCCCTTGAATCATCACGGGACGAGCCTCTGTCGTCGCGGCGTTCGTAGCGCGAGTCGCTACCACGGTCTCGGGAATCCCGAGAATCGTATCTGCTGTCCGAACCCCGAGACGGCTCAAACCTCGAACCGCCTCCGCGGTCCCGTTCGCCGTACCTGCTGTCGCCGTACCTGCTGTCGCCGTACCTGCTGTCTCGGCTATCACCACCATATCGAGAGTCTCCCCCCCTCGATGGCTCGTACCGACGAGGCTCATAGCGGCCGGTGTCGCGTCGCTGTTCAGATTCACCATCACCACGCCTGTCGTTCTGTTCGGACGCGCGGCGTTCTTCTTCCCGACGAGCGCGGGCCTCTTCCTCCTTGCGCTCGCGTTCAGCGGCCTCGGCTTCGGCACGGGCTTCTTCTTCGATTTGTTGTAATTTTCGGACATAAGCACGGCGACGCGCGAGTTCACGCTCTGCGCGACGCAGGGAGCGGAGCTCGTTGATGCGTTCTTCACGTTCGATACGAAGCGCTTCAAACTCTTCAGAACGACGGGTCACGATCGCGGCGGCAAAGCTGTCCTTCTCTGACGCCATCTTCGAGAGACGCTTCTTCTCCTCGACGTTGACCTCCCACGACTGGCGGTGCTTCTCCGCGTTCTGCTGCTGCATCTCTTTGTGATGCTGCTCATCTTCTGCCATCTTGACCTTATACGCGGCTTCGATGAGAGGAACCTCTTCCTCGCGCTTGGCTCGCTCAAGGTGATCCATCTTCTTCGCGAGACGGTTGAGCTTGCGCTCCATGTCTTGTCTCTCCTTGATCTGCTCCTTGATGGCGTCCTCCATGAGGCTACGCTTGTCGATCTTCTGACCCTCCTCGAGCTTGATCTTAAGACCCTTCTTGCCTTTACCGAGAGCCTTGTTACGCTTCTCCGCCTCTGCAATAAGCGCGAGAGCTTCTTGCTTCTCCTTCTCTTCCATCTCCTGAAGGATGCGTTTCTCCTCGCGTGAGCGTCGTTCCTCTTCCAGGCGCTTCGCCTCCGCGGCTTCATTCTTGCGTTGGAGAGCAACGCGAGCTTCCTCCAACTCCTTTTCGTGCTCTTGCAGCACGCGTTCTTGCTCTTCTTTGCGGCGCTCGATGATGACCTTGCGCGCCAAGGCGAGCTTATGCTCAACCTCAATTTTGGAAAGCAGGTCCGCGGTGTTGCTCTTGGAAGCGAGCGACGCGGCAGCGGGGGTGGCATCAGGATACATCATCTTAATGCCCTTTCGGAGCTTTTGCGCCATGAGCACGAGATGGTTTTTGATGCTGTCGCTCTCAAGCTCATCACCTTCGAACCTGACGCACTTGTTCTGGTGGTCGAGACGGACAGCAACAGCTCCACCCTTGGTGGCATCGACAAGGATTCGCTCGACCTGGGAAAATTCGAGGAAGGGAACCATCTGCTGCAACGTCTCGAGCTTCATGGTCTGGTAAACCTGAGACGACTGTTGCAGCATGCGAACGACAGCGAGGCTGCGCATGCGCGGCAGGAACTGGTCGAAAGCGATGGTTGGAATCGGACTCGATGCAGACAGCACCACTGCTTCGAGGTTGAAAGAGGAGAACACCTTCTGAGCGTGCTTGCAAAGGTCCAGCGGGTGGAACTCTTTCTCGAAGAGCGCGTAGCACTGACGTGCCTCGATGGAGACGAGAGACAAGATACCCTTCGAGACGAGCTCCTTCAGCAGCGCTTTGCGAGAGAGGACTTCGCGTGGATCGCGCTTAGGATCCAAGTTGTACCCGAGGAGCGTCGCCATTCGAACGTCACGCTCTTTCGCGAATTCAAGCTCCAGGTTCGAGACGCTCGCAGACGTGCGGGATTCGTAGGGCGGAATCGCTACCGCGGAGAGTAGAACTGCAGACGCCATGGCCTTCAAGTCCTCCGCGGTGAGGTTGCGGTTGTATGTCTTGCTCAGGTTGAAGAGCTTATACCAAGCGTAGGCGTGGTACAGGTAGTTCTCCGACACCCAAAACACCTTGGTCAACTTTGAAAAGTATGACGCCATCATGCGAGGATTCGGCGACTTGTTCAAGATGATTGTCAGCCCGTGAATGTCTTCGATCGTGCGGAACGCCTCTTGCCACAGCTCGAGGTCGGCCGCCGCCTTGAGCTGCTCGAATCTGGTTTCAAGATAAAAATTTTGCGTCTCCGGCAGAGTCATATCAGGGCGGTCGCGCTGGTCGCGATACTTCATGAGGTTGGCCAAGTGGTTGCGAAGAATCTCGCACAGACGACGGAACTCCGTCGTGCGCTTGTACGTGACGCAGAACTGAAACGCGCGGTGCGCTGTCATTGCGTACAGCGCTTCGAGTTTGTTGTTGTTGCGCAAGATCTCGAGTATAGAGCGGTACGTCTCCCACAAAAACTTGAACCAAGGCGTGACGAGCTCGCGGTCCGCACGATCTTTGTCGTTCTCGACCGAGACGGACTTCAACATCAGATTTTCGGGAGTGTTCTCGGCCTCGAGATCGTCGATCTCGAGTGTCGACGCCTTCGCTGAGGCGGCGGCTTGCGCCTGCGCCTGCTCCGCCTTCTCCGTCGCGAGCTTCAGGAAGTGCTTGATGACTTCCTCGAGCGAGTTCACGTTCACTTGCTGACACACGATTCTGTACTGGATGAGGCCGTCCTTCGCGAGGCGGCCTTTCTTGAGCTGGATGCATAGCTCAACGTACTTGAACATGATCGTCTCGAGCACTTTCTGCCACGTTCGGTGGCGTTTGGACGTGATCACATCGTGGAGCGCCTGAAGAGCCGCGTTGGGCTGTCCCACGTTAATCAGCTCCTCCTGTTAATGCGCGACGCGCGGTGGGGTTACGATGGAGTGGGACAGAACGTGAGATAAGGACGTGGACAGAGAGACGACGGACGATCGCTGCGGTGGGAAAGTTAATCCTAGAAACCCTGATGGGAAACGCAGGCGGCGCAGAAGACGGAAAACGACACGTACCGCACGCTTCAGCGCGTTCTCGGGCTTCGCGAACGTCCCGGCGTACGGCGGCATGGCGAAACTAGATCAGGGCCAGCCGCTACCACGCCTGGGTCGTTCGACTGCGGCGATCGCGGCGCGCGGAAAGGGAGGGCGGCCGCCAACGAAGGTCTCTTTCAGCCAAACGGAGAGAAGCGGAGCGACAGGGAGGTCGGTCGTGATCCTGACGCACTCCAGTCACAAGCGGAGCGGGAAAGTACGAGTATGACCAAACGGGAAACCGCGCTCCTCCCTCACCACTTCCACCGCCACCGCGCCGAGCGCTTCGCTGTTCCGACGCTCTTCGCCTTGCACGCGCGTTGGGCGACCCCATGGACGAGGAGGAAGACCTCCTCGCGGAGGATCGTGAACTCGAAGACCGAGAGGAGTGCATCCAAGACGCGCTCGAATTAATCGTCGAACGAGTCAATGCTCACGTCGAGGCGTCGGACCTCCAAAGCAAGGTTGTCGGGTACGCGGCTCGCGAGGCCGTGAAGGACGCGCTCGCGGTCGTGGACATGACCTTCTTAGAACGGGAAAGCTTCGCGAAGCGAGGCGCGACGGTGGCGGAGGACTCGAGAGGGACGTGGGAGCCGGACGAGGACACTGAACCAGCCCCGATCGACGTGTGGGCGAGAGGAGCGGTGAAAGCGAGGAGGCGGCAGAAGGCTCCGACGCCGGACGCGAAGATAACGCGTAGCCTAGTTCAAAGAATCTTTGGCAGAGGCAGCGGTGCGTCGAGCAGATACGGGGGCGAGTCTCTTCGCAAGTCCACGTCGGGACTTTCTAAAACTGGCGCGGCGAAGCCAAAGATATCACCAGAGCTCGAGGAGGCGGAGCAACGCTTACGAGAAGAGATCGAGACGCGCAGGGAAGTGCAGAAGATGCACAAGTTGCAGCTTCAGAAGGATCAGGAGGAGCTGAAAGAGCTAGAGACGCTCCAAAGGCAACTCCGAGGCAAGGACTACGGATATGATCATAAGGGTAAAGTCGTCGTCATGCAAAAACTCGACCCTGAGAAGTTGCCCGGTTCCTACGCCGTTGGCATGCGCGTCAAGGTGACGGACGATCGAGAAGACGATATTCGACAGGAAACCAGCAGCACTAAAATGGATGCTACGCACGGTGTGAAGAAGCTAAACAGGGTGGACTACATCAAGCCGGAAAAGAGAGGACAACCGAGCTTGATGGACACCTTGAACGTGTCCATGGGAGTTACTTTTCGCGAGGGTGCGGGGGCAAAGGCTGGGGCGCCTTTATCGTCCACCGCACAGAAGATGTCTCGCGAAGATTTCATGGAGTTAGTCAACCGGCAACAGATGGGAGCCAGTACGATGTCGAGAAAAAGCACGTTGGCGGCGCGAACCGCGCCAGGAAGCAAGCAGCAACGAATCGTGCAGCCAGATCCAAACTTGGAACTCCTTTCCGCCGGCGATTGGGGGGTGAATCCCCCTTCAGCTATGAGAGAGAGACCTTACGTTCCACCGACGCTGTATCCGAAAGCCGCTTCCAGAGGAGTCTCGCGCAGGACTTAGAGTGCAGTGCGTTCACGATTCTGGCAGCGGCGCTGTGTGGCTGATACCGACTTCAGTGCTGTTGTGCCGGTAGGAGGAGAATGTCGTAGAAGATCATTTGTTACCCTAGAACGGCTTGTAACAATTTGCAATACAACAAGCGAAATCGCGCTTTGAGTGGGCGGACTAACACCCGTCTAAAAGTTCGTCTAAATCAAACCACTAGTTTTCTCACGCAGTGGTGGACTTGTCAGCGAGCGCCTCAACTTTCTTCCAGTATTGCTGACGGTTCTGCTCCTCCGTCGCCGATGCTAGTACCTCCTGTTCCCACTCCTTTTGACACTTCTCGAACAACGGCTGATCCATCTCCATCAGCATCTTCCTAACGTTTATCGTGAGCCCACCGACTGCCGCGTTCCAGTGATTTTGCGCATTCCTCTCTAACGCACCAAAGCACACCGGGAGCAACACCTGTCTGTTTTGAGCTACGAGGTTCACGATGTAATCGTTGTTCCACAAGAATAAAGCTCGCTCGGCAACCTGAAAGTGTGAAGAGTTGATGCACGCTGAAATCTGTCGAAACAGAGGAAGCATGGTCTTCACAAACTCCGACGCTTGCGTGAGCTCTAACACCTCTTCGAGTTCCCCGAGGAAGAGGACCTCTTTTTGACTGTTCGTGACAGGCCAGTACTTCAACAAACCTCGAAGCACGGTGTCCGCGAGTCGCGGGTCTTTTTCGACGAACTGAGTGACGCAATACGAGAGCTGCTGATGATACATGGCAACACATTTCGGTTTGTGCAGTGGCAAAAGCGCGCGTTGCAGGAAAACCTTGTGCTCCTCCTTCAGTGGAAGCGCGAACCCATTGATGATGCTACCGAGAATTTCTAGAAGCTCCGCGATGCCGTTGTGCCTCTCCGTCTCGTAGATGAACCGATAGAAGATGTTGTTGATGGCTTTCCGAATGAACGGCCGGTGAACCATAAACTTCCCATATATGCGATGCAAGATCGTCTTCAGGTAGTCCCTCTCCCGTGGATCCTCGGAGTCAAACAGCTCCAGAAGCTTCAGGACGAACGTGCTGTCGATGTATTTCTTTCCAATCTTCGGATCGACCTCGTTCGAAGTGACGTAACGCAGCAGAAACTCGTAAACTATTTGTAAGTGCGGCCAAGACGGCTCCAGCGTCGGTTCCTCCTCCTCTGGGTCGAAGTTGTCCCCAGACGCGCTCCCGGTGATCTCGTGGTTCGAAGGCGGTAAACCGCGAAAGAGGTTCTGTGCGAGCATGTACGAACAGTCCTCAAACACCGCCTCTGTGAACTTCCCTTGTCCTTGGTTCACGTAATCCACGAGCTCTAGTAAGGTCTGACGCTTAATCTCCTTTTCGCGCACGTGCGCTGTCGCATCTGTGAAATCGAAGGTGTACGAGCAGAGCTGCAGCTTCTTAATGAACAGCGTCTGCCTCTCCGCGGCGACGACGTCGCGAAACAGGAACAGAGGCTTGTTTTTGTCGTACAGCACCTCCATGGGAGGAATCGCGCTCGCGGATGAGCTCGGGTTCTCCTTTGAACTCGCGCCCACCCCGGAACCCGAAGCCTGGGATCCGGAGACAATCCCCGCGTCCGAAGTTTGCGCGGTGTTCGCATCAGGCGCGCCCTCCTTCTTCCGCCCCACTCCGGAGAGCTTGCTCTTCACGCTCTTCAACATCGTCGCGTGTGTCTAGAAATGCGACGGCGACGACCGGGGCGGTGTCGGTGTCGACGCGAACGCGCGGCTCGCTTCCCGAGTCACCCGAACGAACGAACGGAATCTTACTGCGATGAGAGTTTCGCGCAGCGCAGATCGGACGTTTGAAAGCGCGTCCTCCTCGAGGCCCGTGCAACTCGGAGGGCGACGCGGCCGATCGCTTGACTCGCTTAGGTCGCGCGCGGTATCGTTTCGCGCCTCGCCCGCGCTTCGGGAAGTGTCGAGGCCTGGATTGACGCGTTTGCCGCGTTGACGCTTCGGACCGGCGAAAGTCAGGGCGTGGTCAGCTGGACACCTGCTCGTCTCGCAGCAGACTCATCTCTCACAGCAGTGCACCACGAAACCTCACGAAGGGGCGCGAGCACACAGAAAAAAATCGCGAAAAAAGCTGGAAAAATCAAACGCAACCGCGGGAAACGTGCCTTTTCGAAGGTTTCGACACGAGAGCTTATCGCGCTCGAGAGACACGTTCACGCGGCGCGGTCGTATCTCGTACGCGGCGCGGTCAAGCAAAGCGGAGCGCAGCGGCCGCGCATGAGCGTGAATGGAAGACACGCGCGGTCTGCGGCTTCGAGTCCCACGAAGGTCGTGGTCTCGAAAGATGACGAAGACGCGAAGGGCGTCGCTTCGAACAGATTAGCAATACCTGCGGAGACGAGCCAGGGAAACATGCTCTTAGACTCGCCGCTGCTACTCCCGGGATTGATGGTACTGTAACCCCTCTCGAATTCAAACGCGTGCGCTGTGACGCCGTCGCAGTACACGCCGCTGTCACCCACGGCCCGAGAAATCGCATCCAGACGAAGAGTCCAACGCGCGCGAGTCTTTCGAGAAACCGCACGTCAAGAGGCCGTCGCGAGTCTAACGATTCGCTCACGTCTACATTTTTCTTGTATGTCATGCAGGCTGACCCGGCTTCGCCAACTACCGGGATTCGATACAACCCCTCGAGGTAAGACAGCGGGAGTGCTCACTCGCGCATCGGCGAAATATTTTTGCTCTGGTTGTAGTGAGAGATGACGCGCGCACGGCGTCTTCGTGGAGCCCAGAAGCCCGTCGCCGCGTACTCGCATTTCCGTGTTCTTCACGTATTTCCTTTTCATTCTCGTCTCTCGTTTCCCTTATCGCAGGGCTCCGATACAAGCGCCGTGGAACGATCCAAACGGTTTGGCCGGGGGTGCCGGGGGCACGCACTCTGGCGCGGGTGCGACGGGGTCGGGATGGTCAAGGGTCCAGACGGTTCTACGAGACACGTCTTTGCCGGTGCGACCATCGCCCCTCTCTGGTGCAACTCGTGCGTTTCCTCAAGGACGGACGGACAGATGCGAAGGAAAGAAACCTTCAACCTTGGTGGTAAGTTTGCAGAAAACGTCCTGTACACAAACGAACTCACCTTCAAGATTCTCATCAATCAATAAAAAATAAAGTTCTGCTAACAAACGCAGAGACAGAGAGAATATTATCGAGACAGAGAAGATGGGAAAGAACGCACGACTGAAAGGTGAGAGACAGACGAGTGAACGAAGTTTGCGTTTCGGTGTCTTCTATCAATATTCCAGCGCACGTTCCTTGAGTTATTTTTCTTTCTTCACGCAACAGGGGTGGAGAGATGAACAGGGATAAAAATAAATTGTTTGTGACGGGTTACAAAACTTCAGAAAATGTAAAAGTAGAGACTCCGACAGAACCCGGAACTGCTTCACTGAAACGGCGGAGATTTAATGTCAACGACACGTCAACGCAAGATGCCGGGTCGAATGTAATTTTGGAATACAGAGTGGTCGCGCATACGGTGAGAAATGACTAAAAGTTAGATAATCCTGATTTCTCGAGCGCGGAAATATATCTAAGTTTTTTTTGTTTTGACTTGTTTGTTCACTTCGCAGTCGGACATTCGAATCGATGACGGATATCGTTGGCGAAAATACGGGCAAAAACTTATTAAAGGAAGCCCATTTCCACGAAGTTATTACAAGTGCACGTCGGAAAACTCCTCGATGCAAAAGCACGTAGAGCAATCGGCAGACAACCCGAAACTCTACGTCGTCACGTATCATTCCGATCGTTCTCAAGCGAATGTCGTGTACGCGAAATTAAAAGAATCAGCACCCACTCTCTCGAAAATAACTATGCACGGCCTTGACGAATAAGCGAGCGAGATGAAATACTATCTCTTCCTTCGATCCCGAGAGCAACTTGTAAAATTAAATGTTGAGCAAATACACTAAAAGACACCTGCTTTACATAACGAATATCGCACGATATGTTTTGAGGCGAATTTCAACTCACCGTTTCGCACTCAGTTATGACAATCGGAATAGAAGTTGATTGCGACTCACAGTATTAGCGCAAATGAAACGTAAGGATACGATCTTTCCATGTTTCTTTTTTCATCTTCCGGGAAGATGTCCCAATTCAATAAAGCGCCATGACCCAACCAATCTTGTAAAATCCATCTTAATTTTATTTCTGATTTCTTGTGTGGTTTTATGATACAAGCGAGAAAGTTCGGGGGTAATCCATATCGCAAAACGCTCTCAACAAAGATGCGTATGGCGCAGACATGAATCCAGTCACTTATCACATTTCGGTAACAAGCTCTACAGAGAGAATCCAAAGCAGCGCTTCGTTCTTCAACTTCTCTGACTCTGTCGTTTCTTTCACTTGCCTCCGATTGGATCGTCTCGGCGTTGTAGTGAAACTCGCGAACTTGAAACGACTTCTCGTGGGCAGCAGATTTAAAAGCATCGACGACGCGGTGAAACAGTGTGACGGTATATAGGGCGTATTCTTCGTCTTCTTTTATCAGCCTGATATACAAGCATATCTTGAACGACGCGGTTTACCATAATCAATTTCTTGATGCATTTTATTGAAGAAGCAGAACAAACTTACTTCGACGAGCGCGGAACAACGAAGTGCGCGAGCGTTTCGTAGCTTTTTAACCAGTCCTTTTTACTGAAAATCGGCACCGCGACAAACAACGTCACAAGATTATCCGTTTCTATTATCTGCAAGTTGCGGGAGACAGAGAGTTCTTGTGAACGCTCTTGCACGTACCAACGTTATCCGGCGTCGAAAGTAAATATATGGGCGTAGTAAGTGTGAGTGTGAGGACGTGGAGCAGCAAAAGAAACTCACGTCCGATTCCTGAACTATATCTCCGAGGTCTCTCGTCGCTAAGCTCCAACCGGTCTTCCTTGAAATTCCGCTGAGCTGAGCCTTGGCAGCTGCGTATTCGCTGGTTTTCACTTTCAACTCTTCGTCTATGGTCGCGACGTTTTCTCGCAACTCTTGAACGATTTTTTTGATCGGTCTGTGCGTGGGATTTTTCGCTCCATCCCATTCAAAACTCGTCAAGAATTGATCGGGAGGAATCCCATCAACAGTGAGTTCCTGCTTGAAAAAAATGTCTCGTCGTTTCTCACTTTGGCGTTTGGCTGATACTCACCTCGTCCATCCCATCCGACGAGTGAAGCTCTACGAATTGCTTCTGTATCCTACGGGCGACCGCATCCAGGAGCGGTGACACCACTTCTGAGATGGTGTCGCCGAGCTCGATGAGATCGTCGAAAGCTCCCACGCGAAGCTCCGGCACGTTGAACTGCGTGGACCGACGAGCACAGAGTCTGTCAGGTTTATCGTTTTGATTCCCGTTGACGGATGTTCGTTCGTTCACCGAGGTCCGGAGAACAAACATGCGCCGGAGTCTATCTCATTATCGCGATTTCTCGAGCACACGATATATTCGTTTGAGACGAGGTAGACGGGTGCGGTCTGAATCACCTTGAAGTTCACACTCAGATCGTCTTTGGTGAGTAGAGTCGACGTGAGAAAGCTCAGGCGTCGTAACAAACGAGAAAAAGATCTGGGTGACTTTCCCACAAGCACGCTCGAGCAGTCTTCAGGACGCGAACGCGGACGCAGGCGGTATGATACAGTACGCGCAGGCGTATCCGAATCACGAGAAAACAGCAACGCACTCGACGCGTCGCAGACTCCGAGAGGCATTTGCGGGAACAACCAACGTCTCGTGAAATCAACAACAAAAGAAAGCAACCCAACCGTGCGTGGTCTTGTCTTGCAGGACGCTCCACGTCCGGTCCCTTGAGCCACCGTCGAGGGCTAGCGACACGAGCCAGAACGTCGAGCTCATCGACGACGCGACGCGCGATGCGGTACTCTCACGCGTGGTTTTCCGATGTGGCAGAGCCTCCCTCTCTCGAGATGGCTGGCGTTACGAGTAAGTTGTTACGAAGAAGGATTTTGATTTTCCGCTATTTTTTCGCGGAATTTTTATTCGGCTGTGGCGGGCTGGCGGTGGAACTGAAGTTCTCGGAGCGACACCCCTAACAGAACTTCTGTCGGCCGGGCTGAAGAGCCTGGCTTTTTTCCACACACCGCCAGGCCTCCCGGGTGCTTCTTCTTCATCAGGCAAAAAGAAGGGCGCTCGGTGGTTGACGTGCGCCCGCGCGTTCGATGGGGGATCGCGGGTTTCACCGTCGCGATACGGGGTGGGATAACAGAGACAGTCGAGGAGCAGGCCCGCCGGATGCGCGGGGGAGTTGGGAAGGACGCGGTAGCGACCGCCAGCGTCACCAGCACTATCAACATGATGGCCGTCGAGGGAACTCAAGGGATCGTGATGTTGGGTTCGATCGCGGGGGTCGCGAAGACTACGGCGGCCATAGAATGGCGTCGCGGGATCGAGGTGGTGGTCGGGACGATTACATCGACCGCCGCGGCGCACGGGAACCGGAGAGACTGCTGCCGGAGAGGTCATGGAGAGACGAGCAGATGCAATTGAACGATCGAAGGAATTACGACAGAAGAGAAAGCGTCCCCGCTGCAGGAAGGCAGCAGCAGCAGCAAGCGAACCGAGAAATCGAAATCAGTCGGAGGGTGGATGAAAGACGCAGTCCGTCCTATAGCGAAAGCGACAGCAGCGAGACGGAATACACTCGCAAGCCACGTAAGTGGGAAGTCACGCTGACGCCAGAGCAACAACTCGAAGCTCTCGACTTGTGGTTGAAGGCGAACCCTGAAGTCGCGAAAGACGTCGAGATGCTGGATAACAGATCCAAGGGAATAAACAACAAGCCACCGCCTTTCTTCCAGGAAGGTGACTGGCTTTGCGCTACGTGCAACGAACACAACTGGAAAAATCGCATGGATTGCCGGGGCTGTGGAGCACCGGCGTCCGCGGAGAAGATCACCGAGTTGCAAGCGCAAAAAGCGCGGGTCGCGGTCGCGCAAGCGGCGAAGCCGCAGGCTCCCAACGCGAAACCGGGAGACTGGATGTGCGTCGGATGCACTTCTACGAACTACGCCTCCAAGAAGAATTGTTTCCGGTGCAACACGTCAAAGCCGAACGAGTGGGTGTGTGCGGTGTGTAATAGCATAAGCACCGGAGTGGAAAATACCACCTGTGGCGTGTGCGTCAGTCAGGGCGTGCCTTAGGACCCCGCTGGCGTCGCTTGCGCGTGCATGAGAAGGCAAGTGTTGTTCGCGAACGCATAGTGTGTCTCTCTGAAGTAAATGCGATTCAACCGAGCTACATCTATGACGTTTGCTTTTATCGCTTCCCGAAAGTGAAAAGGTTCCTCAGGGCGGAAGTTTTCTGCACCTTCACACGCCCCTCGAGCGATGGATACGAGATCTCGTCTCCCGCGACATCCAACATGATCGGACGAACCCCGACAGAGTTCATACGGGGAGGCATGGGCAAGATATGAACCTTGTTAGCTCCTTTACCCAATACCGCCGATTTGTACTGATCGAGATGGTCGACAAGATATTGCGCCTCCACGCCACTTCCCGAGGTTGAAGCCGGGATTTCTTCCAGGGAGACGGTGGAAAGCCCTGTGCGGAGTGCTTTCTGCTGGGCAACCTGCACGGTCATTCCATCCGCCAGCGTCATACACCGAGCTCTACGCGCTTCCATTTGAACTTTACTCGCAACCGCGTTCATCTCTGATGCCGCTGCCGCGCGGTCTTGCACTCGAGCAGCGTGTTCAGCCGCTCGCGCATACAACACCGCAGCCTCGACGTGGCTCCCCGCGCCCAGGTGAACCTTCGCCAAAGCGGCTGCGCGCTGGGCTTTGAGAAGAGTCTGGTTTAGGATGCAGTCAAGCTGGATTTCTTCCTCGAGACCTTCCGCACCCTCGACGCCACGCATCACCTCAGGTCCACTTTCCGCAAGCTCTTCGTAGTTTTGCAAGAGTGTGTTGAACAAGTGGACGAGGTCTTCAGGCTTCGCCGCCTTTTCACCTTTCTCGACTTTGATCTCGCCGGTGAGCTTCGCAGTAACCGACGCGACGAGAAATTTGTTTCGCTCGATCGTTTTCTCGGAAAGCAACACCGCGAGCGCTCGATCTGCGAGCTTAATCTCCGCCAACCTACCAGTCGACTCAGATCCGCCGCCGCCCTGAGACGAACTCGCGGACGCTAAGTCGTCGCGAAGGTGCTGACGGGCGTCGTTGTAGAAAAGAAACGATTTGTCGTATATTGCCAGACCCCGTTCGGCTGACATCGTCAGCGGAGACTCAATTTTAGAGAGCTGGCTCACCGCATTTGCAATACACGCGCGAGCTTCTCGGTTCCGCACCGGGATTTCGCGCCCGCGCCACACCATTGCCGTTGGGGTGACCGTCGCTCGCCCGTCCTCTTCAGCAAGAACGGCTTTGAAGATCTCTTCGTCTACCCCGCCTTCTCCTTTGAGAGCTGCCATGTCGGCGTCGTCCATGGATCCAGGAGCATCACTGGCACCAGTGCTTCCACTGCCACGCTTATACGTGCAGTATCTTAAACTTGGTTCGAGCTCTTCCAGGCGTTCGCGACAAATCTCCGCTTGATCCGGTCCTCCGACTCTCGCCAGCTGCTCGTACGCCTTCCGCGCTCGCATGAATTTAGCAAGCGCTCGATCCCAGTCCCGCTCTTGCTCCGTGAGGTAGCTGCCAAATATGTAGGACGAATAGGCTTCAGCCTCGAGAGCGGTTCGCGCGCTTCCGACTTGGTTGCACAAGCTCACGAGTTCCGCAGCGTGCACTGTCGCTTTCTTCAGTCGCTTGAGCATGTGCGCTCGTTTACGCGGCTCGTTGCCCGCGTCACGCTTCAGCTCCATCGCGTAGCTCCAAGCGCGCTCGGCAGTCATGAGAGGAATCAAAAGGTGCCTCTCGTCCTTCACCATGGCTGCATCTAGTGTTTTCTTTTGATACTTCCCTCGACCGTGGGTGAACTTCAGGGACTTGTACACGCGGGCGAGACGGCGAGTGCAGTACTGCCTGTAACGACCGTGGTCATCGTGACGCAGACCGTGTTGGTTCTGGCTCAGCTTCACGATCTGCAGGATGTCCAGCGTCAAGTTCGAAGCCAGTTTGTCTTCCGCGACGATCGTCGTCGGCTGTTCGCCGTCGTCCCCCATTTTTTATTCGACGCGATCGCGCGATCTCGCGATCAGGACGCGCTCGTGTGCGCAGTTCGAACGTCCTCGATCGGGAGGATGGAAACGGGCTATAGCCCGGTGGCTGCCCGACGGCACCGTGACGGAGGTGCTGTGGACGTGCCCTCCGAAGTGAGCGCGGAAGGACCTAAAAGTGAAGAGTTCATACGAAGGTAGACAAGTACGTGTACACGCACTCGTATGTACACTTAGTGTGTAGTTTTCGACGAACATCGAGGCGGCGCGGCGGCCTCACGCGCAGGTTTTGTGGGGAGAGTCACTTTTCCTCCTGCAACTTCCGCCTCGGCTCGCGTTCACCATCTAATATTGAATAAACTAGCCTAGATACTATCAAACGCAGAACTGGAAACACGCGAAACAACAACCGCACGTCCATCGAACCGACGGCCGGCCATTTCAGTTTGAACCTTGTTCGCGCCACTCTCGTCTCCCATCTTCACGAATACGGAACCAACAGGACCACCGCGAGGTATGCGAATATCTTTGACCTCCCCGCACTTTGCGCATTCCGTCCTCACGTCGGCGAGGAGTTCAGCGTATGCCTCCTCATCGGCTAAGTCTGACTCCGTTACTATATTTGACAGACAGACTATTGTTGAATGCTCTTCTCCTCTTTCCGCCGCCGCACGAGCCGTGATCGTCGCAGCCGCGGCGGGATCGACCCAACCGGTTGGGCGGGCGATTGTTAACGGTCGACCGCAGAAAACCAAGCCGTTAAGCCCCGCTATGGCGGCGGTCGCCAATTCTTCGGACAAAAGCTCGACAAACCCATATGTTGCCTGATCGCCGAGCTGGATATTCACGACTGGTTTCGCGTCACCACTAGTCGCGTTTGGAAAAGCGACCGCGAGCGCGTCATCGAATAATGCAGTTAAAGCCTGCTTTGTGACGACGGCATCAATGTTGCCCACGAAGATCTCCCTATTTTTTCTGGGACCCCCGAGGGCGACGGTGCTCGCTTCTTGCACCCTGGCGAGGCTTCCGGCTTGTTGTTGAAGAATCCACTGCTGCGCCTGTCGCTGACGTTCGGCGGGGTCCACCAGGTTTAGGGCGGCATCAGAGGCACCTGGTGCGCTGCTCGGTTGCGTTATTCCGTGTTTGCTCGGACGACGAATCCGCGGAACGTAGCCACCAAGATCATCCGATTCTGAGCCACTGCGGCTATGCCGACGTCGTCTGATCCACGTGAGGAGATGGATGAGAAGAGTGGTTAGTATGACAATGCGGACGATACAGCAGGACGTGAGGGATTCAGCTTTTTCGCTTGTGACTCGATACGCACCTCTTCCGATCCCTCGAGCGGGACCTCGACCGATGCCTCCCGCGGTGACGCGGAGAACTCGGAAACCTGCGACCCCTGTACGGTGATCCGTCCCGTCTCTGCGACCTCGATCCGTTCCCGTCTCTCGAATGCCGAGGCGACGTGTCTCGGCTCGTCTCGCGTCGGTGCCCTCTCTCATCATCCCCCGAGCGCGATCGATGCCGAGGCGATGTATCTCGGCTCGTTTCGCGCCGGTGCCTTCTCTCATCCCCCATGCCCTCCAGGAAGCCGAGAAGAATCGCTCGTTGGAGTCGCACTTCGCTTCTGGGGAGCAGCAGCACTCTGCTGCTAACTTCTGGTGATCCGCTCATCAGGCCTGGCTGTTAAAAAAGTCACGTTTTCGCAATCAGATGTAGGGCTACACCCATCGTGCCTCCGTCATTACCGCGTGCCCAACGCGGCAGCGCTGCTCGAGTAGCCAGCCAGCGATGATGCCACCACTGCCGTGCCGTCGGCTATAATGTCATCTACAGATCCGAACGTGAAGGCGACCTACTTTCTTCGGCCCGTCGAAGGAAAGGGCCTCCGTCCAATACCACTGTCCGAGTCCGAGGGCACCGTCGTTGGCCGAAGCAAGGATCTGGGCATCCTGGACAACAAAGTTTCCGCAAATCAGCTGGAATGTAAGCTGACGTATTCTCCGATGCTCGCCGTAGAGCTGAAGGCTAAGAACGAAGTCTTCGTGAAAGATAGGTTCGGAGTTCTCAAGATGCTGAAGGCGAACTACGTGGGCTATTTGAAGCCTGGCGAGGTTCTGTATCTGTATTCTTCACAATCTGTGCCGAAGTATGGATACATTCTAACGAAGGGTGAATCGGACAAGGCCGGCCACACGGGAGCAGACGACTTCATAGAATTACTCGACGAGTCAAGTGACGACGATGTGGTAGAGGCGGCACCGCCACCCTCGGATCGCACCGCCCCACCAGTTTCCCCGGAAGGAACACGGCGTGAAGGGCGCGCCGATGCGCGTGCAGGACGAGAGGGAGGCCATACAGCTCCACGTCGTGCCGTTAAGCGACAGAGAGACGATAGGAAAGGTACCGCAGATGATCCTTGCGAACTTTTATCTTCTGATGAAGAAGAAGAAGAGGTCAAAGTGCAGTTCACTTCAAAAGCTAAAAGCGCTCGCGGTCGCAAGAGCACGAAGAGAAACGCGTTTTATGGTGGGCAAGAATCGGGCGGCGGTGGCGATAGTTCGCATGGAACGGCGAACGCTAGATACAAGCCGCAGCAGACAGAGCGCGACGCACAACGCAACGCGCGCGCTCAGCAACAGCGAGGATACGGGAGTGCACATGGCGCGGGTCCAACTACTGGGTCTCAATCTGCGCAGCATTTCACCGCGGATAACGTGCAACCGAAACCTCCAACGCCGCCTCCTTCGCATCCAGATGACACACCGGAGGTATCCGCGACGCGCGCGACTCTGCAGAAGGCGTGGATCGATTTGTGCGCGGCGCAAGACAAGTGCGACGAGCTCTTCACCGCGGTTCGTTCGAAGCAAATCGAATATCAACGCGTCACCTTGGAAGTGCCTTCGAGATTTAACGGCGACACTGATTCTTCGTCCCTCAAAGAGCACAACATGCGCGTTAACAATGCCGCGGCTGAAATGCATCTCGCTATGAACGAATATAACGATATACGTGGTGCGATCGTAGTACTTCGTGCAAAATATCAACGCGCACGCGAGGAGCTTGACACTGCACTGCAACTGCTGGAACGAGGACGTCGAGCGGCAGCGCAAACGCGCCGAGACGAGACAAAGGCGTCTGATTTTCAGGCAGAAGTTGAAGCATGGGAAACTGTCGAAAGAACGCCTGACTTGAGCACGATTCCAGTGAGTGAGCTTAAGCAGCTCGCGACGGCAATGGGAGTGGACATCCGAGGTTGCGTTGAGAAAAAGGATTTGGCGACGGCAATAACGACTAGACGAGAGAGTGGAAGAGAGGCTTGGTTGGTAAAGAGAAAGAAACGCGCGGCAGAGGAGGAGATCGCCGTGCGACAGCGACGTAAGCTAGCTGAGTTGCGAAAGGATGAGTCCAAACGACAGGCTGATGAGTCTGCGCAGGCGAGCGCGAAGCAACGTGCGGTCCGACAAGTTGCGACGTGGGGCAAGAACGCGGACCTCAGGGTCTTCTTGCAGCGGTGTGGCATACCCGTGGAGGGAGTTGGAAGGAATAAGAAGTCCTTGACCGCGGCGTACCGGCGCGCGATGATGAAATATCATCCCGATCGAACTCGCGGCGCGAGCATGGAACAGCAAGCCCTGGCCGCGGAGGTAACGAAGTGGATCACGCATGAGTGGCAGAATCTCTCGTGAGAAGGTCTCTCAAGTACGAGCACTAAATAGGAGCAGCACATAGACTAGATATTACACGGGGCCTAGAGCCCGAGACGAACGATGTTCATCAGAACCTAGTCGCGTCCGTCGCTTTGTTTCCATACTCGCTCACGCCGAACATCTCCAACGACTTGCGTTGCCCGATCTGCCTGTACGTCGAAATGAACGCGGTGTTCGATGGGATAGAGCTCATCAGCGTCTCGTGCGTGGCCTTCGCTACGCCGGCAGCGGAGTGAGGGTCCACGGACTCTTCTGGCTCGGATGGATCGCCATTGGCCGCCGGCACCCTCAGCTCTCGCACCGTCCAGTGAAGACCGCCTTGATGGTCGAAGTACTTGCACTTATTCCCCTCCACGGAAACCTTCGTCGCTTTGCTCGCGGGATCCGGGAGAAGGAAGCCCCACTCTGACTCAAAGTGTCGCTGAGAGTGCGTCTCCTTGGCTATGCGCAACCGCCAGTTCTCGTCCTGCGAAAGTAGGAAAGTAGACGTGTCAGCGGCTCCGCTTCGTTCGCGCCCCCGTGGTAAGCAAGACGCCGAGCGTCGCGGACATTTCGTTCGTTGAGATAAATTGTCCTCTGCTTCGCACCTCGGCTACGACGTTGTTCGCGTCCGCGGCCATTACAGAACTTTCAAGGTGCACAACAGCTCGGCGACGCTTCAAACACCTCCGAAACCCTGGAGAGTGAGCGGGGGAGCGTTACCTCGACTGCGCGGCGTTTGAGTGGCCTTCAGAAATCAGTCGCCCGAATAGAAATCGTTGAGGGCGCCCAGCAGTGTGCAAGTGCAACTGCAACTTCGCGTCAAAATCGTCCTCGTCACCCCCTTCCGCTTTACTGCGTGCTTGCGCTTGACGCGCGTCAGCAAGTGCGCACTCGCGGAGGAAAACGACTCGCGGATTATCGACGTTGGCGTCCCTTTGCATATAGCGCGTACAACGATGCGGTTCCCAAGGTGTGTGTGTGTGCTGCAGCGATGGCGTTGGCTTCGAATCTCTCGCCCTTCGCATCTCTCGCCCTTCGCATCTCTCGCCCTTCGACCTGACAACTTTCACGACTTTCCCGCGCGCAGACTGCTTCGAGCATCCAGCGAAGACCTAGCTGCGGAGGCCACGACCTCGCATGCGACGTTGCGCGAGCCTGGCCGGCATTTCTGCATCGTCACGACCGCCAGCCTGCCCTGGATGACTGGAACCAGCGTTAACCCGCTGCTCAGAGCAGCCTACTTGGCTCACCGCGGGGAGACGTCTTGCCGCGTCACGCTCGTGGTTCCGTGGCTGCCGCTCTGTGACCAGAAGCTCGTGCACCCGAACGCGATATTCGAAAACCCTGAGCAGCAGAAGGAACACGTCCGGGGATGGCTCTCTGGACGGGTGGACTTCGACCCGTCGTTTGATATTCGCTTTTACCCCGGCAGGTACGCGATCGACAAGGGTAGCATCGTTCCCGTGGGGGATGTCACCGAGTGCGTGCCGGACGAAGACGCGGACGTGGCGATACTGGAGGAGCCGGAACATCTGACATGGTTCCACCACGGCATGCGTTGGTCGGATAAGTTCAGGCACGTCGTCGGCATCATCCACACGAACTACCTCGAATACGCGCGTCGTGAAAAAGATGGCGAACGCAAAGAGGCCTTGCTCAGGGGCGTGAATCGCACCGTGACTCGAGCGCACTGTCATAAAGTCATCAAACTGTCCGACGCGGTGCAAGATTTCGCGAGATCCGTCACCGTGAATGTACACGGCGTCTCGCCGCACTTCATCGAGGTTGGTCGTAAAATCGCACTTGCCGCCGAGGAGAGGTCCCGGCGAGGTGAAGAGAGCAGCAGCAACAGCAGTTTTACGAAAGGCGGATATTTTATTGGAAAGGTTGTTTGGGCGAAAGGCTACCTCGAACTGCTCGACCGAGTGAAGGAATATAATGAAACCGCCGCGCAGAAAGATAAGCTCGTCATGGACGTTTTCGGCAACGGCGACGATTTCCAGGAAGTAAAAGCGGCGTCCGAGCGCGAAAGGTTAGCGCTGACTTTCCACGGTCAGGCCGACCACGCTTCGGAGACGACCGTGGGGTACAAATTTTTCATCAACCCTTCGCTGTCCGACGTAGTGGCGACTACTACGGCAGAAGCACTCGCGATGGGCAAGTTTGTTGTGTGCGCGCGCCACCCTTCGAACGAGTTCTTTTCAACATTTGCGAACTGCCGCACGTACGCGAATTCCGACGAGTTCGCGGAGTGCGTACGCGAAGTTTTGCACGGCGAACCGGAACCGATATCGCCGGATGATCTCCATCGCTTGACTTGGCAGGCGGCTACCGAGCGTTTCTTGGACGCGGCTGAACCGGACGCTAAGAAGAAGCTGTCGTTGAGGCAAAAACTGTTTGAGACGCTCTCGGACTGGTTTGCGGCGAGTTGCCATAACATGTTCACCGCTTCCGAGGCGATGCGGTGCTTGGCCGGCGGCGGGGCGGGTACGCTTCTTACCCCTGATGATGCAGATTTCGCGTGTTGGGAGCCCGATCTGTGGCAAGGCGGAATCGCGGATCGCAAGGAGGATCAGCGGTGAAACATTTACAGTACATACATTTGTACGAAGGTCAGCTAGAAGTTAGACTCTGCATCTACCACCAAGACATCACCCTTGTCATCGACCATTTCATTAAACAACGACCGTGAAACATCGCCCTTACTCGAAGTCGTGCGAGCGAAAGCGGCGGGAGTCACGACAAGGCACTCTCGCTCTGTTGCATCCTTGGCTTTTTGTGCGGCAGCAGCGGCGGCAGAAGCAGGGCTCGACGGCGCGAACAGATCAACCGGCAAGGGAGAGGACTTGTTGCCGTTCAAATTCAAGGAGTGGAATTCCTTGAATGTTGGGTGATGTTTCCCCGCCGTCTTACGACGTTGTCGACCGGCCGACAGTCGGTTATGGAGCGTCCGCCCCCACAGCTTCACCGCGGTGTCCCCATTCACTTCAACGCTGAAGTCGCGCTCTTTTCCTTTGATGACGAAACTTGACGCGTCCGGTGCAAACTTCAAGTATGCGCCGGCGATCGACATCCGGCGAGCAGGACCAAGAGGGAACCAGATCAGTTCGTCATTGACGTCGTCATACTTGACCATTCGAGAGTATAACTTTCCGTTCCTGCCCAACTTCGTCAATGCCACCCCCGCGGCTAACTTAAGATGTGCTGCTCTCTCCGCTTCGAGCGCGACCACCGCAGTTTCGCGTTGAATACTTGCCAAATCATTTCGCCACGTTGACCTAAGGATGTGAAGCTCTTGCCGCATGGCGTCTCTCACTGCGGCATGCTTTTCGTTTTCAGACTTCGCTGCTGACGCCTCAGCTTCTAACGACCTCACGCGACGTGCGTGATCAGCGATGATTTTTGCTCTCTCTGTATCTCGTTCAGCTCGCTCGGCGACGATCTTCACCTCGAGCGCCCTCGTGTTGGCGCGTTCTTCGTCTAGTTCTTTCGCCGCGTTCCGAGTAGCACTTTGCGCGGCTTCGCGTTCGGTGGTAATCTCTAATTGAAGCGCGTCAATCGCCACGCCTTGCATAATGGCGCGATTTTCAGCTTTCGTTGCGCTTTCGACGGCGTGCGCAAGCTCGTTTTGTAATTTGCAACAGACGTCTCTTTCACCTGCGAGCTCCGCGAGCGCCGATGCGAGTGAGGATTCCAAATTGTCCACCTTACTTTTGAGTGCATTCTCGGACGCGGCGTGCTCCGCGCGTTCATTACTGATGTGCTCTCGTAGCTCATTTGACTCCATCGCGAATTCTGCTTCTTGCTTCTGAAGCAGCTCGCTCAGACGTTTCACCGTCGCGGCACACTCTGATTTTTCGCGGACCAAGTTTTCGCGGAGCGTGCGGACACATTGTGCCTTCTCGATAGTGCGTTCTGTTTTAGCGCGGTCGACCAGCTCCCGGTATTTGATTTCCATAGTCGCGCGTTCCGTCCTTTCGCGTTCGATGGTTTCGTGAACACGAGCCTCCGCGCTTTTTTTCGCTTCGTGCAACGACGCCGTCTCAGCTGCGTGCTTTTGTTCTTCGTGCTTATTCACCTCGCGCAGACGCGCTTCCTCGGCCGCGTGATCCGCCCTCTCGCGCAGTATAAGTTCCCGCAGTTCGTCGTTCCGCTTCTTAGACGCGTGATCCTCGCTCGTTCGCACTCGGCTTAGCGCTTCGTGATGTTCTTCTTCCATTTTCGTAACTTTTACTTGTTCAAGACGGAGCGACTCCTTCACGGCCTGGAGCGACTTCTCCACGGCCCGGAGCGACTCCTCCGCGGCCACACGTGCTTGCATTTCCTTGTTTAGAAGCTCGTTCAGCCGCGCTTTCTCGGCATCCGTCGCCGCACGTTCGGACTGTGCGCATTTGGAGAGAAGCTGATGCGTTTCGTTCAAGCGGTGCAACGCCGTGGTCCCCGACGCTTCCTCCAGGCCTCTGATGAAGACCGAAGGATCGACTTCAACATCAGCGGAGTAAACAATCGGTCTCGATTCAACGCGCATGCAACGCGCCGCCAACTCCAAAGATGTGATGCTCTCGTGGGCATGTTCCGTTTCTGGCGCGACGCAGACGATCAACGCCGTGCGACTTCGCCCGGAAAGGGACGATTCGAGAAGCTTGGTGAGCATACTGTCGCGAAATGGAACGTGCATCTGTTTTTCGGCCAGCGCATGCACTACGTTTCCGAAAGTCAGCAGGCTGCCGTTAATGTGCGTGGCCTCGTTGAACCTGACGCCTTGCGACTGCGATTTCTTCGCGCGCTCGCTGCCAGCCATGTCGACAATGGTCAACAGACCTTGCAACTGCGTGTAGAGTTTGCAACCGGTGGATTCGTCAGTCGACGACGACGCCGCGCGCGAGACGCGATTGACCCGGACAAGCAGTACGCAGTGGGATCGCGACGAGTGACGATTCATCTTCGTCTCCGCGTATATCAGGTTTGTTCGTCCACGACGAAAGTTCCCAAGGAGGTCGACGGCGTCGCGGCAATGCCGCCATTCACAGTCGGCGAGCTCGAACCCGCCAGCTCCGTCCTTCCTTTGTGTCGCCTTCAAGGATGCTCCCGAGTTCGTGAGGAGGTCGATCGCCGTCTCGTTATATATTTGCACCATCGAAATGGCGATGTCATAGACGTACGCCTGGTCGAAGCGAACCCGCTTAAAGAGATCGACCGCAGCTCGCGGAACGATCCCCGCGGCGGCGACGTCTCCGTCGTCGTTTAACATAGAATACGTTTTTCCCGAGCCGGACTGACCGTACGCAAGGATGCTGCCGTGACAACCCGCCAGGACGGCATCGAGGATGGGCGCGCCGACGCCGAGATACACGTCCTCGTTCGTCGCGGTGGCGTCGAAAACTTTGTCAACGCGAAATTCCCGCCGAGACGAGATCGCCGCGGTAGGGTTAGACACGGTCACGCGACGGTCGTCGCGCTTCGTCGTCGCGGCGGCGGTCAAGGTTGAAGCCTGCGGGGGGCGGATGCGCGCAAAAACGCGCACGCGTTCATCCTCCGCGGCAGCGGGCATCCGCCCGGAGTGCGCGTCTCTGTGCCGCGGACCGTTTTTCAGCGGAACAAGCGACAAGTGTCAAAAAAAAGCGAGAAAGCGCACGTAGTACGTGTACACGTACAGTAGCCCTAGAGCTAGTGCACCTTAGTACGTGGACTGTACACGTGTCTATTAACGTAGCTATAGACGTGTACGTGTACGTTCCGTTCCCGTACTGTATGTGTTTTCAGTTCGGAGCGCCCCCGGGCCTCTCGTTTTACGCGCTGTCAGGTTCGCGGCTTCGCGGTTCGGCGCTGGCGCTGACTCGCTCGTGAGCTTATCCTGGAAAGATAGACGAGCTGTACGACGCCGTCACGGCGGACGTCCGTCACACACGACCGCGCGACCTTCGCCACACGTGTTCGAGCACTTCGTCGAAGATGCACGCTGTCACCATGCGCGCGAACGCGTCCACCCTCGCCTCCGGCGCCGTCCCCGCGAAGATCGGTGCGATCTCCGGCGTCGTCGAAGCGTCGTTTTTTTTTTTTCAGATTCGCATCGCGCGCCAGCTGTCCCGGAGATCGCCCCCGAGCGGACGCCGCGACCGCCTCGAACTCGTGAGAGCGTTCCTGACCGATTGTGACGTCTGTGACCGTCTTCCTCTCGCAGGCTCCCGCCAGGCCGTCCGCGGCAAGGCCGTCTTCACCGCGCGCAAGGCTCGCGCTTCCGCGAAGGTCGCTCGCACCACGAAGGCTGTCGCGACCGAGACCACCACGACCACGACGACGGCGGGCAAGGTCGTCGATGACAGCACGGACAACGTCCTCGCGATCATCCTCGGCGGTGGCGCGGGCACGCGCCTCTACCCGCTCACGAAGAAGCGCGCGAAGCCCGCGGTCCCCCTCGGCGCGAACTACCGCCTCATCGACATCCCGGTCTCGAACTGCATCAACTCTGATATTAACAAGATGTACTGCCTCACGCAGTTCAACTCCGCGTCGCTCAACCGCCACCTCTCCCAGGCGTACAACAGCAACGTCGGCTCCGGCCTCCGCCAGGGTTTTGTCGAGGTTCTCGCCGCGCAGCAGTCCCCGAAGAGCAAGGTTTGGTTCCAAGGCACCGCGGACGCGGTGCGCCAGTACATGTGGCTCTTCAACGAGTCCAAGTGCGAAGAGTACATCATCCTCTCCGGCGATCACCTCTACCGCATGGACTACAAACCCTTCATCCTGGAGCACCGCAAAACAGGAGCGGACATCACCGTGTCCGCCGTCCCCATGGATGCCGCGCGCGCGGAGGCTTTCGGTCTCATGAAGATCGACGACTCCGGGCGCATCATCGATTTCGCGGAGAAGCCGAAGGGCAAGGAGCTCGAGGCGATGGCGGTCGACACCACCATCCTTGGCCTTGACAAGAAACTCGCGAAGGAGATGCCGTACATCGCGTCCATGGGCATCTACGTGTTCAAGGCGTCCGCCATGGATGAACTCCTCACCGAGAAGTTCCCCGACTGCCACGACTTCGGCGGCGAGATCATCCCGAAGGCTAACGAGCTGGGCAAGCACGTGCAAGCGTTCTTGTACAAAGGGTACTGGGAGGATATCGGGACCATCGAGGCGTTCTACAACGCGAACCTCCAATGCAACGACCCGGATGCGCCCAAGTTCTCTTTCTACGAGAGCGGCTCCCCCATCTACACCCAGTCCCGCTTCTTGCCCCCGAGCAAGCTGCTCGACGTCCAAGTCTCCAGGTCCACAATTGGCGACGGCTGCTTCATCAAGAAGTCCACCATCAGCAACTCCATGATCGGCTTGCGCACGAGCATCTCAGAGGGTTGCGTCATCGAGGACTCTATGATCATGGGTGCGGACTACTACGAGGAGACGCACGAGTGCGAGGATCTCCCGGACTGCACCCCGATCGGCATCGGTGCGGGCACGGTGATCCGCCGCGCCATCGTGGACAAAAACGCGCGCATCGGCATGGACTGCCAGCTCATCAACAAGGACAATGTGCAGGAGGCGAACGAGGAGGAGAAGGGTTACATCATCAAGGATGGCATCATCGTCATCGTGAAGGATTCCTACATCCCCAACGGTACCATCATTTAAGCGAAACGCTCTTGCTTCGCCGATGAAAGTTTTAGCTCGTCACAACATAGAAAGAGACTCGGGGGACGACGCCCCGATAATATTAAGTCCTGCGCCGTAGTTAACGCCTAGCTGGGATTTAAGAACGCATTTGATTTGTACGGTACGTGTACTGTAAGTTGCTCTTCGCACTCGTCCAGGATCCACAGTCTCCGGAAGCACCTTTGTACTGCGCAACTGAGGTACTTCCGTACTTCGTACTTTTGTTTGAAACTCCACGAAACTCAGTCGGATGACGCTGTCGCCTTCACTACTCCGGCGCGATGTCGTGCGCCTTCTCCTCCGCCGTGGCGGTGTGCGGTGCGGTTCGACGAAGTGACGGCGCCCGTCGTGACTGTCGGATGGCGCAGACGCCGCGAGCGTGCGCTGGTTTCGGGTCTTGCCCCTCTCTCGCCGCTCCGCTTCGTGGACGAACAACGCAGTCGGCGCCTCAGAGATCGACTTCGACCGCGTTTGGCTCGCCCCTGCTTGTCACCTGCATGGCTAATCCGAGACGCGTGGCCAAGGTTCAGCAACAGATGCGCAGAGAGATATCGAACATGTTACAAACGGACAAGGTGAGTCACGTCTCGCCCGCCGTCGCGCAGTCGTCCCCACGCGTGGAAACCCTAACCCTTTTGCCACAAAACGCGCTAAGACGTCGCACGAAATTCTCGACGCTGACGCGGCGAGTCCCTCCCCAACGCGTATTGTCCTCCGCAGAACTTGCGCAACATGATATCACCGGAAGAGCGCATGGGTGTGGATAACGTCATCTCGGTCATGGCGACCGTGGCCGACGTCGAGGTATCCAACGATCTCCAGGTCGTGAAAGTTTTCGTCTCCATCCTCGGCGACGAGAGAGGGAAGAAGAACGCCATCAACGGCTTGAAAAAGATGGAGGGGTACGTCAGGAGGAACATCGGAAAGAAAGTGTCGCTTCGCCTCACTCCTGAAATCAGGTTTGTGTACGATGACTCGTTCGAGCGCGGTCAGAAAGTATCCGCGCTTCTCGACGAGTTGCGCGAGGAACGCGACGGAAGGCAGTTCACCTCGGAGGAGTTAGCCGCTGTCGAGGACACGATTAGCAACCCGTACGACGACGACGACGACGACGACGAGTGGATGGAGGAGCTGGGTGGTAGCGAGGACGACGACGGCGAGGTCGAGGACGAGGACGGGAACAATCGATAGAATTTAACACTCTGCTGATTCGAGGAGAAAAGAAAAAAAAACAACTAGCCGCGCTCAAGCATTCACCGCACTGACCCCGACCTTGCACGCCTCGAACCCAGCCTTGAGCTCCTCGCGGTCGAGTTCCTTCCCGATGAAGACGAGCTTAGAATTTCTAGGCTCGCCGTCCTCCCAGAGTCGATCCGGCATGCCCTCGAAGAGCGCGTGCACGCCTTGGAAGACGTACCGGTCGTCGCAGCCCTCGATGGCGAGGACGCCTTTCATCCGGAAGAGGTCCTGCCAGCGATCGTTAAGAAGCATGCCGAGCCAGTCATTGACGAGATCGAGGTCGACCTCGCCGTCCATAGTCAGGCTCACGCTCGTGACGCTGTCGTCGTGGGTGTGATGGCTGTGGCTGTGACCGTGTTCGCCGCACACCTCGCACTCCGCGTCAGCCTCCGCCTTCGCGTCGCCGCCGTGCGAGTGCGAGTGCGAGTGCGAGTGCGTCGGATCGTCGCAATCCGGCTTGTCGCACGTCTCTTCCTCGCCCGCGTGACTGTGCCCGTGACTATCCTCGTGCCCGTGACTGTGCGAGTGACTCGGCTCCTCCACGACGTCCTGCACGCGATCGAGGTCGAAGCCGCCGACGCCGAGGACGAAGTCCAGGTCGACGTTGGCTTTTTCCGCCCTCTGGATGGACGCGAGCTGGTTGATGGTGCGGACGCGGTTCTCGATAGTCCGGAGCTCGGACTCGTTCACGAGATCCGTCTTGTTCACGACGAGCCGATCCGCGAACGCGACTTGCTCGAGCGCTTCGTTGACGACGCCCTCCGGCTTCACCTCGTCCAGGTGCATCGTCGCGTGCTTCGCGTCCACGAGCGTCACGACGCCGTCCAGGCGAAGCGTATCTAAGAGCTCGGGCTCGAGGTAAAACGTCTGGATGATCGGCGCGGGGTTAGCCAGACCCGTGGTCTCGATGAGGATGTGGTCGAACTCGCCCTTTTTGTCCTTCACGAGGCGGCCGAGCATGTCCACGAGGTCCCCGCGCACGGTGCAGCACAGACATCCGTTGTTCAGGAGAATTATATCCTCCTCGCCGCTGTCTTTGAACGTGACCAGGTCGCTGTCGATGTCGATCTCGCCGAACTCGTTCTCGATGACGACGATGCGCTTGCCGTGATCACCTTGCAATATGTGGTTGAGCAGCGTCGTCTTGCCGGACCTGCGAGAGAGCGCGGTGGATTCGATTCGCGTGAGACGACGGTTGGAGAAGAAAAAGAAGATTTGAGGGTCTAGGGTTTCGCGCGCGCGCCGGCGACGCCGTCGCGACCGCGCGCATCGCTTCGAAGGTGTCGTTCTTGCTTTCGCGGCGAAGACGACTTCACGCACCCTAAGAACCCGGTGAGGATGGTCACGGGGACGCGTTTGTCCTTGACGGCGTCCCCGGCGGTCGCCGCGCAAGAAATTGACGCGGGGCGCCGAGACGCGATTCGCGAAGCACTCGCGCGAACGTGGCGGGGATGGGAGGCTCTATGACTCCGTGCGCGCAGCGCCGCGACCGCGGGCTGAAGTGCGGCGGACATGATGCTCGCGAGGACTTCGAAGGCCGCACGGCGCTCTTGACACTGACGCAATTAATTTGACAACTCATCAGACGACGGACACGAAGTTTTCGGGAGCTCTCCCCGCGTCGCACTCGCCCGCGCACTTTCGCACGTTCGTTCGATCGTCACGGTACTCGAACAGTCGCGTGTTCGCTCTCGAGCTCCGTAAGAACGAACCCACGTCCTAAGCCATGGCCCTTCCCACCAAGGCGATGGCGACGAACCCTAGTCAGCTGCTCCCCTCGGAGCTCGTCGATCGTTGCGTGGGCTCGCGCATCTGGGTGATCATGAAGGGAGAGAAGGAGATGGTCGGGACTCTGCGCGGGTTTGACGTTTACGTGAACATGGTGTTAGAGGATGTTATCGAGTAGTGCGTCCCCGGCCTCATCGCTTTCGTTTCCCATTCCCTGGCGCGCCCGCCCACCGCGTGAAGATCGTTTCAATTTCGATCTCGAATCTTTCCCGCTCGCTCGCGCGAGCGAACGATCGATCCGTCGACACTCGAGGAAACGCGGCACGAGACGAGAAGACTGACCGTTTTCGCGAATCTTCCTCGTTCCACAGTGAGATGACGCCGGAGGGCAAGCGTGTGACCAAGCTCGATCAGATCCTCCTGAACGGCAACAACATCGCGTTGCTCGTGCCTGGGGGGATGCCGGATGAAGAGGAGTGATACCGGGCACGCCGTGAGAGTGAACGATCGTCGAGCGCGTGCACGTGCGATTATTCCTGATGAATTTAGAATATGAACAACTAGAGATATGTACACGAAACCTCGTCGAACGCGAAGCGGTGATACTCCTCTCCGCGCGTTTTCCTCTCTTCTTCTAGTATGACTCGTTGCCGCGCGCAGTCAGGCAAGCCACGAGGAATGCGACCGCGATTGCCACACACCAAGCAGCGGTCGCCCCCGCGCGCCCACCCGAGGGTCCCGCGCTGAGGAACGGATAGAAGAAATCCGACGACAGCGAAGGAAATACCGAGGGCGTCGCGGGAGTGACCCCCACCGCGGAGTCCTGCACCGCTTCCACGAAGCGCACCGAGGACTTCAGCGGGAAGTTTTGTCGGTAGTGTTGGTCGGCGTTGACGCCACCTGCAGCAGTCGTGACGTCGGGGTCGGTCACCGTGTACAGCTGATTATTATCCTGCCACTGCCAGTCGTCGTAGATCCAATCGATGGCCACGCGCGCGACTTTGTACTGGGGGTTGTCCAACGTGCCGACCTTCTGCGTGAGGATGGTGATGTCGTAGCCGACGGCGACGTTGCTGCACGTCAGCGTGGTCGCATCCCACGACATCGACGTGGACGGCGCCGTAAGCGACGTGAACACCGTCCCGCAGTCGGTGGTGTCCGTGGTGGAGCAACCCTTCCAGTCCGCGATGTTGGTGGCGTCCGCGTCGGCCCACCCGGCGATCATCACGGTTTGTGTGTCGAGGGTGAGAGTGGCGTCAGCAGTACCCCACAGAAGTCCGTCCATCAGCTGCGACGTGATCGGAGGGACACTTAAGAGACCGTTGGGGGTCTCCTTACCTCCTCCGCTGGGGACAGCGGGAGTAGCACCATTCGCCGTTGACGTGTACAGATAGGCATCTGCGTACGCGGTCCCTGTTCCTCCGCAGAAAGTCGCGAGTGCAGCCTTGGTGAGCGGTATCGCGCACGAGCTCATCTGCGACTTGCCGAAGCGCACGGTGGACTTGGCGTTGGCACTGCACACCCCGTTCGGTCCCGCGGCGGGTAGCTGCAGACCATCTTTCAGGCGAAGCACCGCGGATTTGGAGCCGCTCGTGCCCTGGTAACCAGCGAGCAAGGGGGCGCCGACCACGTAGCCAGAGGAGCCACTCTTCGGGATCGGACTCTCCCCGGTGGTTTTCCAGGTCACGCTGAATTTCTGGGTGAAGCCGATGGGCGAGGATGACAGCTGTTCGGTGTTCCAGTAATTCGTCGTGGACGCACTCCTTGTTAGCGCGTCGCCGCCGACAATCGGAACCGCGTCCGCGTATGTGACAGCAACGGTAACCATGGTAATCGTGCCGGCGGCGTCACTCGTGACTTCGAAGTGCGCTTCTTTTAACGCGTTCGTGCAAATGCCCGTATCAATAAGTGCTGCTTCTGCTACCCAAGCCGTAGTTTGCGATGCTGCATTCACATCGGCAACCAATCCTCCCACAGTAGATTCCGTCCTCACGTATTGGATTATAGGCGTGATGGCCGAAGGAGAGCTCGCTTTAGTGTTCGCGATTCGAAGCGAGGTGGTGACTAGCGCGGCGTTGAGCGTGCCTTGCAGACACTTATCTTTGATGTCTTCGAGGGGACCGTCCATAGGCACCACGCACGTCGAGGAGTTTTTCGTGATGGAGTTCGGAAGGCGCATCCCGAACCCGACCACGTTCACCCAGTCGCACTCGCCGGTAAAGGTAGCACCGGGCAAGGTCCATACCCCTCCCGGCGACGTCAACTTAGACGACAGACGGACGGTGTCGTTGAAGCGGTACGCAGAGTTGGTGTCCAATGCAGTCACGAGAGCTTCCGACGCGGCGACGGCGGTCGGGTCCGGGAGCCAAGCCCGCCCGATGTTCAGGGTCCTGGACTCGACCAGGTTGGCAGACGTCGCAACGCCTGGGTCGGTGAAGTACTTCGACAGTTCGGCGTTGTTGTCCTGTACAATGCACATCTGTTGCGACAGGAACGATCGGTCCGTCTCAGACTTTGTTACTTGAGCGAGGGAGCTGCTCGCGGGCAAGTTGACCGAGTTCACGGTCGAGCTCGAAATGCAGTAGTCCAGAGCAGGGGACGCGGGGCCCTCGTCGAGGCACACGTGAGTGCTTGTGTCGTCCAATCGCGCGGAGAAGAGCGCGATCTCAGCAGCCTGTTCAGTGAAGGGAAGGGGAGGGTGGATAAAGGTCAACGCCAAAGACGCGAATGTCGATTTCGAGGGGGGTTTAAATTCTCGTTTCTTTCTCTCAAACCCGGTGGCGGACGAACGCGGGACACTCGAGCGCAGACGTGTCGTCCGCGACGTTCGGGTGCTCGTGATTTAAAATACGTCGCGTGGTACATTTTCGCGGATTTCTCGCAGTCACTTCGAAGGAAACGGAAACTGTGGACGCGCGCACCGAACAGTCGGTCGTGTCGCAGCAGCAGTTGGCGTCGCAAGCGCCCTCTGTCAAGTCGCACGTGCACGAGCCGACCGTCGTGACGACGGTCGTCGTCACGGTCGGGGAGGCAGACACGCCGGTGTAGTCGATGGGATACACGATCGCAGCTGATCTTCCGGCACCGTCGGCGATTTGGGCACTCGCCCCTCGCGCGAACGCGAGGACGACGGTTAAAACCAGAGTCAGCATCCGCGCGGTCGAGGCCGCTCTTTCGCGAGGGAACGTCGCCGTCGCCATCTTCGCGGCGGGGGAGCGCGCGCTCGTCTTCGCCCTCCCGGTGGGTGACGATATCAATCTATCGCAGGACCTGTCGCGTATGTCGCACGTCCTCCGCGCGAGTCCCACAGCGGTCGTGCGCGTGGAATTCTCGCCGAGATCGCTCGCAACGGCTCAGGGACTTCTTTCCCTCGTCGAACGCGTGCCGTGCAACCCTGCGTCGCGTGCGCGCGGGGGGCTTCCGGCCGCTTTTTCGCGTGCAATCGCGCGCGCGCGACGGTCGCTCGCGGAAGTGACCGTGCTCGCGAAAGGCGCGGCGAGAGAGTGTGACGCGCGCGGCGGACTCCCTCGGTTCAAAAACAACGACGAGTTCTTCAATTCAAATTTCCGCTTTCAAGATGATCGGTCGAACGATAAACTCCGATCAAGTCGGAGGCGATTTCACCGTCACGACGGGTCAATCTTTTCGATCAAGCGGCCGGTCTAACTGACAATCTAGACAACTCGTCCAGCGCTGGCGAGCTTAGGCACTTCCGCGTGCGCCTCTCATCACTCACGGCGCTCGCTCGTGATGTCGTCCGACGGGGATGATCTGCCTCGCGCGCACATCAAGAGGATCGTGAAGAAGAAGCTGACGGAGCTGATGAACGAGGGCTTCGCAGGCGACGGCAAGGGCGGCAAGGGCCCGGACGGGAACGTCCAGAAGGAAGCCCTCCAAGCCTTCAGCGAGTGCGCCAAGATCTTCATTCATTACCTGACCGCGACCGCGAACGACATCTGCCGCGACGGCAAACGGCAGACCATCAGCGTGGACGACGTCTTCAAGGCGATCGACGAGCTCGAGTTCGGCGAGTTCAGCGAACCTCTCAGGCAGGCGTTCGAAGGTGAGACGAAGAAACATCCGCGCGGTCGTCACTTCGCGAAACCGCACGGCCCACCCGCGACCCAAGAGGCGTGTTCGTTCGTCCAGTTCTTCGACCGCTACATTTTTCCAGTCCAAACTCCGCGAACGATCGTTAACCGCGCCGACTCTCTAATGCATCATATATCCCGCAGGTTTGAAGAAAGACGCGGCCGCGAAGTCGGCGAAGAAGACCGACGCGGCGTCGAAGAAGCGCAAAGCCTCGGAGGACGCGGCGGGCGGAGTCGGCGACGGAGAAGCCGCGTCCCAAGGTGACGGGGAGGATAACGAAAACGACGAAGAGGGTGAGGAAGAGGGTGAAGATGACGCGGATGGGGATGACGCCACGGCGGACTGAACAACGGATCGTCGTCGTCGCGATGGTGTTTGACTTGGCGCTTTTCACGTCGAGTCGCTCGCGCATCTTGAACACCGCAAAAATCGAACGAGCCCTTGAACTAATAGCGCTAGCATACTCTACACGTACGATGTGAGGAAACGTTCGCACACGCATTCATCGATCGATCGCGCGTCGGGAAACCCAGTCGCCGGTTCAACCGGTGCGCCACTTATAACCAGTCATCTTCTCTTCTAACTCTTTGATCCTCTTCGAGATCTCGTCTTGCTGCTCCTTCAAGCGACTGACCACCTTGGCCCGGTCACGGTCGCTGTTCGCCAGATTTTGCTGGAGCGTCGCCTCCGCGTTCTGGTACCCCGCCCTCGCCTCCGTCTCCTTCTTGTCCTTCTTGTCCAATTTCTTCGCGGTGTCGCGATAGTTGAACAGATTGTCCCACTTTTTGTCCAGTCTCTGCAGCGCCTTCTTCAACGGCGTCGCGGTGTACAACACGCCTGACGTTTGCTCTACCAACCTCTCGCGAAGGAGCTTCACGATCGCGCCCTCAACGTCGAAGTCTACGTTAAGTCCAAAGTGATCGTGCATCAAAGCCTCACACGCGGTGTCGATCTCCTTGAGCGTCATGCTCTTTCCGTGCGCGGTTAAGATGCTGTACGACAGAATCATTTCTTTGCACTCCTGATCCTCCATCGACTCCATTGTATGCATCAGCAACCCGATCTGACTGTTCGAGCTCTTGGACTTGAGCTGATTCGCCATCATGGCGGTGTATCGCACTTGTTTGTTCATCAGCGCGAAAATTGACTGCGCGACTTTGCCACACAACATGGATATGAGGCTGATAGTTTGCGTGGACCACACGATGCTGCCCATCAGCGTCCCGATGAACGTGAAGACGGCGACGATCATGAGCGTGACGTTGATGAGCATGTCTAAGAATTTCACCGTGATTCTGACCTCGGGAAAAACCATCTCAACGTCCGCCATCGGGACGTCGTGGAAAGACTTAATCACGAGCGGCCCCGCTCCGCCGACGGCGGCTTTTTGGTCACCCTCGGGCTTGTCCATCCGGTACAGTATGACCAGCTCCTTAAACGTCGGCTCTTGAAGTTCCATGGTGGAGAAAAAGCTTTTCAACACTGCGAACGGGGTGGGGAGCAGTCTACGCAACGTCTTGCGCTCGACCGTGCTGACGTCGTGTCGTTTCTCCTTGGCGCCCGGCACGGCGTAGCCGTCCATGGACGCGATGACGACCCTCGGTTTCCCTATCAACCAAAGAAACGGCTCTACCAAGGCCATGTCGATCAGCATCTCGACCTTTTGTTGGATGAACATTCCCTTAGCCACGGCGGTGCCGTTGCCGCGCTTGAAAAGCAACGCGGAGTCCGCGAACTGCGGCAGTCCTTGACTGAGAGCTGGATTCTGCTTCAGAAACGAGCTGAGCAGGTTCTTGTCGAACTTATCCCACGCGATGTCGCAGGGCAAGTTGAACATGAAATTCTCCGCCATCGCTACCTCCCACTCTTTCTGTGTCAGGAGCGAGTAGTTCGCGTCCGCTAAGAGCGAGCAGAAGTCTCCGACAAAATCCACGGAGAGCGAGTGAAATTCCGAAGGGCTCAGCTGCGCCTCCGTGACGTTCACGAGTGTCTCGTTATCATCCTGCGCCGCGGTCACAAGCTCGAAGTTTAGCTTCAAGCGATCCCTCGACTCCAGGTACTCGTAGTGAAACAGCATTCGCGTCATCCGTATGAAGTCGATCAAGCCGTCCTTATCAGAGTCGTTCATAAGTTTCTCGGCCATTTCCTGCGAGAAGATGGGATGCACGCGGTGGTGACGAGAACGTTAGGAGATTACCTCATGGTGTGCACGCGGGGGATACCGCTCAGGTCCAGGGGAAACCAGCACGCGGTTGTGCGATCGCAAAGTCGCGGAATTTCGAAGAGTTATTCGACAATGAGTTGAGAACAAACGCGCGGGGATCGTCGCGCGCGAGAACGGAGGTCTCACCTTCACGAAGTTGAAGCCCAGGGGGATGAAGGACGAGTTTCTTATCCGCGTCTCGTGTTTAGCACCCTGCGTAGGAAAGATGACACTCGTCAGTTCGTGGAGAGAGGAAGAGAGAGAGAGAGAGATCGCGAGGATCGATCGTCGCGTCCTGGGTGTTATCGTCGGGGCGATGAATGTGTTCTCGTGCCGCGCGAGACGCACCATCTCTGCGGAGGTGCTCGGGTGACGAGCACGTTACGCGGTTTCCACTCGCCGCCTGTGACAGGTTCACGGGAGACGGCGATCAAGATTATCACAACCGCGATGGACGGCGTGGTGCGTGTGTGTTTGAAGACGCGCGACCGCGATTGGCCCAATTCAGCGACCACTACGAGTGGATTTGGAGTGCGGACTGCGCTGCGTGACTGTAACTTTTTAGAGTGTTCGCTTGCACGCCGGCGCGTGCGGCGACCGCGACGCGACGTCTTCGCGCGCGCGCGGTCGCCGCGCGTCGGCGATAAACTCGGCGCGCGCGTGTCCTTCATACGCGTCGATGGGATCGTTGTAATACAATAACTACTCACGCGACGGACGACGCCGCGGCGGCGCCCGGCGCCGCCGCGACGCCGCGTCCCTCCGGCAGCGCGCCCGGGCGACGCGGACGCGCGCTTCTGAGACGACGATGAAATCGCGCCGCACCCTCTTTCTATTGGTCTTCGTTCATGAGCCGCTCCGCGATGAACATGTCCTCCGGCGTCGTCACCTTGATGTTCACGTAACTCCCCTCGGTGATTTGCACCCGTCGTCCCATGAACTCGACGATGCTCACGTCGTCCGTCACCTCGTACCCTTTCTCGTTCACGAGCTTGAACCCTTCCTTGAGAATCTCCGGCTTGATGACCTGCGGCGTCTGCATCTCCCACAGCTTACTTCGGTCCAATGTTTTAGCGATGGACAAGTCGTCGTTCGCCTCCTTCACCGTCGCCTTGCACTTCACCGCGAGCACCGCCGCGCCGTGCTCCATCGCGTCTTGGAAACACCGTCTCGCGTCGTCGAGGGACACGAGAGGTCGCGCGGAGTCGTGGATCGCGGCGAGCGCGGCGCCGTCGCGCACTTCGGAGAGACCGTTGAACACCGAGTCTTGTCTCTCCTTCCCCGGGAGCGCGAACTTGACCGGTTTCGACACCGCGCACTCCTCGAAGACGTCGCGGTAGGACGGATCGCACACGACGACGATCTCGCCGACCTCGTCCATCTCCGCGAACTTCTTCAGGCTGTACAGCGCGATCGGCGTTCCGAGGAGGGGGAGATACTGCTTCGGCATGTTCGCTCCCATCCTCTTGCCGACGCCGCCGGCGAGAAGCACGAGACTGACGGAGTCGCGCTCGACGGCAGCGGCGGCGACGCATCGCAAGGGAGCGTTCGCAGCGCGACGGGGTGCGGTCGCCGAGCGTCGGTGCGTGCGTAACGCCCGCGCGTGGGACGGCGGCGCAAGTCTAGCGGCGGAGGTGGCGGCGGACATGACTTCTGCGACTCGGACGATCGACCAGACTCGCCGCGGTTGATCGCGCGCGACGGTGTGTGGCGTCGCGAGCGGGGACCATCGTCCGACTTATCCAAAAAGCCGAGACTGCTTCATGGTCACGTCACTTTTTCGCATCCGTCGCGGCCGCGTCGTTCGATACACGTCGGGACCGCCTCGCATCCTTCGTACGTTCCTGAGCGATCCCGCGAGTGACCATGGCGAGCAGCGTCGCGGCGTGTTCGCTTTCGGCGACGGGGACGGCGAGGAGAAACGAGCGTTCGAGGAGGAAACCAACGCCGCCGCTTCGTCCAGGGCTCCGGCTCGCGGTCGCGCGCGCGGCGGCGGCGGATGACGAGGCGAAGTCGGAGGGCGAACCCGAACGCGCCAAGGGCCCTTCCACGAACCAGATGCTCGTCTTCGTGCCCCCTCATCCCTTGATTAATCACTGGCTCGCCATCGCGAGGAACGCGATGACGCCTCCTTCGATTTTCAGGAGCACCCTCGGCGAGCTCGGCCGGCTGCTCATCTACGAAGCCGCGCGCGACTGGCTTCCCACGTTCAGCGCCGAGGTCGAGGGTCCTGTGGGCACCGCGACGGTGGAGATGGTAGACCCGAATCAGCCGATCGCGGTCGTTCCGATATTACGCGCGGGGTTGGTGCTCCTGGAGGAGGCGAAAACCGTGCTTCCCGTGACGAACACGTACCACCTCGGATTCGCGCGCGACGAAGAGACGCTCGAGGCGAAGATGTACCTGAACAAGCTCCCGTCGCAGTTCCCCGAAGGACAGCGCGTCCTCATCTCGGACCCGATGCTCGCGACCGGGGGCACGATCGTGAAAGCGATCGACGAGTGCGTCAGCCGGGGCGCGAAGGTGAGCGACATTCGCGTCGTGTGCGTCGTGACGTGCCCGCCCGCGCTCACGGTGTTATCGGATAAGTACCCAGGGTTGCGCGTGTACGCGGCGATGATCGACGAGGAGCTGAACGATGCCGGATACATTATCCCCGGGTTAGGCGACGCCGGGGACCGCGCGTTCGGGACGGAGTGATGATGGTCGAGTGCTGGACGAGGAGAGATGTCGACTCTGCGTTGCTAATACTTAAAAAAGTCCCCGCCCCGTCACTTCGAGAGCCCACCGAGCCCGCTCGCGAGGCTGTAGGCGGGAAAAACTATGTTCGGGAATTTCTTCGCGAGGTTCACGAACTCGTCGAAGGATATCTGCCCGTCTCCGTCCGAGTCGCACTGCTTCATGAGCCACTCCACCTTGCGAGTCAACTGTTTCTCGCTCGCCATGTTCGTCGCCTTGACGATCTTACGCAGCTCGTCCGCGTCGATGCTCCCGCTGCCGTCCAGGTCGAAGACTTGGAACGCGAACTTCACCTTGTCCTCTCTCGCCGCGGTGCCGACGTTTGAAAGACCGACGACGAACTCCTTCAGGTCTATGAGCCCGGTGCGGTCGGAGTCGAACATCGAGAACAGCCGCTCGACGAACGGCGACCGGTCCACGCGAAGGAGGCGGCAGAATTCGTTCACGTCTACCATCCCGGACTTGTCCGCGTCGACTGATAAGAACTGCTTGTACACTTTTTTCAACGCGTCGTTGTCCAGGCCGTGCATCTTTTGGAACGACTCCATGTCCTGTACCGGGTTCCCCGGTGGCGGCGGTTGCATCGAAGACCCATCCATTCCTTTCCCCATCCCTTGCAGCGACACCCCGGGCGGTGGCGGCATCCCTTGAAAAGAGTTTATGAGCTTGAAGAATTCGTCGAAGCTCACTTGCCCGTCCCCGTCCAAGTCCGCCATGAGGATCATCTCGTCCACCTCGTCGTCCGTCGCCTTCTCTCCCATGCTCTGCAAGATGTGAGATATCTCCGCCGCGCCTACGTAACCGTTCTTGTCCAGATCAAACTCCCGGAAAGCCTCCTTTACGTCCTCCGCTGACATCGCCATCCCTCCCGCGGCCCCTCCACCCGCGGTCTGGGGTTGGGCGCCCCCCATCGGCATCGTTCCCACTCCCAAGCCTGGTCCTCCGCCGCCCGCGGGTTGGGCGCCCCCTTTCCCCCCCGCGAACATCTTGCCGAACATCCTCGCGGGTGGTAAGGGACGTCTCGGACGCGCCCCCCCGCTGCGTTTCAAAATGACGCAAGCACTGCACTGGACCGCAAACCTTCGTCGTGATGAAAACGCGATTTTTTTTTTATATTCCACGTTGGCGTATTCCAGGACTCGGGACTCGACGCGTGTTTTCCGTGTATTCCGTGTATTCGCGCACTTCTAACTTACTCCTAAACGCCAAACTAGCTAACTATCGCGCAAGCCGCGCGCTCTCCTCGCTCTCTCTCCCCCTCTCTCGCGAGCTTCGCGCGTCGATTCAAAACTTGAACGTCTTCGTCGACAACGGGTTCCGCGTCTGCGCCGTCTGGCACAGCTTGCGCACGGTGACGTAAGACACCAGCCCGAGCGGGCCGAAGAACATGCACGCGAGAATGCACGGCACGACCAACAGGTGCGGTATCCCCGCACTCGCGGAGTCCATGACGAAGAAGCGCGCGGTCCACAGGTCGAAGACGATGAAGTGCGCCCACTTGTTAGAGTCACCCGCACAAAAAAACAATCAGACACGCACACGCCCGAGTAGTTTGTCAAGTCATAACGCGAGCGATATAAGACGTGGGGAGACCGACGCGGTAGATAAGAGGCGGGACGGTGTAATTTGAGTGATGCAGAGGTAGACCATGATATGTAACGAAAACGAACGAAGATACGGGAAAGTGAGGGGATCCCTACCACCCCGCGAGCACCGCCGTCGCGTCCGAGAACATCCGACCGATCCCGGCGGTCGTGCTGAACGAGGCGATGTCTAGGGAGAATATCGCCTTCGAGAAGAGAACGTACGCGAGGGTGACGTACAACAGCGAGTACGCCACCGCGGTGAAGAGCGTGATCGTCTTCGTGTGCCTCCACCGCGGGAGGAACACGAGGGAGAACCACGCGGGCAACGACCCGAGGTTCACCGCGTGGAGGATCTGGTTGTGCGTGTACGGCAGGAAGGGGATCGGCCCCGCGGCCACGACGGCGCCGCCCTTCGCTTTCGCCGCGGCGAGCGATGCGCCTGTTAGAGGATGCGAGATGGCGAGGGTGAGAACGCGGATCGAACGGCGAGAGCGCTCGCGCGCGGCGGCGGCGGCGGCGTTTTGAAACGCGACGATGAAAAACGATCGACGCGACGCGACGCGACGCACATGGAAACGCGAGCGCCAGCGCGGCGACGGCGACGGCGATGACGATCTTGACGTACATCTGCGAGAGAATAGGATGGTGGCAGGGAAGACGGTGTCAGGACGTCGCGTCGCTCGCGCGCGTACCGGGGTCGTTTCAATCCTTCGAGGCCGTACCAGGAGTTGAAAGGGTGACGCCGGCGGAATATCGAACGCACGAACGAGCACGAGAAGATATTTTTCAGCGACGAGATCGGCGCGCGCACCTGCTTCTTCGCGTCCTCCTCGCCGTCCACGGGCGCGGCGACTTCCAGAGCGGCCGCGCTCGTCCTCGTCGCATCGCCGCGCGCGGCGTGCGCGACGAAAGGGGCGGACGTCCCTCGAAGCGAGCGCTTCGCGACGACCGCGCTCGTCTTTCCGCAAAGTCGAGCCGACGGCGGCGACGCGCCGGCACCGCGCGTCGCGACGACGACGGTCGTCGATCTCGCGGACGCCGCGGTCCCGGCCGTGCGACGCGCGGCGAGCGCGCGTGTCGCGACGGGGACGCCGATGCACGCGATGGCGGACATGTTATCCGGGCTGGCGAGGGCGAGGCCCCAGCTGCCGACTGATGCGCGACGGTTGTGGCTTGGCGTTTCTTCCGCCTTTCGTTTGATGAACGAGCAACCTCCATCTCCATCGGGCAAGCAGAGCCTCCAGATTCTCGTCATCGGCGATCAAGAAAAAAAACCTTTCAACGAAAAAAAATTGCGGTGAAAATTGACCGACTCGGTGGGTCGGTGATCGCGAGCGCGAGCGCATCCAGCGAGGGAAAAAAGTTCTACCGCGCCGCTTATCTGTTCACTCTTCCTGTCCAGCAACCCGACACCACCATGGCGACGACCGCGCGTCTCGCTCACGCGGGCTCGTTCCATCGCGCGAACCCCGCGTCGCATAGCCGCCGATCGACGCGCGATCGCGACATCGCGACGCGCGCGGCGGACGCGGACGCGTCCACGACGGAGAACGCGCGCGGCGCGACCGCGGACGATTCCGGCGCTTCTCGGAGGCGGACGCCTCTGGAGCGCGTCGCGAACGATCCGCTGACCGCGTTCGTCATGGCCCCGCGCGTCGCGCTCGGTGGTGCCACCGAGGCGCTCGATCTCCTGCAGAGCGGCGAGCTCTTCGGCGTCGCGGCGCGGTTCCCCGCGGAGTTGAACACGCTGATGCAAGATCCTCGTCCGCCCCAGGACAAAGCCGCGGAGCTCCTCCGCCGAGCGGAGGAGATTACGGAGATGCTCGAAGAGCGAGGCATCGTCGCGGAAGCCCCCGGACGCGAGCTTTTGAAGCCCATGGTTCCCGTGGAGCTCTTCGACAGGTACTTGGACCCCGAAGTCGTGCGCGCGTCGACGTCGAGCCCGACGGAGACGGAGACGGAGACGGCGGCGGCGGCGGGAACGACGGCGACGACGTACGCGGCGGAGCCCCCGACGGCGGAGACGTTGACCGACACTGCGGCGCCGCCTGCGAAAGACGACGCCGCCGGCGGCGACGCGAACGTCGATTCCATCGAGGACGCGTACGCGTTCATGAGAGACCAGCGGAAAGTGGGTGACGTCGAGGACGAGGACGACCCCGCGGTGTTGGCCGCCGCCGCCGACGTCGCCGCGGCGCTGAAGCGCGAGGCGGGGGCGGGGAAGATGCCGAATGAGAATGTCGCGTCAGAAGAGGTTGGCGAAGCTGCCGTGCCTCCGCCGACGCCGAGTCCTCCTCCTCCGCCGCCGACGCCTACGACGACCGCGCCCTTCGACGTGCCTCAGGAGCTGGACGTGTGGGGCATCGTTAAGTCCGCGGAGGAACTCACCGCGGACATCGTGATGTCTCAGAGTAAGGCGACGGCGACCGCGACGAAGCGGTAGGGCTAGTTAAGCGGTAGTTAGACGCCGTGAGTTATGTAAGAAGATCTCACTGCCACTTCCTTCATCCATCACAAAAAACCAAAAAACCAAAACCAAAACCAAAAAAACCGAGGCCTCGCCCACATCAGCGCTAGCAACACAAAATGCTTTATCCACGAAGCATCGACCTCTGTTCTTCTACTCAAAGAGCAAAAGGAAGTGTTCCCCCGCCGGGATTCGAACCCGGGTCGCCAACGTGAGAGGCTGGCGTGATAACCGAACTACACTACGGGGGATTCGTATGGGATACAAGTTTCACGGCAAATTTCGCCGGAGTAGTCGTTCAGTCGGAACAATGGTAAATTGCCGGATTTCTAAAATTAAGAATTTTAGTAAATGCTGGTTCCGGAAATCGGAAATCGAACACGTTCAATCAGCACGGCCATTCTTCATCGTGGATCCACCGGTCAAAAATGAGTCTTGACCGGTCAGTCGCGTGAGATGAAGGCGCAGAATGACCGCGGTGCTGCATCCGGGTTTTCATGAATAGGGATTTTTTTCTGGACCAGTACTCTCTCATCTCACTCTCTCACGCCTCCTAACTCCACGTGTTCTTCTTCTTCGGAGGATAGAACGAGTCTTTCGCGCCCGCAGCGACGAACTCGACGAAGCTCGGATACACCGGCTCCCAGCCGAGCTTCTCGCGCGTTTGCGGATTCGTCATGCTCTTCCCGAGCGGCCCGTCGCTCACGCTAAACTCCGGCATCGCTCCGTCGTCGTACGCGTCGGGGCACGCCAGACACGCCTCGACCATCTTCTCTCGCGTAACGGGCACGCCGTCCGTGGCGAGGAATATCTCGCCACCCTCCGAGCTGCCCTCGAGCTGCGCGGATAACGCGCGCACGCAAGCGGCCGCGGCGTCTTCGTAGTGCACGAGGTTCACCTGCGGTTTCGTCGAGGGCGAAAAAGGATGCGCGTTCGTTCACTGTTCGTTCAACCGAAGACGCGAACCACCGCGAGACGTTCGTTCCACGAGAGGGCGCGAGTGGGGGTCACGAGGACAAGCACTACGAGGACGCACCAGCGCGTCGGGTCTGGACGCCAACGTCGGGGTCTTCAAAAAGTACATGTGTGCCCCGCGTTGGGAGTGATACAGACCGGACAGGCGCACGACGCACCCGCCGGCGCCCAGAACCGCGGCTTCCGCGTTCAGCAACTTGTCCGCCCTCGGGGACTCACCGATTTGGAACTGCGCCGTGGTCTCGTCGCAGTCCTCGCCGTCTTTACCCGCGTACACCGCGGTGCTGCTCGTGAACACGAATCCACCGGTGCCGTCCCACAGCTTCAGCGCGGCTTCGACCTCGGCGGTGTAGTCGTCGCTTCCGGACGGCGGCGCGCTGAAGACGACGAACGGGAATCGGCGAGACTCCCCCGCGTCCGCTTTCAAACGCGGCGAGATTCCGAGGGCGACCAACCGCTCGTGCGACGCGTCCGTGTTCGTCTGGCCGATCACCGTCGCCGCGGGGAACGTCTGCGCGTGACCGTTCGAGCGGCGCGTGAGCGAGAGGGAGACGAATTCGCTCGCGTTCTGTTGGGAAACAATGGAAAAAAAGCGACGAGGGTCGAGATCGGTCGTCGAGCGCGCGCGTCGAACGCGCGATCGACGAGACGAGGCGAGCGCTCGCACCTTGAGCCATCGTTGGCACACGAGACTGCCGAGAACTCCGGGGCCTACGACGAGGAGATCGCGACAGCAGCTCTCGGATACCGCCGCCATGACGACGGACGAGCGATGGAGAGGACGACGACGACGACGACGAACGTCCGCGCCGCACGTCTTGACTCGCGGCCTCGAGCGCGAGGACAGCCGCTCGGCGAGGACGAGGTTACCGGGAGAACAACGCGCTTCGCAGGGCATCGATGATCCGCGGGCGAGCATGACGCTCGTGGAGTGCGCGGGCGAAGTCTGGCGAAAGTCCCGTGTCAGCTGGCTGGGTGGTGGTGTACTGTAGCCGGCCCGCGACGACTGGACGCGAGATCGAGATCGCGAGCTGATGAGTGCGAGCGCGACCGACCAGGTCCGTCAAGCAGAGAAAACACGTGTTCAGTTCCACCGAGGACCGGCGCGACAGACCACCGCACGCCGCGCGAACGGCAGCGCGCGTGTGTTAGATAAACTCGCGAGAACGAAACACAGTGCCCGCGAGAGATCAAGGCGCGCGACGGCGACGCGCAGCGACCGAGCGATGGCTTTTGGCGACGAGGACGAACGGGAGTAACGAACTCTGATGACCGTCCACGGCGAAGAAGAGGCGGTGGGGGGTTCTGGCGGGGGTTCTGGCGAACACGATAGACACGATAGCGAAGTAGCGGAAGCGACGACTTCACGGAGTCCGATGCCGAAGGGCATCCTGAGCGAAACAAGGCGCGGAGCCGGTAGCGCGGCGAGTCCGTACAAGGAGGTCAAGTGGCCAAACCAACTGCCAGAAGGATTTCCAGTCCGTGAAGAGAATAACACGAACCGCGCGCGTCCGCGGCGCCGCGGCGACGAGTTGAGCGGCGTAAACGTGATCATCCTGCTCATCGCGTGCACGTGGATGTATCGCGTCCTGCGTTTATTAACGAAAACCGCGTTGAGCGGGCTGACGAATCTTAGCTCAGAAGATTTCGTGGACTACGACGACGGGCTCTGACGCGTTCGTTCTTTAGCCGCGGAGAACTGACGCCTTGTATTTTAGCTGCTTTGATAATAGAACAAACGCATAATACGCCGCCTAAGGTCAAATTATTCTATCTCTATGGGTGCTTCGTCGAAATCAGGCCGCGGGGGCTTCTTCTGCAGCTGGCGCACTCGCCTCCGCCTCTGCCTCCGCCTCCTCGGGTTCCTCCTCCTCCGGCGGCGTGTACTCCGCCAGGGCTTTCGCGATTTGCTCCTCGGTGACCGCCCCGTTGTCCAAGAAATAGGTGAGTATCTCCACAGCCGTGGGTTCTGGGGGTGGTTCAGGCGCGGCCGCGGGCTCTTCGTCATCCGCGGGTTCACCCTCCTTCGCCTCTTCGCCCTCCGCGGGCTCGGCAGGTTCCTCGCCCTCCGCGGGTTCCTCACCCTCCTCCGGCGGAGGCATGAGCGCGGCTTTCGCTTCCGCGAGAGATTCCTCCGTGATCAGAGGCGGATCCTGTTCCGAGAACAACTTCAACGTGAGCTCCGCTGCTTCTTCCTTTTCCTTTTCCAGGGCGAGCGCCTTCGCCTCCTCCGCCGCGACCGCCGCCGCGGCGGCCGCCGCGGCTTCCTCGGCTTCCTTCTTCAAGCGCGCCACGCCCGCTTCCCTGGCCGCGATCCCATCCTTGATCGCCTTCGCGATGATGTCGCTGACGCACCGCCTGGAAATTGCCGCGGTGGAACACTCCGCGACGACGGTGTCCGTGAGCCAGGGCATGAACTCGTTCTCGATCTCTCTCTGCACGGGGTCGTAGAAGAACCCAGAGTCGTGCAGGCGGTCGAAGACGCTCCCCAGTAATCCGGAGACGTACCCGCGCGCGAACGTCGCCGCGGCAACCTTCTCTTTCGTGGCTCGCTCTCTCTCGAGACGCTCTCGTTCCTGCGCGATGCGGCGTTCCTTCTCCTCGAACTTCCTCTTCTCCGCCGCCTCCATGCGTTGCGTCGCGACGAGCTCCGCGTTTCTGAGCTGCTCAAAGTGCTCCTGGTGCGCTCGCATCGCCGCGAGCTCCTCCTCCTGCATCACCTCCATGAGACCTTGTTCGAGCGTCTTACCGACGAGCACCTCGAGTATCGGTTCGACTTCAAAGTTAAAGTCGAACAGCTCCCCCGCCTCGATCTGGGTCTCCACGTCCACGCCGATCTTCATCGGGACGAAGAGCGGAGTGGGCGGGCGATCCATGAACGCGTCCGTCTGCGTCATCACCTCAGCCTCGGGCACGGTGTCCATGAGCTCCTCGAGGTACGCGTCCGTCTGGATGTCCATGTGTCTGCGCCCTTCCACGGGTTCGGGCGTTCGCGGGGGTTTCATCCGCGGTCGCGCCGGTCGTCGATTCATCGTCACGCTCTCCTCGGGCGCCGGCGCGGAGACGACGTGCGTGGCGTACGTGCTCCCGCGAACGACGCGTCTGTCGAACATGATGTTCGCGGGGTAGCTCGCTTGCTCCGGTTCAGGAGGTTGGGGGCGAAACTTCGGCTGCGGGAGCGAGAGGCAGAGCGCGGGGATGGTCAGGGACGCGTTCGTCGTTCGACCTAATATGGATGGAAACGGGGGCCCGAACGAGCCGAAGTCCTCGTTCGGCGCCGGGATGCACGGCGGTGGGGGACTTACCCGCTTCAGCGACCCGCTCGCCGCGGGCTCAGCCACCGTGTAGGACTCATCACGCTTCTTCTGCGCGGCGACGGCCGCGCCGCCTTTCCCCATGACGTCCGCGGCGTCGCTTCTCCGGACGATAGGACGACGGAATTGCCGAATTCCTTTCGCGCGGGTGAAATTACAACAGACGCCGCGAACGTGACTCCGGGTTTACGTCCAAACGACGACGATCGACGCGTCCGAGGTCCGATCCGGTCGCTCAGCAAGCGATGACGGTATCGCTCGCGACTCTGACCCGCGCCTTCGGCGAGGCGACTTGTGCACGCGCGTCGCGAGTGCTCGACGTTGACCTCGTCCCGTTCTCGCTCGTTTGGTCGCGGTCGTTTTGGGAACGACCTGAATTTGCGGCCTGCGATGAAAAGGATTTTTCGACTCCATACCTGCGATCAGATTTTACCTTTCAACGGTGTGCTTGAACCTTCAGATGTCGCGGTCGCCTCGCTTTCATCACTCTATCTTGCAGTGTCGCATCGCATCGGACGGGACGACGAAGTCGAAGCGTTACTCTCGTCGTATCGACGCGCACTCTGGTGTCGCACGCGCACGCGCGTCACGTATCGCCGCCGCCACCGCCATCCGACGAGAGAGAATGTCAATCAAGAACTTCGAGGACGAATGCCCGTCCGTGCGCGGGCCTACCAATTTCCTCGACGGCCTTCTCACGCGCGACCGCGTCGCGAGTGCGATGACCCGTCACTTTTTCGAGGGCAGGTCCGACTTGTTCGAGAAGTACTGGGACACGATCAAGGAGCACGAGCTGAGGCACTTCTTCCGTAAGTACTTCGGAAAGACAGTGGAGAAGAAAGATCGTCCGTACGCCTTCGTCGTCTACGGCGCGAGCGGGTACACAGGTTCGCTCATCCTCGAATACATCTACTCGAACGCCGACAAGATCAACCTCGGAACCGACTTGACGTTCGTGCTCGCCGGTCGGACCCCCGAGAAGCTGCAGGCGCGCCTCGACGAGGTCCTCGAGAAATTCCCGGACGTGAAGTACAGACCCGACATCTTCAAGGTGAACATCGACAGCACCGCGCACATTCGCGAGATGATCCTGAAGTGCCGTTGCGTCCTGAACGTCGCCGGTCCGTTCCTGAACACGAAGGCTGATCTCCTGGTCGAGGGATGCATCGAGTACGATTGCGACTACGTGGACGTTAACGGAGAGGTGCCGTTCACGCACAAGCTCATCGGCATGCACGACTGGGCGAAGAAGAAGAACGTCCTGATCGTGCCAAACTCCGCGGGCGCGGGCGGCTTACCCGACGTCGCCGCGTTTTACACCTCCGAAGAGCTCAAGAAGAAGGCGAAGAAGGACGCGGACGTCGAAAAGATGCACTGCTTCATGTTCTCCAACGGCGGCGCGCCGTCGGGTGGAACGCTCGCGACGAGGGCCGCGATGACGGCGTCGATTAAACACGTCGCGAAGATAATGGGAAACCCGTTCGCCTTGGGTGGGGTCGTCGGCGACGGCAAAAGACCGGAAGATCAGGACCGTGAACTGAACTCCGTGCGCTACTTCAAAGAGTTCGAAGGGTGGTCCGGCGCGTTCACGGTGCGACGCCTCCCTCCTTCCCGACCGACCGCTTCTGTTCCCACGCGACGCGACCCCGCGCGTCTGTCTGTCTCTTCATCGCATCCCGCGCCGCGCCGCGCCGCTTCCTCACGACGAACGCAACGCAACGCGCGCTGAACCGACCGATGAGGCGTTCGACTGACCGACGCGTCGACCCCGCGCGTCGCTCCTCGACGACCCCGTCGAACCCAGTACGCGTTCTTCGACACGAGGCTCGTGCGTCGTTCCAACTGGCTGCTGTCAGACCTCGGCGCGGAGCCGATGGGTCGAAAGATGAACTTCAGCGAGCACCTGCTGTTCCCTACCGAGCAAGCCGCGAAGTCCATGGCGTCGTCCAACACGAGCTCGAAGAAAGAGGAGGAGAAGCTCAAGGCGGAGGGAAAGCTCTTCAAGCTCGGTCAAGGCCTCGACGAGGAAACCCGCTCCAAGCTGTTCACGGAGTATCATCTCCACGCGAACGCCGGGGACGGCACGACCATCCGCACGAAGGTCATCGCCGGGGACGGATACGACGAGACCGCGCGACTGTCCGTCGAGATGGTGCTCTTGCTCACGACGAAACGAGACTCGCTTCCGTTCGAAGGCGGCGTCTTGACCCCGTCCGTCGCGGGCGGTCGCCCGTTCTTGGACGCGATTCGATCCTCGGGCATCGCCTTCGAGGTCCTGGACGACGACTACAAGGTCGACTTCGAGAAGGTCAAGGAGCGTCTGGTGTGAGGCGTATCGTGCGCGCGCGCTGGCGTCGCCCGCGACGACGAAGACCGCACGACGCGTTCTGTCGCCTCTCCCTCCCACGACAACTTTAGCCGCTCGCTACCCTGTTACCTGCTAGTGTAGCCTCTGCTCGCGTGGAAAATATCCGTGAAAATCTCTGCGAATTTCGCGCGAAACAAGATCCACGTGGCAGTGCTGTCTTTTTCCTTCTGCGCTTCCCGCACTTCCTTCGGCGCGCGAAGACGGCTTCACACCTCGCGGTCTTCGTAACGCCAGGCATCGAACACGATATCATCTCGAGCGTCGACGACAGCCTGAGGTGCGACGCCGCGCCGCGCACGTCGAGTATTCCGTCTTGTCCATCTCCCGGGGATTTTTAGTTTTTCTGCGACGCTGTCACTTGCTTTTCGCGACGGGATAGAGACCGCCCGGACCCGATACCCGACCGGCGCTTCGCCCTGGCACGCGCAGATAATCGCGCGCTACAAATCAACCCCATCGCATATCGCTCCCGCGTCCGATGCGTCCTATCGTCGCGCGCGCTCGCGTCTCTCGTTCATCTCCGGCTCCGCGCAGCGGAGTTTTTTCCGTCAAGTCTTCGCGCGTTCGTTCGACGTCGTCATGCGTTCCGCCCGCGCGATGGTCGACGTCTTCGCGGGTCTCGCGATGATGATACTCGCCGCGCGTCTTCGCGAGCGCTCACGATGCGCGTCCCCCGCCCTCCCATATGCAGAAAACACCGCCGCGCGCTCGATACGCGCGCATATCGCGACGAGCCCGCGTTCGCGCGCCCCCGCGAGCGCGACCGAGCAGCAGATAGATATCTTCTCGTCCGGCGTGGATATTTTCACGATGTCCGCGCCGACGCTTCAACCGAGGACCGCGTTGCCGCGAGATAGCGCGTCTCCTCAGAAGGAGCGCAGGGTGGAAAAATGGAACACGTCACCGGGCGGGCCGCTGGAGATGCACGCGCAGGCGTCGAGCGGCGAGAACGGCGGGCAAACGTCGAGCGGCGAGCACGCCGCCGGGTCGAGCGGCGACCGCGCCGCCGGGTCGAGCGGCGACCACGCCGCCGGGTCGAGCGGCGACCGCGGCCCGAACGACGACGAGACGAGAGCGGCGGCGGACGGGAACGTCGTCCACGAGCGTGTCGCCGAGGGTAACAGCGACGCGCGCGTGGAAGCGTCGCCGACGAAATCGATCGAGACGACGCCTGCGCAAGAGGCGCTGCGGCAACGTCTGTCCACGAAGCAACTGCAGAAGAAATACGAAGAAGTGTTCGGGGTGCCGACGAAGGTTCACAACAAGGATTGGATACTGAGCAAGATCAGCGACCGCGTCAAAATCGAACTCCCGGACGATCCAGAAGCGACGCAGACGAAAGCGGGGGTGAAAGCTGAGAAGCAGGCTGCCGGCGCCCCTCGAAAATCTTACGGGAAACACGTGGACATCCCCGTGGGACAAGTACGCTGCAGCCGGAACGACGGAAAGAACTGGCGTTGCTCTGAGATGGCGTCGCCGGGTCACAAACACTGCCAGAAACACATGCGGTGGACCGGCAGCGCAAAGGGCGCGTCGAAGTCGCAAGGACGAAATCACCAAGCCATCGGCGCGAAGCGACCGCATTGGATGACCTCGAATGTGTCGCTTCCCTCGGGCGCGGCGCCGTCGGGGATGGCTAAGAATGACCTGCTCGAAGTTGCCGCGTCCGCGCTCGACGAGCTGCACAAAAAAGAGGAAACCGAGGCGCAACAAAACGTGCAAGGCGTCAGTGGCGCGACGAACCCGATGCACATGTTTGGGTTCAACCCGCAGATGTTGCAGCCCTCAAACGTGAACCAGTTCCAAACGTGCTTCCCGATGATGCCGCCGAACGCCATGGTAAACCCGTTCGCCGCGTTGTGGTGGGCCGCGGGGATGGGCGCTCAGCCGCCGGCTCCAACTCCCGTCGCCCGAGACGAGATGCTCGCTCCTCAGGCTGCCCCCACGCCTCCCGCACACTTTCAAATGGGAATGGGTGGGATGGACCCAGCGACGTGCATGGCGATGATGATGATGATGGCGAGTCAGCAGTGAAAAATCAGTAAAGAGGATTTGTAAATATTTCTCTACCGCGCCGCCGGCGTCGCAGACGGACTCCGCGCCCGAATGAGTCCATCACCGGGCACGCCCGCGCGTTCCACACCCCCGGGTACTTTCAACATCAACGAATTCGTGACGACCGCGACTGAACTCAACGCCATCATCGCGCCCGCGGCGGCTGGGTTCAGCGAGATGCCGTATTCAGGGAGGAGAACCCCAGCCGCGACGGGGACGCCAACGAGATTATACGCCAACGCCCATCCGAGGTTTTGACGAATCTTCGACAACGCCGACCGGCCGAGCTCGATGGCGTCCGCTGCCTGCCCGATACCACCGCCCTGCGCGCTCTCGCTCGTTTTCTCGTCGTCGGAAACCCCCATCAAAACCACGCCGGCCGCCTGCGCGGTCGCCTCCATGCCGCCGCTCACGGCCATCCCGACGTCCGCAGCTACCAGAGCGGGGGCGTCGTTGATGCCATCTCCCACCATCGCGACCTTAGCGCCTTCGCTTTTAAGTCGTTTAACGAAATCTTCCTTGTCCGATGGCAGCAACCCGCCCTTCGCGATGATCCCGTCACCCTCGCGTGACCCCAACTCGAGGGCGACCGCGTCCACGGCGGCTTGACGATCACCAGAGAGAATGACAACCTTGAGACCCATATCAGCCCGAAGTCGACGAATGGCCGCGGCGGCGCCCGGACGCACTTTGTCGGCGATCGCGATGCCGGCTACGACGCCTTCGCCTTCGACGCCGACGGCGACGAGACTGCACGCCGCGGCCGCGGGACCGCCCTTCTCCGCGGAGTTCGCGGCCGCAGCCGCGCCAACCGCCGCCGCCGTCCCGGAAGCAGCGCCAACCTGAACGTCCACCCATTCAGGGCTACCCACGAACACGCGGCGACCCTCTACGATCGCGGACGCACCGCGACCTGGCGACGTCTCCGCGTCGACTGCTTTAGGGAGAGGAGACGACGAGCTCGAGCCGTCGCCCGCCGCCGCCGCAGCCACCGCAGCCGCTAACGGGTGTGTCGTGCTCGCCTCCACCGCCGCAGCGAGCCGCATCGCGTCCCCGATGTCCATCACCGCCCCTGACGCGGCCGCGACCCCGGTCACCCGCGGTCGCCCCTCGGTGATCGTTCCCGTCTTATCCAAGGCGACGGTGTCGATCCCCGCGGCGGCTTCGAGGACGTCCCCGCCTCGCAGCAGCAGCCCTAACCTCGCGCCCGCGGACGTCGCCACGAGCACAGCGGTAGGCGTCGCGAGCCCGAGCGCGCAAGGGCACGCCACGACGAGCACGTCCGTGGCGAGTTTCAGCGCGCCGAGGGCGGATCCCGCGCCGCCTGAGGCTTCCAACAGCGCCCCGGGGAAATACGCGTCCCCCGCTAACGTCCAGAAACCAAAAGTCGCCGCGCTCGCGGCCATGACGCCGTACACGAACGGACCCGCGACCGCGTCCGCGAGGCGCTGAACCGGCGCGGCGCGAGCTTGCGCGTCCGCGACCGTGCGCGCGATTCCCGCGGCGACGCTGCCGTCCCCCGCGGTGCTCGCCCTCACCGTGAGCGGACCTTCAAAGACGCCCGTCCCCGCGGAGACGCCGTCGCCCGTCGTCTTCGGCACGAGCAGAGGCTCCCCCGTGAGCGTCGCCTCGTCAACGGCCGCGGCGCCGGAGACGACTTCGCCGTCCACGGGTATCACCTCCCCCGGGAGCACCCGAACGAGATCCCCCGGGCGCAGCGCGAGGCGGTCGACGACCACGGTCATCGGATCGCCGTCCGCGTCCTCGTCGAGCTTGTCCGCGATCACGAGCTTCGCGTCCAAGGGAAACAGCGTCGAGAGCGATCGCAAATCGGACGCCGCTCGAGCGCGCGCGCGCGCTTCGAGCGCCCTGCCGAGCAGGATGAACGCCAGCAACAGCACGGGTTCTTCGAAGAAATCGTTACTGATCGGTATCCCGTAGTCCCCGACGACGGGCGGAGCGAACGCGCCCGCGATCGATAAACCGAACGCCGCGCACGCGCCGACGCCGACGAGAGAGTTCATGTTCGGCGCGCCGTTCGCGAGCGCTCTGAACCCTTCGCGGAGGATCCCCGCGCCCGGCCCCGCGAGCGCGAGAACCGCGATCGCGCCCCCGACCCACGGTTCCCCGAGCGCGGTGAGCACGGAGCCGTGCGCGTACTCGTGCAGACCGAGGTGATGGAGGTGGTGCGTCGTGTGCGTCGCGAGGCATAGGCCGGTGAGTCCCCACGCTTTGTACAGATCCCACTTCGTGCGTTCGGTCTCTTCCGCTCTTCGCGCTTCCGCCTCGATCGCGGCTTCCTCCGCGGCTCGTCCCACGGGGCGCACGGATAAAACGAATCCTTTGCTCGCGACCGCGTCCGTGGCTTCTTTCGTCGCGGCCGCGCCGGCGCCCGAGGCGAACTCGACCGCGGCCGTCTCCGTGACGAGATTGACCGCGGCGCGGACGACTCCAGGAGACGCGGTGAGGACTTTTTGCACCGCGGCCGAGCACCCGCCACAGCGCATTCCTTCGACGGAAAACAGCACCGTCGTCGTCGGCGCGTCGTCGTCGTCCGTCTCTGACGCCGCGGACGCGGACGAAGGCGCGGCTGTGATCTCTCTCTCCGTCGTCAGTCCCGCGCGCGCGCGCGTGAACCGCGATCGCGACGATCGCCCGCCGCGGACGTGCCCCCACGGCGTGTGACGTCCGCCGTCGGCTATCCGCGACCGCGTCAGCACCGCCGCGATTCTAGATCTCGGCGACGACGCCCTCGCCGCCCTCGTCGAGGTCGTCGAGGTCGACGATCGCGTCGCGAATTCGCGGAGACGCACGCCGCAGCCTCGCATGACGGCGCTCGCCGTCATCGCGCGGCAGCAGCCGGCCATCGCCGTCGCGGAGTCTGACTCGATCTATCCGATCCGGTGTCGAGTTGGCAATTCGCGACGCGACACACAGCACTTGCTCGAAATTTTTCTGACGAGCTGAGTGCCAAAAAGTCACTGGCGGAGACAACGGCGACGCGCGGGGCTTGAAAAAAATAATGGAATTCCGACTTCTACGCTATGAAACCCTCCCCGAACCGCGGTCAAATGGCCCCGATCCCGCACGCGTTTCTCAAGGACTCCCACACCGCGAACTGCACGACGGCGTACGGCCCAAAGCGCGCCCACTGCATGCCGAACCCGCGGAAGAACCCAACCGGACCTTGCCTCCGCAATATTTCCGCCGCGGCGTTGACCATCCCCCCACCCCCGCCGACGTTCCCGCTCATGATCAGCGTCTGCATGTTCGTCGCGGGCGACGTCGTGACCGTGATCGCGAGCCCGGTCGCGACGGACGCGGTGAACACCAACCCGGGACCTTCCGTCCACCCGGCGCGTCGAAGCTCGGTTTTGATCACGTCGTACGTCGCCATCTTCGTCGCCCCGAGCACCGCGGCGCGCGTCACCGTCGTCCCGAGGCCTCGATACAGTCCCTTCACGCCGTCGCGCGCGATGACCTCTGTCGCGACCTGATACATCGTCGGCGGCGGGAACTGTTTCGAGGACGCCATCTGAATCATGAGCAGATCTGTCGGGGACGCGATCGCCGCCGCGCCCGCGCCGGCGACGAGCCCGGCGGTCACCTTCTTCCACACCGGCAGCTCTTTCGTGCCTCCGCTGCTGTCGAGCGCGACCTTGAGCGGCTCGTACAGACCGAATCGCAGGCTGCTGTACGTCGCCTCTCGTAACGCCGCGGCGGAGAAGCCGCGGTACAGTCCGCGGATGCCCTCGCTCCTCCATATCGACCCGGTCTGCGCGAGCATGCCCAGCGGCTGCTCCCCGCGCATGCCCGCGAGCTGCTGCTGCACCATCGCGGTCCGCGTCCAGTGCACGGTGCCCTGAGCGGCGACGCAGCTCGCGCCGACGAGGCCGAAGTTCACTCCCATCTCCAACGGCGTGAGTCCGCCGGATTGCTTCACGTGGTACCACGGACTGATCGGCTTCGTCGACGGGATCGTCGTCGGCATCGCGCCGCTCGTGACGACGATTTCCTTGTGAACGGCCAGCCCGGGGAGCGACCTCGCCTGCTCGCTCATGTTCCCGGCGTCGTGCGCGCGCCGCCGCTCCTGCTGACGCGTGGACGTCGGCGCCGCGAGAACTTTCGGCTGTTCAGTTCAAACGAACGAGAGCCCCAAAAACCGAATCACGTTCATCGGATGCTGTTCACCCACCCTCGGTTTCAACATTTGATCGAGTTACCTTTCACCTGACCGATGAGCCGGAAACGCCGCGAACAGAACGCGCAGCCAGGCGCAGCAGCCGCGCTCCCGCTCCCCGACCAGATTACCGCCAGTCTCTCCGTCGCGGACACGCCGCGCGGTCGACAGCCGGTGCCATCATGAACGGAGAAAACCCAGAGGCGGTCATGCACCAGGTCCAAGCGGAGCTGGCGAACGCGTACGCGCAGGTGCGTCTCGACACCGCGACGAACGACGACGCGCGAGTCGCGCGAATGCGCCAGATCACCTACCGACGATCGCCGTCTCTTTCCCACGCGGCTCGTCGATCTCTCGTCGCTGACGCGATTCCCCTCCTCGCCCTCGCGATCCGCAGGAGTTCTTCACGACGGTGCGGGAGAAGTGTTTCGCGAAGTGCATCACGAAGCCGGGTAGCAGCCTGAGCAGCGGCGAGTCCACGTGCGTGTCGCGCTGCACGGATCGCTACGTCGACGCGACGAGGATGATCTCAGCCGTCGTGCTTCAAGCGTACAGCGGCGGGAACAGCGGGATGCAATAGGATCTAAGATCGTATTCAACTCTAAAGCGCCCTCAGGGTGATCTTCCGTCGTCCGCGTCATGCGCCGAGGTAAAGCTTCTGCCTTCGTTCGACGACAGTTCGGCAACACGGACACCTGCGAATCCTCCGCGCACACTTCCTGCACAGACACGCGTGCCCGCACGGTATCAACACCGTCTGCACTCGAGCGGACATGCACACGGTGCACTCCATCGCGTCCTGCGATCGAGGATCCGCGCCGCCGTGCGCGTCGATCGCGGCGCCCTTGCGCTCGTCGCCGGCGCCCGAGGGTTTGGTCGCGTCCGATTCGGTCGCGGGTTCGCTCGCGTCCCCCTCCTCCACGGCGCCGTCCCCGCCGTCTCCCGCGCCGCCGCCGTCTCCGTCGTCGTCGTCGTCTCCGTCGTCGTCGTCGTCTCCGTCGTCGTCGTCGTCGTCGCCGCCGCCGTCCCTCTCGCTCTCGTCCGACGTCGAGAGGTCGTCCGCTTCAAAGTCGAACTCGTTTCCGTCGCGTTCTTCGCCGCTTTCGCCTTGGATCAGGAGCTCCTCGAGCGCTGTCGGTCGGCGATCGCGCGCGAGACCGAGGCAACGCACGAAACGACCAGTCCCGACCAGACACCCGAAGACCAACGCGCAAGCGACGAGAGCGGCGTTGACCATCGTCGCGCGCAACGCGCGAGCGTCTCCGTCGACGTCGCCGCAGTCGACGCCCCCCCATCCGTCTCGACAAACGCAGTGTCCGTCCGCGGTGCAGTCGCCGTTCCCGCGGCAAAAGTCGAGCGCGGAGCAGTCGTCCATCGAAGGTTTCGCGTTCGGCGAGATGCACGCCTTGCAGCACCTCACCGGGCTGACCGGGACGTCGACGGGTTCCCCGGACGGACTCGCCGCCGCGAGAGAGTTCTCGAACGCGAAAATTAAACCGCCGGAAGCGGCGGCGGAATCCGGGGTGTTCGCCGCGCCGCATCCCACGGCGTACGCCGCGGAGTTCCGCGTGCACTGACAGCGCTCGACGGGAAGCTCCGCGCCGTTCGCGAGCAACACGCGCGGCGAGCAGCACTGCCCGAGGTCGAACGGGTAGTAGTACTGACTCGGGCTCTGCGGGTTCGCGCGGACGTCGTGGAGAAAGCCCTGTAGGAACGAGTCCGCGGGGCAGGATAGGCCTTTTATGGACGAATCCGACGACTTCCCCGCGCGTTTCGACGCCTGGCAGTTCGACGCGATGACCGACTCGAACGCGCTGACGTTGCCCACGCCCGGGAGACTCGTCGTCCCCGGCGCGAGGCACGGGCGACAGCAGATCGCTCGGCTCAGCGGTATGAAACTCCCGTGAGTCTGCGCGTACTGCCCCGGGGTCTCGAACCCGGCGACGAAGAACCCATCTCGCTTGCACGCTAACCCGTCTTGGGGCTCGTTTAAGTTCCTGCGGGCGAGAGCAGAGCGAGGGAGAGGGAAGAGCGTGAGGAGGAGACGAGAAGACGAGACGGGCGCTGGTTTCTTCGTTCGTCGAGGGACACGGCGCTCTGTCGCGCACCCTCCGTACTCCTCGAACGCGCAGTCGCACAAGCTCAGGACGGTATCCGTCGGGGCGGGGGCGGCAACCGGCACCGGTCGCGAGGCGGCGACCTCTCGCACGAGGAGGGTCGCCACCAAAGCCGCCAGCAAAGCGCGCGTCATGCGAAGTGACGTTGGATGCGTGCTGACTAAGATTTCATTGAACTGGAAGTTCGTCGTCGTCCGAAGTCATAGGGCTACGTCTCGAGATTCGTCGGCGGCGCGCCGGGTCACACCTTCGCACGCGGCGGCGGGTCCCGCGAAGCGAGCGTGTCGCGACGATGGGATTCAAGAAGAATGGCAAGAAGAAGACGCACAAGCCGACGAAGGGCAAGGCCCCCGGCGGGAGGGTGTACGAGGTCGCTCAGCTGATTTTGCAGGCTCCACCCGGCGGCGTGGCTGCCGTGATAAAAGCCGCGCTGAACGACGCGGAAGCGCCCATCAGGCGCGACCCGAGGGCGTTCACGATGTTCTCCACGCGCTGCAGAAAGAAAGGGGAGTGGTCCAAGTGCGTGGAGATATTCGACGCCATGCGCGAGCAGGGCGTGGAGGTGAACACGATCGTGGTGAACGCGACGGCGAGCGCGTGCGTGAAATGGGGCAAGTGGGAACGAGCGCTGGAACTCTTCGACTCCATGCCAGCCGACGGCCACGAGAGAACGACGATCACGTATAACGTCGCCATGGGCGCGTGCATGCGAGGCGGGCTCTGGTCGCGAGCGCTTGAGCTCTTCGACGAGATGCCGCGCGTCGGCGTGCCGCGCGACCACGTCAGCGTGAACACCGCGATGGCGGCGGCGGAGGCGGGGGGGCGGCGGGACAGGATGGAGGCGCTCGCGGGAGGCGCGGGGCGGGACGCGGCGAGCGCGGGCGGCGAAGACGTCCCGAGGGCGGCGGGGGGTGCGAGCGGCGGCGAGGAGGAGGAGGAGGAGGACGAGGACGAGGAGGAGGAGGAGGAGGAGGAGGAGGGGGACGCGAGCGCGTCGGAGGGCCGCGAGCGCGTCGCTCCCCCCGTCGCCGAAGACGGGGACGAGAGCGAGAGCGATGACGGGGAGGAGGACGACGCCGTGGAGGATTCAGAGGTTCGAGAGAGGCGGCTCAAAGCTGAACGTCGGGACGCGAGGCGGCAGAAGTTCGAGGAGAAGCGCCGCGCTCGCAAGGCGGCGAAGACGGCGAGGCCGTGGGTCGTCGGCGACGGCGCCGGGTCCGACGCGGCGGCAACGGCGGGGAAGAAGAAGCGACCGGCGGCGACCGGCGCGACCGGGGAGACCACGAAGAAGCGCAAGGAGTGGAGCGCGAACCCGATGAAGTGGATAGACGAAGACGAGGGAAAGAGAGCGTCGGACGACGACGGGGACGACGACGACGACGACGACGACTCGGACGGGCTGCCGCCGATAACCGGACCGTCGCTCTTGCTCGCTGACGACGAAGAAGCGAAGCCTCTGCTGAACGCCAAGGACGACCGGGACGATTTCTGGGCGGCAGGGTTCCGTTGAGGTTAGAGAATGCACACATCGCGATCGATTAGGTCTAGAGGAGCGATCACTTCTTCGACGCTTTCGCTCCCTTCCCCTCCTTGTTCTCCCCCTCCGTCGCGTCCTCCGCGTTCGCGCTCGCGCTCGCGTCGTCGTTCGGACCGATCGTCTCGGTGATGAAATTGTGGTTCGTGTACACGCACGCGTCCGCGGCTATGTTCATGGACTTGGTCGCTATTTTCAACGCGTCCATGCCGTCGATGTCCATGAGCGCCCTCGCCGCGGCCGTCGCGAACGAACCGCCGGATCCTATTCCGACGACGCCGTCGTGAGGTTCGATGACGTCGCCGCCGCCGGTGATCTGAAACGTGTGATCCTTGTCCGCGACGATCATCGTCGCCTCGAGCCGCCTCAAGTATTTGTCGTTGCGCCACGCCTTCGCGAGCTCTACCGCCGCGCGCGTGAGCTGCCCGGGGTGCTCCTCCAGCTTCATCTCGAGTCGCTCGAAGAGCGTGAACGCGTCCGCGGTCGCCCCCGCGAATCCTCCGACGACCCCGCCGGATAACCGACGGACTTTCTTCACGTTCGGCTTGATCACCTGACTGCCTAAGGTCACTTGACCGTCCGCCATGACGACGACCTGGGGGAGGGGAAGACCGCGTCAGAAGCCGAGTCGCACGCGCGACTGCGTGGGCTCGTGTGGATTGTTGAGGGGGCGATCCGGCTGACGCGCGCGGACTCTCACCTCGTCGCCTTTACGGACGCATAACACCGTCGTCGCGTGCGCGGAAGACGCCGAGAACGTCCTGGCGGTCCACGGCGTCCCGACCGCGGCCGCGACTTGTTTCGCGCAACGGCGCAACATGTCACCCGCGCTCGTGGAAGTGCGTCGACGTCGACCGCGACAGAACATTTGTTCTTCGTCGACGCGACGCGCCGTCGCGCGAAAACACACCACGAGTGAAATGTAAAAGGGTCGTGGTGGTGCGCGACAGCGGAACGACAACGCGCGAGGGAGCGAACACGACGCGGGTGTCAACACGCACGTGCTCATAATTACAACGCACACGCGCCACGCGCACCGGGGCAGCGAGCGACGACAGGACGCCGTCGCGCTCGAAGCCGCGCCTCCCCGGACGCGGCGCAAAACTACCGCGGTCGTAGTCAGCCACCGCCGTTCACGCCGTCGCGCCGTCCGCTCACTTCTTCATGACGAGCTTGTTCACGTCGAAGGGGACGATGGGGACGCCGAACAGCTCCGGCCCGGCGGAGACCTTGACGAGCTCGATCTCGAAAGTCAGGTCCTGCCCGGCGAGCGGGTGGTTGTTGTCGAGCACGATTCCGTCCTCCTCTATCGCGACGCAAACGGCCATCGCGCCTCCGGGTAACTGCACCGTCTGACCCACTTGCACCTGCGCCTTCAACGTCTCCAACTCTTCCGGGGACGCGGGAAGCTTTTGTATCTTGTTCGGATCCGCCGCCTCGCCGAACGCGTCCGCGGCGGCGATGTCAAATTTGCGCTTCTCCCCCTCCTTCATCTCTTTTATCCCCTCCTCGAGCACGGGGAAGAGGTTCCCTTGCCCGAGCGGGATCGTCGCGGGCGCGTTTCTCTTCCGCGTGTCATCCCCGACGGAGCCATCACCTATCGTCATCACGTAGTGAATGGTCACGAGCTGGCCGTCCTGCAGCTTCGCGCTCGTCGCGATCGGCGATCGGCCGAGGCGGCGCCCGATCCGGGGCTTCGACGACGCGAGCGAACTCCGCGAGCGCGACGAGACCGAGGCCGCGGTCGGTGTAGCAAATGCACCGATGGCGTTATGAAGAGCGCTCATGTTCGGCTCGGCGTGTTCTCGAAGCGATACGAGCGCGGCGGACGAGTGACGATCGCTGAAGACGAGCACGTGCTTACATTATCTCTCACACGTTAACACGTGTGCGACGATGCGATGACGACGACGAGATTTTTCCGCCAGCACACGCAGTTTGACTGCGCTGCAGCACGTGAACGACGCGACGAGGCAGCCGCCGGTCGCCGTGGGGTATCGTCTCGCTCTATCGCACTACGATTAAAGTATCATACGTCTAGTCTACAGCTACAGTTTCTATGGCACGACGTACCGCGTGCTCACGTTTCGAAGCCCCCACGTGGCGTTCCCCGGCCCGCTCCAACGCAGGACGTGGTCCTCCCCGGCGTCCAGCGTCTCCGCGACGACGGACACCCAGCCGACCGACGCGGACGCCGCCGCGGACGCCGCGCGCAGATCGCTCATGGACATCCGCCACACCTCGCGCCACGCCGTGACGATGCCCCCGGTCGGCTCCCGACGCGTTTCCAACACGAGATCCCCCGCGCCCGCCGCGTCGTCCAGCGGGGAAACCTCGAAGCGAACCGCGGCGTCGCACGGCAGCGCGCCGACGGCGGCGGCGGTGGAGAGCGACTGCGCGCCCGAGGGCGACGCCGGGAACACGAGCGCGCGCGTGCTCGTCGCGACGCCGCCGACGGGCGCGGTCACGGCCGCGATGCCGCCTCCGATCACGGAGGCGAACGTCTTAGGGTCGATCGCGACGTCCGCGAGGGCGTCGGACCACGGCGCCGCCAACCCGTTGGGTCCGCCGCCGGGGCGCGCGCCGAACACCGCCGTCGGTGACGGTTGCGCATTCGGAGAGGGATTCAGGGCGAGGTCGAGCGCGCGATCCTCCGCGACGAAGTACGCGTCGAATCCGACGTCCGGGTCCAAGCACGTGAGGAAAACGCGCCGTTCCCGCGTCATGTGATGCGCGCTCGTCATGACGCCCGCGGCGACGAACCCGGACTCCGTCTGCGCCGGCGACGCCGCGCCGGCGGCCGCGGCGGCGGCGAGCGACGTCGAGATGAAACCCGAGACGTTCCCGCCCGCGATGAGTCGCGTCGCGGTGTCGCTCTTCTGCTTCGCCGCGTCGATGACCTCGCGCGTCGTCGGCGGCCGCGCCCACGGCACGGTCAGGGCGTAATACACGACCGAGGGTTCGGACGTTCGCGCGGTGAGCTCCAGGTGCGGGCCGCCCTCCCAGAGCGGCTCGACGCGCGGGTACGACTCCGCGAATTTCGGCGGATCGACGTCCAACCCGACGACGAGCGTGTTCGGCATCGCCTGCCCGTCGGACGTCTCCGGTTTCGATCTCCTTCCGCCCGGCAGGACGCCACCGCTGTCGCCAAACTTTCCTTTTAACTCGTCCAACGCGTTCGCTTCCTCGGCTCTGAACCCGAACGGCGACCTCACGAAGACGCGAATCTTCGTCTCGAACGTCGTCTTCGTGTCCTCCGCGATCACCCTGATCGTGACGACGCCGTTGTAATCCCGCTCGAGCTCGGTCATCGACACCGCGACGCTCGCGTACGGCGCGACGCGTCGGCCGTTCACGAAGAGCCCGGAATATCGCGGACTGTTCGGCGCCGCGGCGACGTACACGCGCTCGAGCGAGCTGTCCACGGCGGCGCGATACGTGCGCTGCGCGTAATGAAACGCCGGCGTGTACTCGACGCCCACACGGCTCGACGCGTCGCTCGGTCCCGCGGTGATGTTCAAATCTCTCAAGGACGCGTCGTCGATCGGCGCGGGGGACGGCGGCGACGTCAGCACGAAGACATACTTCGCGCACGTCTCGAACACGCACACGTCGATCGTGATCGTCGTCTTTTGCGCGTCGCAGTGCACGGGCCCGATGGCGCACTTGACGACTTCGACAAATTTCGTCGACCCGGGGGCGTACGGCTCGTCGTCGATCGTTATCGCGTATCCATCCACGGGAGATTCCGTCGGGGGAATCGTTATCGGGACGTAATTCGTTCCCGCGGGGAGGTCGAGATAGTACGTCTTCCGCCAGGGCGCGAAAATCGACGGCGTCGTCGTTCTCGTCGGTCCCTGGACGACGGAAATCGGACCGAAGTTCAAAAGGTACTCGTCGAACGTGAACCCCGGGGTATTCACCCAACCTTCCTGAGATATCCACGTCATCAACGTCGTCGCGTCCGCCGGGTACGGGAAAATCGCCTTCACCACCGCGTCCACGTCCCCCGCGCGGGTTTTATTCGACGAAGACACGTCCGCGAACACGTGAACGTCCGCGACCGCGGCATAACGCACGAAATTCTGTATTTGCACCTCGATCGTCTCCCTGAGGAACGGATCGAGCGTCCATATCGCGTCGACTCCTCCTAAGCGGAACGTGAACGTAACCTCCGTCCGCGGCTGCCGCGCTTGTGAAATGAGCGCGTCTAAAAACGCGCCGACGCCGCGAATCTCCGCATCTATCTTCGGCGGCATTCGCGCGGTTCGCAGCGTGTACACGCTCTTACTCGCGCTGTCGTGCGCGGTCACGGTGATAGTGGTTAGCGTCGTGCCGTATCTTAAGTCGACCGGCGGTGAATACCGCTCGCTCTTCACGGACGTGAACCCGTGATCGCCGCTGACCCACCCCCAAGCGTCGAAATCTTTCCCGACGCACCCGCTCGTGCGCGGCATCGCGTGACAGTTCCGAACCTGTCCAATCGTGATGAGCTCCGCGTTGGCGTCCGCCGTGCTCGCGTTCACGATGACGTAATCCGTCCGCGTGTCCGCGACGATGATGTAGTCGAACCAGTGGTAGTGGAATCCGTCGAAATGAAACGCGTGCGACGCGTGATTCGCGTCGTCGACATTATCCGCGGTCGGGTCGACAACCTCCGCTAACGCTTGCAGGGAATCGTCGTTTAAGTTCCAGCTCGTTTCGCTCAGTTCGAATCCGTAGTGCAGCGCGCTCGGGGCGGCGGATACGACCCCGGAGTCGCACATGGGTTGATACGCGAGCCCGCTGCTCGAACGAAACGAGGCATCGTATAAGTCGCACGGCGCCACCGGTTTCGGGACGTCCGTCAGGTTTGGCGCTTCGTATTTGAAGAGCTCATGGTGGGAGACGACCATGTCGGCGAGGTACGAGTTATCGTGTACCGGGCGAGAGACTTGCAGCGTGTACGTGCTCTGGATGTGATAATGCCCCGCGGTGACGACAATCTCGAAGACGTTTAAGCCAAAAGCCAGGTCGATATCGCCGCTGAAAACGCCGCTGTTCACGCCGACGCCGTTGATGGTCACGTTCGTGATGAGGTTAGACGCGGCGGTGGCTTTAATAGATATCCTGTCCGTCTTCGTGGCGATGTCGGCGGCGACGTAGAACTTGGTCTCGTTGTGGAACGCGGGCGCGTACGAAATAGTTGTGTTCGGCGCCGCGCTCGCCGGGTTCGGCGCGTCCCCGGTCAGCGGCGCGTTCGTCCTAGACACGCGAACTTCCAACCCTGCGAGCGTCGCGTCGACGACGGAGTTCGCGCACAGCCAATTTCCGCAGTACCCTTCGTCGTCGGCGCCTTCGTCTTTCCATTCGAGCGACGACAGAAACGCGGGGGAGTCGCGAAAGGGGACGGGGAACGGGCGCATCTCTCGAATCGCCCCGCCCGGGTCGGCCTGATCCCCGGAGCTCAGATGTCGAAGCCCTTCGTACGCGCCCGGCCCGTACTCGAGCATCTCAACCCTGTACGTTCGACGCGAGCACCACGTCGGCGGGTATCCGTCGACGAGTAACGGCGCGGACGCCCAATCCGGATCGCAATTCGCCGCGTAAACCTTGATATCTATCCACACGTCCTCTCTCGCGAGAAGATCGTCCATCGTCGTCGTGTACGCGTCGCCGCGTTCGATGTCGTCCCCGTTGACGGTTATCCTGTACACGTTGACGTCGTTTGTGATCGGCGTGAGCGACACGGACGGCGCGCTGTGCGGGGCGAAGAGCTCGTACGTCGACGTCTCTCGATGAAACGCGGGAACGAGTCTCGTCCCCGCGGTGGGGGCGACCCTCAGCTCGCGCAGCGTCGCGTCGCTCGGCGCGATCGGCGTGGGTTCTCTCGTGACGTGAACGACGTACGTCGTCGACGTCGCGCGATCCTGCGCGACGCACGTCACGAGCACGGTCGTCGTCCCCAGAGTGCGCTCCTCGCCGTTGCCGTGCCCCTCGGGAATCTCGATATCCCGGGACGCGCTCCCCGACGGTTGTCCGACGCCGTTCACGATGATCCGGTCGTACATCGGATCGCTCGCGACCGGGGTCACCGCTATCGCGTTCACGGCGTGCCCGAGCGTGAGCGCGTACGTCGTGACCGACGGCGAAAACCCCGGGGTCAACGCGCCCGCGGATACGTGTAAGCTCTTCAGCGACGCGTCCTCGGCGTGCGCGGCGCGATGGACGTCGACGTCGTACTGCGCGACCGTGGTGCCGTCCTGCGCGGTGACCGCGACGTTTATGCGTATCGTCCCCCCCGGAGGCACGACGTGCTCTCGCGACAGCGAACCGGACGGGATGACCTCCGTGTTCACGCGAACGTATCGATGCATCGAGTCAGAGGCTGTCGGCGCCGCGACGACGGCGACGTCGTCCGCGGTGATGTTGACCGAGTACGCGTACACGCTCGGGCTGAACGCGGGGACCATGGGCACGAGGCGCAGCCCGCTCGCGACGTACACGACGAGGTCGGATAACGTCGCGTCGAACGCGGCGTCCGAGCGCGTCACCGTGATCGTCCGCGTCCTCGCGACACGCGCGTCCACCGCGGTCACCGTCGCCTCCACGCGCGTGCGGCCGATCGGAAGGTTCACGTCGAACTCCCGCACGTTAGCGAGCCACGGCGACGCGAGACGCTCGTTCGTCGGACGTCCCCTGAGCGTCACCGTCACGACGGTCGCGCCGCTCGGCGAGACGTCGAGCGCCGCCGAGGTCACCGTCAGCGTCGCGGCGTCGTCCCTCGCCGCCGCCGAGAGCGTGATTCGCTTCACCGCGTGATCGACGTCGAGGGCGTACGCGTCCACGCCCGTCGCCGCGGAGGGAGACGACAGCGGCGGGTCGAATCGCGGCGTCAGGGCGTGCTCGGTCCGCACCGTCTTCGTGACCTCGATCCCCATGGACCTCCCCGTCACGAGCGTCGAGACGCTGCTGACCTCGAGCATCCCGAGCTCGACGTCCGTCCCCGGGTACGCGCGCGCGATTTCGACGCGGTACACCTTCGAGTACTTCGGGTCTTGCGCGATCACCTCCACGGCGATGACGTTGTTCCCGACGCGCAGAGGGACGTCCTCGCTCGCGGCCTTGTTCTTCACGAGCACGGCATTCACGCGAATCGCCTGCGCGCGCTCGTCCATCACCGCGGGCACCACCTTCACGCCGCGGACGTCGTGCGGCACCGCGGCGGAGTACGCGTACACGTCCGGGTCGAACCTCGCATTCAAATCTCGCGAGCGAAGGACGAGGTCGGCGAGACGCGCTTCCGTGGACCTCGGTCGAAACACGGCAAGCCGGTACCGCCGCGTCGTGACCCGGTCCTCCGCGGTGACGACCACCTCGAACGGGCGGTTCGTCCCGTAGAAGACCCTCGCGGGCGGCGAGACGTGCGCCCCGGGCGGTTCCCCGTGCTCCCCGCGTCCTATCTTCATCTCTACGTCGCGCGTCGTCACGCGCCAGACCGCCCCCGCGTTCGGCGACGCGTACACGACGACGCTCTCCGCGTCCGCGTCGACCTCCGCGACGCGCGTCGCCGCTGAGGCGTCGTCCCGTTCGGACGCGTCGAACGCGGGGACGAGAGACGCGACGCCGCCGACGCCGAGCGCGCGCAACGACGCGTCCGAAGATATCGTCGCCGCCGTCGTGGCCTCCACCGCGCGCACGTCGTCGTCCCCCGCGGCGTCGTCCGTCGGCGCCGCGGCGACGAGGTACGTCGTGTTCGGGCGAGCGACGAACGCGTTGTGCGCGCCGCTGCGCTCGGGATGTCGCGCGTTCCACGCGCCGCGTATCGTGACCCACGCCTCCGTCCCCGCCGTCGGCAGCGACACGGTCTCGCGGAAGAACGCGGGCGAGGGCGTGGACGCGTCCGGCGGGTCGACGATCTCGCCGCCTTCCGCGGCCGCCTTCCTCACGCTCGCGAGCGACGTTCCCGCTCCCCAGGACGGGTAATCGCCTTCCGCGGCCGCGACGACGTCTACCGCCCCGGGGAGGTCGAGCTTCAGCGACACGACGAACGTGAGCGCGCCCGTGCGCTCGACGCGCGGGTACCCGTCCGCGAAGCGAGGCGGGCCGGCGCCTTCGCATCTCGCGAGCGACGCGAGGATGGAGACGAGAAGCAGGAGCCAACCCGCGCGGAGAGGGCGCGGCATCGTCGGCGATTTCATATCAGCCCCGCGGCTTCCGCGCGTTCGCGCTCCGTCTCACTCATCGAGTCCCCTGCGCGGACGATACGCGCGCCGAGGACGACCTCGCGCGACTGGCGGGCCCGCGCGCGTCTCGAAACCGGCCACCGGCGTTCACGCGCGGCAGCGCTATGGGCGGATCGGAGGCGAGCGCGAGTCTGTTCGTTGTTTTGGCCTCGTTGATGAAAAAGGTGATGAGAAGGACCAAGAGTGACGAAGGACCAAGAGTGACGGCAGAGTGGACCTTCGGTCCACACTGGACACCAGCTGTACTAAACGTACACGTACTGCTATCAAAACTCTCTAAAACGAGCTCCACGTCCCTTTGCGGCTCTTCGTCCCTTTGATCATCCCATACTGCATGAGCCCGCACCCGAACGCGCGTCGCATGCGCTCTAAGCACACGATGTCTCGCAGCGTCTTGTACCAAATGCGAGGCCTGGAGAACACCGGCATGGGGTCCCACACCCCCACCCAGATCGAGTGCCGCCAGCTCGCGATCGTCTGCCGCGTCCAGTCGTCCGTCTCCACCGTGTCCATCTTCATTGTGCCTTTCAAGAGCATCGCGTAGTCGTTTATGGAGATGAAGTACGGGTGCGCCCATTCCTCGTACAGGTAGTTCAAGTTCACGACCTCTCTCGGCGTGAACGCGGGCGGCGTCGAGCGTTGGCACCACGTCGCGATGACCAACGTCCCGCCGGGTTTCAACACGCGCACCATCTCCTCGACGTACTTACCCTTGTCCGGCATGTGCTCCCCGCTCTCGCACGCCCACACCACGTCGAAATGGTCGTCTGGGAAGTCCATCTCGAGCGCGTCCATGACGAGGAACTCCGCGTTCGGGACGCCTTGCTTCAACGCGAGCTCGCCCGCTCGCCGCGCTTGCTTCGGCGAGAGCGTCACCCCGGTGACGCGCGTGTTCGAGCCGAACTTGTTCGCGAGGTGCCGCGTCGCGCCGCCGATGCCGCACCCGACGTCGAGCACCTTCCTCGGGGTTCCGTTGAACCTGCTCCACGCGAGCATCTCGTCCACGAAGTCGAGCTTCGCCTCGACGAAGTCCTTCACGCGGCTCCCGCGTAACGTTCCCGCGCCTCTGCGAAGGTCCTCGTCTTTGTAATACCCCAAATGGATGTGCTCGCCCCAGTAATACTCCAGAATTTTCTCGTCCGTCCACGCGTCGTACTCCTTCCCCACCGTCGTCTCGTCCATCCACGGACGCCCGGGGGTGTCCAGGTTCTTCTTCAGCTTGCAAAACGCGAACGCGAGGGACAGCCCCGCGGCTGTCGCGGAGAGAAGGTGACTCGCCGGCGGCATCGCGACTTCGAGCGCGCCCGCGCCGCGAGCGCTCGCGGAGGGGGTGGGGACCGGCGGAGGGAGGTCCGCGACCTGGAACACCGCGGACGCGGGCGACCTCGTCGTCGATCCGTGCGACGGCAGGACGGGGCGAACGAGGTCCGCCACGGAGAGCGACGCGTCTTCGCGCGCGCCGACGCCGGCGCTGGACGACGCCGCCGTCGTCGTCGTCGTCGAGGAAGTCACGCGGCGGGAGTAGCCGTGCCGGCGAAGTGCCGCCGGCGTCGGCGCGACGCGGCATCTCGACGAGAGCCCGACGGGGACGTTGCGCCCGACGGCGGATGTCATCTCGACGATCTGACGCGACATTTCAAACTTCCGGTGTTCCGTGTCGACGATCGAACGTCGCCTCCGCGCCCGACGCGCGCCTCGAGAACGCGTCTGGCTTGCCCTCGACGATGACGGGTATCGATCCGGCGGCGATCTCGCGTCGTTCGCGCGGGGACGAGCGCGACCGGGTCTCCGGCTGCCGCGTCTCGACGTCGTTCGTTCGAACTCGGCCGACTCCAGGCCGCCTGATGACGAGCGTTCGCGTTCTGGTTGGTCAGCGACCAGACGCGTCGCGGTCGGGCGGCGCGCCTGGCAACCTGGCCTGGCTACCTGGCTCCCTGAAGAAGAGTGATTCTTTAGACCGCGGAGAGCGCATCGTTCCGCCGCCGCGCTTCCCTCGGCACAACCTTCGACGCAGCGCACGATGGCCGACCGCGGCGAAGAAGATGACCCGCCCCAGACCGCCGAGGGCGGCGACGGCGACGGCGAGGGAGCGTCTGGAGGAGGCAAGAAGGGGCGCTACCGTCGCGACAAACCTTGGGTGAGCGGCGCCGCATTTCTTCTCCGCCGCCGACTTTTCTCGAGTGGACCGAATCCGCGCCCCCCCCGCCGCTCGCGCGTTCGTTCCGTGAGCCCGCCGCTCACGTCGCCCGCGTCGTTCGCTCTCGCTCCTCAGGACCACGCCGGGATCGACCACTGGAAAGTAGACCCGTTCACGAAGGAGGACAACCCGGACGGTCTCCTGGACGAATCCTCGTTCGCGACGTTGTTTCCGAAATACAGAGAGAAGTACCTGCGCGAGGTGTGGCCGTCCGTGACTCGGGCGCTGAAGGAGTGCGGCATCGCGTGCGAGCTCAACCTCGTGGAGGGCTCCATGACGGTCAGGACGACGAGGAAGACGTTCGACCCGTACATAATCATCAAGTCGCGCGATCTCATCAAGCTCCTATCGCGTTCGGTCCCCGCGCCGCAAGCGCTGAAGATTCTCTCCGACGACGTCCAGTGCGACGTCATCAAAATCGGCGGCATGGTCAGGAACAAGGAGAGGTACGTGAAAAGGAGGCAGCGGCTGATAGGCCCGAACGGGAGCACGCTCAAAGCGATCGAGATGCTGACGGGGTGCTACGTCCTCGTGCAAGGGAACACGGTCTCGTGCATGGGGGGCTGGAAAGGTCTGAAGACGGTGAGGAAGATCATAGAGGACTGCATGAAGAACATGCATCCGATCTATCACATCAAGGAGCTGATGATCAAGCGCGAGCTCGCGAAGGACCCGGCGCTCGCGTCTCAGAGCTGGGACAGGTTCTTGCCAAAGTTTAAGAAGAAAAACGTCAAGCGCAAGAAGCCGAGCAAGATTGGAAAGGGGAAGAAGGACCAGGTCTTCCCCCCCGCGCCCGTGCCGTCGAAGCTCGATCAGCAGATCGAGTCCGGAGAGTACTTCCTGTCTCAAGAAGCGAAGCGAAGGCGCGCGGCGGCGGAGAAGCTCGAGAAGCAAAAGGAGGCGGTGAGCGCGTCGCAAAAGAAACGAAACGAAGCGTTCATCGCGCCGAAGGAGGACGCGGGCGACGGCGGAGACGGCGGCGGCGAGAAGAAGAAGAGGAAGTCCGAGGTCGGGAACGAGGACGTCGCCGCGATGGCGGCGTCGCTCAAGGCGAAATCGAAATCGAAGAAGGACGGGGACGAGAAGAAAAGAGCGGGGAAGAGCGACGGGGACGAGTTCATCATGAAAGCAAAGAAGAGGAAGTCGGGGGACGGGGAGGAGAAAAAGTCGAAACGAGCGCGCTAGTCGATACCGTGATTGTAACGCGCGCACGCCATGGTACACGCCACGCGCAGTACTCGCCTGGAACCATCGCCCGTCGCGTGAACGCGCGCGCCGTTCGTCGTCGCGCCGCGAGCGAGCGTCGGAAATTTTGGCAACAGAGTGGTCAGTCACCACAAATATAATTCGAAGGGCACCTCCTATCCGAACCATAACTCCGAGCGCGGCGAGACGGGCTCGAGGGCGAGGGCTCCACCTTCGCCCTCGATGTCGAGGCCCGCGTGGAACGGTGCCTTGAAGAAGACGTCACCGCCGCCGTACGAGTCGCCGGCTCTGCTGGAGAGGTCATCGCGCGCCAAGGATCCCTCTGAAGAAGACCCCGGCGCGCGGCCCGCGAGACTCGGCGCGGATCACCAGAGCGACGACGCGGAGAAGGGAAGCGCGGAGGCGGCGCTGCTGAAGTACGGCAAGCGCGTCGCTCACGGCGACGCGCGCAAACATGACAAGCTGTCGAGCCTCATACGAGCCGTCCAGTGCGTCCCTCGCCCCTACCCCTCGCCCTCCTCCCAACCCGCGTCCCCCGTCGTCAACTCTGTTTTTTCGCCCGCGGCTTCTGACTCCTCGTCTCGCTCACCGTCTCGAGCAGAGAACAAAAGGAGCAGCTCACGGCCGAGCGCGAGAAAGCGGTGCGCTGCTACCGCGCGGAGCGTCAGAGGCTGAAGGCGATGCAGCAGCAGACCTTGGTGCTGTACACGCGCTTGAAGGCGGCGAAGAAGATGCCCCCAGGCAGCCTCGCGCCGTCGCCGGGGACGCCCTTTCGCGCGCGCGGCGACGCGGACGACGCGGACGACGCGGACGACGCGGCCGTCACGGACTCGGGATCGAGCGCGCTCGCGGTGGCGCTAGGGCGCGGGTTAGGCGCGGGGTCCTTGGGCGCGAGAATGATACTCACGGTGTGGCGCGGGTGGGCGCGGAAAGAAGCGGTTCTCGCGAGACGCGTGGAGGGACTCCAACGTCGATGGCTTCGCGGTCGTACGAAAGCGTGGCTGCGCGGATGGCAATCGCAGACGGCGACGAACGAAGCGCTCGTGATCGCCGCGCACGCGTCCGTGCGACGGTATCAGCGGAGATGCCAGCGCAGGGTGTTCGTCGCGTGGCGCGGGTTATCCGCCGGTCTCGCCGCGCACGAACTCGCGCTGATGGACTCGACGAAGTTGTTCCCGCCCGGTTCGCCCGCCGCGGGCCTGGCCGCGATCGCGGCGATGTCCAGGAGCAGCGCGCCGAGCGGGGGGCACGGTGGGAGGCGAGCCGCCGCGGTGAACGCGGCTCTCGCGGCGATGGGGGGGACGACGTCGGGTGCGAACGCGACGGCGCGAGAGGGGAGGTACGACGTCGCTCACATTTTATCTCTGGACGACGACGTCGACGTAGACGCGGAGGAATGGGACATCAGAGTCGACGCGGATGATAGCGAAGACGACGACGACGATGACATCATCGGACGCGGGGTCAAGAGCTTGCGAGGTTTGATCGGGCGTGAGGATCGAGATGGGTCTGAGCGCGGCGGAGAGAGGAGAAGGCTGCGGTTTGAGTCGACATCGGCGAAACCGACCGAGGCGCCGATCGACCCGTCGAGCAGTGGCACCTCGGATAGCTCGTCCGACAGCTCATCCGAGAGTTCGTCGTCGTCGTCGTCGTCGTCGTCGTCGGGTAGCTCGTCGTCGTCGTCGTCGTCGAGCGAGGAGAGCGCGGCGACCGCGTCGGCGGCGGCAGAGGAGAAGACGCGGAGTAAACCGTCGCACCGGAGGTTTGGATCCGAGTTTGAGATCGACGTGGACTCGCTTTCGTTGACGAGCTCGAATCCGCCGTCGACGCAGCCGTCTCCAGAGACCGCGGAGGCGCTGGCTCGCGCGCGCGCGGCCGAGCAAGAGATCGAACTGATGAAGGCTTCGCAGGCGGAGGCTGCCGCCGCGGCTGAGCTCAGAAGAGTGGCCGCGGAGGAAGCGCTCGCGCGCGCGGAGGCGGCGGAGGCGGAGCTGACGAAGCTAAAAATCGCAAAGGCGGCGACGACGGTGGAGTCAAGAGCAGCGGTTGAGAAAGCGGAGGGAGAGCTCAAGAAACTAAAGCTCGCGAAGGATGCGGCGACGACGGCCGCGGCAGACGAGGTCTTAGCTCGCGAGGCGACCGAGCGAAGGTTGAAGAAACTCCAGAGCGTTCACGCTGAGTCCACCGCGGCGACGGAGCGAAAACTCAAGGAATCCGACGAGAAGGCAAAGGCGCTGAAGGAAGAGAACACCGCGCGTCGCTGGCTATCCGTCGTCGGTTCATCTTCGCCGAAGTCTGCGAAAGTTTCTCAGACTCGATCCGATGCGTCTGATCTTCGGATCAAAGTACCCGCGCCGCCGGCGGAGCTCGGGGATATCTCCATCGACGTGATCGAGCCGGGTTTGCCAGACACGCCGACGTCGTTGCCATCACCCGCGGCGGATCTTCCGGACACGCCGACGTCGTTGTCATCACCCGCGGCGGCTCTCCCGGACACGCCGACGTCGTTGACGTCGTCCGCGGCGGCTCTCCCGGACACGCCGACGTCGTTGACGTCGTCCGCGGCGGCTCTCCCGGATATGCCCGGTACGCCTTCTTCCCCGTTGGCCGAGTTGCCGGACACGCCGACATCGCGAATCGAGGATACGGAGGATGAATCGAGCGTCGTCGTCTACGACGCGGCCTCGAGCCACGCCGACGACGCCCTTCCTGACACGCCGAAATCGTCCACCATGGACGACGACGACGACGACGACGACGACGACGAGGGTGCGTTCGCGTTGCCGGACGTTCCGGTCACGAAAGATGAAGACGCGACGTTACCTGACACGCCGAGGTCGGGGGTCACGTCGTCGTCGATCGGCGTCGACGAGGACGCGGTATCGACGGACGAGGCCTTCGGCGACTCGAACGCGACGACGGCTGCCCCGGCGGCGGCGGCGGCGGAAGCGGAGACGGAGGAGATGTCATGGCACGAGATGGTCGGCGCCGAGGCGCCGCCGCCCGACGACGAGAAGAGCACGAAGACGAAGAAGAAGGCGAAGAAGGCGAAAGCGCCCGACGCGAAAGGTTGCGGTTGCGTCGTGAGCTGACTTTAGCATGTTAACGATAAATCTAGCCCGAGAAGCGCTCGCGCGCTCGCTTCTCTCGCGCGGCGTCCTCACGAGGGTCGAGAAGAGCTCGAGACCAAAACTTCGATACCATTTATTTTCAAAAACGCGGCTGGTCGACTCGCGTCGGCGGATGCTCGTTCTGTTTGGCATGGCAGCGGAGTCACGTTCAAACCTGGGCAGAGCAGGTGCCCATCCCGTGACTCGCGGGTCGGCACCTACCAAGAGAGCGTCCGTCATCCGCGCGATCGCGCTCGGCCGCGGAATCGACGCTTCGAAAGGACGACGAAGTCCGGAGGAGCGGGCGGGCGCGAGATCTCCAAGATCTTGCGGGCGGGCGCGACGGCGACATGGACGACGACGCGCGCGAGCCCGCGCCGACGGTCGAGGTCGACGCGAACCCACCTCCTGATGCGCGCGATGAAGCGTCCGAACCCGCGCCGCCGACGGCTTCCGATCCAGATGGCGGCGACGAGGGAGCGACCGCGACGGGGGACGACGTCGGCGACGCCGACGCGCCCGAGGACGACGAGGAGTCGGAGTCGGAGGAGGAGTCCGAAGACGACGAACCCGACGGGGAGGAGTACGAGAGACTGCGGCAGCTCAACATCCAGCGCAACCGCGAGCTCATGATGAGCCTCAGCCTGAACAAGATGGCGGACAAGCTGAAACCGACGGAGGAGAAGAAACGCCGGGGACCGACGCCGGGCGTCCCGCGAAAAAAACGAGGCCAAGTCGCGCCGTCGCGGGGCTCGAGCCGCATCCAACGCCTGCAAGAAGAACGAAAGCACACGGCGTGGAAGGACGTCCACATCGAGCAACCGATCCGATCGCACCCGCACTGCATCGTCGAGCTCGACATCGTGTGCCTCGGCATCGCGGATCCGGAGCGAACGCTGCCCGACGGCTCGCTGATCCCCGCGGGATTCTTCGCAGAGGGCGATTTCATGTCCGAACCTCTGTTCGCGTGGACGGACATCAACGGCACGCACCGGGTGATGTGGGGCGACAGCGAGGGCGAGTACCAACGATACGTGGAGACGGAGGACGGAGGAGCGATCAGCGCCGGGGACGCGTGCGTGTGCATCTTACGCGAGATGCAACGACGACGCCTGGAGCTGCTCGGCGCGACGTCGGGGGAGGGCGTCTCGGAGCCGACCGGCATTCGCATTCACCAGGCGCACTTGCCACCGCTCAAGAAAGAAGGCTCGAACCCTATCGTTAAGTTAAGGACGAAGCCGTACGTCCGGAAGCAGAAGGCGCACACGAAGCCTAAAGGCATCACTAAGGCGACCTCGGGGCCCTCGGAACCAAAATGTCGCAACTGCGGCTGCTTGCGCGAGAACACGACGAAGATGCGACCTGGACCCTCCGGTCTCGGGTCGTTGTGCAACGCGTGTGGGATGTATTGGGCGACCCAAGGGCGTCTGCGACCAGCGGGGGTGATGGACGATGACTACGAACGAGCGGTACCACCTGGGCAAGAGCCTGCGAAGCCCCTCGTGTACAAGTTGAAGACCACGTTCGAGAACGCGGTCTCGTCCGCGCCGGTCGGCGCGGCGAAAGGAGACGAACACGGCGACGACTTGCCGATCAGCGCGATGAAGGTTCCGGTGAAACAGGAGTCGGATGAGGAAGATGACGACGAAGAGGAAGAGGAGGAAGATGAGAAAGAGGAGGATAACCTCACGGCCATCTTCGAACCGTACACCTCGAAGCCGAACGCGTTTTTTCAAAATATGGTCAAGTGCGCGAGAGCGGGGCTCGTCACGCCCGCGATGGTTGGCGCGGATGACTTTCCCGAGGTGTTGGAAGAAGGAGCTCCCGCTCCGAGATGGGCTGCGCACATTTACGCGCCGTACCCTCCCATGGTCGCGGTAACTGAAGAGGCTGTGTACCAGGTGAAGACGGATCCGCAAAACTCTTCTCTCGCGAAGGCGGCGGCGATCGTCGCGGACTCGGAGCCGGTCATCGCGTCCACGGTGGAGCGCATCAACGATTACCCCGCGCAGGCGTCTTACGTGCAGCGATCCGCCGCGGTATGTTTCGCGGGCTACGGCGCGCTCGCCACGGGCACGTCCTCGCCCTCGCTCTTCCCCACGACGTTCGCGATGCCGAGCATGGTCCGCCCGAGGGCCTACCGAGAGCACGACATCGACGGCATCGCGTTGTTCGGGTACACTGAGCCGGACGTGCAGCTGTCTTTGCGAGCGCAGCTCGAGAAGTACGGCCAGAAGCGCGACGCGGAGGGGGAAGCCGCGGAGGCGAAGGAGCGCGCGGCGGACGTCGCGGAAGCGATCGCGGCGCTGGAGCACCACGTTTCTAGGGCGCGAAAAATCTTGACGAAGATCTCCGCGGCGGCGGATCGAGAGGCTCGGAACGCGCGCGCTGTGCCTCGTCTGGAGATCGCGGGCGAGGCGGCGATTCTCTGTCCCCCGCTCCCGAAGGCGGATTCCGGAAAGGGAGCGAAGCGGGTCAAGGGGGACGGCAGCAACAAGGGCGGCGGCGGCGACGACGGCGAGCCCACTGGATTTCTCTACGAGGATGTCATGGCGGAGCTTGAGGGCCCCGAAGACATCCCCACCCCTATTAAAGTCATGTGCGGCAGCGCGCCGCGCGGGGAATGGCAAACATACGGTCGTCCGCGCGAAGAGAAGATCATTCTTTCGGGGAAAGGCGGAGATGCGGTGACCCCGGCGGAGTACGAGCGCCTCGGCGGCTGCGGTCAGTCGAAGAAGTGGAGGAAATCGATTCACGTCGTGAAGAAAGACGGCAGCGAGGGCATCGCGATCGGGGATTACCTCGCTCACCTAGGAGGCAAGAAGGGCGAGTCCATCGTAGGGCGGCGCATCGGTCTGTATTGGCCCCTCGACGAGTGCTTCTACCTCGGTACCGTCGATGAGTTCATGCCGACGACTGGTGAGCACACGGTTCGTTACGACGACGGCGAGGCTGAAGATTTACTCCTCCCGATGCAGCGCGTGAAGTGGTTAAACTCGGACGTCGGCAAGGCAGGGCAAGGCACGCTGGCGAGCTCAGAAGATACTCTCGCAACCACCGCGAAGGATCAAAAGACGGCGGAGGAGATCAAATCGGACGAGGCTTTAGCCGCGGTGAAGGCGTGGGAGGTCGAGGCCTCCGCGCGCGAGGCGAAACGCGTCGAGGAAGAAGCGAAGGGCATTTTAAGCCCCGAGGGTCGGACGCGCATGACCATGGGCGCGTTCGACATCTGGGTCATGAACCCGGCGCAGATGCGCATGCGCAACTCCGAGCGCCGTAAATGCTTCGAGATCCTCACCATCCTGCGGAACGTTGCCGACCCGGACGACGACCCGGACGACGAAGAAGAGCCTCCGCGGCTTCTCATCGAAGTCTTCGAGAAGCTTCCCACCCCTCGCGAGCTCCCCGAGTACTACGAAATCATTCGCTGCCCCGTGGACTGCCGCAGCATCGAGCGCATGCTGAGACGCCCGACGGATCGTTCGTACGCGTCGCCTTGGTTATTCGCGTGCGCGGTGGAGCTGATGCTCACGAACGCGCAGGTGTACAACGACGAGGGCTCGCAGATTTACGAAGAGGCGGGGATCCTGAGACACGCGTTCATCGCGGCGATGCGCGAGCGCTTCCCCGGTCAGCCGCTGCCGTCGAAGTTCAAGTTGTACGAGTGTTGCGACGAGCCGGTGTGGCTTCGACCGCCGAAATGGTCCGCCCCTGGCGTGGAAGACGTCGAGGACGAGCCCGATCCGTTTGGTCCGTTGGACTGGGAAACCGCCCAGGCCGACGACGACGAAGAACGCGCGGTCGCGAGAGCGATCACGGCGGGTGGTGCCGTGTACGGAGGCAAAAGTTCGATTTGGAACGCCCCGTCGGTCACCCGGGGCCCCGGTCGGCCGAAGAGGGACGTCGTGTACGTCGACGACGAAGCAGACGACGACGACGAGAGGTACGACCCGAAGAAGAGGAACGGCGGCGGCACGCGCAGCCGAGGCGGCGGCGGCGGCGGCGGCGGGCACAAACGTAAGTCGCTGGCGGGGCCGCCTCTCGGCCCAGCCGCGGCCGCGGCGAAGGCTGCGCTGGACGAGGCGGGCGGAGAGCCGCTCACGCTCGACGACCTCGTCGCCGCGGCGGAGAAGGCGAAGGCGCCGGAGATTGCGGGCGCGCGACGCCCTGGGTCGACCATCCTCAGCGTTTTGAGACAACACCCGGACGTGTTCGTGGAATCGCTCACGGGCACGGGGAGCAAGTTCAGCCTCAACCCGAACTTGGACTACGACGACGCGGACGACGATTATTACGGCCCGTCGCGTACGTCCAACCGCTCGAAGTCGAAGAAGCGTTACGTGGAGCCGGACGAGGATGATTTCAACGATCGTTTCGACGAAGAAGCGCAGGCGAATTCGAAGCGTAAACGCGGCGGGTATCGCTCGGACGAGGAGGAAACCTACGACGGTCTGTCGCCGACGCAGGAAGCTGCGTGCAAGACGATATTATCCACCGCGCGCGCGCTGAAGGATCGCAAAGGACGGGTAGTCGCGGAGCTCTTCGAGCTCTTGCCGACGCGGAAGCAGCTGCCGGATTATTACCGACAAATCGCGAACCCGATCGATTTTCAGTCCATCGCGAAGTGCTTCAAACAGCGCGGCTACAAGACGATGTGGAGCTTCCTCTGCGCGATGGAGCTCATGTTCAGCAACGCGCAGGTGTACAACGAGGAGCACAGCGAGCTGTGGGAGGACGCAAATACGCTTCGGAAGTGCGTCAAGAACACCCTGAACAAGGCGATTCCCGGGCATCCTTTCCCCGAGCCTTTGTCCGTGTACGACGAGAAATTGTGCCAGGACCCCGGGTGGAAACCGCCGTCTTCGAAGAAACCGAAAGAAGGGCAGCTCAAGGTGAGTTTCACGGTCGGGGGTAAGTCACAAGGCGGCGCGCTGAAGTTGCAGATGAACAAAGGGAAGGTCGAGATGCCCTCGTTCGGAAAATGCGGCGAGTGCGAAACCTGCATCGGCAGGAAGGGGAAGAAATGCTACGACGTCTCGATGAAGGAATCGGCGTTCAGGAATCACGAAGGCGCGAAGGTCGCGTCGATGGGCGCCAAAGCGGTGGGGACTGCCCTCGAGATTCTGTGGCCTGATGACGAGACGTTTTACCCGTGTAAAGTCACCGCGTACAACGCGAGGAATCGGTCGCACATGGTGAAGTACGACGCCGACGGCATCACGGAGGACATCCAGCTGTGGGAGGAGAACGAAGAGGTGCGCCTTCGATCGAGTGGTCGGCGTCGATAGGACCGGACCGCCGCGGTGATGCGAGAATTCAGTCGCTCTTTCGTATTGAAAAGAATAAATACGCTCATGCGTGCCTTCGCCTTTTCTCACCGTCCCCCGCATCGTTTTCGATGTCCCCCTCTGTTGATCGTTTCTCCCCGCCCTGCGCTTTCGCGAACAACGCCATCACGGTCCCTTTTTTGGCCTTCGCCGGGGGCGCGATCGTCGCCTTCGCGCCCGCGCCCTTCGTCGTCGTCGTCTTCACGCCGAGCTTCGCGAACGCGTTCAGCGACCTCGGCGCGAGCGGCGCGGGGGCGGCGTTCGCGGCCGGTGATTCATCCCCGCGCGCCTCGTGCGACGGCGGCGCGGACGCTCTCATCTTCGGCGCGTTGGCGAACAAGTTCGCGAGGCTGCCCTTCTGCTTGCTCGCCGGCGCCGCGCGAGCAAACTTATTCGTCGGCGCGCCGGCGCGGAGCGACGGCGCCGTCGGTCTCCACGCCGGCCGCACGCCGCCATCGACGCCTCGCGCGCTCGGCGTGTGTCCCCCCGCCGCCCCCGAGGCGTCTCCCGTCGCCGGCGGCGCGGACGACCGCGTCGAGTCCGGCGCGACGGTGGCAAACGCGGCGGGCACCCACGACGACGACGACGCGCCGGCGCTCGCTCTGTCGTCGCGCGTCGCTCCGTGCGCGTTTTGCGACACGCCGCCCGCGCGCCCGCCCTCGACCTGATCCATCATCGCCGCCAGCGCGTCGTCGCCGGTCGAGTTCATCGCGTCCGCGCGGACGCTAAATCTGCCGCCGCCGCCGCCGCCGCCGCCCGTCGCTCGCGCCTCGCCGCCGTTGAAGACGAACGTCGGCTTCGCGGCGTTTTCGCCGCCGAACAAATTCGCAAACGCCGGCGGTCGAGGCGGCGGTTTACTCACCGCAGGCGGCGCGTACCCGCCGTGCGACCCGTGCCCGCGCGCGTGTCCTCTCGGCGCCCACCCGCGCTGCCGCGGCGGGCTCGGCGGGACGACGAACGGTTTCCGCGATATCGGATCCAACCGCCCCTCCGCGACGTCGACGGCGATCGCGTCGTGCACGAGCGGGCCCAAGAAACTCGTGTCCGCGCCCTCCTTCTCGAGCTCCGGAGGCGTCGGGTTCAGCGGTCGCAGCCGTCGGAGCTTCGGGTCGTACACCCGCGCATGCTTGAACGTCCAGTACGCGCGCCGGAAGTTCTCGTGGTACCCGTCCGGGACGACGATCTTTTTGTCCCCGCGCAACACCGCGAGCACGGCGTGGATGCTTCGGTGCTTCGCCACGAGCGCGTGGGCTTTCTTGATGCCGATCCCGCGCACGTTCGGGAGGAAATCGCACCCGGAGAGGACGCAAAGCCCGAGGAACAGGTCCATCGACCACCCGGTGAAGTTCAAAGGCGCGCCCTTGCCGTTTTGGTTCCTCCCGCCGCCGCCGCCGCCGCCGCGTCCGCGCGCCGTCGTCACCGCGATCTCGACGTCGTCGTCGTCATCACCCGCCCGCGCGTCGCTCCACCCCGCGCCCCCGCCTTCTACGCCGCCGCCGCCGCCGCCGCGCGTCGTCTCCTCGAGAGCATCCCGCGCCCTCGCGCCGGGTGGGCCGCTGAGGACGTCCGCGATGCGCAGCTCCTGCGCGTCGCCGAATTTGTCGAGCTTGAACAGCACGGACGGGCACCCGTACGCGACGAGGTCGGAGTCTTCGGTGAAGACGACGTCGACGCCGCCGCCTTCGCCGCCTCCCATCGCCGCGAGCGCCGCGATCTGCGCGTCGGCTTCGTACGGCGCGACGATGAACTCGAACCCCTCGCGTTTGAGCGCGGCGATGAGCTCGTGCGCCATCGAGGGGGACACGTCCACGCCCTGCGCGAAGAAAAACGCGGCGCCTTCGCGATCCCGCGCCGCGAGGCGCTCGTGGCCTTTCCTGAGCGCCTCCGCACGTCGATCCCTCCGCTCCTTCTCCTCGCCGCCTTTCGCGGGGAGACGGTCGCCGTCGAACACGATCACCGGGGTGATCCCGAAGTGCCTGAGCATCTGCGCGCGGTGGACGCAGTACCTGACGTACGGCGCGTCCCGTTTCGCGCGCGCCCACCACCTGTCCCCGGTGCCGAGCTCGAGCGCGCAGCTGTACGCGCCCTTGTGAAGCCACGAGTACGCGTCGACCGCGGCTCGCTTGCCCGCGTACTTGCTCACGCTCACGGGGGTGAGCCACGGCCTCAGGACATCGGGCAACCCCTTGATCCCCATCGCGCCGCGAGGTCCCCGTGGGGAGACGGCGCGGATCGGTCTGCGCGACGATTGCGCGATTCTGGGAGCTGACGACGGAAAATTCAAACTGACGAAAGCGAAAGCCGCGCTAACAAACGCGATGCGAGCGAGAGGGTCGCAGCGCCTCTCGCACTCCCCGCGCGCGACCGCACGACCTCGAGCATCATGAGCAAGTGCGGCAGCGGCGGCAGCTCTAAAGGCGGCGGAAGCAAATCCAAGAGCAAAGGAGGCAGAGGCGATGCCCTTCACAAGAAGGTCGCGCTGCAGACGAACGACGTGAAGGAGCACCTGTCGATCCTGCGCTCCGCGCTTCGCGACGAGCTCGGGAACGACCGCGACGTCCTCGCCGGGTTCGGCCCGTTCACGAAGTTCGACAGGAACGGCCTCGAGCTGGACGTCTCGTTCAGGACCGGGACGTCGATATCGGACGACGAGCTCGAGTGGGCGCACGCGCTCGTGACGTCGAACCTCGCCGCGCGCGGGCAAGAGATGGACGCGCAGGCGCTGATGGACGACCTGTGCGACCCGTCCTCGCGGTACTACCTCGTCACCGAACGCGCGGTCGCCTCCGAGAAGACGACGAAGACGGGTAAGAAGAAGAAATCCGCCGCCGCGGGGAAGCCCGTCGCGTTCGCGCACTTCCGCTTCACGGTGCAAGGCGAGGTCCGAGACGCGATGGCGGGCGAACCCGTGCTCTTGCTGAGAGACCTGCACGTCGTCGAGGCGTGTCGACGGCGAGGCGTGGGAAAACACCTGTGCTCCGTGCTCGAGCTGACCGCGCGGAAGAACGCGATGCGCGGGGTGATGATCCTCGCCCCCGTCGGCGAGGCCGGCGTTGCCGCGCGAGCGTTCATCGACGCGAAGCTCAGAGGGTTCGAGCGCGCGGACGCGGAGTGGACGCCCTCGGCGAGGAACCTCTCCGCGTTTGCAAAGTCGCTCGTCGCGGCGAAACCGGCGGCGGTCGCGGCGAAGGCGGACGCGCCGACGACCGCGGGGAGCCCGGACAGCATTTTGAAGGGCCCCGACGCGACGGAGGCGACGAAGGAGAACGCCGCGCCCGAGGCGGCGGCGAAGTTGGAGACCGCGTTCGAGAAGACGACGCTGGAGGAGCCGGCGCCGCCGCCCGCGCCAGCGCCCGCGCCCGCGCCCGCGCCGGCGCTCTTCGGCGACTTCGCCGCCGCTCCGGTCGCGGACGTCGTCGCCGCGAAGCCGTCGTTGTCGTTCGCGGATTTCGGGACGTCCGCGCCGGAGGAGGACGCGTCCGAGGACGAAGACGACGACGACGAGGAGGACGACGACGAGGACGGGGACGGGGACTGGCAGGAAGTAGACGCGGAGGACGGCGACGAAAAGGATGACGACGAGGCGGACGACATCCTGTCGCAGCTCGTCGAGCTGTTCAAGACGGAGAACGGGCGGGACCCGACGGAGGAGGAGATGGCGCAGTGGGTCGAGACTTTGAAGGCGGCGTCCGAGGAAGGCGGGTTACAGGTGTGAGCGCGTGCTTCGTGTGTACAAGACGCGAACGCGCGTCGTCGCTTCAGTCCTCGTAGAAACTCTGGAACTTGACGTCCTCGGGCTCTTTCTTCACCAAGTCCGCCGCCGCCGCGTGCGCTTCCGCGCTCCTCCCCTTCAGCTCCTCCTCGGTCACGAACTTAAAATCCCGGAAGTCGAACCCCGGGGCGACGCCCTCGCCGATGATCCCAAACTCGAACCCTTCCTCGAGGCGAACGGCTTTGAACGACCCGCCGGGGACGACAACCTGCGGCTCGTCCCCGTTCGCGACGCACCCGCCGCACCGCCGGGTGTAGTACGTCCCGTTCGGGGAGACGATGTGATACACGAACGTGCCTCCCGCGTGGTGGTAGTGCACGTGGTCGGACGCGTTCACGACCCAGGCCTGGAAGTCGTGCTCCGGGGTGAGCATGTAGTAGATGCTCGTCATGACGTTGCGCTCCGGCGTCGGGCCTCGCGTCGTGGTCATCATGTTTCCCATCAAGTCCGTCAGCCCTTTGCTCGCCATCGGCGCGCAGCCGCTTCGGTAGGTCTCGCAGAAGAACCCGCCCTCGGGGTGCGGGATCAGGCCCAGGTTCGCGATGAGCTCCTCCTTCGAAGCCCTCGCGTTCGCGGTCGAGCCCGCGCGCGCGCTCTTCTTTCCCCACGGCATCGCGGGGCACCACGACGAGACGCGCACGTGCGCGCCGACGGCAGCGCCGACGGCGGCGCCGGCGGCGACCAACAGCGCCGCGCGCGTCGCGTCCGACGACCCGGTCGTCATCGCGACGTCGAGCCGATGCTCTCTCTCTCGCGCGCGCGTTCGTGCGCGGGAGGACTGGCGTCGGCCACGTGGCGGCTCCTCTTCTCGAGCAGCGGATTTGCCAAAACGCGTGACGTGAGCTCGTGTCCTCGTTATCGGCGTCGCGCCCTCGGGACGTCGAACCGCGCGAGAAGGATGGGGTACGCGCCCCGCGTCGCGGTCGTCGGCGGGGGAATATCCGGCCTCGTCCTCGCGAAGGAGCTGACGTCGAGAGGGTTCCACGCCGTCTGTTTCGACACGGGCGAGCGAGCTACCGGCGGAAGACTGTCCTCGCGTCGTTTCCGCGACAACGATGGCCGAGACGTCGCGTTCGACCACAGCACGCAGTACTTCACGGTGGACGATCCGAGGTTCGAAGCGCTCGCGAAGGAGTGGGCCGCGGAGGGGCTCATCGCGCCGTGGCCGAACAGCGCGGTGGGCGTCCTCGACGCGACCTCGGGGCGGTTCCGCTCGTTCGACGACGCGACGACGCGATGGATAGGCGTGGACGGCTGGACGCCGCTCTGCGAGTTCCTCGCCGAGGGCGCGCACGAGGTCGTTCGACCGCAGTGGGTCGGCGCGATGACCCCGGTCGGAGGCGACGGCGCGAAGCGACGATGGGAGCTCGCGTCCGGTCCGGGCGGGAAGCCCCTCGGAACGTTCGACTTCGTCGCGGTGAGTCACAACGGCAAGTGCGCGTTGCGATTGGCGTCGACGGCGAAACATCTCGACGGCTCCCCCGCGGCGACCACGCTTCAGCGATCGCTGCAGTGCGCGTTCGGGGTGAGACCCACGGCGGAGCTCGCGAAGCAGCGGAAGCTAATCTTATCCTCCGTGTGGGCGCTCATGTTCGTCGTGGACGCGCCGTTGGACGTCGCGTTCGAAGGCGCGCACGTGACCGGCTCCGACGTCGTGTCCTGGGTCTCGAACATCACGAAGAAGCGTCGGCACGGGTCGAAGCCGCGCGAGCGCGAGCGCGACGGGACGCCCCCCGAGTACGAGTGCTGGGTCGCACACAGCACCCCACAGTTCGCGAGGGACAACAAGTGCCCGCAGGAGGCGATCCCGAAGAACGTCGCGAGCGACGTCGCGCGCGCCATGACCGCCGCGTTTGAAACCGCGCTCGGCCTCCCGAGCGGCTCGGTGAAGCCGACGTACGCGAGGGCGCAGCTGTGGGGCGCGGCGAACCCGCTGACGCGCGCGGGCGTGCCCGCGGTGTTCGACGCGGAGACAATGACCGGCGCGTGCGGGGACTGGTGCGAGGGCCCGCCGAGCGTGCAGGCTGCGGCGACGAGCGCGTCGGCGTTGGCGGACGCGATCGAGGCGACGTTTCGACCGACGGACGCGAGGGATCCGACCGCGGCGGCGACGTTGGACGCGATGCGCGTGCGGTGGTCGCCGTGCGCGAAGGGCTCGGCGGCGTTGGGGGCGTTTCCGGGGGTGGGAGGGGTCGTGCCGGACATGGGCGAGGTGGAAGCCGCGCCCGCGGGTTCGGGCCGGGGAAGAGGCGGAAGAGGCGGAAGAGGCGGAAGAGGCGGTCGCGGGGGAGGACGGGGGCGAGGTCGGGGTGGGCGAGGGAACGGCGCGAGCGGGCGAGGCGGGCGAGGGCGAGACCGCGGCGGCGTGAGCGTCGCCGCGTTGTCGCGACCGCCGATGATGATGATGTCGCGTTGATGAGCAGAGTGCCGAGTGCCTTTTGCAACTCGTTCGATGAGTCGTTCGTCTAAGTTGTTATCGATTCATCATTCTTGGCACCCTGCTACCTGCCGTTCCAACTCAGTTAGAGGCGCGCGTGTCGCGCGCGCGCGGATCCAGCGACGCGTCCCGCCGCGATGGGGAAGAAGGTCTGCACCGTGCTGCTGTGCGACGTCTCTCCGTCCATGCACCCGCACCTCGGGTGGGTCGGAGACAACCTCGCGCGGACGGTGGAAAACAAGGTCCGAACGAAATCTGAACCCGCGCGCGCGGATCTCGTCTCGCTCGTCCCTCCCCGCCCACCGCTGACGCCGTCGTCCTTCGCGTCCTCCCTCGCATCTCGCAGATTCTGTACAACAAGATCGACGAGTTCGCGCTCGTCCTGTGCGGGGCTAACGGTGCGCGCGCTCGCGGAGATTCCCTCTCGCTCGAGCGGTGTGCCCACTTTCGCGCCGCGCTCGCCCTCGTCGTCCTCCTCACCTCTCCCGCGCTCACTCCCGTCCCTCGTCGCGCGCATCGCACGCAGAGACGAACAACGACGTGCACACCGACGGCATCGAGAACGCCGCCGCCGCGGGCGAGGACGACTACGAGGAGGAATACCTCGACATCGCGGTGAAAGTGCCGATGGCGTGCGCGAAGCCGGCGACGGCGGATCGAATCGCCGCGTTACCGCTCGATGCGGGAGACGCCGCGGCAGACTACCTCGACGCGCTGACCGTCGCGTCGGACATGCTCGTGCGGCACGAGCGCGGGGGTGGGTTCGCGAGGCACGTGCTCTTCGTCACGGACCTGCGGACGCGATGCGAGATAGACGACGAGTTCATCGCCGGCATCGCCGCGGGAATGAAAGGCGCGAGCGTTCGGCTCACGGTCGCCGTCGTCGACGGCGACGGCGACGCGGCGACGACGTCCGAGGCGGACGAGGAGACGAAGCGAGTCAACCGCGCGATGTTGCAAGGCTTGTGCGACGTCTTAAACGAAGCGAGCGGCGTCGCCGCGGCGTCGATGTCGGGGATCCAAGACGCGGTCGAGGCGTTGCAAGTGGCGCAGACGAAGCTCACGAAACCGACGACGACGTTTCGCGGGGACCTGGAATTCACCCCGTTCGTCTCCTTGAAGGTGTGGGTGTACAAGAAAGTGAGCGAGGCGAAACCGCCGAGCATGAAACTGAGGGTGGACGACGACGAGAGCGGCGGCGCGCACGAGCCGAACGTCGTCGTGCGGGAGCGGAGCTTCAAATCGTACGCGGACCCGGACAACCCGGTGAGCGTCCCGTCCGAGATGATGATCAGCGCGTACCCGTACGGCCCGACGAACATTCCGATCCAGGACGACGTCGCCGCGCTAGTCGCGTCGAAGAACGACAAGGGGATGAAGATATTCGGGTTCACCCCGCTCGACACCGTGCCGCAGTGGCTCGGGATGGACGAGGCGAGAATTTTAGTGCCGTGGCCGGGGAGAGAGCAGAGCGTCGCCGCGGGGATGGCCGCGAGCGCGGGGTTCTCGCCGCGCGAGGCGGGGAAGGCTGCCGCCGCGATGTCCGCGCTCGCACGCGCGATGGAGCGCAAGGGCGTCGCCGCGCTGACGCGAGCGGTGTGGACCCAGAACTCGGACAAGGTGAACTTTGGCGCTCTCACGCCGCATATCACCGCGGAGGGGGACTTTTTGCTCTTCGTCCCTCTGCCATACTCGGAAGACATGTACTCCTCGGATTTCAAGCCGCTGCCGGCGCCCGGGACTGACGCGGCGGGCGCGCTCGCGCCCGCTCTCGCCGCGAAGCTCGTGCCGACGGAGGAACAGAAATCCGCCGCGGCGGCGCTCGTGGACGCGTTGGACGGGAACGGGCCGGATCCGTGGACGCGGCTGAACCCGGCGTTGACGCGGACGCACGCGTTGATACACGCGAGGGCGGTGAACGAGCTCGCCGCGCCGTTAGCGCCGCCGTCCGGGACGGGGCCAGATGCGGTACGCGCGCTCGTCGCGCCGCCGCTGGCGGGTCGCGCGGGGCTATTGAGCGACGCGAAGGATACCCCCGCTGCTGCTGCTGCTGCGGCGGCGGCGGCGGCGTTTAAAGCCGCGTGCGGCGGGTTGGCGCTCGTCGAGAAGAGCGTCGGGTGGAAAGGTCTCAAGCGCGGCGCCGCGGAGGCGTTGCCACCCGGAGAGGGCGATCGCGGCGGCGACGGCGAGAAGCGCCCGCGCCAGGACGAAGTCGTGGGCGCGAGCGGCGGAGAGAGAGACGGCGACGACGCGGCGGCGGCGGCGGCGGAGCATCCGCCGGAGAGCGGCGCGGGTGCGAGGGAGACCGGCGACGGCGACGCGTGGGTCGTCGTGAAACAGGAGCCGAACGACGACGTCGCGCTGGAGGACGAGGACGACGTCGTCGCCGCCGAGCCGCCGCCGCCGGTCGAGGACGACGGGTTCTTCGATGACATGGATTGACGCGCAGACATTTGAATAGACGAGCGCGCGAGAAAATGCTTCGAACAGAAACGTTGGACGAAACGACTCGAACAACGACATCCGCCGCACTCCTCCGAACGCGGCCGCACGCGCGCGCACCCGACATAGAGAACACGTCCCCGCCGCGGTTCGACGCCATCATGACCGAAGCGCCCTCTGCGCTTTTAGAGCGAACGAATCTCGCGGAGTACCTTCGCGCCCGCAAGGCGATAGCACTCGAGAACTCGCAGCAAGGTCCGTGAAACCACCACCTCCCGTCCGCGCGACGACTGCTCATCCCCGATTTCCTCCTCTACGCAGGCCTACCGACGCGCCCGGTGCATCCCGGCGTGTTGCGCGTTGATCAGACGGTCGAGGAAGCGATGGACGTGCTGTCGGTGCGCGCCGCGCTCGACGCGACCGTTCGCTGTCCGCTCCGCACGTTGTTTTTTCGTTTTTCCTCCGCGAGCCCCCCCTGACCGCGCGGCCCTCCCTCGCCCCAGATAATGCGCGTTCAATCCGCGCCCTTGGTCACGATGCACGCGGACAACCAGCACTACGACGCCCAGTGCTTCCTCAGCGTCGGAGATCTGTGCTTGGGCCTCCTCGAGCGCGTCGCCGTCGAGGGCGCGAACACGTCCAACGCGCTGACGGTCCTCACGCGCATGGCGGCGCTAACGAAGATTGGACAAAAGTACGGCAAGACGAACCTCCTGGACGTGCGCTCCAAGTGGGACGGCACCGGGGTCTGGGCCGCCGCGACCGAGGACATGTCGTTATCCGACGCGCTGCGACGATGCCTTCACATAGGGCGCGAGGAGAGCCCGGGGAGCCCGATGTTGCGTCAGTGCCCGCATCGCTTCGCCGTCATCGACGCGAGCGGCATCGTCACGGATATCGTCGCGCAAAGCGACATCGCGATGTACCTCCGAAGAAACATCGATCTCTTGGACCCGTCGATCGTGGACGCGACGGTAAAAGCCCTCGGCCTAGGGTCCCAAGGCAGCAGACGTGTCGTCACCGTCGAGGCGTCCACGCCGACGATCGACTGCTTCCAACTGATGCAGTCTTCGAACGTGCAAGCCGTGGCCGTCGTCGACGACGGCACCGACGCGATCGTCGGCAACCTCTCCGAGACGGACCTCATGCCACTGCAGTGCGACGCGTACGGCGCGCTCGCGCTCCCCGTCGGCGAGTTCCTCGTCCACGCGCACCTCATCGTCCCGAAGCTCGACAACGACCGAATGTTGTATTCGCCGCAGACCACCGCGTTCGGCGCGGCGTTGATGTGCGCGGGCAAACGACTCACCGTGACCGTGACCCCGGACGCGACAGTTCGCGAGATTCTCGATCTCATGCACACGCGCGCGGTGCACCGCGTCTGGGTCGTCGACGACGCGCGAAGGCCCACCGGGGTGATCGCTCTGTCCGACGTGCTCGCCGCGATCGCCGTGGAGGTTGCCGGCGCCGGCGAGACCGACACGGCGAAGTCGATGGCGCGGTCGACGGGGACGACGACGACGACCGCGGCGACGAGCTCCCCCGCGTGAGCGAACGACGGGGGACGGCGGACGCGAGATGTGGCGAGTCGTACGACGTACGACGCGTGAGCGAGGCGATATCGCGCGCGCGAACTTGTCACTTGTGAATGAAACACACGCAGAAGAGTGCGAACAGAAAGAAAAACTTTGCCAAAACGCGCGTTTCGTACTCGCGAGGTTCTCTCGGTTTCGTTCGGACCACGACCGCGTCGGCGTCGCACTCGCGCGCGCGCGGAGCACGATGATGGCGCTCGCGGACGTCCTCCTCCGTCTCGCCCTCATCGCGCTTCTCCGTGTCGGTAAGGCGAGAGCGGACACGGCCGTCGGTTCTCGAGCGCGCGCGAACGCGACCGCTGGTTCTATCGTTTCGACGAACGCGACGAAGGCTCGCGCGTCCTCGCCCGCGCCCGCGCCGCTCGCGGACGCGGACGCGAGCGATGACCTCTTCGCTTGCAGGATCGTCTGCAGGGAAGAGCGGTGGAGCCCGACGTGCTGCGCGAACGGCACGTACGCGAACGGCTGCTGGAACGCGTGCGCCATCTCCGCGCTGCGAAGACCGTCGTGCGTGGCGACGCCCGGGAGGTGCGAGCCCTCGCGCGAACGCTTCCGAGCCAACGACGGGTGCGTGCAAGACTGCGTCGTCGACTGGGCCAGGACCGGGTACGCGTGGCAAGACATGGCGTGCGGCGAAGACGGGACGACGTACACGACGGCGTGTTTCGCGAGGTGCAGCAACGTCGCGTACACGCTCGGGGAGTGCCACGACGTCGGCGGCGGGCGTCGCGTCGCGTGAGTCAGGTCCCTCTCGCGTCGACGGCGATGCGTCACGTTAAGTTACAACTCGCGTCTACACATACGCGTGCCATCTCTCTCGCGCGTGCCATCTCTCTCGCTCGTCACTTCGGCTTGCGAAACGACAGCACCTTCGTGCTCGAGCACAGCTCCTTCGTCCACGGCGTCAGCCCCGCGCCGTCCGGTCCGAACACGCTCACGAGCTCGGACGATATGTAGTCCCGGTAGTGCGGCTCGTTGAAGTCGCCGAACTTGCCGAGGTGCGCGTCCAGCCGCGGGCGGTCGCCGAGCTGCACGCTGTCCGCGAGCACGAGCAAACCGCCGGGCTTCAACAATCGCGCGGCTTCTTTCGCCGCGGCGGCTCTCGCTTCCGCGGGGAGCTCGTGCAGGAGGTACACGCACGTGATCACGTCGAAGGACGCGTCCGGAAACGGCATCGCCTCCGCGGCAGCCTGCACGAACTCGCACGAGCCGATCTTCTCGTGCCCGCGGTCCCGCGCGCCGCCGTTCGACGGCCTCGCGTTGGGAAGCGGCAGCGGCGGCAGCGGCACGCCGACTCTTTTCGCGAAGCCGCCGATGAGACGCAACGCGTCCGTCACCGCGCCGCCGCCGCCGCCGCCCCGCGCGTTTCGGACGCGTCGTCGCATCTTTTCCCAGTACTCCCCGTTCTTCCGCGCTTCTATCAAGTAAAACGGCGACAGGTCCAGCCCGGTGGTGTCCATCCCCGGGTAGTTGTCGCGGACGAAGGTCAAGAAACGACCGGTCCCGCACGCGAGCTCGAGGAGTTTCGCGCCCGCGCCGTCCTCTCGCACCGCCGTCGCCGTCGATCCGTCCTCGGGCGCCCCCTCGTTTACCCTCTCGCGCATGTACTCGGACAGCGGCACGAGCGCAGTCCGCTGCATCGCGTCTTGCCTCCCTAAGAAGAGCGTCTCCGTGGAGACCTCGTACACCTCCGCCGATTGCGTCGAGAGCCATCCGTCGGTTTGGTAGTGAAACGTCTTCAGGTAATAGTCCGGATACAGCGGCGAGTCCATCCAGACCTTCGTCTCCGCGGCCTCGGCGCTCCCCCCGGCCGCGCTCCTCGCGGCCGCCGCCTCCTTCGCCGCGCGACTCTTCCTGAGCGTGCTCGTCGCCTCTTTGATGAACTTCTTCGTCTTATCCGCGACGAACATCGGGTTGAACTGCCGGTGCGACGGGTGCATGTCCCACGGCGGGTTGAACCGTCCGGCGCGCATGAACCCGAGGTCTTGCTTGTACACCTGCGCCGCCTCCGCGACGAGTCTCGCGCCCGCGGTGACGCCGGACCGGATCCCGCCGTCGCCGCCGATCGGGCTCTTCACGCCTCCGCCCGCGAGCGCGTTCGACGCGATCAGACCCGCGGCGCCCTGACCGAGGAACCACGACGTTCGCATCGCGTGATACGCCCAGTACGTCGCGTCCGCGGAGCTCCGGACCGTCCCGCCGAGGTCCGCGAGCATCTCGCGCACGCCGCTCGCGGACTCGTCGAACCTCCAGTTGGCCCAAAACGCGACGCTGTCGCCCTGTCGAAAGTGTTCCGCGTCGACCTGCCCGGGCGTGCGCGACGCGGAGGACGCCGAGGACGCCGACGACGCGTCCGCTCGGTTCGTCGCGTCGCCTTCGTCCACGAGCGGGCGGCCCATCCATCCGGTCTGCGACGCGGACGGCGCGTCCACCGTGGTCGTCGCGTGTAACCTCGAGAGGTACGGCGCGAGCGCCGGCGACCGCGCGAGCCTTCGCGCGACGTGCGACATCCTGGCGACGAGCGCGAGGTGCGGAATGGCAGTTGTCGGCACGACGATGACGTCGACGAGTCCGCCACGAGCCTGGCCGAGAGACGAATCCGCGTCGAAGGGTGGGCCTAGGGTTTAGAGGAAACCCTAAACCTACGGTTTAGGGTGGAATGAATATTGGTATTTCAACATTCATCCGAGTCCGGGCGGCTCACTCGACGACGCGCCCTCCTCCTCCTCACTCGACGAAAAGAAACGCGGCGACGACGTAACGCACTCCTCGCGTCACCGGAGCCCCCCCGTGCCGTAAATCGCCGCGAAACACCGCCGCGTGCCCGGTCTCCGGGGAACACGTCACGCCCAGATCCGCGAACGTCGTCCCGCCGCCGTCGAACGCGTCGCCGCCGTTCAACGCGAGCGTCAACGACACCGCGGACTGGTCGACGTGAATCGGAAGGTGGTGCTGCGCGCTGGCGTCGTACCTCACGACGAAGACGTCGTGCACGCGGACGCTCGATGCGCGCGCGACGACGTCCGCGCAAGCAGCCGCGAGAAGCGGCGAGAGCTTCTCCCGCATCAGATCGTTCCACCGCGGGACGAGCGCTTCGACGGCGTGCACGGGGAGGTCCGTCGTCGGCACCGCGTAGTGCCGGCTCGTCGTCCACCCGCCGCGCGTCTTCGCCGCGTGCGCTTCCGCGGCGGCGATCCACTCGAGGCACTCGCGTTCCGACAGCAGAGGCGCGTCCGGCGCGGTCTGCCAGACCCCGGCCGCGTGCGCGGTGACGAACCGCGGCGGCGGCGGCGGCGGCGAATCCGTCGAGACGCCCGGGAGGTACGCCGCGTCCTTCGCCGCTTGCCGCGACAGCGCGGCGTGCTCGGGCGCGATGGCGAAGCCGCGACGCCACGCCGCGTGCGCTGCCGCCCACTCGCCGCGGCCTAACAGCGCGGTGCCAATCTTATGCGCTGCGTCGCCGTCGCGAGGGTCCAGCTCGAGCGCCGCCGTCGCCGCGAAGTGCGCGTCGTCGTACCGCGCCTCCTCCTGCGCTTGGTCCGCTAACCGGAGCCAGTCGATCACTTTGAGGTTGGGCGGCGGCGCGTTTGACGTTTTTGACGCCTCGAGCGCGCACCGCGGGCAGTCGCACGCGAACCCGTATCGCCGCCTGAGCTCTCTCCGCCGTCGGAAGTACCGCTGGTTCGAAGGCACGTACGCCGTGGTGATCTCCTCGCCCTCCGCGACGTCCCTCAGCGCGACGAGGGTCACCCTCAGCCCGCCGCACGTCTCGTCGTCGCCGTCGCCGCCGCCGGGGACTATTCGCGCCTCGATCTGACAGTTCGGCACGCAGCTGTGGTTCAGAAGCGCGGTCCCGGGCGCGAGCGCCAACGCGGCGAGGCGAGGCAGGCACGACCCCGCGCGTTCCACCGCGCGAAGGACGCACGCGCTCGCGTCCGCGTCCGCACGGGGGGTCGGTCGCGTCGAGGCGTCCGCCAGCGCTGACGTGGACGCGATCGCGCGGTCGGTCCATCCTTCGCGACGCGGCGTCGACGGGCGCGCGGGCTCGCCGTCGGAGTCGTCGGAGTCTGAGTCGTCGGAGTCGTCGTCGGAGTCGTCGTCCGAGTCGTCGTCCGAGTCGTCGTCCGAGTCGTCCGAGTCCGAGTCCGATCCGCTCGGGGCATCCCCGTCCGATGAATCTTCGTCGTCCTCGTCCTCGTCGTCCGACCCGTTCCCATCGTTCGCCCGCGCCTCGCCCGCCGCCGCCGCCGCCGCCGCCGCCGCCGCGACGTCTTTCGTCGCCGCGTCCAGCGCCGCGCACGCCGCCTCCGCGACCTCCGCCTCCGCGGCCGCAGCCTTTCGCGCGTACGCGCACCCAGGATGCTCCGCGCTCAGCGCGCACACGCCGTCGTCTACCGCGGCCACGAGCCGCGCGAACGCGTCGAACGTGAGCAACGACGCGACGTGCGCGGGCGTCGACGATCCATCGCGGCCGATGCCCCTCGCGCGCGCCCACGACATCTCCAGGAGCTGCCACGCGTCCTCGAGCTGCTCGCGAAGTCGACGCGCGACGCTTCGCCGTTTATGCGGTCTCTTGGACGCGTCCTCGCCGAGCGACGCCGCGCGCGCGGCGGACACCCACCACGGCGCGTCCTGCGTGTGCATGGAGGAGAGCGCGCGCCAATTCGCCGCCGCGTTCGCGTTCGCGGCGCATCCGCGTCCGCTTCCGCGTCCGCCTCCGTCGTCGACCCCGGGTCCCTCCGCCTCTCCCTCGCCCACGCCGTCCGACGCGCCCGCGGCCGCGAGCGCCCTCGCCATCGCGTCCGCGGCGAGGAGAAACGACTCGTTCGTCCGCCTCGCGTGCTCGTGAAACTCGTACGTCGGGCTCCCTTCTTCGCACCCGCCGCGGCACAGTAGCGCGTGCCATCCCGACGCCGCGTCGCGGCATCTCGCGCTGCAGAAGACGTCCGCGCATCCTCCCGCCGCGCGCGCGCACGGCGTCGGGCCCTCGCTCGCGCCGGTCGACGCGTCGTCCGAGGGAAGCGTCGGGAGCGTCGGGAGCGTCGTCGCGATCGCGCGCGTCGTCGCCGAACCGCGAGCGTCGCGTTCCGCTTCCGCGGCGACGAGCGTCCGGCGCGGGACCGCGCCCGTGGCGAGCGCGACGTGCCGCGCGACGTCCGTCCCCGCGGGAGCGAGGCAGTGCGCGCACGCGAGCACGCTCGAGCGGTTGCCCATCGCCTGCGTCGCCGCGAGCGGCTTCTCCACCGCGATGACGTCGCCCTTGTAAACCGCGCGCGTCGCCACCAGCCCTCTCCCTCTTCCCTCGATCGCGACGCACCGGACGCGACCGGAGCATCGAAGCTCGAGCGTCGCGTTCGCGTCCGCGACGGCGGCGTCGACGCTCGCCTTGCCCTCGCCATCGCGCGTCCGCTTCGCCATCGCGCCCCGCCGGCGCGACGAGGTGTGCGTCTCGGGGACGAGTCGCTGTTGGACCCGTCCCCGAAAATCCTCGGAAGGCTGAGCCGACTAAGGTTACAACTACGAACGACTGCACGCGGCGGGCGGGCGGGTCTGCTGTGTCCGACGAAGAAACTCCCGGAGCGCTCCCGCGAGACGTGCGAACATCACGCGGACACTGAAAATTACAACGGCCGACGGACCCCACCCCTCGCGCTCTCTCGCTCACTCCAACTCATCCCCGAGCCAGTCGTTCAGCTCGTCCGGCTTGAGCTCGTTCATCCGCTTGTGCGCCTTTGTCTCCGCCTTCTTCGCCACCTTTCTCGCGTACTTCCCCATGTCCTCCTTCTTCTTCTCCGCGCGCTGCACGTTCGGGGAGACGTACGTCGGGGAGTCGTACAGCGTCGGGCCGCCGAACGCGCCGCCGAAGATCTTGATCGGGTGCAGACACAGCCTCGGCCCCGTTTCCGACAGAGTCACCCCGGTCGCGCGCACTTCTTTTCCCTCCGGGTGCACGATTTGGTAGTTTCGAAACCACACGCGATCGTCTTCGTAGTAAAACGCGAAGATGTGATCGATGAACGGCTTCTGTTTGTGATGCCGGAACGGCGTCGCGAACACGTGCGTGAGCATCTCTTTGATGTGCCCCAAGTGCGGCTTCTCCGCGTCGTCGAACGTCGCGTCGAAGTGCAGGACCGGCCGCGAAAACTTCAGGTGGTTCCCCGTGAGCTTGAGCTCCGCCATCGTGTGGACGTTTTCGACGTGGAACTTCACGCTCGGGCCTTCCGGGCACTTCGCGAGCCACATGTAGCAGTCCGTCCGCTTCCTGCACTCGAAGAACATCGCGCTGCTGCACGATTTCATGTCCGCGACCTCCACGACCGCGTCTTTCGGGTTTTTCGAGTCCAGCTTGCTGTCTTTTTTGCTGTTCGGGATGAGCGTCATGGTGTCCAACATCAGGTGCCGGTACCGCGACGTCACGCCTCGGCTGCTCAAGATGACGCACTTCTCCTTCGCGTTCACGCCCGTGAAGTCGATCTTCGGCCTGGGTTTGTCGAACCGCGGGTCGTCCTCCTCCTCGGACTCGGACGCGGACGCTTCGTCGTCGTCGTCGTCGTCGTCGTCCTTCGCGATTTCCCTCAGCCGCCTCTTCTTCTCGTTCTCCTTCACCGGCTCGGGCTCCTCGGACGCGGAGACGGACTCGTCGTCCGAGCTCTCGCTCTCGCTCATCGCCTCGCCCCTCGCCTTGGCTTCCGCCTCCTCCTGCTTCCTCCGAAGCTTCTTCTTGTTCTTCATCGCGCGCGATGTCGAGTGCGGGCGGAGGGCGAAATCGCCCGCCGCCTTTTCGAGGTTCCCTGGAGCCGGTCTCGGAGCCGCATCCGCATCCGCAGCGGCGCTCGCGCTCGCCCGACAGATCTCATCAGTCATATCCTCCGGCGCCACCATGGCCGCGGCGGCGCCGACCGCGCGGTTCGCCGCGCCCCTCCCCCCTCGCGCGTCCGCGCCCGCGCCCGCGCGTCGCGCGCGCGCCCACGCGCGCGCGTCGTCGTCGTCCGCGAGCGCGTCCGCGGACGTCGCCGCGCTGAAGAAGGACCTCCTCGCCGCGGTCGCGGCGTCGCGAAAGCCCGGTGCCGACCCGAGCGCGACGAAGCGCGCGATCCTCGACGCGACGGACGCGCTCGAATCGATCGCGGACGACGTCCCATTCCTGGACGTCTCCGGGCGATGGTCGCTCGTGTACAGCACCTCGGACGCGAGCAGCGCGCTCGGGCCGCTGCAGGCGGTCCTCGACGACGACGCGTTCCAGAAGCTCGTCGACACGCTGTACAAGACGTTCTTCACGTTTCTGCCGTCGCTCGCCGGGAGCGCGGAGACGGGCGCGCGGGGGGTCGCGAACCAGCAGATGGTGGACATCGAGAACGGGCGCGTCGTGAACGTCGTCGACGTCGAGCTCGCGTTCGGCGGCGCCGTGCGCGTGGGCGTCATGGGGACGATCGAGGCGAAGGACCCGGACGCGAGAGAGGTTGTCGTGACGTTTACGGATTGGGAGATCGGGCCGGCGCCGGGGTTGTCGGACGGGGGCGCGGGGGAGCAGCCGCGCGTGCGGTTGCCGCTGCCGAGGCCGAAGGGCGCGCTGAAGAACACGTTCTGCGACGAGACGCTGCGCATCAGTCGCGGCGGGCGAGGCGGCGTGTTCATCACCTCGAGAGTGGACTGACGTGACGCGACGACGTTCTCCGTCGTAGGCGTAGGCGACGCGTACACACGAAGGTAGTCTGCTATGCGATCGTCGTCGTGACATCGCGCTATGAATATCTATCATCTCGGGTAATGCGGCGGAGGAGGAGGAGGAGGCGGCGGCGGCGGGCCGCCGCCGCGCCGCGACTCCAGCGCCGGCTGCACGATCGCCGCCTTGAGCGCGTCCTCGTGGTACCTCTGCCTCAGCGCCGGGTACTCTTTGCAAAACTCATCCGCCGTCATCTTCCCCGACTGCAGCTTCTCGTCCATGGCCTCGCACTCCTCGTCCAGCTTCGCCGCGCGACGCCTCAGCGCGTCCAACACGGTGTCCAAGTCGTAATTCCGCATCACCTCCTCCGCGCGCTTTCGAACCTCCTCGTGCTCGGCGAGCACGGGCGCCTGAGGGTCGTTCCATACGAGCGAATGTCGGGGTGGAGTTCAAAGGCGTCAGTTGAAGTTGAAAGGCGTCGAGGGCGGGGATTGAAAGCGTGGGACCCTGGGCGGAGAGACGCGCCGGGAAAAGTCCTTAAGGAATGACGTTCACCACGCCAACGCGGTCGTATGGGAACCAGTGTGAGATAGAACGCGCCTGGTCGCACGAGCCGATGATCTTCAGCTGCGCCTTGAGGTCCCTCGCCTCGTCCGCCATCTCGATGTTGACCGCGCACATCCCCGCGATCTCGTTCCGAAGGTCTCTCGTGAACGCCCTCGCGTCTTTCGCTTCCTCGGTGTCGTGGAGGAACGTCGCGAACGCGGTCTGGTCCGTCAACAGCGTCCGGAGCTCCTCGTTCGTGAGGCGCAGGAGCGACGGGAAGTTTCTCGCGGTGCCGACGAGGACGCGGGATCCGCCGCCGGAGACGCCGCCGACGGGCGCCGCGCCCGTCGCGTGCGACGTCGTCCCGTGAGGATGCGCTCGTCGCGCGTTCTGCGCTCGCGGACGGGGGATCGGACGCGTCAGTCCGGGCGCGCGGCGCGGGTCGCGGGCGGATGTCAACCCTAAAAGAAGGAAGAAGCGACGCGCGAAACGATCGATCGAGCGCGCACCTGGTCTCTGAGATGCATCTGCTCGAACTGCGCGGCCGCGGCGGACGCGCCGGCGTGACTCCCCGCGCGGTCCGCGGGGCGTCGAGGGTCCGAATACGGCGTCTTGTTCCCGAAGAGGCCTCCCATGGTCGCCTCGTGCGGCCACGGCGCGACGGGCGCGCCCCGGTTTGAAACGCGACCCGACGGATGACGACGCTTCGTTCGTCGTCGCGTCGCGTCGTCAGTCACGAGAAGAAGAAAAACGACGGTCGAGCCGTCGTCAACTCGCGACCGCGCACGGGGCGGCGGGACCGAGCTCCGAGGGGGCGCGGGTCCCGGCGACGCGGGTCCCGGCGTCGCTCCCCGTCGTGGGCGGGGCCGCGCGGAGAGACACGGCGCGAGGACCGAGAGGACGCGCGGACGCGATGGGGAGAAAAAACAAACATCAACACGCGACGAAGAAGAAGCCGCTCGACGACGCCGCGGACGACGACCCGGGCGCGGACGTCCTGTTCTACCTGCGAACGAAATACGCGCTCCTCGGAAAGTCCGAGTGGTGGTGGCTCATGGACGATTCCCTCGCGGAGATCGACGAGCGCCTGAACGACGAGAACTTCGTCGTCGTCGACGGGTTCCTCCCGAGAGAGGACGTGATCAAACTGAAACGCGAGGTGAAGCGCGCGCACGAGACCGGGCACATGACCCCGGGCGTCCTCGCGGGCGGGAAAGCCGGGAACGCGACGCAGTACACGATGAAACACGTCCGCGGCGATCACGTCGGGTGGTTCTCCGGGACGGAGGCGGACATCGGCTGGGAGCTCCTCCCGGCCGCGATGAAAAAGACGGACACGCTCGTGAACGAGCTCGGGAAGCTCGGCGGGGAGTGTTCGCACGTGTCCTCGCGCTCGCAGGCAATGTGCTCGGTGTACCCGGGCGGCGGCGCGAGGTACGTTCGACACGTGGACAATCCGGATCAGAACGGGCGGCTCGTCACCGCGCTGATATATCTGAACGAATCGTGGGAGGAAGGCGACGGCGGCGAGCTGCGCGTGTTTCGATGCATGAAGAAACCGTCCGACGCGATCGGGTTCACGGACTGCGACGGACGGAGCCTCCTTCAAGCGGACGCGTTCGACGCGACCGGACCAGGGGGCGACGACGGCGATCTCGTCGTCGAAGGCCCGAGCGACGTCGCGGAAGGGGTGAGGCACGTCGCGACGCTGCGCGACCGCGCCGACGCGGAGGCGGCGCCGGTGAAACTCGTCGACGTCGCGCCGCTCGGTGGAAGGCTCGTGCTGTTCAAGTCCAACGCGCGCGTGCCTCACGAGGTCCTCGCCGCGAACGCGGACAGGTACGCGGTGACTCTGTGGTACTTTCACAAGGAAGAGGTGACCGCCGCGCGGACGACGCCGGTGACGGAGGAGGAAAAGCGCGCGCAAGAGGAGAAGATACGACGCGAGATCGAGACGATGCGACGCAAATTCGGCGGCGGCGGCGGCGGCGACGGCGGCGGCGACGGCGACGACGGCGACGCCGTCAAGGTCAGGCCGTCGCGGACGGCCGCGTGGACGCGCGCGCTTCCCTCGGTGCCGCCGCCGTGCGCGGTGCGATGGGACGACGACGGGACCACGCTCGCGTTCACCGTCCCGCTGCCGAGAGGCACCGCCGCGGGGGAGTGCTCCGTTGAGACCGAGCCGGTTTCGGGCGGGGGGGTCGCGTTAGTCGTCGCCGCGCCGGGGCTGACCGGGGGTGAGGCGCGCGTGGAGTTACCGAACGACGCGGACGGGGATTCGATCGAGGTGAAGCTCGTGAAGAAGCCGGAGCGGACGTTGCTCGTGCGCGTCGCGTGCGAGGGGACGGAGACCGGCGCGGGAGAGGCGGCGACGACGACGACGACGACGACGACGACGATGGACCCGCCGCCGCCGCCGGACCCGCCTCGAGCGGCACCGCCTCCGCCACCGAACTCGTCGACATCGGCCGCGTCGCGCGGGGAAGATTGCGTGGGCGTCGGCGGGACGCTCTCGTGGACGACGTCCACGGACTTTACCCCCGTCCCTCCGCCGCCGCCGCCGGCGTCGAAAAACGTCGCCCCGAGAGGCGTGGACTTGCGGGACGCGAAGGACTGGGAAGACTACGTCCACACGCGCTGGTCCATCGCCGGCCGCGGGGACGATCAGCCCGTGCTCACGCCGCACGCGCTCGACGGTCTGAGCTTTCCGGTCACGCTCGCGAGGGCGTTGCAGCTCGAGAGCGTGCGCGGATCGATCGCGGCGGCGAGGAGGACGTCCGCCTCCGCGGCGGCGGCGCCGCTGACGATCGTGATCGCCGGCGCGTCGAGTAAAACGGAGCAGTTCCTCCTCGAGCACACGCGGTACTGGGAGGAAGTTCCCATCTGCGCGCCGCAGCCCGGGTCCGGCGGCGGCGGGGAGATCCACCTCGTATTCGTCGGCCCGGACGCGCGCGAGGACGCCGCCGCCGCGGCGCCGCCGCGACGGCTGTCTCCCGTGCTCACGGCGAGCGCGCGGCGCGGGACCGTGGGCGCGTTCCTGTCGCGCGAGCTGCCGGACGGGCACCCCGCGGTGGTCGTGGGGTTCAACACCGGCATGGGCGGCGGCGGCGGCGACTTAGCGCGCGCGTGGGCCGGAGATCTCGTCGAGATTTTATCGCGCGAGCACCTTCCGATGGTGCTCACCGCCGCGAACGATTACGCGGACCTCCGAGGCGAGGTCGCGGTGTTCCGCGCGCTGGGCGCGAACTTCGCGGAGCCTCCCGCGCCGAACCCGTTTCGCGCGTTCACGCACACGGTCGCCGCGCGCGGGGACGGGCTCGAGACGCGCGCGGACGGCGCGGGCATGGACGAGCGAAGGATGGAGAGCTGCGCGAACGCGTTTTCGTACGTCGTGCGCGGGTTCCAGCCGGGGAAAGGCAGAGAGAGCGGGCTGAGCGACGACGTGCTCGGCGCGCTCGCGGCGAAAGCCGCGGAGCGCGCCGCGGGGGAGAAATGGGACGCGCTGGGGATGCGACGTTAAGCGAGACGACGACGACGTAGTAGTAGTAGTGACAAGAATAGCCTATTCGAGGAGATAGCCTCCCAAGAACAGCGCGAAGAACAGCGCGAGGGCGCCGTAAATCAAAAGGCTCTTCTCCCCACCCGTCATGCTGTTCGTGCCCAGACCGTAACCTTGGTTCTGTGCGAACCCCGCGACTTGCTTCCCGAGGTTCTTGAACTTCGTCTTATCCGCGCCGCACGTCGGGCACCGCCAGTCCTCGGGGAGGTCCTTGAACTGCGTCCCGGCGGCGACCGGGTAATCCGGATCGCCCTTGCTCGGGACGTACGTGTACAGACATCCTTTGCACTCGTGCTCGCCGGACCTGCGCGTCGCGTCGTCGTTCGCGGGGTGGGAAGGGCGGGGATCGATCGTCGTCAGTGGAAGGTGGATGGTTGACGAGACGAGACGAGACTCGTCGCGGACGTCGCGGCGCGGTCGTCCCTCGCGCGGGGACGGACGGGAATATCCCCCGTCGAGAGCCGGCGGGAGGTGAGGAGGGATAACGTTTCGAGGCGCGAGCGGCGGACGCGCGCGCGTCGATCGCGCGTCTCGACGCGCGGACGCACCCGATGGTCGCGAACTTCTCCTCCAACTCCGGGTTCTCGCGGTCGAGGAGCGGGTTCACGTCCTCCGCGCGGACGACGACGGACGCGCCGCGGCGCGAGCGAAGCGCCACGCGGGACGACGATTTCGCCGATCCCGACGCGGGAGCGAACGACGCGACGGGCGCCCTGGCCGCGGCGCGGCGGGGCGCGTTCGCGACCGCGGCGCGGCCGACCGCGGAGGCGGTGAAGGAGACGGATGTCATCGGTGGTGTCGTTCGTTCGGACGGGCGCGGTGCGCGGCGAGGAGTGATCGGCACCGGCGAGGCGGCAGCGCGGCGACACGTGGCGACACGCACGCAGTGAACAAGTTCATCGGATAGTTGAAAGGGGGCGCGATCAATTTGTGAAACCGAGGGACGGGTGAAAAACCAAACTAAAGAACGCGCCCCAAGCGCGAGCTGCGCCTTCCCTGCCTCATCACAGGTCATCACTTCCTCCCGTTGCGCGCGTCAGATCGACGCCGCGCGCGGCGCACGGCGCGGGCATGTACGGCGGCGGCGGCCGCGGCGGCCGCGGCGGAGGCCGCGGCGGCAAGAACGTGTGGGTCCGACCCGGCGCCGCCGCGCCGGCGCCGGCGCCGGCGACGACGACGACCGCGGCGAAGACGACGCCGTTCGCCCCGGCCGCGTCCGCGCCTCTCCGCGCGGCCGCGGCGTCGTACACACCCTCCGGCGAGGCGTTCCTCCCCGTGGGCGTGAAGCGTCGCGCGGACGCGAGCGCGGCGGCCGCGGACCCGGACGCGCACAAGCGATACCGCGCGTCCACGCCGCCGCCGGACGCCGCGGCGCTGGAGCGCGCGGCGAAGGCGGCGGAGGCGAAAGCGGCGCTCGAGAAGAAGCTCGCCGACGCGCGCGAGGAAGCGGAGAAGATGAAGGCGGCGATCAAAGCCGCGGCGGCGAGGGCGAAGGAGAAGAAGGAGGCCGCCGCGCGCGACGCCGCGGCGGCGAAGGAGCTCGAGAAGAAAGAGGCGGCGCTCGAGAAGGCGAACAAGGCGAAGAAGGCGAGCAACCTGCTCAGCGGATTCGCGGCGGCGAGGAAAAAACAAGGCGTCGGCACCGCGGAGGGCGCCGAGGCGACGCTGCGCGCGGAAGCCGCGGCCGCGGAGCTGACCCCGGAGGAGCGCGAGCGCCAGGCGGTGCGGCGGGTGATGATGGCGGGGACGGACTGGCAGATCCTGAACCTGCCCCCGGACGCGCAGGCGAAGTGGGTGAAGCAATCGTACAGAGAGCTCGCGAAGGTTTTGCATCCGGACAAGTGCAAAGCCGCGGGGGCGAAGGACGCGTTTCAGAAAGTCGCGAAGGCGTACCAGAACATAACGTCGAGGTCGTGAGCGCGGGTGGGAGGTTGTAGAGAGGGAGGAGCGCGGGTTCAGGGCGGACTCGCGCGTAGAGACTTAGACCGCCGCGGCGGTGTCGTAGAAGCACGCAGTAATAAAATCGCGAGAGGGATGTCTGGTATCTGGTCGTCTGGGAACTGGAGAATCAATACGCGCGGCGGTGCGGCACACGTCCGCGCGCGCGCACTGCACTTCCTCCCGCCCCGACGCCATGGCGCTCGTCGTGGCCGGCTCGTACGAACGCTTCGTGTTCGGCTACCGCGTCGACGGCCTTCCCTCGTCGTCGTCGTCGTCGTCGTCCGCGCGCGAGAGCGGCGCCGCCGCCGCCGCCGTGAATCACGCCTTCACCCTGGACGCGCATCTCACGCAGTGCAAGTCCGTCGCCGCGCGCGGCGGGTTCATCGCCTCCGGCGGCGCCGACGACCTCGTGCGCGTGTATCATCACAACCCGGACGGCGCGCTCGCGGACCTCGGGACGCTAGCCGGGCACGAGGGCACGGTGCAGTGCATGGAGCTGCACGGCCCGTCGTCGTCGACGGAGCCGACGCGTCTCGTCACCGGCGGGCAGGACGGGACGATCATCGTGTGGTCCGTGAACGCGTGGGACGCGCTCAAGACGCTGAAAGCGCACCGCGGCGGCGTCCAAAACGTCAGCGTGCACAAGTCCGGCGCGGTCGCGCTGTCCTCGGGCGCGGACGGATGCGTCGCGATGTGGGACATGAAGCGAGGACGCGTCGCGCACAAGACCAAGCTCAAGGTGAAGCCCGAGCTCCTGTCGTTCACCCCGAGCGGGACCAAGTACTACGCCTGCGCGCAGAGCAGAACGACGATCACGAGCGCGGAGACCGGCGCGGTGTGCGGCGTCTTCGACGCGCCCTCGCGCGTCATGTGCGCGACGATGGCTGGCTCCGACGCGCTCGCGGTGCTCGGGTTGGAAGGCGGCGACGTCGTCGGGTACGACACGCGCGCGCCGCCGACGAAGCACGCGCTGCGGATAACCAAGGCGCACCCGACGCGCGTGAAGGGCGTCGTCGTGCCGTACGACGACCACGACGCCGGGGTCGCGATGGGCGGGCCCGCGGGGGGGGCGACGTCGCTGGTCACCGCGTCGTCGGAGGGCGTCGTGAGGTTGTGGGATCTCCGCGTCGCCGGGAAGGGCGGCGGCGCCGCGAGCGCGCGCGATATCGACGAGCCCGTCGCGGAGGCGGAGGGCGGCGGGCGTTTCACGTGTTTGGCCGTCATGCCGTGCGCGCTGCCGCGAGCGGTCGCGGACGTGTTGTCGGCGGAGCGAGACGCGCGCGCGTCGGACCCCGCGGAGAGGGCTGCGAGGAGAGGGGAGGAGAAGCAGCGGAAGCTCGAGAAGGCGCGCGCGAAGGCCGCGATGCGACCGGCGCGACCGCCGCCGGTTAAGGCGAAGAGGCCGTCCGCCGCGGGAGAGACCGCCGACGGCGGCGACGACGACGAGCGCGAAGGGTTCGAGGTCGTCCCCGAGGGCGGCGGCGGCGGCGGCGACGGCGGCGGCGCGCCGCGCGTCGAGCCGCGACGGGAGCCGAAGAAACCGAAGAAGCGCGAGCGCGCCGAGGGCGAGCGATTCGGCGGCGACGAGCTGCTCGTGACGCGGAAGCCGTCGCACAAGGTGAAGAAGTCGGGGGGCGGGGACGGGAAGTCGTACGAGGAGACCGCGACGGCGGCGCGGCGGAAGGGAAGCGGCGTGAAAAAGAAGGAGGCGAGCAGAGGGTTCGGCAAGCCGTCGAGCGCGCGTCGATGAGCCAAGGTGTCTCGCCAAGGTGTCTCGCGTCAGTCTACGAACGCACGGTTCGCGAATACAACGCTAATGACGACCATGTCAATTATCGGCGTCGTTCTCTCGATCCCGCGGCCAGTTCACCTTGAGCGTGCACGGCGGCGGCACGGGCCGAGTGCTCGTCCCCGCCCACCCGCCGCCGCCGCCGCCGCCTTTTCCTTTCCTCTTCGCGCCGCCTTTGCTCACGAGCCTCTCTAACACCGCCTTCGCGGCCCCGTGCTCCGCCTCGAGCTTATTCCGCCCCCTCGCGTTCGCCTTCACGCCGTCCAACGTCGCGTACGCCATGAAGTACTCGTCGGGTCTGTCTTCTTTGAGCGTCTTCACCTCCATCTCCCCCTCGACGCCCTTCGCGACGAGCTCGTAGAATTCCCCTTTGAAGTTGAACACCTCCGCCGCCATCTCCTCCGCTTGCTCGAGGAGAAACAGCCCGACCTCGTCCACCGCGGTCTGGCCTTCGTCGCTGCCCTCGTGCACGAGGAACACCGCGGCCTCGATCATCGTCCCCACGGAGTGCGCGCGTCCCTTCTCGAGCGCGCCGGGCGGCACCGCGGCGATCATGTCGTCTCGCAGCAGCCTCGCGAGCAGTCGCGTGAAGAGCTTGTTCGAGCGCGCGCTCGCGACGAGCGTGGACATCCGCCCGACGCAGTACGACGCGTCGTCTTCGTGGCCCGGCCGCTCGCGCATTCGCACTTGTTGCGCGTAGAGCGACATCGCGACGGCGTGGTTGAGGACTTTGTCGCCGAAGAACGCGAGACGCTCGGTCTCCGCGCCGTCGCGAGGGACGCTCCGCCCGTTCGCGTCCACGCCGAACGCGGCGTCCCTCGGGAGCACGCGGGCGAGGGGGACGTCCGCGAGGAGCCGTCGCCACGTCTTGAGCTTCTCGTCGTCGCCGTCCACCTCCGCGTGCTGCCTCGTGGCCGTGGACGATTCTCGCGTCGTCGAACGTCTCGGCTTCGGTCGCGATCGCGATCGACGCGCCCACACCTCCAACGGCTCGACGTTCGTCGCGCGCGAACGCGCGCGCGAGGACGCCGCGAACACGCGACGCGCTATGAACGCGTGAGCGTGACGGCACGCCAGATGCGCCATCCGAGTCGTGCGGGACGCGCAGCGCCCCTGATGGGCGGGCCGTTGGGAAAAGCGCAGATGATTTGAGATATTTTCGAAGTCGCTTTTTTGCAGGAAGTTGTTTTTCCAGCCGTTTCTGGCTGCCGTTTTCTCGATCGAAAGGCCTCATCACGCGCTCGCGCCGTCTTCTCCTCCTCCGCGCGTCTCGACGTCCGCGTTCCACCACCGCGCGAACGCGGGGTACTCCACGACGCCGGTGTCGTCCGGGTCCATCGCGCGCATCGCCTCGGACAGCGCGACGACGTCCAGGTCGTGCCCGAGCGACGCGCAGATGGACCGCACCCGCGTCGCGTTCGCGGCGGCTTTTCCGCCTCCGTCTCCCGCGCCGAACGCGCCGCGGAGGTCGAACGCGTCGCCGCCGCCGCCGCGCGGTCCTTCCTTCTCTAGCTCCACGGAGACGTCGTTGATCGCTCTGCCGCCGCGGGGCGACGACATCTCCACGGCGCACGCGCCGCCGCCGCCGCGTCGCGAGAACGCGCCCGGCGTCGCCGCGCGCTTCGGCGTGCTCCCGGGGGTGAAGCTTCGCACGACGCACACGCTGACGCCCGGGGAAAACGCATCCGCCGACGTCGACGCGCTCGCCTCGAGCTCGAGCGCTTCTTCCGCGGCGTACTGCTCCTCGCGCTTCGCGCGCAGCTCCTCGATGAGCGCGAGCTCTCTCTCCGCCATCTTCGCGATCGCGTCCTCTTTCTCTCTCTGACGCGCGTGCTGATCCATCAGCCGTCGCTCGTAATCCTCCCTCGTCTTCGTCTCGAGTCGACGAGCGGTCGCTTCCTTTTTCGCCTTGCGCTCGAAATGCGCGTGCTTCACGAGCGCTTTCGACGACGCGTTCGCGAGCCGCTCCACTCGCGCGCGCTCCTTGAGGTGCTTCTCGTTCGCCTCGCGCTCCTCCTTCGCGCGCATCATCATCTCTCGCTTCGCGTTGTCGTGCGCGCGTCGCGTCTCGTCGCGGAGGCGACGCGCCTCCGCCTTTTGCTCCGTCAGCAGTCTCGCGCTCTGCGCGATCTCCGCCTCGCGCGCGCTCGTCAGCGCAGCCTTGAACATCCGCTTGTCCTCGTTCCGCTTGCGGAAGCGCTGTATCGCCTCCGCGCGTTCCATCGTCTCGCGGATGCGCTTCTCCGACTTGGCCTTCTCTTTCTCGAGCTGCGCGAGGCGCACGGCGAGGCGCTGCGCGTCATCCTGCGCGACGAGCGGAAAAGGAAAGCGCGACGGACGCGCGTGAAACGAACCGACGTCAGAAGAGACGACTAAATGAGGATCGCTCGACGACGCGCGAACGCGACGCGCGACGCGCGCGATGGGTCGAGAAACGCGCGCACCTCCGCGGCCCTTCGCGCGCGCTGCGCCTGCAGCAGCCGGTACCCGCTCTCGGTCTCGGTCGACATGACGCCTCGCGTGCGACGCGCGTGTCGAAGTGCGCGAACGAAAGATCCGTCGCGTCGCTCGGTTTCCTCGATCGGATCGACCGGGCCCACGGACTGGAGCGCTGCTGTGGGGGAACCAGCGATGTCGGCGTCCCCGGGGACGCGCGCACTCCCCCGCGCGCGCGCACCGCACGCCCGGGCCGCGCACGTCATGTTCAGCCCGTCTCGCGCGGGCGATCGCACGCCTACGTCGAGCTCGGACGCGCGCGCCGCGACGACGCCGAGGACGGCGCGGCGGCGGTCGCGTCTCGGTCCGAGCGCGACGCGCGCGGGGACGACGACGACGACGACGCCGACGCCGTCGATCGCGGGGCTCGCGACGACGCCGAGCGGCGCGTCGAGCCGAGGGACGCCGCTGACGCCCGCGCTTCGCGCGGCGCTCCCGTCCGCGCCGCTCGAGCGTTGGCGCGCGTGCGACGTGAGCAAGTGCGTCCGCGTCCTCGGTCGCGAGTTCGCGCGCGAGCGAGGGACCGCCCATCGCGCGTCGGACGTGCGCGCGTTCGAATCGTACGCGGAAGCGTTCGAGAGCGCGAACGTGACGGGACTCGAGTTCGCGGCGATGACCATCGAGCGCCTGCGAGGCGAGCTCGGGGTGGGGGATTACGACCACCGTCTGAAGCTGTTCGCGTGGATCAAGGCGCACTTGGAGGTGCGCGGCGTCGTCGTCGCTCGTTTTCGTCGTTTCCGGCACAGCTGTCGCTCAGGCAGCTGTCGAATTTCATTTCGTCTCGCGCGCGCGCTCGTCTCGACCGCCGCCTCGCCGCGCTCGAGAGAGCGGACGTTCGCCTTCGTCCCGATACGCGCGCCGCATGACGCGCATGACGTCTCTGCGCCAAGGAATCGAGGCGTTCGTCTCCTCAACGATCGCGCACCTCGCGGATCTCGACGCTCACGTCTTCGAGACCGCGTTTTCGCTCACGCAGGATCTCGTCGCGGACGACCGCGTCGTCGACGACGACGCGCGGCGGACCGCTTTCCTCGAGTCGTCCGCGGACGCGACGGAGAAATCCCTCGCGATCGCGCTCGAGGATGCGAACGCGCGCGTCGCGAGGTACAGCCAAGACGCGACGGACTCGCACGACGCGATGATGACCGCGTTCGAGGAGAACGAGCGCCTCGCGGAGGCGGTCAGACTCTACGAAGCCGCGGCGCCCGAGCTCGCGCGCGCGAACGACGCGCTGCGAAGAGACGTCCTGTCCACTTTCACCGCGATGCAGACCGAGTTCGCGTCCGCGATGCGCGACGCCCTCGCGCGCGCGTGCGCGACGACGACCGCGCTCGAGAAGGAGAAGACGTACCAAGAGAAGCGAAACGGCGCGCTGCACGCGAGGAACCGCGAGCTGTACGGAAAGCTCCAAGACGTGAAAGGCGCGATTCGCGTCTTCGCGCGCATTCGCCCGGCGTCCCCTGGCGTGGACGCGTCCGACGTCGTCGTCGAGCCCGGTCGGTGCCTCGACCCCGCCGCGGAGGGCGTGGACGTGGTGTGTAAACCCCCGGGTTCGAACGTCGCCGGCGCCGGGCGCGGCGAGGAGCGACGGCCGGCGTCTAAACGCTCGGAGGAGAAACGCGTCGGGTTCGACGCCGTGTTCGGCCCGAGCTCGACGCAGGCGGACGTGTACGAGGAGCTCTCGCCGCTCGTCAGAGGGGTGCTCGAGGGGTACAACTGCACGATATTCGCGTACGGGCAGACGGGGAGCGGCAAGACGCACACGATGGGCGGACCGGAGGACGCGGGGGGGAGCGGTAACCTTAGGGACGACGCCGACGCCGGCGTGAACGTTCGCGCGCTCAGGGAGTTGTTCGCGCTCGCCGCGAGTAAGAGCGCGAGCGACGGCGTCGAGTGCGTCGTGAGCGTCGAGATGCGCGAGATTTACAACGAACGAGTCAGGGATCTGTTGAACCCCGCGGAGAAGGAGGACAGCTGGGACGGCGTCGGCTCGACGAACAAGTCTCGGCTCGACCGCGCTCCGGGGGACGAGATCGAAGAGGCGGTGACGCGCGTCGACGCGAGAGACGCCGCGCACGTGCTGAGGGTCATGGCGGAGGGCACGTCGAGGAGGGCGTCCGCGGGGACGAAGATGAACGAGCGCTCGAGCCGGTCGCACAGCGTCGTCACCGTGTACGTCTCGAGCGCGGACGTCGCCGCCGGTCGCGTCGCGCGCGGTCGCCTGCATCTGATCGACCTCGCCGGGTCCGAGCGCGTCGCGCGGTCGGAAGCGACCGGGGACAGGCTGAAGGAAGCACAGCACATAAACAAGTCGTTGTCCGCGCTCGGCGACGTCATCGCCGCGCTGTTGGAGAAGCGCGCGCACGTGCCGTATCGCAACTCGCAGCTGACGCGGTTGTTGTCCGACTCGTTGGGGGGCAACTCCAAAGTCGTCTTGCTCGCGCACGTCTCCCCGGAGTCCGCGTCGCTTCCGGAGACGAGCTCGACGCTGCTGTTCGCGCAGAGGTGCTCGCAGGTGGAGCTCGGGAAGGCCAAGGCGAACGCGAGCGTCGCCGCGGGCGGCGGCGCGAGCGACGTCGCGTTGGCGTCGCTGAATAGGCACAAGTCGAGAGCCGCCGACGCGGAGGCTCGAGCCGCGGACGCGGAGGAGAGACTGCGCGCGATGGAGATGGAGCTCGAGAGGTCTCGAGCGGCGACGACGGCAGCGGAGGCGAAGCTCGCGGAGGCGCGGAAGACGCTCAAATCTGCGAAGGGCGCGGCGCTGAGGGATCAGGTGAACGCGAATCAGGCGAGGGAACCGCTGTCGCCCGTGCATCGAAACGCGTCGCGCGCGTCCGAGGAGGGGTCGTCGATGACGCCGACGACGTCGAAGACGCCGTACTCGAAGCGCGTTCCCGCGTCGGTTGGAAAAGGGACGAAGTCCGCGGCGAAGTCAGCGGCGTTCTCGCGAGCGGCGATGACGGCGTCGTCGACGATACTCGCGAGTCGACGCGACTCTGGCGTCGGAACTGAAAACGCCGGGCACTCGAACGGCGGCCTCTGGCAGTAGAAGAAACGGAACCGAGGACGAGGATCCTCAACGCGCGGCACACGGGCGAGAACACGATAGCGACGACGTCATCCCCATGGGTTAACGACTACGTACGATCACAACGACTTGAACGGCTTCTCCTTCCCCTTCCCCTGCAACGCCTTGATCGCGAGCGCGAGCTCCTCCGCGAAGAACGGGTTTTGCTCGTCGCTGTTTCGAAACGCCTCCTCCGGCCACAGCTCCCTCAGCGCTTCTAACTCCTCGGAGATGTCCTCGAACATCATGCTCGGCTCTTGCTCCACGAGCTTATCCGCGTTCACGCCCGGCAGCTGGCTCTTGATCGCCGCCACGGACCGCCGCGCGTTCGCCATGATGACGTCGCCGTCGCCCGCGAGGAGCAGCCGAGGCTCCGCGCGGAAAATCACCGCCGCGTCCGCCCGCGGGACGAGCTCCTTCAGCGCGGCCATCCTCTGCGCGATCACGCTTCTCGGCGTCTCTAATATCGCCGGGAACACGTGCGCGACCGCGATCGCCTCCGTGGGCGTGCACAGCAAGAGCCCGGACAGCGCGAGGACCCTCGACGCGATGTCCGCGGGCGTCGACGCGCACGACGCGGTGGCTTCCCTCGCCTCGCTCGCGGTGATGGCGCCGAACCCTCCGACGAACGCGGCGGCGTTTCCTCCGCCGCCCCACCCGCTCAGGAGCTCGTCTCTGTAGTCCCCGACCTCGTCCGCGGACGCGTCCACGAGCGCGAGGGTCTGGGTCTGCGACGCCGTCGTCGTCGCGTCGTCGTCGTCGTCGTTCGCGGCGGCGGCGGCGTCCTCTTCCTTCGCCTTCGCCGCGGCGACGCGCAGCGACAGCGCGAGCCCCATGACGTCGCCGGTGATCGCGCGGACTTGCCCCTCCGTCATCGCGAGCGACGCGTCCCTCGCCGCGCTGAGCCCGACGCCGCCGACCGTCTTCGCCCTCTTCCTCGACGCCGCCGCGGCGGCGCCGTCCTCCGCGACGTTCCTCCAAAACGCAGCGCACTCCGCCTCGCCGTCGAGGAGCTCGCGTCGCGCGTCGTCGGAGAGCTCGCTCGCGCCGTCGCCGCGCTTGAACGCCTCCCACCGCACGTGCGCGTCCGCGACGCGGCCTTTGGGCAGCGCGCGCGCGGCTCGGCCGTCCTGCCGGCGGTACGGCAGCGCGTCCAGGAAGGCGCGGTACGCGAGCGCGATGGCGTCCCAGGCTTTGCGCGATCGCGTGCCCGGCGAGGGCGCGGACGCCCCGAACGTGTTCTGCGACAGCCAGTTGATCGTGTTGCTTATCCCCGGCAGGTTCTCCGCCCACGACGGCCCTCTGGACATGAGCTCCTCGCGGATCTTGTCGTAATCGCCGCCCCAGTCGTCGGGGTTGCGCTGCTGCCGCGACGCGCGCGTCGACGACGCGATCGCGCCTCGATTCGAGCTCGACGGTTCGCGACGATCGGTGGCGGGGCGCGGGGACGGGGACGGCGACGCGCGCGTCGTCGCGACGACCGACGCGCGATCGACGCGCGGCGCGGGCGTCGCGCGGTCACGGAGAGGACGCGCGCCGAGCGCGGCGGCGACCGCGCGCATCTCGGGCTGCGGAGGTGGAGCGCGCGCACCACTGGACAAGGGCGCCGGATACGCCGGAAGATCTCGCGCGACTGCCGAAACCGTCGTCACCGCGGATGACTGGAAGCGTGGTAACGGCTCTCTCTGGGAGCGACCGAACACTTCGCCTCCGCGCCGCGGGGTCCGCCGTGGACGATGTCGCACTTCCTGAACACGAAAGACACGCAGACGTTCAACTCCGCGCATCAGTTCATTCGCGCGGACGTGCGTCCTCCCCCTCGCGCCTCGCGTTCGCGTCGGTCGCTCCCGTCGTCAATGCGCGTTTGGATTTGGTGTCGTTGGTCGTCCTCCCGCGCGATCGCTCCCCGACAGCCGACCGACCCTCGCCCCTCCTCCCGCCGCGACGCGTCTTCTCGACCACCCCAGGGCGCGTTCATACGCCGAGTGCTGTCCAAGGATGAGTTCAACGACGTCAGGCACTTCGAAACGTGCTTCCTGCACGCCGTCGGCGGAGACGCGTTCGAGGACAAGATGGGCGGAAACGCGCACGTCGTCGCCGTCGTGACCGGGCACAACCTCCACGTCCTGAACGTGAACGCGCACGCGAAGAAGCTGTGCACCATACCGCTGCAGCACGTGCGAGCGATCGAGGACGCGGGGTCGTACCGCAGATTCACCGGGTTCATCAAGAGCCACGACAGCGCGAACAGGCACGGCAGGCGCTATGTGCTGACGCGCGCGGCGTGGAGCGACGAGGTGCGCGCCGCCGCCGCCGCCGCCGACGACGACGACGGAGAACGCGGAAGGGACGAGCACGGCGCGCGCGCGGAGATGGACGCGTACGACAGGGAGAAGGAGCTTCAGCGGCTCGACGCGATCGCGAACCGCAAGGCTGCGATCGCGAACGCGAGGGCTAAAGTGGGGAAGTTCTTCTCGAGACTCAACCCGAAGCGGCAGGCGAAGAAACAGCTCGGGGTGCCGAAGAAAGATAAAACCGCCGCCGCGGCGAACGACGCGGACGGCGCGCCCGCGCACGCGAAACGCCCGAGCGCGCGGCGGCGCTTCGACCGCGTCATGGGAAAAGCGTCGGGCAAGGCGGGCGCGGTCACCGAGAGCTTCAACGGGTTCATGCGAATGCCGTTTGGTAAATCCGCGGCGGCGAACGGCGTGCCGCTTCGGCAGACGCCGAGATTAAAACTTCCGCCGCCGCCGCCGCGGTATTTGACGCAGAACATATCCATCGTCACGATGGAACCGTCATCGCAGCTGATGTTCCACCTGAAACATCGCGTGTTAGAGACGCAAGCGCAGGTCGCGGTCTTGGCGGCGAAGGAGGAGGAGGCGCGCGGACGCGGCGGCGGCGGACGCGGCGGCGGCGGCCAAAGCGCCGAGTCGCCGCCGCCGCCTCCCGCGACGTCGTCGCGTCTCGGGATCCTCGCCTCGCGCCTCCCGCGCGATGTCGTTGACGGGTCCGAACTCGCGACGCGCGCGGTGTACGACGCGGAGACGAGCACGACGCGCGCGACGCGAGTGAGCTACGACGCGCTCTCAGTCGCCGCCGGGATGGCGGATTTCGTCGATCGCGTCCACGTCGACGTCGACGGGTTCTGCCACTTCGGTCCCCCGTCGCGCGCGCTCCCGCCCCCTCCCGGGACCCGCGGGGGCTCCGCCGCCGCCGCCGACGTCGTCGCGCGGGATGACGACGCGCCGACCCAGGGCGACGTGAACCGAGCGAAGCACGAGGCGAAGGAAGGGTTGCTTCTGTGCGCCGCGCTTCACCCTGCGATGCTCGCGGCGGCCGCGTCGTTGCGCGCGACGCGACGCGCCGAGGACGCGGAGCGCGTCGGGATCGACCCGTGGCACGATCTGATGTACGCGCGCGAGTTGTTCGACGACCTCGAGTCCGAGATTCTCGCGCCGAAATACGGCGAGCTCGTCGGCTCGCGGATCGTGCCGGAGACGTGCACGACGCTCGACGTCGACGACGTCAACGCCATCGCCGCGATGTCCGAGCACTTCAAACGGTCGCCGAAGTTACAATCGTACGCCCTCGGCGCTGTGGAATTTTTCGACGTCGTCATGAAGCGTCTCGCGGAGGCGTCGTGGGCGGCGTCGCACACGCCGGGGATTCTCACAGCGATGCGGAAGCGCCGGCGCGGGAAGCAAACCGGCGTGGACAATTGGGCGAGGATGTTCAAAGCCGTCGCGCAAGGCTCCGCGGCGCACCGCACGGTGCAAATGCTCACGTGGACGCGATCCGTGCTCGAAGGCAGCGAGGGCGCTGTGAACGAGCGAACGAGGATCATAACCGGGGAACCGCACTCGTTAGAGTCGCTCGTGCACGCGTTGTTCACGTTTTCCCCGCGGCGGCACCCGTCGATGAAGCGCGAGAAATTCTTCGAGAGCGCTTCGATGGACCTGACGAAGCTTCGTCACCCGGACGGCGCCGTCTCCATCGGGGTTCTAGACCTGATCGTGCACGTGCTGTTCGAGGCGATCATGCTGTGTCAGCACGCGTTCATGGCGCACTCTGGCAATGGGCACATCCCGAGCAAATTTCTCGTCGAGCACATCATCGAGAGGGAAGTGAGCGACGAGCTCGTGTCGTCGAAAATTTCCGCGATGTTCGCGCGGCTCGCGAACTTGGTCCTGTTCGACACGCACGGGCCCATACGCGGCGGCGACGCCGTGTGCGCTTACCGCTACGCATTCGTTCTGCAGCACTTCTTAGACGGCTTCGAAGCCGGCCGCGCGCGGCGCGCGGTGTTGGCCGCTTACGAGCACGACTTGACGTACGTCCTCTCTCAGCCGTGGCTCCGGCGGCGGAACGTCGAGGGCGACGTCTTCTTCGACGTCCACGCGCGGCCGATGTTCAACCGCGTCATGCGCGAGTGCATCCCGCGCGGTTTGATGTCCCCGACGTGGGAGCTGCGGTTCGGGCGGGCGGAGAACGACGGCGGCGACGCGTCGTGGGCGGCGGCGGCGGCGGCGGACGCGGCGGCGGCGGCGAACGTCGGCGGGGGGACCCGCGGGTTCGACGCGATGGGCGCGGGCGGGTTCGACGCGGGGAGCGCGGGCGGGTTCAACGGAGCGATGCCCCCGGAGGAGAACGCCGCGCCGCGTTGGACGCGCACGACGTATCGGTGATGGAGAGTCGCGCGGCGCGGCGGGGCTGAAAAATAGCGAGGCTAGACTTCCTTCTTTTTGCGACGAAGCGCCTCGTCAGATTTTAAATTCATCCGTCCACACGCGCGCGAGCACCGCCACCCGCGGGGAGCATGCCGCTGGCGTCGGACGCCAGGCCCGGCGGGGAGACGATCGCGGGCAAGGGCAAGGGCGCGATACGCTGGACCGCGCCGATGGTCAACACCCGTCGGCCCGAGGAGCCGCGAGGCGAGCGGCGACGCAAGAGCGCGTTGGACACCGGGCGATCTGCGACGAGCGCGCGCGGCCGCGCGCGCGAGAGAGCCGCGTCCACGACCGCCGGCGGCGGCGGCGCGCGCGTCCGCGACCTGGCATCCACGACCTGGTCGCCGCGACCCGCGGACGACGGCGACGACTTCAACGAATCCCTCGTCGAGCTCGCGGAGGAGTACGAGCGGGAGCTGTCCTTCGAGGCGTCGAACGGAGGACGCGGCATCGCGAACGCGACGACGTCGCGCGCGCGCGTCGCGAACGGCGCCGACGACGCCTCGAGGACCGTCATCGGCTCGATGATCCGACGGTTTCGCGAGGCGCCCGCGGCGGGGGAATCGCCGCGGCGACGCGGGACGAGAAGCACGGAGGAGGACGACGAGGACGACTTCGACGACTACGATCGCCGCGACGAAAGAGAAGGATTCGCGTTTTCGACGAGCCAGACGACGTCGCCGCCGGAACGCGACGACGCGCGCGACCCGCTCCCGTCCGACGACCTCGTGGACGAGCTCATCGCGTCGGTGTCCGCGCTTCGCGACGGCCGCCGCGCGCCGTTCTTCTCGGCGTCGCCGACGCCGAGCGCGAGCTCGTCCCGCCACCGCGTCGGCGGCGGCGCGAACGCGTCGAGCGAAGCGGACGTCTCCCGCGAAACGTGGCGGTCCTCCTCCGACGCCGGCGGCGGATCCCGCGGCGACGACGAGTGGTGGTTCGACGCCCCGGACGCGACGGACGTCTCGACGGCGTCGGAGTCCGGGCGCGGCGGGCGCGGCGGCGGCGGCGAGGAGGAGGAGGAGGAGGACATCCTCGAGTCGTGGAGACGGCGAAGGCGGCTGGAGGCGGCGACTAAGGGCGCGGCGGCGTCCCCCGCCGCGCGCGCCGCCGCCGCGGTCGCGGCGTTGGATCGCGTCGGTCCGGTGGACGACGACGAGTACCAGACCATCGTCGCGGCGACGAGGGCGAAACTTGAACTCGTCGCGAGCGACGTCGAGTCCGGGGACGCCGCGACGGCGACATGCGCGGCGTCCGCCGCGACGGCGACGACGACGACGACGACGACGGCGACGACGACGGAGCCGCCGCGCGAGTTCGATCCTCCCGCGTGGGCGCGCAAAGTAGACGCGGCGGTGGCCACGTCCGCGTCGTTGGAGCTCGTGAACGACGCGACGACGGACGCGGCGGCCGCCGCGGAGTCCCCGCGCGCGCGTCGATCGCTCGAGTTTGAATCTCGACGCGACGCGGCGAAGACGCGAGCGGCCGCGGACGACGACCGACGCGTACGCGAACGCGAACGCGAACGCGACGCTTCCGGGGCCGCGTCCACGTCGGATTCCGACCCGTCGTCGCCGAGCTCGTGCCGCGACGACCGCGACCGCGGACCGGACATCAGCGACGCGTTGGGGAACGTCGTGGGGGACATGTTGTTCGGCGGCGGCGAAGACGCGGACGACGACGGTTGGTCGAACCCGGGGTTGATGATGTTTCCGTCCACGCGCGGGGCGGCGGCGGGGGCGAAACCGCCGCGCCCGGCGCCGCCGAGGCCGCCTCGGTCGCCGGGGAGCAGCACGCGGTCGTCGCGGTCCGCGTCGCCGACGTCGACGTCGACGCGAGGCGGAGGCGGCGGCGGCGGCGGCGGCGAGGGCGGGGGGGGGTTGTCCCCGATCGAGCTCGTCGCCGCGGAGGTCCCCCCGCGCGCGCCACCCGTCGTGCACGACGACGCGACGCCGAGTTCGCCGGAACGTTCGCGAGCGATCGCGGCGTCCGCGGCGGCGGCGGCGGGGGGGGGGGGGGAACCCTTGGCTGCCCGC